TCGTGGAAGATTGAAGCCCTAAACAAATTGCGATTCAAAATGATCATGAAGTGCCTCAAAAAGCAAAAATCATTGAGTAACCGGTTTTACCATACTCATTTCCCCAATAGACTTTAGTGTTATCAAAACCGTTAGGAAAATGAAAAATGAAATTTCGATTTCCAATCATAAATATCTTGATAATCAGACAGGCGATCGGCTTGTTAAAGTCATGAAACTCCTGACTGACCTAAAAGTGTATAATTATGATTGCAGCATGAGCTAAATCCAGGATTTCGTTTCAGAAATTGAGGCAATGTTACCGAGTCACTTTAAATATTTCCTCGCTCACAACGCTCGCTCGCCAATGAATTTTCAGATCATTACACTCAACTGCACAATTATGATGCTTAGGCAATATCTTGTATGATGTATACAGAGAAACGAATATTGAAATCATCTGAAAATTTAAGATGTAGGGGTCTAAAATTGTTTGTATATTTCCGCTATGAAATTTCCCTTTGAAGGTGCCCTTTTCCCAGAAAGTGCCCCTTTTGTTGGTGCCCCCCCCCCCCACTTTGGAAGTCGCTCGGCCGCCCCTGCTCGAAAGGATGATAGCGAAAGGGAAGTAGATCCTTACTTTTTACTAATTAAAAACATCACATTGTTTAAAGCTCGAAATGTACCAATGACCTTTTGGCGTCTTGAATTTCAGCTACAGAGAAATCGTCTACAGATCTTCATGAAATCTACAAAAACACGAATCTAAACCGGATGAAACTGTGGTCTTCTTGATAAATCACATCCTCAAATTTGGAGGGTAAGAAACTCATACCTGAGATCTAGAGCCTTGGAGCTCAGCTTCATCCAGCTTCATTCGATCGACGTTCTAGCCTTCATCGGCGGGATCATAGTACTGTTGACTTGCCTCATTTTTCTTTTCGTGTTGCAAGCGATGTCTGTATTGCTGCTTGAAAACAAAACTAGATTGAAGTTATGGTATCATATTTTGTATTTGATTTAATTTGCGTAGGATAGGAATAAGTAATACATTGCATCCCCCTTTCTTTTTCTACTTCTCCTTTCTTATATACAAATACGACGACACAATTTTCCATAAATTTACTTTTTAGATAATGGTGTTTAGGTTTAATTTAATACCCTTTTCGTATGGCTTTTTGACGTTAAGATATTTTACTTCTCTGTCTTAAATAAAAACCGTAACCGTATTTACAAAATCTTTCATATAAATATCTCCATTTTATGGTAACTTAATAGAAACAAATAAGTGCATATTATGCAAAAAGTTGAGAAAGTTTATGTATGTTGCAAAAGCATAGATATATTGCACTAGCATAATGTCTGTTAAAAGCTTATACGTATAAATTAAAAGCATATGTATACTGTAAAAGCATGTGCGTATTGTAGAAGCATAATGTATACTGTAAAAGCATATGCGTATATTTAGAAGCATAAGTATACTTTAAAACCATATGCGTATTTCAGAAGCAACGTAAACGTGTGTGAATAAAAACTCGTTCATACGGCGTAGGAAAGTCAAACACCAAGCGTTGTCTCGCCTGCATCTTGCGATGAGGGTCAGAACGCAATACGCATATATGGAATCGTGCCTTTTCAGGCTTTCAGCAGCTCAGGGTGTGAATATTGGTTCAGGCCGTTTACACTCGGTAATAATGTTAATGTTGCATAGACTTTATCCCTGGAAAAAAATAACACTTTTGATACTGTATTAAACTTATTCTTATCCAAAACCGATAAAATTAAAGTTCAAGTTCATGACCCTTTGACATTTGACCTTGGTCAAATTTGACCCACTTTCTAAGCTAACCTGTGGCTATAAGAGATGTACCTGTGGTATGAATTTAGTGATCCTACCTCAAAGCTATAGAAATTTATTGCGAGTACAGCATGGTGGGTTACGACAACTACGACGACACGGAAATGGTGACGGCTATGTCTTGCTCCATAACGTGGGCGAGACAAAAACAACCGAGTTTTTATAAAGAAAAAAAAATGGGTCTACAGAATCCATCTTTCTAAGTATTGTAATAGATGTACTATTAGGAGTAGTAGTAGAAGGAGAAGGTAGAGGAGGAGAAGAAGAAAAGGAATATAAAAGAGAAGATGAAGGAAAAGGCGAAATCGTTATGAACATGCTGAATGTACAAACCATGCGTATTTAAAAAATATATATATATAATTAAATCATTGAATAATTCTTCATTGTAGACATCTCTTACCATGCTAATGAATATGAGACAAATCACAATTTCATGAAGAAAACTGAATTATCTATGATTCCATTTATTCATATTTTTATATCAGTCAGTGTTATTATGAGCTATGGCGTCGCACTAGGTTCGGATAATAATAATAATAATATTTAATTGTTTATATAGCGCTTAATACAAATGTCTCTAAGCGCTTTACAAATATACTATTACCCCGGTCATTGGATTCAGTGCTTGCCCGCACACACTGTGTGCACAATCTCCACTCCCTGGAGAGCATTCCAGCCGGGCGTTACTTGACGCTCACAAGCTGTTTGACGAACAATGATATCGTGGCCCCATGCATCATAGGGCAACCGAACTTGTTTAAAGCATGATATGGATATTTATCGTTCATTTCTCCTTTTCATTTCCTTTTTGTCTGTCTGTCTGTCTGTCTCTTTCTCATTCTCTACTGATCTCTCTCTCTCTCTCTTTCTCTCTATTTCTCTATCTGTCTCTCTCTCTTTCTCTCTCTCTTTATCTCTATCCCTCTAACTCTCTGTCTTTCATCCGCTATTTAAAGTGACTCGGTAACATTGTTGAAGGTTGATGAAAAAGCTATAATTTTTGTATGAAATATTACTTAGTATATTCCTTGTACTGTACTTATCCTCTAACAGGCAAACAATCCTGAGAAAAATTCTCAAACCACAAAGATATTTATGGTTTGCTTTGAAAGCGTCACTGTGCAACACACTCTAACAGTAAATTCTCCCAACCATTTTTTAATTTTCCCAACCGTTTTTTTTTTTAAATAAGATATAAAAGACAGGCTTTAGAAAATCTGTCAACACTTAAATGTCTGGAATGGTATAAAGAGCTAATTCACTGCGTTGTGAAGACTTACATTCACCTAAAATGTAATTAAATTGTAATCATATAGTTAGGCGAATTAAGATAACGATCAGATCAGTTTTTTCCAATTAATATCATTAATAATGGTCCGTTTTCACTCAAACTTTCAGATTGTCTTTAATTTTACATCTAGCATTGAAGTCACTACCTTAGCACTATTTTCTCTCATCTGAACAAAGTTACCAAGTCCCTTTAATCTTTCAACCCTTTTTGGTTTCAATACGATGGATGGATGTGCATGTTACTCTTTCCGTAGATGTAGTTACGCCATTGCTTACACTAGATGGAATATGAAAGTGATGACCAACAAGGCTTAAGTATAATTATGTAAATTGCATATATACTAACTGTATAGGACACTCTGTACTTTTCAATACACATAAGTATACAGTTCATGGGTTGATGATACAACATTATAACCAACAGGTACAAAAGTAGATCCGCACAAGAGGGAGCGCTTATTTGATATTTAGATTTTAGATTTTGCAAACAAATTCAGTGACCGGCAACGTAATTTCAAAAATATTTCTGGCTCGCCTGATAAATCACATGAAAATCTATGCGAAAGGCCCGATATTATAGCATACACTGTACTGAAATGATAGATTGATACTATTGGAAGTATATTAATAAAAATTGGCAGTCGAGAATTTGAAAAAATGAGTGGAAAGAAAGCTCGTTTCTTTAATTTTTTCTGTCTTCTCCAAATTCTTTTTTTTTCTTCTTTATAACTTTGTTTTTCTTTTAGGGGGCTATAGTTTACAATTTAATTGTCGTATTGACAAGTTCGGCGGATAATTGTAGAAAACAAAGCAACTGTGGACTTCGTGCGATCCCAAAATAATGAATACAAAAATTATACTTCACACAAAAGTTTATTCATTATCAACTACTACGGTATTCTTAATGGTTGTACAGTCTTGGAAAGTCCACTCTTGGAAAGTCCACTCTTTATTGGAATCCACTTTAACATTTGTGATTCAAACCGCTACTTTGATGCGGATTTCACTATGATTTAGGGAAATTATGGTTGATTTCCACCCCTCTGGCTGTATTAACCTTTTCAGGACAGGATTTGATTTTATGGCTGCGTTGATCATATTCTGTTCTTCAAATTAACAATATTTTTTGTTTTATTGCCACATTGTTTAAATAAGATGTAATGTTTCTGAAAAAGTATTGTCGAAAGGTTAAAAATGGCAAATTTTAATCGAAAAACAAAGATATTGAAGGTCTCACCGTTTTGCCAATTTAATTTTTTGAAGCTTTTCTTTTTCTTTTTCTTTTTCAATTCCTGGCATCAAACTTATGCCTTTTTCAGCTCCTGCTTCTGGAATAGTTTTAGGGCTCTGAATCAAAGGTTATTGAGCCAAACTAGTAAGAACCACAACATTTGCAATAATTGTCACCCAAGATTTAAAGCCTATCTGCACTAGTTTGACCAGGAGGGATTAAACCCCGCTGCATGGTCACTGACAGGTGATTATCTCATCAAATCAGCTCTCAATGAACATAAGAAAAAGGGGACCATGGGGGACTAACGGTCACCGCTTAGGTATTGTTTGCTATATAGAGGGCGCAAGTAGCTATAAGTAGTGCAGTGGGGCTTAAGAGAATATTATATCAGCACCTTACACAATGTGTTAGAAATTACTGTCATCATGACTGGAAATGCGTACGCCTGACACGTATAGCATGCGTAACAGTCTAAAATAAGTTTGTTGGGTATTTATCATCTTCTTCTTCATCATCATCTTCTTCTTCTTCTTCTTCTTTTGATTCTTCTTCTTCTTCTTCTTCTCTTGATTCTTCTTCATCATCATCTTCTTCTTCTTCATCATCATCTTCTTCTTCATATTCTTCTTCTTCACACACGGGTAAACAATTTTATTTTATTTCGATTGGTCGTAAGCAGGCATGTAAAAGAAACAATTAAATCGGGAAAAAAATCATTCTACTTTGGATTTTCTACTTTTCAAGCAACATGATAGACATCGCTTAAAACAAGTATAGAGAAGGAAAACGATGGCAGCTATGATTCCGATGATGAAAGCGAGAACGTCGATCGAATGAAGCTGGATGAAGGTGAGTTCCAAGGCTCTAGATCTCAAGTGTGACCCTCCAAATTTGAGGATGTGTTCCACCCAGTAGACCATAGTTTCATCCGGGTGAGCCTGGGTGTCTCTGTAGATTCTTGAAGATCTGCGGACGTTTTCCCTGTAGCTGGAAATTTAAAGCGCGAGAGTATGATATGGGAAATGATCTTGATTTTCAAACAGCGATAGCCTATAAAAACAGAGATTTTAAATTAATATGACATGATTAATAGATTATATATATGTAATGAATATCAGTAATAAAATAGGTTCATCCAAGGAGCGCGGAACACTTCCATAGTCAAAGGCAGGCGCGGATCCAGGGGGGGGGGCCGAGCGGGCCTTGGCCCCCCCCCCGCAAAAAAAAAAAAAAAAAAAAGAGAAGAAAGGAAAAGAAGGGAAAGGGCAAGAGGAGAGAAAGGGAAAGAAAGAAGAGGAAGAAGAAAAGAAAAGGGGGAAAAAGGAGATCGGGGGGGGGGGGCGAAAGGGCCTTGCCTCCCAGGCTGTTGATCCCCCCCCCCCCTCCCCCCAATCAAAAAAATAAGAGAAAAGGAAGGAAAGGAAAGAAAAAAGGAAAAGAGGAGATACTGGCGTACCGATGGGGGGGGGGGGCTTGGGGGAAATCAAATTCAAACGTGGTTTATTTCTAATTCCACAACGGTGGATTACAAATAATGCTGATATGACATAATTTCCGAGATTTTTCCTCACTTTTTAGTAAATTATACGTTTGTATGTGTTTGTTGGAAAATGACAAATTCCTAATTTACAGCCAGGCAAGAAATATGATTCTTGAGATTCCTACATGTCAGTGCCCGAGGTACGGCGGGGATCGGGAGCACCGAGCTCCCCCCCCCCCCCCCACCCCCACTTTTTTGAAAAAGTATATTAAAGAGAAATAATATAGAATGAGAGCAAGAATGAAAGAATAGTTAACTGCCAGTGTTAAAAAATAATGAGGCATCAAAATATGCCCATCTGACCGTGATTAATGCCTAAAACCCCTAAGCCTCCGGGGGCTCTGCCCCCTGGATTCCACCTAGGGCCCTACGGCGGGCCCTTAGATGATCATCTGACGGTAATTTAATGCCTCAAACCCCTGATTTTTGGCGGCTCCGCCCCCTGGACCTGCCAGTGTCACAAAATAATAAGGTATACCAAAAAAATGCTCATCTGACCTTAATTAAACGCCTAAAACCCCTGAGCTTCCAGTGCCGGCTCCGCCGCCTCGACCCCACCAGGGGCCCTAAGACGGGCTCCTGAATGCTTATCTGACCGCTTGCGGGGTTAGACAAGGTATCAAAATGTGTTTATCTGACCGCAGACGCGTAGCCAGGGGGGGGGGGGGGGGGGGGCGGTCCCCCCAAATCGGAAGAGGACGTAGGAAGAAACAGGAGCAGACAAAGAACATCTTTGAAATTCAGACAAGGATTAACAGTATAGAGAACGGTACAACGCATCGGCTTCTTTCTCTAATAATTTAATGAAACGTCACAGCGTCGCGCAGGAGGGTAGGGGGGGGGGGGGGGACTAAATTCAGACAAGGATTAAAAATCGAGAACGGTACAACGAATCATCTTCTTTCTCTCATAATCTTATGAAACGCCAAAGCTTCCGCGCTTCGCGCGGGAGGGGGGAACCTGAATTCAGACGAGGATTCAGAGGCGAGAACGGTAATACGAATCTTAAATGGCTTAATGAAACGTAAAAGCTTCCGCGCTTCGCGCGGGATGGAGGGGGAACTAAATTCCGATGAGGATTATTTTTGAGAACGGTACAACGAATCGTCTTCTTTCTCTAATGATTTAATGAAAATTAAAAGCTTCCGCGCTTCGCGCGAGAGGGGGGAACCTGAATCTAGACGAGGATTAAGAGTCGAGAACTGAACAATGAATCGTCTTCTTTCTTTAATAGTTTAATGAAGCGTCAAAGCTTCCGCGCTTCGCGCAAGAGGGGGAGGGGGGGAGACTGAATTAAGACAAGGATTAAGAGTCGAGAACGGTACAACGAATCGTCTTCTTTCTCTAATGATTTAATGAATCGTAAAAGCTTCCACGCTTCGCGCAGAAGGGGGAAAACTGAATTCAGACGAGGATTAAGAGTCGAGAACTGTACAACGAATCGTCTTGTTTTTCTAATGATTTAATGAAACTTAAAAGCTTCCGCGCTTCGCGCGGGAGGAGGGGGGAGGGAGAATCTAAATTCAGATGAGGATTATTTTCGAAAACGGTACAACGAATCGTCTTCTTTCTCTAATGATTTAAGGAAATTTAAAAGCTTCCGCGCTTCGCGCGGGAGGGGGGGGGGAGGGGAACCCAAATTCAGACGAGGATTAAGAGGCGAGAACGGTAATACGAATCTTTAATGCCTTAATGAAACGTAAAAGCTTTCGCGCTTCGCGCGGGATGGAGGGGGAACTAAATTCCGATGAGAATTATTTTCGAGAACGGTACAACGAATCGTCTTCTTTCTCTAATGATTTAAGGAAATTTAAAAGCTTCCGCGCTTCGCGCGGGAAGGGGGGGGGGAACCTAAATTTAGACGAGGATTAAGAGGCGAGAACGGTAATACGAATCTTTAATGGCTTAATGAAACGTAAAAGCTTCCGCGCTTCGCGCAAGAGGGGGAGGGGGGAGACTGAATTTAGACAAGGATTAAGAGTCGAGAACGGCACAACGAATCGTCTTCTTTCTCTGATGATTTAATGAATCGTAAAAGCTTCCACGCTTCACGAGGGAGGGGGAAAACTGAATTCAGACGAGGATTAAGAGTCGAGAAGTCGACAACGAATCGTCTTCTTTCTCTAATAGTTTAATAATCGTAAATTTTTTCCGCGCTCCGCGCGGGAGGGGAAAAATTAAATTCAGACGAGAATTATTTTCGAGAATGGTACAACGAATCGTCTTCTTTCTCTAATAATTTAATAAAACGTCAAAGCTTCCGCGTTTCGCGGAGGAGGGAGGGGGGGAATCGCCCCTCCCTGCACCGACCCCCCCCCCCCCGCATTACGTCACTGTTGGTCACTATTACGTACCAATATTTGGCTCGCATAATTTCAAATTTGGGCCCCCCCCCCCCTAAGAAATCCTGGATCCGCGCCTGGTCAAAGGCATATGAACCATGAGTTCCTTTTAATTAGTACATGCAATTATGATGAATTGCTTTAATTACCAGTCATTCATATTGAAAATTGTTATATAACCCCCAATGCTGACTTTTTCATCGTACGAGCAAGCCATTTTTTACAACCATTTAATGTAACAAACAAAAACAAACGCAGAATGTTATTTTGTTTGTTTATGTTGTTTGTCTGTTTTGAATTGTCCCTGGTGTCAGCATCAACTAGCCTCGGGTCGGATGCGGCTTGTATGTCACAGTTTATTAAATCTGCGTCATCATCATCATCATCTATGTAGTTAGGCATATTCCAACCGCTATTAAAATTCTTAAGTGTAATTTCTGAAAAAAAAGTGTGTCAGAAAATAGTGACACAAGACAATAATTCTTAACAACATTATGTGAGCAATAAAATCCTTGTCATATTCGAGGTGTAGTAATCGAATGGTATAATCACTTGAATGGAAATCCAAAGGTCGTGGGTTCGAACCCCGGCGCGGCACGGCACTCCTCTCCATCCAGGTGTTAAATGGATATGATGAGAACGTTGTGATTGGATAAGCATATGCGCGCTCGAATAAAAAGGCGACTATAGCTGGAATGCTCCCCTGGGAGTGGAGAATGTGCGTTGTAATGCGCATAATAGGAATAGGAACGTTATCCAATAACCGGGTAATAATGATAATACTGTTAGCACTTTGGTTAGTAAATGATAAACTATCATTGCTATGATTAAAACAAATTACCGTGGATTTTCCAGGACATCGATGACTGCTTCCATCACGGTCTCGTACGAGATATGGTCTTTCTGGAGAATTCTTCCCATGCCTTTAGCCTCGACCTTGACGGCATTGGAATCTTGATCACCAATTATTGGCATGACGACCATGGGGACGGCATGGTAGATCGCTTCGAAAATACCTGTCAGACCGCCGTGGTATATCAGTAGTCGGGCTTTGGGGTGACCTGTTTTTTTAACCATAACATTTTTCAGTACTTTAAATTGGCACCAGTAATCCTTATTTTTCAACTCCTACGAAATAAAAATGTATATGGAATAAATCAATGTTAATGAAAATTACTAAATTCAACCAAAAGAAATCAAATCATTCACAAAAAAAGTGATTATAAAATTTACACTACGTTGCCAAATGAGAGACTTTAATGATTACGTATAATCAACGTGTTATTATTAATAGCTTTGTAATTATGTTCATTCTTTATGGGATGTCGTCTGCTTGGGCAGTATTGGTGCATTATGTGACGTCATTAAAACATCGTTATTTTCTGGCGAATCTCGCGTATATCCCAGATGCTATGGAGGTGGTTTTATTTGTATGTTTATAAATCACCCGATATGTAGTTGACCTAATACTTCTACGATGGTCATCTTTTAGCTTACCAGTTTCTAGTGATACATTAGTTGACATATTTGTGATTTTCTTTGAATGTCCACTTTAAGAAGTCACTAAAAGGAGATAAGGAACCAGCACTGCCATGGGTTAAATGGAAAATTACAAGTACAGAGCACAGTCAGGGAAAAACTCTTTCATCTTTCTTGATATTAATAACATGGGTCCATGTCAATAGGCCTACACCATTTTCTAAACGTGCAGTTCATGTGAATGCTTCTTTTATAGCTTGTGTTATAAGTTGCAAAGTGTATTCATGTTAGAATATAGCAGCAACTGAGATTCTGATCACCGCCCCCAAATCCCTTAACCCTCCCTCCAACACATACACCCACTCATACACAGTCACCCACCTTACGCACACTTACACACAAGTAACATTTTGTGTAGCATGCATAGTCTATAAAAAGGGAATCTAGCCGGACATACCAAGTAGGTCATTTTGTGGCATCCAGTCTACCAGCATGGTGTTGTTACCCAGGTAACGAGGGCGTGTTCCAGTATGCCGCCAGATGACTCTCTGTGGAAGATCACTGAAGACTCTCGCAAAGGCCTCTGCCATGTGTTTCGGAAGCTCACCGTAATTATTACCCTGAGTTTTGAAAACAGATAATTAATCACGGTATGTTTGTATTTCTAACAGGTTACTAGTAAATGATTTTTTTTTAATTCCCATCTTTATCAAATTCCATACCTGAATATGAGCCATATAGGTTTGCGATGAGGGAGAGACCTTGGGTGTAAACTTCTATTCGGATATTACCAAAGCTCAATTAAAAGGGAGAGGCATTGACAATGAACAAAAGTGGAACTCTTGATATTCTATACGGATTACTTTTCTCTTTACATTATTAATTTACACAAAATGTTATGCTTTCTTAGTGACGAAGTATTATAGTCACTTGTACAAGTGGATGTTTGTCAAAATGCAATTTACATAATTAGTTTTTTGCTAGGTCAGATAAATATTAAAGTTTGTCCGACCTAGAACCAACTGCAATCTGCATTCTAGCAATTTCATGGTAGCTCGACTAAAGCGGGGGTAAATTATGATTGCAGAGCCCTTAGGAAGAACTGTATTAATACTGAGGCTACCCTGGGTAAATAAGACATGCTATAATTATTATTGTTATTATTGAGATACAAAACAGGCAGCATATTCGTTATTGGGCACTTTGAGAGGAGGATGCATACATATGAAAGCATTACAAGAAACGTCGATATTACAAGAACATCAAATATTGTTATCTTTAATCTTCACATCATCTTACCAATGCCAATATGATGAAGCCGTGTTCCCCCGACCCCTCAACAAAGGCTTCGTATTCCTTCAAGAAAAGAAAACAAATGAGGTAATGCTAAAGCTATCCTGCATGTAGAGAAAGAAAAAGAATCTTTAAAAAAATGATGGTTTAGGGGCTTTCTGTTGATCAGAAAGTATAATCATTACCATGGGGACATTGGATTACACCGACAGCCCACGAAATAGATATTCAGCCACCTTGCTACCCGAATATGAAGTGGCGGTTGCTCGAATATCGGAACTTAAAAATGGTTCGAATCACAACCAGCGCTGACGGCTGGTGGAAAGACATTAATCCACATTTACCACTCCACATGCAAATGTACGCGGGTATACCTGGCATTATTGTGGTTACAATTGCAGGAGCTGCAGGAAGAGCAATATTGACACTTCGATGTGGCTACCCTGGGCAAATAAAACCCAATGATTATGATAATAATTATTATTATAATAATTTCATTATTAGTATTATTTTTATGTTTGTATTATAATCAATATAATTGTAATTATCAATTTTATATTTCATTGAATATCATATTTATGTTATTGTTATTATTATTATTATTACTGTTGTAGTTGTTGTTGATATCATTATTACTATTATCATTATCAAGTTTACTTCATTTACCTTGTTCAATGGCTTCGCTGGAATATCGGCGATATTTCCGATAGCCACCCAATTCGGTGCGATAGGGTGAGAGAAATCAAATGCGAAGGTCGTCATGCACAGCCACAACTCTGCTCCACCTATAAGATCTGCGATGCTTCGATCTGGCGCGATACCATACTTGTCTTTTATCTTTTCCAAAGCCCCGAAGTGTACCCAATGTGAAAAGCTCAGGACAAAGTTATGCTCTATGAAGCTGGCAACACGCTCCAGAAACGTCATCCTGTCTGACAAGGGGAAGGTACCCAAGGGTACGTACGATGATGGCGATGGAATTCCGTATAGGTGCTCGTGGAAGAACGGATATCTCATTGATGTTGTCAAGGCAATGTACGGTATTCCTAGGTAACTACTGAGGATCGCATCACATCCGTCAAAGACATCCCCGATAAGGATGTCAAAGTGAGATTCCTTGAGTAGAGCCAACGTCGCAGAATCTTCAAAGAGATGCTGGCAAGCTTGCCTCAACAAATTAAACATTTTACCCAAACCTATCACGTTATTGAACTGACTCTTCTGAGTCTTCTCAAACGACAAATCTTGTATCATTTGTTCAGTGGCGTGAAATTCTGGAGAATGCTCGAATTTGTACTGGAGGGCGCTGTTGTAGGTGTCCCTCTTGAACCCTTTTGTTCCTACGGCGGAGCAGGTGAGGATGGTGACATTGTGGCCGCGTCGGGTCAACGCTCCTGACATGGCGGACATACTTTTGGCATGGCTACTGGCCTTCGGGATTAAGACAGTTACGAGAATGTTTGCACCATTGGTCAAAGGCATGACCTGGATGGCGATGACTGCTAGGGTCAACAGCACGAGACTCGGAAAGAGTTTCATCACGTCAGAGTCTTGATGCAGCTCCGGTTGAACGGTATATACTGATGCTCCTTTGTCGAAATTGAGTCAAATCCTGCAAATTCCTGTCAAGGGAAATAATCAAAGTGAATTATTAATCTTCTTTTCCTTTGTTTTCCTTGCGTAGTCCGAATCAGTGGGCCTAACCAAAGAGGTTAATTCTTGGTCTAACAAAGCACCACAAGTCACTACACAGCCCTGCACGATCACCATTTAGAGATATTTTCCAACGTGAACAGTTCTTGATCGGGGTGGACGAGGTTCTCTCGTTAATTTTGTTTTTGTTTTGCATTTATCCTATTTGTTTATTCTTTTGTATTTTTTGTAATCCAAACTGTGACATTTTTTCTCATTTGATTATAATTTTAAACGTCTTCGTATCGACAAAATGAGGAAAGCAGTTGAAATCCTCGACAAACAGTGGAAAGGGGGGCAGTGGCGGATCCAAGGGGGAAAAAATGTATTTTTACATTTTTTAACGTTAGATGGGCCCCACCCCCCCCCCTAGGAAAACAAAATGTGTAATTTTACATTTTTTAACGCTAATTTTACTTTTTTTTTAGATGGCCCACCCCCCCCCTTGGCGCTCAAGGGGGGGGGGGGTGCAAATTTTCAAATTTTCGAGGGCCAAAAAAAAAAAAATTAGTGCCTCACTTGGACCCGCTTCTATCGCCCCACCCCCCCCCCCCAAAAAAAAAATGTAAAATTAACCAACCGGGACGAATACTGAACAAGCGCGCTCATGAAAGTTTTGTAGTCGTTATTCATTTTTTTTTCAAGTTCAGGTTTATTCAAACCAAATCAAACGTAAACAATGGTACAGGATATAACAGCAAGGAACACAGGAATGATAGGTTTGGGACCCCAGTGAAGCACAGCTTGTGAACGGGGCCCCTTTACACAGTAGACTACAGTAGGTTGGCAAGGAGTAACATATTTACAACGAGTATAACGCATGTGTATGTAACAAGGTAACAACATAACTAATTATGCAGATGAGTATAGCCCCCCCCCCCCCATCCCCAATTACAACAGATACACAAACACACACACACACACACACACACACAAACATAACATATACTTCATACATAGCTACCTTATCAAATAATAATATACACAATATTTATAAGGCGCTTAATACTGGTGTCTCTAAGCACACCATATTGTAACGAAACCGGTTCCTGTCGATGTTCTTCCCAGCAGCTTCTCTTGTCAGGATGCCTTCTGCTGGTAGGTTTTCCTAGTCCGGTACCAATTTCACCGTGGATCCGTTTGGCAGAGATATACTGCCCCGTTGACGTTGACACCAGTCTGATATATTGCTCCGCACCACCTCTCGACCACCGTCCAGTCGACACTACCAAACCGTCTTCTACCAACCGTCTTCTACCAACCGTTGTACCGTCGTATACCACCAGCCGACTAGGCCAGTCCGCTTCTGCACCTCTCAGACGTCTATACCAGTCTGCTTGTGCATGCAACTCCAATTGGCCGCACCAGTTTGCTTCATGCACCTCCAAACAACCAGACCGTCTGACTTCGTACAGTCAGCTTACTCGACCATGCCACGGCTCTGCTACACAGTAGTCCCTACCAGCCGTCTACTCCAGACCACGATCACTGGACCACCGGATGAGCAACCCCTGGTATTGTCTAATACTAGAACGTAAAAGACCCAACAAACACAACCTAGATTCTAACCATGGTCGTCACCTAAAATCAGACTTCAACTTTAGGTTTCCCCATGGAAAGACATGCAAACGATCATCTCAATCATTTCGTTGCACGCAATACTTTATTGGGCAAATATCCAAACATAATCTAATTGCCTTACAATGTAAGTGTGCCCAGTGGGCGACGGCAATTATGTAGACTATGACAGGAAGCTCTCAGACCGTGAGACAATTGATTTATATACACATTTCTTATACATTTATTATTCTGGTTAGGTTTCCAAAAATTACATAAACATTGATATAACTCCACTTTACAATATCAGATTGAAACAAACCATATATCAAATGAAAGCATTAGTTTTATTCTATAAAACTAAACAAAAGAGAACAAGTAATTATTAATGATAGAAAAGTAATTACACTAAAACTGTCAAAACATGCACAATCGAACATTCTTAAAATTAACACGTGACTATATAGCGTCGTATATTTTACTTGAATTACGCCATCTACGCCGAAATAACTACTACGAAATGAAACCAATTTCGTGACACAACTCCCTTATTTTCCTTAGCTCGGTCCCCGAGCGATATCTAACAACAATTTACAAACTGCATATAACACATTTACAGAAAATAACGTCCATGGGCATCTAGGTATCCTTCCCACCGGAACCAGCGGTTCTAAGTTCATGCAGTACTGACTGAATTATTTAACGAGAACTATCAGTGTCAGTTTGAGTTTCAGCATTCTTACTAGCAATTTCAGTCCACTCTCTAGCCCATGCAGTCTCCGACGCCATTTCCCAGATGAATATCGCAAGTCAAGTGGTGAAGGGGACCTTTCGTCGTTATCCAACTCTTCTCCTGGTTCGGGCGTAGATTGTCGGCTATGTCGAGGGGAAGCTTCCGATCCATCATGCTGTGGAGACTCCGGGGTCTTTTGACATGACGATTTCGTCAGGTCTCTTTGGGGCGATTTGGATTTTCGTCGTGATGAGCGGTAACGACGTGGTGATCTCCTTCGAGGTCGGTCCAATCTTGGATCATCACGTGGCGGCGACCGCCAGTCCATTCTTACATGACGCCACGATGCATCAGCTTTTTCAGAGGTCCCTGTTATTGGCGTGGAAGTGGGTTTGCATCTTGGCGAAGAAACAGGTGTTAAGCTGTGTTTTCTCACGGGAACCACAGCTACATCGTGGCCTCCCTGATGCCGCTCCATCTCCGTCTTCCTACCCGTGCGATAATCGCATTGGTCGCAACGGTACTTCAGGATATGCACTTCCCGCTTGTGTCTTTGCAAAGAGTCTTTCTTCTCATAACTTTTGGTACAAGAGTCACATTGAAAGAAGTGGGTAGTCGTACGTCGGGCATCAACGTCCTTGTTTCCCTGCTTGTCGGGTGGCATGTTTCTGCTTGCACTGGTTTCAGTGGGCATCGTCTGGTTGCACATTTCTGTGCCCACTTCTTCCACCGCTGACAATGAGGCAATGGCAGTGCCTGCCTTTATGTTCCTCTGTTCCCTTGTTGGATTGAACACCCTGACAGGCAACACATCTTCATCTGTCTTCACGACAGATCTGGCAACGATGGGTCCCTTTTTCCATGATTCGATTGGGTTCACAGGAGATTCTACCAGTCCTTCACACAGTGCTTCCTTTTTACCTGTTACTCTGTCTGCTAGCACCATTTCGTGTCGTGGAGGAATTGAGTTTTCCTCCCCCGCCACTATCCTTCTGCAGAATGATTCTCCTTCACTATCTAGGCATGGAATTATGCCCCACTCGGTCCTCAATTCCATCTTGTGGCAGTCAAGTACAGCATTAGTTTGAACTAGGAAATCTAGCCCAAGAATGCCTTCGTTCTTGAGGCTGGCCACAGTTACCATTGTAGTGACAAGTGAATCTCCGATCTGCACTTCCAGCCTTGATTTACCTCTGGTCCTCAACGGGGTCCCATCTGCTTGTAGTACCACGCTGGTCACTGGTAATAACTCAGGTCTTCTATTATCCTCTATCCGGTCAAACACCTTATCTGAAATCAAAGTATTGGTGGCTCCGGTGTCGATCAGTAATTTCAAGACTGTCCATTGATTTTCCCTTCCAGGAAAAGTCCTTTCTTGTTAGGATCCTGAGACGAACCAACTCTGGTCTGTTCCTCTTCATCTGTCATCCCATTTGCAGTTGCCCACTGCAAGTTTGTATTTGCTTTCTCTGCTGCTGGTGGTGCTGTTCCTCCCCTAACTTTCCTTGGATAAGGACATTGGTTCCTCCAGTGTCCCAATTCATTACAGTTGAAACACCGGTTATCTTTCCGTTCCGAGACTTTAGTTGGCATGGTTTGTTCCGGTCTCCTATCTGGTACATCTGGTTTAATCGTATTCCTCCCATTTCTCATGTCTAAGGCATCTAATACCTTCTTTACTATCTCATCGATAGTAGGATTCCTTGGTTGCTGTTCTCGGATGGCTGAAACCTCACACTCTTCCAGTGCTCGACTGTACGTGGTTGAACGCCTCACTTCGTTTCTCTGACCCTCCATCCTCAGGAAGGCCTCTGTATTTAAGCTGCTTCCACGGCATCATCAAGCGTGCGAGGTTGAGCACGGAACAATCCTTCTCTTATTTCTGGTGTTACTACGGCATCCAGAAAATGCCCACGGGCTAGTCGGTCTTGTCCTTTTTCATCGAACTCGGGGTAGGACAATGCACACAGCTCCCGTATCGTTTGTCCTAATTGCTGGAGACTTTCCTTTGGTTGCCGACGACGCTGTCTCAACTCTGCTAGGTATACCTCAGCTTTACCTCCAAGACCAAACCGGTTCATGAGTCTGTATACCAACTCGTCGTATGTCAAATCCACTCCAGGCTGTTGGGTTAACAACTTCACAGCAGATCCTCTCAAACTTGCAGCAAGAAACTGCACTGCTTCTACTTTGGTCCATCTGTTTACTCCAGCACATGCCTCAAAATGGTGCAAGTAATCCTCGACAGGACTGCGACCGTCAAATCTGTCTGGTACCATATGGGGTCGTCTGCCGATTAATGCATCATTTGCCCTCCCCACATCATGCATAGGTGGAGAGAAAAGCGGTGGTGTAATATGAACTCCAGTTCCTGCACTGGGCAGCCGTCTACTTTGTTCTCGGGGCGTTGAACTAAATCTATCCCGCTGTGCCGCTGGCATCTGTGAATCTGCAGTTGGTCCTGATGCAGTTTGTCCACTCAGAGTTGGGGGAAATGCTTCCTGGCGGCCTGGTTCTGGGTCTGCAACTGGTACCTGACTCATCGAAGCACGTAGTTGCTCCATCATTTGATCTACTTCTGTCATACTCCTTTCTAAGTGCTTCATCATTTCTCCTGGCGTTGGTCGATTCTGCCTATTTCTTCCTTGTGCCATTGTCACTGGATCCCACTTCTGACACCACATGTAACGAAACCGGTTCCTGTCGATGTTCTTCCCAGCAGCTTCTCTTGTCAGGATGCCTTCTGCTGGTAGGTTTTCCTAGTCCGGTACCAATTTCACCGTGGATCCGTTTGGCAGAGATATACTGCCCCGTTGACGTTGACACCAGTCTGATATATTGCTCCGCACCACCTCTCGACCACCGTCCAGTCGACACTACCAAACCGTCTTCTACCAACCGTCTTCTACCAACCGTTGTACCGTCGTATACCACCAGCCGACTAGGCCAGTCCGCTTCTGCACCTCTCAGACGTCTATACCAGTCTGCTTGTGCATGCAACTCCAATTGGCCGCACCAGTTTGCTTCATGCACCTCCAAACAACCAGACCGTCTGACTTCGTACAGTCAGCTTACTCGACCATGCCACGGCTCTGCTACACAGTAGTCCCTACCAGCCGTCTACTCCAGACCACGATCACTGGACCACCGGATGAGCAACCCCTGGTATTGTCTAATACTAGAACGTAAAAGACCCAACAAACACAACCTAGATTCTAACCATGGTCGTCACCTAAAATCAGACTTCAACTTTAGGTTTCCCCATGGAAAGACATGCAAACGATCATCTCAATCATTTCGTTGCACGCAATACTTTATTGGGCAAATATCCAAACATAATCTAATTGCCTTACAATGTAAGTGTGCCCAGTGGGCGACGGCAATTATGTAGACTATGACAGGAAGCTCTCAGACCGTGAGACAATTGATTTATATACACATTTCTTATACATTTATTATTCTGGTTAGGTTTCCAAAAATTACATAAACATTGATATAACTCCACTTTACAATATCAGATTGAAACAAACCATATATCAAATGAAAGCATTAGTTTTATTCTATAAAACTAAACAAAAGGGAACAAGTAATTATTAATGATAGAAAAGTAATTACACTAAAACTGTCAAAAACATGCACAATCGAACATTCTTAAAATTAACACGTGACTATATAGCGTCGTATATTTTACTTGAATTACGCCATCTACGCCGAAATAACTACTACGAAATGAAACCAATTTCGTGACAATATTCTGACTAAACAATTATTTACCAAAACTTATAATAAACACACAACTTATACATCTGTTCTTTATTCAATAAATCATGCATATATAATAATAAAAAATAAAGTAAGAGTGAGATCAAACATACATACAAGAGGTCAAACATAGGATCAAACATAAGATCGAACAAACAAAAAAATAAGACGGTGTGCACCTCCTTTGACCGACTCACAACTGCAGAATATTGTTTATGAATTAAAAAGGTGGGTTTTCAGCAAGGACTTGAATTGGTCAAGAGAATGAATATTATGAAAGTGCGCTGGTAATTTATTCCAAAGGATAGGGGCATTTACTGAGAAAGCTCGATCGCCATATTTTGTAACGGTACGAGGTCCGAGGGTTCAACTGCAAGGTTGATGATGATCGAAGAGGTCTTAAAGAACTAGAAGAACGTAAGGAAATCAAATCTGAAAGATATTTAGGGGCTTGGCCATGGAGAATTTGTATGTAGGCCTAAGAAGAAGAACTTTAAATGTTATACGATGGTGTATGGGAAGCCAATGAAGAGAACGCAATATTGGGGTTATGTGCTCAAACTTTCTCGAGAAAGTAACAAGCATTGCAGCAGTATTCTGAATTCTTTGAAGTGGAAGTAGGGACGAATGCGGAAGACCAGAAAAAATTGAATTACAATAATCAAGGTGGGAGGATACAAATGCATGGGTTAATTTTGCAGTTGTGGGCCGGTCACAGGGGCGTACGCAGGGGGGGTGTTTTGGGGGTTCAAACCCCCCCCCCCCTTTGGTATTTTAATGTATGTAAACCCCCCTAAAAAAACCTAAAACCCCCCCTTTGGCTTTTTTTTTTTTTTTATTTAAAAAAAAAAAAAAAAAAAAAAAATTATACCCACGGCTAACCTAAATAAGGTGACCTTACCCCCCCCCCCCCATACGTAAAAAAATGTCAAATTTTGAAATTTTGAGACCAAAAAAAAAAAAAAAAGTGTCCGCTTACCCCCCCCCCCCCCCCCCCCCCCCCCCCCCCCCCCCCCACTGAGCGACTTTTCGGCCGGCGCGATTTTCAAATTTTCGGGAGCAAAATATTTTAAAACCCCCCCCCTTGAAAAAATCCTGCGTACGCCCCTGGCCGGTCAAGTAGTTTCCTAATTTTCCCAATTTTGAAGATTCCAAAAGATGCCGATTTATATACGTTATCTTGTTTTATACATTCATGTATCTGATAGCAATCTGTCGAAAAGGTGTTTTCTACAAGATATTTTAAACCGAGACAATGTAGTACTACTAATTATATTATGAGGTAACATATTCCACTTTTTTGACACAGACAGTTCTAAATGAATTTTAAGGCAGTATGGATCCTGGCGTATGACTGATGGATAAGGTTACTCTGACGAGTATGATAATTTATTATGCACCGACGGAACATTCGTGAAGCGCATCCACGCAGTGAAATTACTTTTCTATACTCAATACACGTCAGGATAACGCAAATGCAATGGCAATGGCATTGGCAATGACTTATTCGCTCTAGCAGCATCGACCTTTGGTCTTCAAATAATTCTGACCAATAGGACTGTGTGGTACAGATTGTGATTGCATGAAGCCTATTTTGAGCGGAAAGTGTAGGCCGGGTCTATACTAGGCTGCAGAAAATAATATAGAGGCTTAATATGACCACAGTGTAATTGAATTTGCTGTTGGTCAAATTGAAAATCATTACTATCCAATATTAAGATAACAATGTACATGAAGTTAAAATGAAATGAATAAAATTGCTAAATCTTACCGCAAAGAACACCAACTGAAGTAGATGTCTAGACGAATGGCTCAACTGTATATACTGCATGGAACCAGGGATGAAGGTGTCACAAAAGATGCCTGGACATAGTAATCAAAGAACACTGATCATGTTTATTCTAATACGAAAGGCATGCGGCGTAGCTACGTGGGTACGGGGTTACAATATATACCCCCCCCCCCCAACACACACACACACACACACACACACACACACACACACACGGGCGCAGTGGCGTACGCAGGATTTTTTCAAGGGGGGGGGGGTTAAATTTGAAAATCGCGCCGACTGATATTTCGCTCAGTCAGCCGGTAAATAAGCGGGGGGGGGGGGGGGGGTGTAAGAGGTTTTTTTTTTAAAATATTTTTTTAAACAAAAAAAATGGGGAGGGGGTTAACCCCCAAAACCACCCCCGGCAAAAAAGTGCTATCCAACCCTCCCCCCCCCCCCCACATTGTGATTACATTATCAGGTATGATTTCAATTATTTCTTTCTCTCTTTACAAGGTCTAACAAACTTTGCAGTTTGCATGTATGATGGTCTGAATACACCAGCGACAAATTTTTGTGAAACAGAAATTTGTCGTTGGGAAAAAAATTGTCGCTGAAATCGAAATTTGTCGCTGAAATGCCGAAATGCCGAAATGCCGCTTGTCGCTGCGACAAGTGCTTTGTGAATAAGCAGTTTGGAATCGAGGGGGGCGGTGACATTCCAGGGGGCTCACCTTATGGGCAGGGGCATCGCTAGACCTTTTTCAGTGGGGGGGTGTCGAGGCCAACGATTACCGACAAAACTAGCCACCAATTACCGACAAAATTAAATGTCCAATATCTACAAATTCAACCCTATAAACCTGGGGCCGAAGGCTAAATTGTTTTTCCTATGGACTATATATAGTACTTGCATATGCGCAAAATGGTCATTTTCCTCGACGACATAAATATACGAATTATTTCTTCAATTTAGTCAGCATCATAGCTATATATTTTAATGCAGGCGCGGAGCTAGGATCTTATTTTAGGGAGGGGCGGTAGTGAGCAAGAGAATCACTTAAAAGCACGCTCATTAGGGGGGGTGGGTGATGGGCCTCCCGCGCGAAGCGCGGAAGCTTAGAGGTTTCCTTAAATTATTAGGAAAAAAGACGATTAATTGTACCGTTTTCGACTGGTAATCCTTGGCTGAATGAAGTTCCCCCCACCCTCCCGCGCGAAGCGCGAAAGCTTTGACGTTTCATTAAATTATTATAAAAAAGAAGACGATTTGCTGTATCGTTCTCGACTGTTTATCCTTTTCTGAATTCAGTTCCCCCCCCCCCCTCCCGCGCAAAGCGCGGAAGCTTAGACGTTTCATTAAATTATGAGAAAAAGCAGACGACTCGGTGTACTGTTCTCGACTCTTTATCCTTGTCTGAATTCAGTTTTTCCCCCTCTCGCGCGAAGCGCGGAAGCTTTGACGTTTCATTAAATTATGAGAAAAAGCAGACGATTCGGTGTACTGTTCTCGACTCTTAATCCTTATCTGAATGAAGCTACCCCCTCCTACGTGAAGCGCGGAAGTTTTGACGTTTCATTAAATTATTAGAGAAAGAAGACGATTCGTCGTACCGTTTTCGACTCTTAATAAGCCCTATTCATCTGAATTCAGTTTCCCCCTATCGCGCGAAGCGCGAAAGCTTTGACGTTTCCTCAAATTATTAGAGAAAAACACTATTCGTTGTACCGTTTTCGACTCTAAATAAGCCCTATTAATTTTGTTTGAATTCAGTTTCCCCCTATCGCGCGAAGCGCGGAAGCTTTGACGTTTCCTTCAATTATTAGAGAAAGAAGACGATTCGTCGTACTGTTCTCGACTCGTCTAAATAAAGTTTTCCCCTTCCGCGCAAAGCGCGGAATTTTTGGCGTTTCATCACAATATAGAGAAAGGAAGACGATTTCTCGTACCGTTTTCGAATCTTATTAAGCCCTATTCATCTGAATTCAGTTTCCCCCTCTCGCGCGAAGCGCGAAAGCTTTGACGTTTCCTCAAATTATTAGAGAAAGAACACGATTCGTTGTACCTTTTTCGACTTTTAATAAGCTCTATTTTTCTGAATTCAGTTCTCCACTCTCGCGCGAAGCGCGGAAGCTTTGACGTTTCCTTAAATTATTAGAAGAAGAAGACGATTTGTTGTACCGTTCTCGACTCGTCTAAATGAAGTTTTCCCCTTCCGCGCGAAGCGCGGAATTTTTGGCGTTTCATCACAATATAGAGAAAGGAAGACGATTTCTCGTACCGTTTTCGAATCTTATTAAGCCCTATTCATCTGAATTCATTTTACCCTCTCGCGCGAAGCGCGAAAGCTTTGACGTTTCCTCAAATTATTAGAGAAAGAACACGATTCGTTGTACCTTTTTCGACTTTTAATAAGCTCTATTTTTCTGAATTCAGTTCTCCACTCTTTGACGTTTCCTTAAATTATTAGAGAAAGAAGACGATTCGTTGTACCGTTCTCGACTCGTCTAAATGAAGTTTCCCCTTCCGCGCAAAGCGCGGAATTTTTGGCGTTTCATCACAATATAAAGAAAGGAAGACGATTCGTCGTACCGTTGTTGACTCTTTAACCTTGTTGAAATTTAGTTTCCCCGAAAAAATTTCTTTAGCTGATATTATAGGAAAGTGAAACTTCGAGAAAATACAAGTATTGTAGTTGTAGTCACTCTTAAAGTCGTCACAGTGAATAAGAAGTCACAGTTCGTAGGGAAAAAAACTTGTCGGCCGACCGACAATATACATCTCACCGACTTTAAACTTCTGCATTGATATAGTACACGAGGATCGAGCAAGAATTCCCAGCTGACCCGACACAGCAACATATTTACCCGTGTCTTTCTTGCTCCCTCGACGAGACGACTCCACCCAACAACCCCCTTCTCTCTTTTACTCCCACTTCTCCTCTCTCAGACTCTTACCTCCCATCTCTCTCCTCTCTTTCATCTCCCGTTTCTTTTGTTTCCCTTTCACTCTTATTACTTCTTTTTTCCTTTTTTTTTTTTTTTTTCCTTTCTTTCCTCTCCTCCCTCTTTTTCTCTTTTCTCTTTCTTTCTTTCTCTTTTCTTTTTTTCTTTTCCTTTCTTTCCTTTCTTTTCCTTTTCTTTTTTCTTTTCTCTCCCTTTCCCTCTCCTTTTCCCTCTCTTTTTTTCCCTCTCTTTTTTTCCCTCCCCCTTTTCTCTTTTTCCCGACGGCAGCGCAATTTTACCGACAATATCCTGACAGGTGAGGGGGGGGTGTCGCACCCCCCCACACCCCCCCCCCCCCCTTTGGCGACGCCCCTGCTTATGGGACAGCGGCGTAATGAGCAAAAACGTTTTGGGGAGCGGGGGGGGGGGCAGCTATAAAGACAAATTTGCATCACCACCACTCGTACATGTTACAAGCAAGCGTATCGCTATCATAAAATCCTCCATAGGGGCATGCGGAATGTTTAGGAAATTGAATGCGTCCCCCCCCCCCCCCCCCCCCCCCCCCCACTGTTTCGTTTGGGGGGACTGCCCCCTCTGCCCCCTCCCCCTTTTTTTTTTTTTTTTTTTTTTTACTGCATTACTGCTTATTTTTAGATTATTTCTAGAATAGCGCAGTTAGTGGGGGACTCGCGATCACTATAGGATCGCACATCGGCTATAGTCGGCGAAGAACAAAAATCAATATAGACGTCTAGGGTCCAGAACTAGACTACGCGGACTGTGGTCGGGTAATCGGGTCTGCACCACTGATCTCTACGGAATAGAGATCAGTGGTCTGCACGGGCGACCGGGCGGCCGTGAGCCCTCTGCATGCTCAGCTAGCTAGCTCGACCTGTAATAGTTTGCATGCTGGCCGGTGATATCCTCAGTTGTTGAGGCTAGCGACTGACCGTGTTCAGACGGGTTTCTTCGTTGCCTTGGTATCGGAATACCACCATCGTTTAGAAAGATTGCTACATTTTAACATTACCACTAAATGTCATGGGCATAATCGATGTCATGATGATAATACGGAATAAAAAATAACTTAGATTCTACCTCCAATTTAAAAGTTTGTTGAGCTAAAAAGTGAGAGAGAATGTGCCCGACCTAAAGATCGAGAAGTACCCTCGCATTGGCTTTCCGGCTACGGCCCGCAGAGCCGGGAGAAGGCCTGACATATGGGGGTCGGCTGCTCTTTTAACGCAGGAATTGTGCGGCAGAATTTATTGTCGGATGAGGATCAAGTTCTGCGCTGGAGGGGACATGAATTGTACAGGGGTAAGCTTGTGTCCACGTTTTCTAGATAAAGCAAGTAAAAAATGTTATGATCAAACTAAAGAAGACAAGAATTATGATAAAACATTTTTTTTTTTATATCGAATTTGAAATTGAATGTTCATCCAACTTCCAAATCCAAGACGAAGTCACTTTTTCATATGGAAAATGATTTTGCCTTTTTTAGGCTCTATAGAAAATGATTTTATAAATTTATATGCAAAGATCAACTAAAATATCAGACTTGCTTATTTTAATGGAGAATGGAGATGAATGAATAATTTTTTCTTGTTAATTAACCTCAACATTACAAAATAAAAAATTATTAAAAAAACTAGGGGGTAGGGTCTAGAGATCTTCTCGGGGCGGGGGGGGGGGGGGGGACATTTTCAAAGTTGAATGTGAAGAAGACTTTGATAACGTACACTATGCAGATTGAAGGTAACAGAGACAGGCCCGTCTTCATTTTTTTTGTTAAAGGTAAATTTTTAAAACCTATTTTGGGGGCCATGGGGTGGATCCGCCCCTGACATACCATGCTTATTTTCTTTCTTTTAATTTTTTTCACCAGGTGCTGATTCTTCAAATCCATCTCTTGGTAGCGTCAGTCCAACTCGTCAGCGTCTGACCGATGAAATCCAGGCTCTCTACACTTGTAACCAATTAGAGGTAAGTAAACAGCATGTTGATGAACTCCTCCATTACTAGTTTTATTCTGCCCAAAATAATGCGCAGACTCAGGTGTTTGCTCTACTAATGCAGTTAAACCGACCCTGTGTCTTAAATCATGTTTAACAAAAGTCAAACTTAGACTTCAGAGTTCAGACTAATGTTCTCCATAAAAACCTGACTTTTAACTAAAGCCTATTAAACCAACATTGGATTTACAATTTTAGTAGAATATGGCCTTAAAATTTAAAGATGTACGGTGGAATGAAACTCGCCCATTTATCAGGATAAAATAAAAGCATTTTGCATGTATTTTAAATAAATTTCTCTTTAAAAGGTGCTAACAATAATCCATTTCAACGATGTATACAACATTGAAGCTGGAGATGGGGCGTGTGGAGGAGCAGCTAGGTTTGCTACGGTGGTTAAGGCTTATACAGACCGCAACCCTCTTGTACTCTTCAGTGGGGACTGTCTGAATCCTTCAATCTGTAAGTTATATACTCTCATAATCACATTTTAAGGTCCATTCAGACTTAAGGCAATAAACCGCGTTATAAAATAAAAACACTGCAGCAGAATTAAATGAACGTACATGTAGCTGAGTAGTGCACTTTGAGAACTGTATTTAAATACACACATGTCAGTGTCTTCACATCGGGGCTGTTTGAGCATGAAGTAAGGCATTTTTTTGTCTACCCTCAAAAATACATGTTGCCTCCTGCCAGTCATTTGCTCTCAAAATATTTTTAGGCTTCTTTCTGTTTAGCAGTTAACGGTATCATGTTGTTGTTGGTATTCTTTCATTGGCACATTATTTATGATACAAATAATGCAAGTGTGTGTGAATGTAGTTCGTTGCAATCCAAGGAAGATGAAGAAAGGGTGTGCAATAATGCAATGGTGGTAGAAAATTTTAGAAATGATGAAGATAGATCAAGACTCAAATGGTAATAATGAGGAAACCCTAGTCTAGTTGATATCATTCACAATATGCTGTCTGTCAACATTTTAATTATACGGGCATACATGTATACATGTACAGGTGTATATAGTGAAAATGTTTTTGTTTTTGTTTTGTTGTTTGGTTTAATTGTTTTTACTTGGCAGGTGTTTCTCATGTCTATCTCTCTCTTCTCTCTCTTCCTCTCTCTTCTCTCTCTTCCTCTCTCTCCTCTCTCTTCCTCTCTCTCTCTCTGTATCCAACTCACTAAATATTTAATATCCAACTGATCAAAAGAAAGAAAAAAAATAATCCTTGATGCAAACATTCCTCTAGGGTTTAATATATTCACCCTTTCAAAAGGCGTGGAGACCTGTAAACAAGTGTGGAATTCTACAGTGAAATATGAAGAGAAGAACCAGGTAACGAGACGATGCCTGATTTTTCAGCGTAAAGATTTAATGAAGTCTGGGCTACGTATTTACCGAGCCAATCAATATGTCCCAAGGCTACTTGAGCTGGTGGTGCCTGCTAACCGTGGCTGTGTTTATATTGGTTTTTACAAACTGATTAAGATCGGATTTATAACTAGACTGGATTTGGAAATTGAAAATTGATGGAATTTTGTTGAGAACAGAGCGAGTGTACATCTTCTGTGATAATATTTGACTTACGAACAAAGGATGTTGATAGCAAATATGATCAAAAGTTGACCTAACCTTCAGTTAGCTGGCATGGGAGGCATGAAATAGACACTAACAAGCTATGTTCATACATGTGTGTGATTTGATGGAGACTGTTCAGTGTCCCATGAGAATGAATGAGATGAGAATTTTGCTCTTGATTAGGGATATTTTTATCCACTACAAGTATACAATAATGTATCAAACAATGTAGTTTGTCTCTCAATAATAGTATGATTTTTGTTTCTGTTTTATGGTTCTGCATTCGCCCAAAGGAATTTGTGATATCATTATCAGGAATGATATAAAGTTGCCAAGACAACAAAAATTATGAGGTTTTGAGAATTTTGCCCAATGTGAAACCTGATTGAGACACATTTTAACTACGGTAGATAAAATTATATAAGACAGCCAGTATGAGCCAAACTCGATCGCATCGATTAGTTAATGAGATACTGTGTACGCTGTGCTTACAGTTTATGCCAACTCTGATTGAATGATGTTGTAAGATAAATTGTGTAAACAAAACCTGTATTGTGTATTTTGTACCAAAACTAATAGAATCAGGTTTAAAATTATGTGCAAACACATCCTATGTACCAGTACACTGTGCCAAACCCCATTAAATCAACCTTTAATCATCAGGTTAGAAACTGTCATATAAACACAGCCTATGTGTGCCAAATGACAGCGTCATCCCCCACAGCTCTCAACTTCGTTTGCTCTGCTCTCAGTCAAAACAGTTTACTTTGTATTAAATGTCAAGTCAGTCACTGTATAGCGATGTAAATTGAGATTTAATTGTTAAAAGAGGTACTGATCTCTTGGCAAATGAAATTTGCATATCAAGACAATACATTGACCTTTTCGAAGTACGTGCTGATTTATCTAGTTAATCTAATTTAGTGTTAATAATGTAACGGTGCTGAATTACTGGTTTGGTAGTATTTATTGAGTTTTTAAGGTCATTATTCTGCATTATACCATCATTGCTTGTAATACAGGGCTTATACATGGACAGTCAACCAGGGAGGTGAAAGAAAGGAGGCGAAACTCTTGTAATTTATTCAAACGCATTCGTGAGTTCTAAAGCGTAACAATGGGATGTGTAAGATTCCACTTGGCTTTGAAGTTCCATGCTTCGAACTGCGCTTCCACTGCGGGGACTTTCGGAAGTCAGGCACCAGTTTAAATTTCCGGCAAAATTTCAGTGTAAATTAAAAACTTTATATGGGGATTGAATTGGGAATAGTGCATCAAACAGATTTTCAAATTTACATGTAGTACTCCGTCCTTCCTATAATTTGTGTGCCAGAGTCGGTAAAATAAAAATTACATTAAAGCATGGGGTCAAAGGAGAGTGGCTTGATTCCAGTCCTTCTCTATCACGTCCCTGAGTCAACAAATAAATTATTCATACCCTAATACCAAGATGTGAAAACTTGATTTGTCCCAATTTATCTTTCTTGAGAAGGTGACATATTAAAGCTTACATCTAAAAGTATTCAACAAAGGCCCTAAATTCAACCAGTCCACCTTTCATTCACAAAAAAACAGGAAAAAACAGAAAATTATATGAATCTGTGAGAAGCTTATTGGATGTTATCCTCTATTTTTTTTCATATGTGAAATCATCGTTACTGGAATCAGGATTTGATGACATGATAAAAATGTCTTAATTTCTCGCAAAATTTCTCGCAAAAGTCGTAAAAATATCTTGTTTATGTTTAGAGCCAGAAGTATACAGAATATCTGTTAATGTGTTGTAAACCATATGTTCTTCTAACATGAATTATGTCAAGAACAATTATATCAATATACAGTACTTTATATTTGGTTGCCCATTTCTTGCAATGTGATGATGGCAGATAGAAACCATGTTATTGATGGATGTTGCCTGGGGATCCTTTGTTTGTGTGATGGAAAATATTAACATGTATTGTCCTCGTCTTTTATGTGGGAATTTGTTGAGGCCGTTGTTTTCAATAAACATCCTTGTGCCAAGAGTGACAGCGCTTTGAGAGGACCTGAGGTCCTGAAAAGCGCTATGTAAGAACAAACTATTATTATTATGTAGTTTGTAGTCCACTGCCTGGACTGTTTCCATGTTGCGCGCCCAATCAGCTGAGAAAATAACACACCCTCAACGCTGAGCTAAAGACAGTCCTTGCCTCTCATTCTCACCCACGCGAACAGCGGGTGTATTGGGGGGGGGGGTTGTGCGATGTGTGTGGGATGCGTGTAAGGGAGGAGGCGATAGATGATTGAAGAATTAAAAAAACCATAAAAACACAGACAGCATCTGGACTAGTACCGGTAGATTGTTGATGGAATGGGTTGTCTATCTCATCAATAGTACTACAATGTACTTTTATGACAGAGAAAGCACCACTGTAATAAAAGTGATGAATGTATGCACAGTATTCATGAATAATTAATGCTACACTCTTGATTCTGCATCTGTTTGAAGATTTGTTTACAACTTCCTCAATGTGGGTGTTATATTGTACTGTTTTCTATGCTTCTTGCCTCTATCCAGACAGTGCATCAATTGAAGCTAACGTCAGAAGACTACCGATACTCCATCCAATTCATAATAAACCTTTTATTGAATTGAATTAATTAAGTGGTCATTTGGTGTTTGTTTCAAATAACTGACTAATTGATATGACGGCTATTTCAGATTGTCTAGTATATGTATCATTACAAAACAAAACATAATTTCAAGTAACGTGGTATCGTAAGTGCCCAAGATTTACCAAAAATACAAATACACATGTACATGAATGTCCAAGGCTGCTATCCATTATTTCATGAAGCTTGGATGTCATTTGTACTACAGTATGATAAATTTAGCTCCTGAGACGCAATTTTTCCATGTCTGTCATCAGTTTTTCTAATTCACTGCTGAAAATTAGCTGGAAGTTGAATCAAGCCAATCAAAAATGAAATTTAATAGAAATAAATCAATAATACATTAACCTCCTTTTGCCGAGCCTTTCATGTAAAATCAAAGCATAGACTCTCTGGCCTTGCATACTGGCAAAATGAGGTTAATAGCTAACTGTAAATTCATCAGACTAAACCATCTATTGTGAATTAATGCTGATTTTTATTCATTTATTTATAGTGAGCACTTTTACCAAAGGGGAGCACATGGTACCCATCCTGAATGCCTTGAGAGTCAATACAGCTGTCTATGGCAATCATGATTTTGGTGAGTTAATGAAATATGTTGTCATGGTAATGAATCACCAATCATAGAGAGTAATGTTTTACATTTGAATACTGGGCTCATATTGGTGACTTTCTATTTTTATGATCAATTTTCATCCATCAACTATCACCAATCTGTGAATGATATTTCCATTTATTTTCAGACTTTGGTGTTGACAATCTAGAGGATATTGTCAAAGAAACTCAGTTTCCATGGTTACTAAGCAATGTCATTGACGATTTTACTGATCAGATGTTGGCTGATGGTATCGTGACAAGGCTCATCACATGGCAAAATAAGAAGGTTAGCCAGCCTTTCATTTTGGTGTTCTTGTTTTGTTTTGTTTTTTGCTTTCATGATTGATGTTCGGGGGCAGATCCAGGATTTTCCCATGGAGAGGGGGTAGGGTCGAAGTCTTGAAATATCTGACGAGCAAGGAAAATTTAATGATCATTGCATTTTCGGATTCCGTTTTTTGATCCACAAGGGGCCACAGGCTTGTTGTATGCCCTTGTGCCTAATCAAATCGATGTACAATTCAAATTTATGTTTCTAACCAATAACAGAGTGGAATCTGAGATAAAACCATTGATCTTAAAATTTTATGATAAACAAATTTTTCTGTAAAAATGGGCTATTGCAATAATAATAATAATAATAATCAAATCTCTGAACTATTACATAGAAAGTCAAATTCTTTGTTTTGTAGATATATGAAGTGTCTTCAAAGATTCATGTGAAGGAGATGGTTGGTTACTGTAGAGGTACCTGAGCCAGTTTAGTTGAATAAAGCTCGTCTTTTACACACCCACATGGTTTTCTCTCATATCTAGATTGGTCTTATAGGCCTTGTGGAGGAGGAGTGGCTTGTTACCTTGGCAACTGTAGACAGAGAAAATGTCACCTATCTGGATTATGTAGAGAGAGGGCAGAAGCTTGCTACAGAACTGAAAGAGCAGGTGAGAAAATGTTTGGGATGTCCCTTTAAGTTGTTAGACAAGACGTGACGGATGTTGTCATGCTTCTCTCTCTCTCTCTCTCTCTCTCTCTCTCTCTCTTTCTCTCTCGTCTCTTTCTCTCTCTGTATCTTCCCCTTTCTGTATCTTCCCTTGCCACACCTACATGTACATCATCTGTTGAGATCGAGCTAGGGCCCGTATTCAATTCAAAACTTGAGTACAAAATTTAAGCTTTTTACTTAGTATTTGGCTTAGATAAAATACTTAGCCAATTCTGGTATTTAATTCAAACTTTTGGCTAAGTATTTTACACTAAATTTAAGTCGACTCCCTACCAGTCTTAAGCCAATTATTTTGAGGCCTTGATTGGCAGGCATATGGTTTTATTATGCAGTATTATAACCTGCGCACAATTATATCAGCGCGCATTTATTGCAACGCATCAACATTACTTTTGATTGACCGTGTGATGTCACAATGCTTATCAGTAAGTATTTTACTTAGATTTTGTCTTACATAAGTATAAGTCTAAAATGCGATTTGAATATGAGATAAGTAAATTACCTTAAGGTAATACAAAGTTTTGGTATGAGGTCATGAATTTGGTTCAAATTAATGAACATATTGGAAGCATATCCGACCCTACAATATTCAGTGATCGTTGTCGCGGTTGAAATCGATTCTAAAGTTATGAAATTATAAATAATAAACTCTTTATGTTGTATAGCTCCCTCTCAAGGTCAAGATATTAATTAAGCTATAAAACAATGTTTCTTGACTAAAATCAATCGATTAGCTATTCCGGTTTGGAAATTATACATCACAACTACATATTCTGAAATTTTCATGGTCGCAGCTACCATTGTACGGCCGTACAGCGCTATTTGAAATTTATCAGAATTTACCAGGAGCACCGGTAAATTGTTGTATTAAATTTTTCTCAAAAGCAGAAGTGTTTTAGGGGCTAAATTTTCTAGTGCTTATATCGCATCCACAGGGGCATCCAAATATATCAAAATTGAAAAGAATCACCATTATCCAATTTTCAAAAATTTAACTTAGCCATTTAATTAGTGAATGTTTTACTTGTGCTAAGTATTGAATTGAATACCAGCCCTGGACATCAACTCTATGCTCAAGTATGTGAATTAACGCCCTTTTGGCTCCAAACAGGCGATGTCTCTTTTTGAACCCACCCTCCCAACATTTACTTTCTCTCTCTCTCTCTCTCTCTCTGTGCATAAACCAGGGTGCTGACTTTGTCATAGCTCTGACACACATGCGATTACCCAATGACATCAGATTGGCATCAGAAACTACAGCTATTGATCTCATTCTTGCCGGCCATGATCATGATTACAGCGTCAATCAGGTATGTCATGCTATTCAAATATTAAATTCTATACGGGAGAAATAAGTCCTCTGTATGGACATGGAGACACTATACTATCAAAAATTTCCTAAATCTACTTCACAAGTTTTGCGGGTGTGGCCACAATCCCATTGACACAACATCCATGCAAAACTACCAAATGTAATAAATGTATTTTAAATGTTCTTTACATGGTCTTTGCCTCTAGTAGTTCTGCCAGTATGAGCCAGGCTTGATAATTACCAGATTTCTTTTTTCTTTCTGATTTTACCCCTATTTTCCCAATTTTTCCAATTTTTACCTTATTTTCCCCCAATTTTCCCCCAATTTTCTTACTCAAAAGGGGGCTATGTTGTTAGATGCCAATTTTTTTTCCCCAAATCTTTTTTTTTTTTTTTTTTTACTGAAAAAAGGGGGGGGGGGGGGGGGGGGTGAGCGATTTTTTTTTTTTTTTTTTTCTTTTTTAAATTAAAAAAAAGGAAATTAGTGCTCATTATCACCCCTGATGAGCAGCATATTTTGCCTTCTTCATGTTTGTTGAACCTTTGGACATTTTTTGATCATTGAGACCACTTGTACAGCATTTTAAATTATTTGCAAGTGTTTTTGTTGGCCATGCATTTAAAATTTAACAAATATTGACATAGTAATCGTTCTCTAGCTATGTCCGCAAATGGAGGAAAGTTCCTGGAATATTAATGGGGCTGCATCATATTCACGATCCATTAGATTTCCAAGTGATATCTGTCATACATTTCCACACAACTTTCCATTCAGATATCACTCTACGTGTGTCTTTGCATTCTTCTGTAGGTTAATGGAACATACATAGTGAAGAGTGGATCAGACTTCAAGAGTTTGTCCATCATCACTCTGCGGTTCACACCACATGACATCAATATCAACATCAAGGAGGTGGTCATCGACCAGGAAGTGACAGAGGATGAGGAGATGAAAATGATTGTGGACCGATATGGAGGTAACATTACCTCTCATACAGTGTATATCGAACAAATCATCCTATTTTACTAGTTTAACCATACTCATATGAATTTTATCAAGGCATATGGTTGTTAATTTTTTTTGTATCTGCCAAACCATCAAAAATGTCTGTTTAACTTTATAATTAAGAGGAGCTATTTTGCCTACTTGTAGTTTTGTGTGTAAAAGATTTGTGTTACCAAAGTGTCATAATGTGATTCCCAGTTATAAATGATAAGTGACAACTTATAAAGTTAACTCTTTATTTCTCTTGCTAAACATATTGTCTCAAAGTTGATTTTATTGCTTCTATACTCAACCCTACTACAAATGAAGGTATAGTTCCCGTAATTACACTGTTGAAAAAGAATTATGGATTAGTAGTCATTGTATTTCATTTTCTAAATATCTACACTTTTGCCATGATAAATGAATAGTTAGAAAACCTGATAACAAGTGAAACAGATTCTATCATTATTTCTGTTAACTTTCGAAATCATTTTTTATGCTGTTTTTTATTTTTTTTTAAAGATGTGATGAAGAGGGAGATGGAAGGAAAGCTAGGAGTGGTCGAGGTTGATTTGGATGCTAGGTTTGCTTCCATCAGGACCCAGGAGACTAATCTAGGTAAGAATTTGGGTCGTATATATGAACCTCAGCAGAATGCCATGTAAGAACTAAGTAGCAAATGAAATTATACATATTGGTGTGAAGGAGTGAGAAAGAAGTTAAATCTTTTGGCATTCTCAAACCTCCTTGGTAATAGATACATTTATAGTTCAATACAAATGCCAGAAATGCATTAAGTTGTACCGGTAGTCAAAATATTTCCTTGTCAAGTTAAGGTTGGAATAGAGCATTGGTAAACTCAGATCGTGATGTCTATCATAATACTAATATTTGATTAAAACTACTTGGACGATATTTGTAGATCACCATGATTCTGGAATATTTGTAGTGCATAGATAATATAGTATTTATTCTCTTCATATTAAGAATTATTTCTAGTTTTCATTATTGCTCCAGTGTACATATTCATGTAGTATCATCTTAATCATCAATGCAGAAATAGTTTTCATCATCCTTGTTATCATCATCATCATCTTCAATAGATTCAACTTTGTCTTATAACTAGAGACGAAAAATCAAGCGAGAATCATTATTATGTATGACTATATTTTGTCATCACCAAAATGTATCCATGTTTTGCATCATATTCTGTTCTTTGTAATCTTTGTCTGAGCCTTTATTTTACATGTGAGAAAACCAAATATCCATGTTGAATGACATTGGACAAATAAATACATTTACTTGGATTATCTACCTTTAGGTAACCTAGTGACTGACATCATGCTGTCTGTGCTGGAAGCCGATGTAGCTCTTCTCAACTCAGGAACCTTCCGATCTGACAGAATACACCCTGCAGGAGAGTTCAAGAAGCGTGACCTGTTGACCCTTTTACCTCTCATTGATCCACTGATGGTGCTTGAGGTTACAGGTCAGTTTAATAGGGCACCAGACAATAAGAGCAGATTTCCATACTTAAAGGGGAATCCAACCCTTGTAATGATGTCATTTGTATGAAAGCGGAAAAATGGGAAAAACAGAATGGCGACAGTTTGAAATAATCGAATCAATAATAAGAAAGTTATGAGTGTTGGATGCCTCTTTAACTCATACAATATGATTATTTTAAAGTTTGATTTGCATTTTCTATGTAATCAGTTTAATTCCAGCTTATCTCAGGTTTAGTATTCAATGAGTTAAGTGTTCTTGTTTTTATATGTTTATATTTGTAAAGTTGGTTACTTAAGCATTGTGAATACATTTTAAGTTGTCATCTCTCTATTCATTGTGAGTATTTCAGATTAAATACATTTTATTCAAGTTAGTATAGTGATTAAAAATATATTATGCCTTTTTTCAATTAAATTCACATTATTAAAAAAATTCCTGCCAGTTTTACCATTGACTATTCTTGAACTATTTGCCCAATTTCAACTGCCACTTTGTGTTACCAGGTGATGAGTTGTACGAAGCCCTTGAGAATGGTGTTAGTCAGTATCCAAAGAAAGAGGGTCGTTTCCCCCAGGTCTCTGGTATGAGGTATGGCTTCTACCCCTCAGCTCCCTCTGGGCAGAGAGTTGATCCTCTGACTGTGGTGGTGGATGGCCAGTGTATCTTGCCTGATAAGGTGAGAAAAGTACCTTCTGCCTTAATAATAATAATAATAATAAATAAGATTTATAAGGCGCCAAATCCACTTGACAGTCAAATGCTCAAGGCGCAGCTTGTGCAAGAGATGAAATACATACATGATACATTTATACAAAGTGCGATAGGAAAGGTACAGACATGAAAGAATATAGTAATCAATTATAAGCTAAATTAAACAGATATTTCTTATGATCTTTTTTTAACACTTCAGCAGAACTGCTATTCTAAATCTATGAGGGAGAGTATTCCATAATGAAGGCCCAGCATGAGCGAAGGTTTGCTTGCCAGTAAAACATGTTCAGGTTTCAGTAACCCTGTTGACCTGCAGAGCAACTGAAATAAGTGCTTTTTGAATTATCACTATCTGGGGCATTTTCTAATTGGCTCGAACAAACAATGAAAAACAGAGTTTTTCTACTCTTGTTTCATGCCAAATTTCAGTTTAAATGCATAAGATAGGATTTATTCATGTCTTCATCTCTTTATCATAAGAAATCTGTGTTGTAGGCCATGGGGCAAAGGCGTGGACTTAGAAACTTCATTGGCATAGTTATTTTGTTTGAGTAATGTTGTACTGATAAGTATAGGTATACCATGGGACATTTTTAAGGTTGCCCAGACCATTTTATTCTTGTCCAAGATATAAACTGAGTTGACCTCGATGGTCTGAAGTAACCAACTGTAACTGAAATTAGTAGCTTGATAGCTTATGTTTATCAGTAAATCACTCCCCCATCTTTACATACCTACCTATTTTCCTTTAGAAATACCGGTTATGCACCAAGGAGTACATTGCCAATGGTAAAGACGGTTACAAGGTTTTCTGCAGTTGTCCTGTCCTTGTTGATGCTGAAGAAGGACCTGTCCTGACAACGGTCGTTCTGAATCACTTCCACTCAGCTGGGATAGTCCAAGGTCTGAAGCCATGCAGGTCCAGACATCGACAGAGTCTGGTCAGCCTCAGTAGGTTAGTCTTTGGATTAATAATAAAAATAATAATAACAACAATTATAATGCGCACATATCCACCCAAGAGATGCTCAAGGCGCCTAACAAGGTAAATACATTAAATATAAGAAAGTACATGAAAAGTTACAGAGAACAAAAATAATTTAACATAATTAAATATAATTAAACAACGTTAATATACATCAGATTGTGAAATACACTACGTCTTAACTAAGGAATTATTAACCCTTAAGGAATCACTTTGAGTTTGCTTTAGTAGTTCAGGAAGATAAATTTTGCCAATGTAGGTTTTGACAGTCTTGTCAGCCTCACTGTATTTCATTTCTACTTTCCTTGGACAGTCCTGGGTCTGGAGCCAGGCAGTTCTGGCCATCGGCAAAATTCCAGTCACCCTTAGGTTTGTGCTTAACTCATTATGGAAAAGTTAAAGAATGGCTTCCGTTCTATTGGTATAGTTCAGGGTCTGAGGCCATGCAGGTTTGGATATAAACAGAGCCTAAGCAGCCTCGAGGCCCGAAGAATTTTAGTGTGATAGTTGAGGGTATGAAACCTTGTCGTTCAGGACTTTGTCGAAGCTTTAAGAACCACTGCTGGAGAAAAGTTTATAGTCTGGACCTTTCTTGTAGATATAGACAAGAATCCTTGTGACCTTAAAAGGTCAGTGCTTCAATCAGGCTTAACTAATCTTTGGAGTCTTGAGAAATAGCTTACGGTGTGAAGCCATGCAGGTGTGGCCAAGGAAAGAGCCTTGTCAGCCTGAAGTTCGAACCAAAGAAATTATGTGAAAGCATGCCTCATATCGCGCCATTATGATAGATAATAAAGGCATCCATGTTTATAAGTTATTACTATCTCACAATGCAATACTCCTTAGGTTCAACCTGTTACTAGATGTACACATGTCACTGGATGGGGATGGATATGTGGTACAGAGAAGTTCCTTGAATAAATCTCACACTGTAATAGCAGTATAGACTGAACCAAGGGTAATGATAAGGTGCCTCTGAATAGATTTTCTAGGTCAGTGCCAGCTTCTCTCTGTTTCAGCATCCCATGAAATTAGAAAACCATTAAATCAACTGCTTTATTGACAGTAGGCCCAGCCTTGTGAAGTCAGCCAGCTTGGGTCAGGTGGAGCAGGCCAGAGCTCGCATCGCCCCCAGGCTGGAGGGGAGGATCACCCAGATGGATGAGGTGGGAGACTGGAAGGAGATCCTAGCAGGACACAGGAATCTCTTCCTCACTGGTTCCAGTGAAGAGGTGCAGGCAGAGTGGGAGAGACTGTGCAGGGTCGAAGAAGAGAGCAATAATGCAGAAGTCATGCGCAATGGTATGAAATGGTATTCTGATGATTACTTTTGAACTTGGTTATACCTCAGTAATACCGCCAACCCGATTCCAAACCGACTTCATCCCGGCCGATTCTTGGCCATTAAGGGCAATGTAATTGATTGTTTGGTCTGGTGTTGGTCTAGTTGGCGTGTCTTAGGTGATTAAGAAAATCACCCTAAAGTCTTGTTCAGAATATTATGATGGCGCAGTAAACTGCCGGAAAAAAGTTGCCACATTTTTAAAATGTGTAAATGAATTGCAACTGCACAACAAAGGACTTAGATGCTGCTTATAATATCGGCTAGCATGGTGATGTAGATATACAGTAGGCTTACGGTTGCACCATATGAGAGAGAGGGGGAGGATTGGGGGGTCCTGAAAAGGGCTGTCAGTAATCTTTCTTGTGCATATTTACTGAGCTCTGTGCAATAAATGTGAAGCTTATTACACTTTAGGTTATCATAAAAAACTGCCATGATTTTGCCACGTCATTTATCTGCACTAGCCATAGGAAGTCTTCTTTTGCTTTTTTTTTTGGTGTACAGTGATTTCTCACAACTCTGAACATCCAGCCTTATATCCTCGAGTGATCATCACGGATGCATCGGCTGGAGAGGTGGACGATGAGACCATCAGCAAGGGAAGCACTGCCTCGGCCTCTATGCTCTCCTTCAGCGCTGAGGAGGAGGAGGGGGCGTGGAGACCCTGCACAGCGCCGTCAGAATGGATGATGTGGACACAGTGAGTATTAGGGACTTTTAGATCTGCACGTCGACCTAGTGAACTGCTACGTGGGGCGTCTTTTTAAGGCATTGTGACATCCTTTTAAGGCATTGCCAGTGCCTTAAAAGGACGTCACACGTAGCACTCCACTATGTTGATGTGCAAATCTAAAAGTCCCTAATGACAGAGATTTATGAACTTTACTTGTGCTTATTCATATTATACAGATATTGACTGGAAGGTTGTCAGAGAGCAAACACAAGATTATATCATAAAAAATTGTCACTGAAATACCATTAATATGTATGTGTATGTAAGAACAGCATCCCAAAGTTTTTACATTAAATGAGATACAAAGACTATGAAAGTTTTTTTTAAATGTTAATCTAGCACTGAGCTATGAAATGAAATATGAGATCAAAGTGCAAGTTTTGCAAGTATAAGCTGATGCTGATAAGCATTTATCGTAAACAAGATGTCCATTTCCAGTGATACTGATGAAAGGCAATATTACATCTATTGAGATGTAAAATATTGCTTTAGATTTAAAATATCTTTGCTATAGAAGTCTGTAGTCTACCTTTTCATCAATCCATCATATTTAGACTTGGTAAAAAATAGTGCATTGAATGATATACTATAGGATACTTTTTGATTTGGATTGGAATTAAATATCGTCTTTTGTACTTTTATTCTTTCTTTTTTTTACAAAACAAGGTAACAAAGCTCCTGGAGATGCAAGATAGATCCTATTCATTCTCCGTCCAAGATGCTACCCTCCTTCACTTAGCTGTCAAGCACAATTCACTACAAACTGTCCGATATCTGCTCTATCATGCTAATGTAGATCCGAACATTCAACATGACAAAAGCAAGGTGAGGGTTACATTTCTTGACATTTTTTCAATCTTTTAAACTTTTAAATACGCATAGTATTGGGCTCTCATGGGGAATTCAAAACCATTCGGTTGTTATCAGGTGTTCTCATTCACCAAGATTAGCCTTCAGTTTATGACCAACAGGCCTTGTTTATGCCCTGCACTTCCAATCAATCGCATGGAAACTGACGACCATCTCCCTTTTAATAAAAACATGACTTTAAGGTTGTAATTTAAGGACTCCTTCTTCAGCTAGGTCAAAGATATTGTGCCGATATAAGATGTAGTGAAAACAGTGATCCTGCATTTGCTCTAAGTTATGTTTTGATTGAGACATAGAGTTCCTCATGATTGTGATTGGGTAGTAGGTCAGGTTAGTAATACAATTGATGTGTCAGAATTGACTTCAGAGTTTATTTCATATAATCCTTGATGTTCATGTTGTGCCCACTTTGTCTTCCATTATTGCATTGAGTAGCTACAATCATATGTCAAAGAAATTTTCCATTCCGTGTCCCTTCCCAAATCGATCAAAATTTTCAGCCAATCAAAACCTCTTCCCTTTCTTATTTTATGTATCTAAGGATATTCAAGAAGTATTTATTTATGTTATGTCTAATGATCTTTCCTATATGTACACTCTATTTTGCAGAGAAGTGCCCTAATGGAAGCTGTCTGTGGGCGCAGCACCATCATTGTCAAGCTGCTTCTGGATGCAGGGGCAGATGTAACCTTAGAGGATGAAACTGGACGGTCGGCCTTGGACATGGCCAGAGAGATGGACGATGGACAGGCAATGAGGAAGTTGATTGAAGAGTACCTGGAGTCTAAGGAAAGACCAGATGGAGATGGGGAAGCACGCATTTGAAAAAACAAAAGGAAAAACTGGGTGTTCAGTGTTGGACGTAGCCAGAGAAGTGGATGATGATGTCCAGCATAAACCAAAAACAGTCAGCCTTGGACATTCCAGAGGGGTGGAAGATGGATAGATTACGAGCAAGTCGATTGAAGAAATGTAGCTGTCTGTTAGAAAAGGCAATGTAGAGATGGAAAGGCTTGTGTTGAAAAAAGAAAAAGGGAAGAAAAAAAGCTGGATACACAGGCTATGGGTAAGGCCATCACAAAAATTTAGCATTCTAGAGAAATGGAAGGAGATGGGGAAATTCTCCAACAATGAGGAAAATCATACTTTCAGCCTTTGACATGGCCAGAGAGGTTGGTGATGGACTGACGATGATGAAGTTTATTGATTGAAGAGCTCCTGGAGTCTATGGAAAGACCAGATGGAGATGGGGAGGCTCACTTCTAAAAGAAATTTTAAAAAAGAGGGAAACTGGGTGCCCAGTGTTGGGCATAGCCAGATAAATAAAGGATGTCCGTCAGCTTTTGACATTTCCAGAGAAGTGGATAATGGATAGGGTATGAGCAAGTTCATTGAAGAATTCCAGTAGTTGAGAGAAAGGGATAAAGACTAGGAATCACTCATTTAAAAAGGGAATCAGAAGGGTCATCCCCATATATGGCCACTATACATGTTGATTGAGGAATTCTAGCAGCCTAGGGAAGTCCGGGTAGAGATGACGAGGATCTTGCCCCACAGAATAAGCTGGATGCCAGGAATCATCCTGTTTCTAAATGTTATAAACGAGTAAAGAGCTATGAGCTAGGTGATGGACAAATTCCAGCATTCAAAGAAAAATAGCAAGATGAAGATGGGGAGGCTCATCTCTGTAGGAGTGTCGTGGCTGAGTAGTTTAAGGCCCTTGACTGCTGATGTGAAGGTCGAGGGTTCGAATCCCGACACGGCACTAATATCATTTGGCAAGATATTGGCCTCCACTTGCTACTCTCCACCCAGGTTTAAATCTGTACCTGGTAAGATGCGACCGTCATTGTTGGTCAAACAGTTTTTGAACGTCAAGTAATGCCTGGCTGGAATATTGAATCCAATGATCAGGGTAATAGTATATCTGTTAAATGCTTAGAGACATTGTAGATGTATTGAGCGCTATATAGAAGCGGAATATTATTATCATCTCTGAAAAGGAAAAACTGCCTGATGAAATAATGAAGAGAGAAATCATGGAAATCCAATGTTTGCAGAAAGGTAAATGTGACTACCAAACTACTATTCCACAAGTCTGCATGCATATAAATGGACATAGGGCATGTGATATGTGAAGGCTTTAATTATAATGACCAGGGTAATCTACTGAGTTGGACCACAAAACGAAGATACTTTGGGAGTTGCAGTGACTTATAGAATTTGCTGTCTGTATATATGTTATTATCTTTTAATGTGTATTTTGTGCAATAGGCATCTTGTGTTCTAAGAACATCATCATGAAATATTGGTTTCAATACAGTGTGTTGAAAAATTGCAAAAGCATGGTTTTGGTATATTGCGAGCCTTTCAGTGGAACAAAAGCCAGAATGGCTCTGAATTGAGCGTACCAGTCTGAATTCACTACAATTCGCAGCCAATAAGACTGTGTTCTCCATCTGGAAGGCTCACAATATCCAGCAGTTTTCTATTCTTAACTTTTTAAAATATCCTGATCTTAATCAGGATTAATTTTCTGTTTACTTCTTCATATCTAATTTTATTTATTTTATTGCTATTTGATAGTCTGAAGTCACTACAATTTACAGCCAATCAAACTCTGTTTTCCATCTGGAAGGCTCACAATTTCCATCTGGAAGGCTCACAATTTCCATCTGGAAGGCTCACAATTTCCATCAATTATCGTAGTTATTTTCCTGTGCGAATAATTGTGATATGAATCAGGATTGATTTTAAGTTAACTGTCTTCATGTCTAATTCTATTTTATATTTGATTGCTATTTTTTTCATGAACTTGGTTTGTAGTAGGACGATAAGATGAGACATGGGCATTTGTTATCTCTCAGGTGTTGTGACCGTATTCATTGGCTTCAGTTTTTATTTCCGCAATGGCACCAAGGTCCATCGGCAAAACAGTAATATCAACTTTCAAAATTCAAATGTTGTATATGTTCCTCCATCATCATTAGTGACAACAAAAAAGCAATATATAAAATCTAAAGTGACTTTTGTTGTCATTATAAACTCTCATCCTCTGTGATAAGGTGCAGAATGTTGGATTGAGGGGATTTAGGTCTGGTGATGTGGATTCAGTCAGATTATACCTGTATGTAAGACAAAGTACATTTACATTAAAGTTTATTCTGGTTCTAGTAATGTAACCATGTCATTTGTGCAGAGCCTCTATACAAAACAGTGTCAAATATGCCACTGACAGAACAACCCTACGTAAATAACTCTTAAAAAAATATAGTAATCAAGTATTTTGAGAATTAGATGGGTTTTCAAGTCAAGCTCTTGTCAAAGTGAAATATTTTGCTGTATGATATGGTAAACTTATGTTTGGATATAAAGATGTGCTGATTGTGATATTTTAGGTCATGTAATCTTTTGAAGAAAAAAAGAAAACGTTGAAGCAAAAGAGGAAAAAGGGGAAATGAAAAACAAGGAGAGACTATGCGAAGTGGGATATCATACATATGAGGAAGGGAGAGGATATTTGAGCAAGAAATAATGATGATGATTTATACAAATGTGCTCTACTACTGTGTGCTTCAAATTTCCTATGCATTATATTTGCCAACTGTTTCTATGCATTTATATTTATACCGTTATGAAATATAGTAACTCTTTCAAACCTTGAATTTATTATATTTGATTCCATCCGTTGTACTCCATAAGTGTTTTATCCTGTTCAGATTGTATATTATTATGTAAGAATGTACAAATGTCATAGTCAAACCTGTCTATTGAGGCCACCCGAGGGAAACACAAGAAATGGCCACTGTAGACAGGCAACCTTTTCAGACAGGTTCTCCAACATACATATCATTCTAGAGGGAGGCAATATAGGCCACAACTACAGGCAGATGGCCTTTATAGAGAGGTGGCCACTACAACAGGTTTGACTGTATACAAATAGTATGATATATCATATGATATGATGTAATCATTCGGTATTTGTATACATTGTATGAATGTTTGATAATTATTTTTTGTGAAAGAAGTCCAATTGCAAAGTAAAGATTCATGGTTGTGACTTTAAACTGTAAGCCCCCTAGTTGTGCTTATACATGCCCTTGATGTGTTGTTAGTCCAGGCATTAGTCGAGCAATAGAATAAAATCATTTCCTATTTTACTATCAGATGTCAAAAAATTGAAAGAAGGAACGTTTATTTTGTGTGGTGTGAAGAAATATGTTCACACGGATTGCCTTCAATTTCTTATCCGACTGTCATAACATGCTGAAACTTGATCGGAATGCAGAAGAATAATTGCCTTTTCAACTCCTAGTTTGACCCCTTTATTGCTTTTGGAAGAGATCCTTCACACTTCTTTTCCAGACTAGTCGTGTGATTTTGGCTATGATCACACTCAATCGTGTGCATAATCTTTTAAATCTATTCCTTGTATCTTTTCAGTTTTACATTCAAAATGCACAAAAGGACTTTGTGACTTTTAAGATACAAAACAAACAGTCTGTATGCAAGCCATTCTCTAATTTATATTCAGTGCCATTTGAGTTATCGTAGTCATTGATATGCTATCTCAGATATTTAAGCTATAGCAATACAGCAAGTAGCAGCATTTCAAATATCTATGCATAAATTCTCCTGCTATTTTGTAACAAATACCAGTGTCTTGCCAGTACATTATCAAAATGATTATGTTATATGTAGTGTTGATGAGGGTTGTACAAGTGGAATGATATTATGTGTTTACATAGAACTGTCTTCTTTATCAAATAAATTTATTGAAGAAATATTAGAAAGATATGATTGTTTCAGTGTGCAATTTAGTGTCTCTGTATGTGTATCTAAATAATGTATCAACTTGGTGACACAACCTACATTTAAAAATACTCACAAATTCATCAAGTTTATTAAATAGACTTTATTAAAAATAAATTATACATTTATGAAGCTTCTTTGTTTTTTATACAACTATATAAAAACATGTTTATATACATGTCTTACTTTTACTTTTACTTTTAAAACATTTCCCTTATATCCTCGCTGATCCTTTAGTACACAACAAAACAATGAAATTGTATAAATTGTATAAATCCAAAATTAATTCATAAATAGCAGAATTTACAGTCTGGAAATTCAAATATTCTGCCCTGACAACAAATATTTTCACTTCAGCTTCATGTAATATCAAATTAATTCTTCATATTTTACTTTAGCCTGTACAGTGTACATGTATATACTTCAGTTTCAGTAGAACATCCCTTTTTCCCCAAAGGCCATTTACCAATGGCTGGTTTCTGAACCAATATTCTGAACTGGAAAAGTATATATATATATATAGTTTTCACATACATACTTGGTAAGGGTATGAGTAATTTACTTGTAAACTGTATTATGAACATTGGTAGTTCCATGAGAAGAATATCATTGAGTTATGCTCTTGTAAACAGAGTACATGTAATGAAATGGTACATCCAAATTGCACATGAATTGTGAACATCTAAACAAATAAATCATAACATTTATTTCTGAACAACAAACTAAATAGGCCTAATAAGAGTACAGTGAACCCAGCTTTAGCAACCACCTGAATGAAATGAATCAGGAGCTGAACTTTAAAACAATACAAATCATCCCATAGACAAATACTACAAAAACAAATTATTACCTTCTTTCAGGGTGATACATGTATATGATCTAACTCTCAAGCTCACTTGCTAGTTGTTATAAAACTTCATAATGACAACAAAAATTAATTTCAACCTTTTCAGGATGGGAGTTGCAATTTGCTTGAAAAAAAATCAATATATATAAAGGTGGGCACTCAGAAAATAAATAGCCAGAACTTTACTTCCTGTATTTCATTTCATGAGATAAGACATGTAGAGACTTGTAAATCCAGCTTCATTATACAGGGTGCCTCTACTACAAGTACATTATTTGAACTGAATGCTTCTTTTGGTAACATCACAATAAGACAACCCCATTTTAATATAACTTATTTGGTCGAACAAGTAGCCAAATTATAAATAACTAGTACGTGTAGGTTACATTGAATGTTCCAGTAGACATGGTCATGATTGCAGACGAGAGACAAATCTGCTCTATACTTGAAATTCATTCCTTCTCTTGAACTATATTTACATGTACTCTGCCTTTTTGTTTGCAACCCCTAACAATGAGGCGCAGTTTCGGGACCATCTCTCACTATATGTAAATACGAAATGTAGTAAGCATTATCACTTGTCCCCGACATCTAGAAGCTGTATTGAGCATTGACCTGTGACATTCATGTTGAGTCATGGAGTTCTTAAAAAGCAGATTTGCAAATGAAGTCTTCTGTAAGCTTGCATGTGTACATTTTCCATATCACTGTGTGAATTCTGTCTGTATACAAATACAATTACAAACAGTACATATTTGCTGGCATGAACTAGAGTTCATGCAGCCTTCTTCCTTCTTTTCGTCATCAGTTGCTTTTGCTCCAGCATCAGCGCAATGTCTTTCATTTCATTTTGCATGAACAAGTCAAGGATTCGTTCCAATACTGTCACCGCTTCACTGATTTTACTCCCACCTTGCACCAATGCGGCATAATCTAAAAGAAGTTGGCCCCTGCTCCCATGGAGTGGATAGTCTTCAATCACAGTCCCGATGCAGTGCACAAGTGTCCTCCCAGCATCACTGTCAATGCCATCCTGGGACCAATGATTGTGAAGATTTTCATCTCAGAAATACACATTGTCCGTGCATGATGTCCATCTTGGGGCAGCCTTGCCTCCATCTTACATCCGTCATAAGTCAGCCCTTGCCCCAGTAAGTGGAATATCTTTCAGCTCAGTCCTCATGCACAAGTATTCTCCCAGCACTGTCGTTAACGCTATACAACCAATGTTCGTAAACCACCACGCCAGCGAGCTAGGAATTCTTGAGTTGTACATCCAACAGGCAATGAAATGAAAAAAGTGCACCGTCACTGAGAAGTCTGTACACTGCTTTGTCCTCTGTACAATACACCATAGTCCAGTAGCACTGAGGAAAAAAATAACAAAATCACAATAAAACAAAAATTATAATAATTATTATTATTGAAAAGAATGAAGGGAACAGGGAAATGTATCAATTTTTCTTTTTAAAAAAAAAAAAAAAATTTTTTTTTAAATGATCAGCATCATCATACCCATGACCATTCTATGAGATTGGAGGAGGCATACACATGTTAATATTGGTTTGGAGTTTCATTGATTAAGAAACTCAAATTCTCAACTGAAATTAAATACCGGTACATATCCATCAATCATCATCACCAGAACATCCAGTATTTTGGTAGAAATTACAGAAGACTTTGAAGATTCTTAAATGGCTAAATAAAACCTCTATTGATGTGAAGGCACCATGCAAGAGAACAGGTTTCTCCTACCGGTAATTCAAACAAACTTTCTTTGATATGATTTAAATACAACATTAACCAATATAGAGAATCAAATGTGAACATTACACACACACAAATATTTAATATTCTTGTATAAAAATAAATTAGAATTAACAAAATCTGCAACTCTGGATTTTTTTCTCCAAAGTTCATCAAACACATAGCCATATCCATGAGTACGCCCCTGCTCCCTGAACGTTTGATGCTACTACTTGAAATCAATGACAAGTCATTAACAAGTCTTTAAATGGACAAATTTTGTAGAGTTTACATCTTAAAATGTACTTACCAAGTAAGTGCATTCATGACATAGACTGCAGCGATCATTCTCCCTCCAGAACTGCTGAAGTCAAGACACTGTGGAGGAAAAAAATGGTATTATAAAATCATATTACATTTTTAATTAAAAAATAAAATCAGGGATTTTCTTTGCTTTGATAAACTATAAATGGCATAATACAAAATCAGTATTGACAACACTGATTTCTGAAATGATATATATATATATATGTATTTACTGTATGTAATCTTATTAACTATCTAAAGTGGTTGTATAATTTCATTGTTGGTACAGTTGTATAAAAAGTTAAAAGAATAGAGATAAGATTCAACAGAGTATTGCATGACGGGTTGCAAATATTTCATTATTTGTGCATACTGTTTTTTTTTTTAATATGTAATAGTTTATCGTTGTATATCATTGTATTTTGTATGTTTATCGTTGTATTTTGTTTGTTATGGCTCTTAGAGACTTCGGTGGTAAGCGCTTTATAAGCACTGTTTTTATTATTATTATTAAATGATTTCACATTTTGCAAATTTCAATTCAATTGTACTGTAATTTGAACATTTAACATGTGATAAATTACATCGAGAAACAAAATAAATACATTTAATACATAGCCGTTCAGGTTTATCATTTTTAACTAAGGTATGCCACTTTCATTCCATATCAGCACATTTGATGGAACTGTTAGTAGAGAATAAAATAAAACATGAGATGGAGGAAAAAAAGTACAAACTTTTACAGGGAAAATGACCTACATCGTAACCAAATATCTGGCCTAGCGATCTGGGATGATCCAAAATATAGTCCACAAAAATCAACCAAATACCAAAGCACACATAGAAGACGCTCTGCATGGCAATGATCTGTGAGCAGAGTAGCATAGGATCCCACACGTAGCTCCGGAATGAGGCCCCCATCGTGCTACAATCTGTGATTCAAAAGTAAAAAGATCAAATTATCTATAAATACAAATGCTATGACTAACACATTTTTTTTCAACACAACTTCATTCCTTGTCATTTTGATAATTTGATTACCTGTAAGTGTATTTAGATTAGAATTGGAGGGAAACTTCATATCAGTCAGTTAAAAATCAAGCCTTGTCTCATCTTGAAATTATTCCACAAAGTGCCTATTGCCCAACTTAATTTGGTGGAACATAATATAGTCAGTGGCGATCTGTTCACTCATCAATTTACCTCCAGAATATATAGTCTTAAGATTAGATAAAGGAAATGTCCTTTTAATTATTGAATAAAATGACATTTCAAGATTTTCAGCCTTTGTAAACAAATTATCTCAAGTCTTACTCTCACATACCATTGGCATTATTGGGTATCTTGACGATAAAAAGAGGGAAAAATATTTGTCTGCGCCTAGCCCGAGCTGAAGTTGAGCCTGTTATACGTTAGACCGAATTTTCTGTGTCTTTCCTTCGTTAGCCTCTGATTTGGGTAGGGTCGGCTCCTCTCTGATTTGGGTAGGTCGGCTCTTCTCTTTAGAAGAGCTGACGCTACCCAAATCAGAGGCTAACGAACGAAAGAGACAGAAAATTTGGTCTAGTTATACGTGGGCTGTAAATTAGTTTAGGAATCAAATATAGAGTCTAAGTTAGAACAGACAGATCATAGCATAGAAGCTTTAAATTTAAACTGAAATCTAGATGATGATATATCAATGGTTGTTCCGCCTTTAGAATGTGTAAGGGGAATGTTGACAAATGTCAATAGACCCATAGACGGTCATTTCTGTCTAGTTGAGCATCTGATATTTTCTCTCTCTCACTCTCAGTCTCACTCTCACTCTCACTGTGACTATCACTAGCTCGAGAGAGAAAACATCAGATTATATTCTACATGGCATGACAAAATTACCTGCACTGATACAGTCTTGTGTGAAATATTGCAGTCTCTCTAAATGAATCTCTAATAAAAAAATCACAAAATTACTGTGCTCGACCGGAGCTCTGCCCGCAAGTCTACTCAGTGCTACACGTCATTTGTGCCAGCAGTGCAGTAGCTAAATACAAGTTCGAACGACAACAACGCGAGCCAAGCGCATGTACGGAACGCTACGGCACAGGTTGGGGGAGAATTGACCTACCGGAGAGGTGGAGCGTACGTGCGGTGTAATGTTGCCTACTTTTCACAACTTGATCACTAAAACTCGTGACAATGTGCATGACATGATATAATTATTGCAAATTTCAGTACAAAATTGTCTTCAAAATATGTAAATAAATATTTAAATATTTAAAAATATTTATTTATGAAGATGATTTGTTTTTTGTTATATAATCAGCGTAAAGAAAATATTAGACAGAAAACTTGTCGCTAATTTGACCCTCTACACTGCTCGCATACCCTCTGCAGATCAAGTTCCGGTAGCCGGTATCTCGTTTTCTCTCAGGCTTGAACAGGGTAAGAAAATTATCTACAAATGCCTAGTTAATGCAGTTATGTATAAGATGAGTCATGATGTTGCCTTTGAAGTTAAATTTTAATGTGCCTGTATGGAATTTGTAGGGTTATGACGATTAAAATTGCTTAATAATGAATCCTAATAAAGTTTGTCCATACGTGCATACCAAACATGCAAAAATGAGTACAAGTGCAAGTCGAGTGAGATGAAATTATCGTGAGATCAAGTCTGCTGCAGATGCAGATACTGATACTGTGACTATAAACTGACTAAGCCTAAAATATAATCAAATAAAGTAAAGTATATATGTATCAAAGTATGTGTATATATCTACTGGTGCGTTCAAGCGATTTTTGAAGCTAGAATTACAAACATGAATAGGGTGTCTGATCGCGCACCCGATGTTGTGTGCTAAAATTCTTCCCATAGAGATTACACGCATCCCTATGCAGCCTACGTGCATTGCGCGACCATGCAAAAAAAGTCAATTTTTTTTTTTCAAATCGAGATTCAAACCTTTATCAGTTGTGATCCTGAAGGTGATAATCAATGAATGAGGTGTCATATGAAAGAGCAGGTGAATTCCAATATTTCCAAAGGGGCGTAGCCCCCGAAATTCTAAAAATATCTTGGTCAAAACAGCAATTTAAACATTGTGTCCTGGCTAACTCTGAGGTTTGTCACTTTTGAGATATGACGCCCCGATCGATAAGTAGTCCCAGTCCTAAGGAATAATTCTATGTGATTATATTTTCGCTAGCCCCTAGGGATCACAACTGATAACAGTTTAAAAATACCCTTCTCGCTATTTGGTGGATCAGCTAATTAGGAGGCGTGCGCTCCGCTCAGTCCAAACCATGGTTACATCGCGTAACATCTCCGCGCACGAACGAAACCCCAAATTCAATTACACATTATAGTGACTGAAATTATGGTTGGCAATTCCCTCGATAAACCCGGAAGTGAATACACGTTATAGTCAATGGCAATATCGCGGAGACAACGTGCGTTGTCTCCGCGATATTGCCATTGACTATAACGTGCATTCACTTCCGGGTTTATTGTGCGACGAACGCCAACCATACTAGTCAATCGCACATGTCGCGGAGACAGCGTTAGCTCAAGCTGCAAGTCGCGGATTGGCTTAGCAGCATGCGTACGATATGCATACGCTTGCATATCGCGCGATACAGCTGTTTGGCTAAATTTAGCAAAACAACATCACTCTGCGTGGACGTCTTTTTCGTCGATTTTGACCAAAATGATATGAATATACCAGCGTGTTGGAGGGGCTGTAACTTTTGATAGAAACATCGGTGAGACTTGAAATTTGAAATGTATTATTCTGATAACATTTTTTATTCAAATATCAAACAAAAATGGTGAAAAACGATCCCAAATTGAAAATTGAAAAATCGTTCAGACACCCTAACATGAATCACAAATCAAAATGCTGTTTTGGCGTTACAAAACATGGTTACTGCAGGATCAGGAAAGCGTTCAAGCAACTGTTTCTAGGGTGAAAAAGTGTCGCTTGAACGCACCCTACATGTACAGTATACCAAGACGTTGTGTGTCCAGACAGTTGCTTTAAAACAGTTATTTGAAGAAATTTACATGCAATATTTCAGAAATCTTTAAAGAATAAAGATTTAGGGTACAACTGTATAATGTAAGACAAACTTATAAAGGACAAATCTAAAGCCTAAAGGCCAAACAGATGCACAATCATGAAATGGCCAAATGCCCATTCTAAATTACTAATTTCTATTTCTAATTTCAATGTCAACATTAATAGTCATTAGGCCTAATCATATTTTGACATGTTGAACTTCCTCCTTTGTTTGGTTTTAACTCATAATATTTGGCAGTTAGTCAGATTTGACCATTTCATAGATCTATATGAAATCATAATGTAAATGATTTTTGTTTTTTGTCACATAATTATACTTTTTATTCACTACTTTTTCTTCTTTCTGCAAATGTTACCATTGACCAGTCAATGTTGTTGTGTTTACTGAGCAGTGTAAAGTGTAAACACTGCACTAAACAGGGTTGTAAATTGTAACAATTCCAGACAAGTTTTTAATTTCTTGGATGTGATGGCTGATGCATGTCACTCAGTCACACAGACACTTGACAAGATGAGACAGTTGGTTTTGCTCATATTGATCAAGTAAAAAAAATTAGTGTTAAACCAAGCCTAGGTCACTCCAGTCTCAAGTTCCAAGTTATATTTGTCTATTAAATACAGTAAAGATAAATGTAAAATTCCAGACCTCCATTTGGATGAAACATCTTGTATTCAATCCAGCAAATTTTTCTCCATCTCAAAATTTGATATTGGATTATGAAGGTACCAAAATACAAATTGCAAGCTCACAAATTTGTTGTTGAAATTAAGATTCATCAACCAAGGCATGAAAAGAACTTTGCAAGGTAAAAGAAAAACATTCCTAGCTGACGTGAACATTTCAATTTTGAGCTAACATTTACAGTATTGAAAATAGCTTATGAATTTATAACATTCACATGTACACAAAATTGTTAAACAGACAACAGCAGTAAAGAAACTCATATTTTAGATATGATACAGAATAAATTTCCAGTTGTGTTTTGAACTGGAATGTAACAGTCTGGTGGCATTTTCTCTTGAAATCAATACTTCTAGAATCTAGACCTGAATCTATTTGCTCACATATTACAATTATATATATCTTGAAAATCAGACAGGCGATCAGCTTGTAAAAGTCATGGGATTCCTGACTGATTTAAAGGTTTATGATTATGATTGCAGCATGAATCTGAGGCAAAGACACCCAATCCCTTTAAGACTGGATGTTTAGTTGGGTCCTTGTTCTTCACTACAGTTTTTCTTGCATCAAATAACAAAGTTTCATTTCCTCATTTTCATTTTTCATAGCAGTCAACATGGCATCCTTGATGAGATTGAGTGTGAGGAGGGTCGCCTCCAGTGTCTCCAGGACACCCAAGAGGAACTTCCATGACAAACTCTACGCCGACAGACTGGACTACCCAGCCCCCAACTGCAGATTTGTGCAGGAAGCTGAACTCTCAGCAGAGATGCAGGCACTCAAAGTCAAAGAGAGGGGTGACTGGAAAGCATTGACACAGGCCGATAAGAAAGAACGTAAGTCCAGGATCTCTCACTGTTTTGGGGCTTTCCAGAGCTATCTCTCTATCTATTACTGATGACTGATGTAGAGGTGGGATTGGATCTTGAGTGGTTCAACTGAGATGGGGAGAGGCTTCACCTATTGGGCAGCCAGAAATTGATTCTTCTATGTGAAAAAAATATTTGTCGTAACTTGCAATTATTGTAGGTTGTTAACATGACTTTTGAAGATGGACATATCCACAATAACGGACATAAAATATGACTATAAATTTTGACTATGATTCACCATGAATAATGGTATGGTAATATAGGTTTTTTTAATGTTTTTGTTGTTGACAATTTTCACTCTCCCAGAAAATGTAAGCAATGGTGAATTTCTCTGTGTATAAATTCCTCTAGAATGTTGATAGCAGGAAAACAGTTTTCCACCTCATTACAATTTCATAGAAAACTCATGTACAATTCAGTGTTCAAAATTTGGCTGGAGTTATCTGTACAATCAATATAGAAAAATATAGTCTCAAGTCTCAACTTATTTGGTAACAGATGTACAAAATTTTAATTAATTCATATGTCGTCCCAAAAAATAACTTGAGTTATTCTGAGAGATTAATTATATTCTTGCCCATTAATCTACAAGATTCCTTACCAAAGTTTATGAGAGAGGTACAAATTGTATACGGTAAAGCATGACATGTACATGGCCATTTCCTTGATAACATGAAGTAATATGCGATGTCGTTAATCAAGTAAATCTGTATACAAATTTATGGATGCTTCCTTCCCAGTTGTGTGTGATGATGAAGTATTTCATTCACCTGCTATTATCCTTTCTACTACAATTGCCAAAATGCAAATTTCACAAATACATTGGTGCTCTTCTGGGGTGAAATTTTCACATTTTAAATAAAACAGATTTGTCAACTGCTATATTTTAGTATCTTTAAATACATGAGTTACAGTTGTTCCCCTGTTATATATTTTTCACTGAATATAATTTTTACGATTTCAGCTATTTTTTTCCCTCATTGAAAAGTAAAGGTTTTGTTATTGAGTTAAAAAGTCTTTCTAACTAAAGCTTGGTGCATCCTTGCATGATACATGTACAACTTTGCCTGGTACGTCACATTGTCAAGAAAATGGCTGCGCCCATTTCATGCTAAAAGGCATTACATCATGTCAAGAATACGTTCATTGATATATCTATTGTACATCAAAAAGCAGGAATACATCTCATTTTTCAGAATACCTATAAACTTATTCTTTGCCTGCAAGTTTGACCAATCAGAGGCCTTTTTATGCAGTATATGAATCAGGGATGATATTCTTCCGCCAATTTCGAGATTTCAAGATGGGGGAAAAAACAACCCAAAACTTACATTTTCAGATTATCATTAATTGTACATCTAGCATTGACCTCACTTCCGTAGCAGCATTTTATTCTCATTTAAACAATATTATAGAGTAACAAATATTTCTAATGCTTTCCCCGTAAGGGGGCTCTGTCCCCTAAACCCCTGTCAGGGGTGTTGCCCAGCACTCCTATTTAATCTTCCTCCTTTGGGGGAATTTCTCTGTCTCATCCCTGATGAATATGATATCTATGTACACAAATATATTAAGCACATTGAATATCGCTCATACTCGTGCTCCTTTTTTCTTCATGTTTACTATAGTGTACAGGATGAGCTTCAACAAGACCTATTCAGAAATGAGGGCCCCTACTGGTGAATGGAAATATGTCATTGGTGGAGTGTGTATAGCAATAGCAGTCTCTGGAGTCATCTATGGCTTCCAGAAGGCATACAGTAAGTTTACATTAAATTCCTAGATCCATATTTCACTTTCATTTTCATTTATCTGTCCAAAGTACGTTTTTACATGGATATTTGTTTTGCTCACACATACATGTGAAAACCTAATCATACTTAACAGTTTATACTATGCTGTTCCTCTGGCTTAAATGTCTTTATCCACTGTTTGTTTTTAATTTGTTTACATATCTTTCAGTAACAGAATAAGTTGGGGAAAAAACAAATGATATCTATACTTGAAGGGAACTTATTTTACAAGGCCTTTTGCATTATTTTAGTTTTCCTTTGTCTCATTTTTCGACTGGTTAATTTGGTCTCTTTGATACTGTTTGAAATGATTTTTTTGTTTAACTGCTTATATGTATTATATTTGCATGAATTTGTATAATTTCATGTATTTTTTTTAAATGTATAATATTGTAAAGACCTATTGTTTTTATATGAAGATGGGAATAAATTAACAAATGTTTAATGTAAAAAAAAAAACATATAAGGCTCTAATTTCAAAAACAGAAAAGAGATACAAAACATTGATACATTATATTTAGGATAATTGTCTTGTATGATGCATGCAGAAGAATTTATGGAATTGTGGAAATGAAAATGAATTGAAATGAGGAAATCCATGTGAAAAATTGGACGTTGCAAGACATCACCGTAGCTCTATGTTTAAAAAATAACTCAAAATTATTCGAATGCAATTTTTCTGCATAGTCCGAAGTCTTGCCTTTTAAAAGTTGAATATCAGCTTGTAATTGGGACCAAAATACTTCTTGACTTCAGTAGATCCTAATATCTCACTTAATGCACAAATGTGAATGAAAACAGAAGTCATATTACATCCTTTTTTTAAATGGGAGGCAGAGAGAGCAAAGAAAAGATAGGGGACAGAGGGAAATCCCCCCCCCCCCCCCACATAACAATCAAAACCCTGCACAAACTATAATTCTGTGTTGTTAAGGGATCGTGAAGCAAAAGTTTTTGAAAACAGATTTTATTTATACGAAACCTTCAGACGAAATTCTCAAAAACTTATCCCAAATCTTTTAACACTCTTTCATTTTCTATTCTTCCCTTGTTCAGTCTCGCCACCCCTGCCACACACCATGTCGGACGAGTGGCAAGAAGCCCAGCTCAGGTACCAGATCGCCATCAGGAACGGTCCAGTCACCGGCATAGCCTCCCAGTGGGACTACGAGAAGAACGAATGGAAGAAATAGACCACCAAACCCAAACCATGTCCCTCAAACCTGTATATTTGATATGAGAAATATTCATTAACTTGCTAGATAGGATCTAAATTATCCTCAGGACATGAATCTAAATGCAAATGGGATCGGTGTCGTGCTAGAGTGTTGTGATTTATCTTGATGAATACCGATAATAGGAATATGAACGAGGCTTAAGAAAAATCATAATTCATTTCCCCACCACACATGTATTGTATAGATTATATTATAGAACTGGTAGCTTTTTGAGTTCTTTAACCAAACACTCGGCATTGTCCTAGATACATTCTATAATGGATTCGAAAATCAGCGACTTAAGGATGCAATTAAATGAACGGTTTAAACCTTATGAGGTGTGAAAGTCAAGTCAATGCTATCGACAGTATCCACCAAATTAACTTGATGTGCAAGATATTTACTTGATGTTGAATGCAAGAAATTAACTTATGAATGTGACTTGTAATTATAACTTGCACAGGTGAAAGTGTAAAGAAAAGGAGAATTATATTTCTGTAGTGCTGTGTGTTTTGTGGTTTTTATTGAAGTTGGACTTTTCCCAGACAATTGATTTTGTCCTCTGTGTTTTAGATTGATGTCTTGACAATATCAGATGCAAAATTAAAATGTTTTGAACATTTGATGCCAATTTATGTGTCTTCTGTCTACTTTTCTTGCCTCTGGTGCTCGAGTATTGTTTTATGGTTATGTAAGTAGTCGCAAGTTCTGGAAATAGATAGCATTTTGTCAGAAATTGCCCATAACTACAATGAATTGTTGATTATGTAGTATAAAATAGCAATATATGTTACAAAATTCAAAATAACAAGTTACACATAAGGAACGAACAAGATGATTTGGATTTTCATCTCAGCTGACCGACGTCCTTGTTTTTGTTATTTATGTGTAAAGAATACAGTTTCATTCTGGGGAAAAAATATTTTAAAGATTTCGGGGGCTACTTATTAAAATTAAATTTTTTAATTTGTTTTGCATTGAACTCTATGCAACTTTTGAGGGCTATTTTTTCGCTGGTTTCATTGAAATTTGTCGTTTTGTTCTCAATCATTCAGTAGATATTGGCAGACAACCTGTGATCAAGTCTTTACAAGGAACAGTAACTATTAGTGCTTTTAGTCTCCCTCTCTCTCTCTCTTCTCTCCCTTCCCTCCCTCCCTCCCTCCCTCCCTCTCTCTCTCTCTCTCTCTTCTTTCCCTTCCCTCCCTCCCTTTCTCTCTTTCTTCTTTATTTATAAATCTAGGATAACTTTTCATCTTCAACTCATCTTATGTCCATGAATATTTATAACTTGACTCCTTTGTCATCCATTGCACTGATCTCAATGTTTACCAGGTAATTTACTACATTGCATCAGTGGTGATAGGAGTTGCCAGTAATGTTGTTCTGTCTCTGAGCATACAATTCATTAAACTTCATAAAATCATGGCCACCACAAAATTAGGTTTTCAAAAAAAATTAATCACATCACATGTCAAGTTTATTCTCATATTTAATCAGCAAGTGCACTGCGCTAATATTAGTGATGCATACTGTACAAGAAATATATTGGTTCATCTCTATACATTATGTACAAAATATTTCACTAGGAATTCAATTTCCCAGTTGTATAGACCAACATGGTCAATGAAAATGGATGGAATGAAGAAAGGTAGACATGGATACATTCTGAATAATATCAATATTGTACACTATTTAGCAAAAGATAGATATTCAGTACAAAATAGAGCTATACATTTATTTTAGTTACAAGAATTAATATTTTCTTTAAGATGAGACATAGAATCCTATGAAAGACTGAATTTTCTGGTGCAGGAAGATATTCATTTCATAATTTGGCACAATTTCAAGTTTCTGCCAAAGTATTAACTACATAGTTATTGCTTTACAGATTTTATTTCTTTCTGTTTTAGCTTTTAAAAACAATTCCTTCAAATTAAATCTATTTCTATAGAAAATTAAAATTAAATTAAACTCAACTTTGCTCTGTACTATTATATCAATTCATGTGAAGCAGTCGACTACCAGAATAAATACTGTAATAACATTTCACTACATAGATATCAAAAGGCAATGTTAAACAATTTGGTAGTGTTAAAACTACCCAAATAAAATGACTACCGTACATGTATCACTTTCAAAACTGATAGCTTAAACTATTTGTAATGTTGAGTGAATGTAAATAGAAATAAGTGAAGACCATGCCAAGGTGATTTTACACTTAAAGTAAAAACGTAGGTACTTTATTCCCATGAATACCGGTACACACACAGAATGAATTAGTCTGCAGCAGAGTAAATTGTAATAAAATACATGAACTCTCAAAAATTTCAAATGAAGATGTCTATTTTTATACAAGCAATTACATCACTGGTTGACAAAAAAGATGGACGGAAGAATAGATGGACGGAGGTGTTAAAAAACAGACATTGCCTTTTACCTCATTTCAATAAACAAGTTTTACAAAATCAAATTAGCCTTGAAAGAAACTCAAACATGTTGGAGCCCCTTACATTTTTCAAAAAAAAAATAAAGCCTCAAAACTGGCACCATTGTATATGTAACATATCTTTTCTTCAAGTTCATGAACAAAACTATGAAAAACCCTTTGGATGGCAAATCAAATGCAAATTTTAATCTTGAAAAACAATATGTTTAGTGAAAAATATTGTCCTGTTTCCACAATTTCAAACTGAATTTGTGAATTGTGAGGATTGATTCAATGGGTCATTTATGTTTATTAAAAAGGCAATGAAAATGAACCACAATCAATCATTCATATTTCATGAAAAATACAAATTGAAGTGTTCAGAAACATGTTGGAAGTGTACATATTCAATCCTTTAACGACAAAGCAAGTATTTTCATACTATTACTCATATAAGCCCAAAAGGATATATTTAGATTGATCACAGAATTTGACAAGGGCCTGTAGCTACGAGACAACTGAAACAGCTAGTACAAAACAAAATCTGGATGGGTATGTTGAGATCAAAGACAATTTTTTCTTGCAACATTGACTGGACATCATGGAACTCAATATCCAAGTAATCCTTCAATAAGTTTATAGTATGAAACAAAAGCTAGACAAACATATTGAGATCATCCATCATACTTTTAGGCAGTGGTACAAGTACATCATTGTTGTAGGAGTCGGTGTAATTTGAGCTACCCTTCAAAAATAAAGAGTCACTTCACGATACAAAACAAAGCCTGCACAAAATATTCAGATCAATCAAAACTTTCTATATCAGACTGTGAAATCTGAGTTATCCTTCAACAATACACAGAATAACTTCATACACTATGAACATGACAGACAATGAAAGCGGACAAAATATACAGTTCCTCAGGTAGACAAAGGAACATCCCTTCACTGCTATTATGTAAAAATGTGTGGAACAGGTGTCACATGCATATTCACCTGTTCTACACATTTTTACATAATAGCAGTGAAGGGATGTTCCTTTGTCTACCTGAGGAACTGTATATTTTGTCCGCTTTCTTTGTCTGCCATGTTCATAGTGATAGTACAAACAAAATCTGAAGGAGATTTTAAGATCGATCACAATTTCCTGTCACGTGACCCTGTAGTTACAGTCTGATTTCACAGTTCAGTAATCCTTAGATGACATATCAAGAATGCTCAGAGGACGGAACGAAAGCTGGAAAGATGGGTGGGTCGTTGTGGCCAATTTGACCGTGCAATCATATCGGAAGCCAGTCGTGACGAGGAATGTCCAGCTCAACGTCCATATCGGGGGTACATCTGGAGTAGAGGAGAGAGACGGAGAGATTTAGTTTTATTTCGAGATTTGCGAGAGAATTGATGGGAGAAAATTGATCAGTACTGTATTGCCTGTACAGAGGCAGGAGGGTGTTACCTATGTGTGTAAGTATACCAGTTATCTTTGGGCTCCTAAGAGATGATACTGGTACATGTATTTTTGTTTTTAGATCATTATATTTATGACAAACATCATGTAATGAAATATTATTTTCTTACTAGGCAATCGTCTTTGATATTATAAACAAACAATCCAGAGTGGCAAAACTCATCCCTGTTTTAAAGCAAAGCTTCCAATTGAGCAAGAAGCCTTCTCACTCCACAGCAAAATAAACTTACAAATAGAACAGTTTACAATTTCACTGAAAATGGACGGATGATACTTACTTTTGAACTTCTTTGTAGAGATGAGGGAACATCTGCTTTCTGACATCACTTTTAGGGTCTGTGCTCATTGATTTGACGTCCTCTTTCAGGTGTTGAATGATGGTTTCTAGTGCTTCGTTCTCCTCTATGTGTCCCTCAATTTCCTACAATCACAAGTTTAAAAAAGTCAATAAAAACAAAGGTTGAATTCCATATATACGATATCCCATAGAGTGTTTATTTTACATTTCTACTGCTGAGACATGCAATAGTAAGAAAGCAAGTAAATGCTTGCATGTGTAAGAACAGGGGGCCTATCGTTTTAGATCCTATTCACAGGGACTAGTCTATTGAATTTTTTCAGTACCAGTACCTTAGGGCAGCTGGGCAATAGCCAAGGTAATAATAGTACTTTGAACGCTGATGCTTTGAGCATTCCCTCGCCGGAAAGGATACGTGTGCAATAGAAATGTAGCTATTATTTTCTTATCTTCTTACTTTTTTAATTAACCAGCTTTCCCTCCTCAATTGGCAACAATTAATCTTACTTTCTACTCCTTCATAGTTTGAAGAAAGGAAAAAATGTTTATAAACTGAAGCAATGTGAAAGAAAATTGCAAAATTGAACCAGAAAATTGCCAGTTTGTACACAAAACAGTGATTTTATATTTCAATCTGCATTTCCATTTCAGAGACTTTTAATGATTAGTAGCAATTAAATCACTCTTCTTCCAAAATGGCACAACGTACTGCATTGCAAATAGACACCACATTTTCTGTGAATTTTGCTCTTTCTGATTATGAATAATATGTAATTCCTAGCATTCGTTCTGGATCAAAAGATACCGGTAATGCAAAAATGCCCCTTAATGGAGACACTGTACTGCTATGGGTTAATACAATATTGGCATACCTTCTTCATAGTGATATTATGTATGGCCATATCCTTGACCCCCTCTTGCATGAGATCCTGAGCAAAGTCCGTCGCCTGGGACTGGATCTCCCTCAGTCTATCATCTCTCCTCGTAGTGTACTTGGAAGTCTCCACTTGGATTATCTTATCAAGTTCATCTTGCTCAGCCTATCAACAAAATGAAATCAATAATTGGATTTAATATGACAGTCAACTCTGATTGATTGAAGATCTGGATATGAAGACTACCTGTCTGTAACCATCACACTTGTTGCTTCTCAAAAACAAGAACAGTTTTATTATAACTGAAATGGACACTTGCACATAAAGCCAAATAAAGCACGTCACATGTATCCACATGCTTTGAAACATTTGTACAAGGGAAAAATCCATTGTGCAGTTAACTTTCAATTTCATTAAGTTTACCATAAACTGTTCTCATATTTCAATTTTTAACATTGTCATGGTCACATGTTACACTCGTTGTCTTATGTCACATGGCAAAAAATTGTAGCAAGAGCAGCAATACTGTACGCAGGATTTTTTCAAGGGGGGGGGGTTAATTTTAAAATTCTGCAACGACTCAGCCAGCCGCTGAATAAGCGAGGGAGCACATTTTTTTTCTTCACCCTTTAGCACAACAATAATTTCTTTTTTTAATTAAACACACATTCAAAAAATTGAGGGGGAGGGGGTTAACCCCAAAACCCTCCCCCTCTGCGCGAATGAAGAGCAGTAATTTATGGCAAAAATTCTATTCACTTTTATTTATTCTACTCAATTTGGTTCGTTTTTAATAGGACATGTTAACAAGAAAAATAACCTCTTTTCATGAGCAAGGAAAGTAAGAAACATGTGTACATCCTCCTAAGAATTAAATAGCCATGTGACATGGGAAGGGCAATGCAAAAATGGCACTTTGACATGTACATTCAATTCATTCAATTCAACAGAGCACTTTGCCACAAGGCAGAATAAGTATGTAATACAAAACAGCAATTCAACTGGGGGCACACTAATTACCTGAGCACTCCTAATCCTATGAAATATACACTGCACTGTTTAAACATGGTACTTTAAGCAGAAAAGAGAAGCTGCCATCGAAGGCAAAGATACATAAAGGGAATTTCCAGGTGTCAAACGGCCGAGCATCAGACTCTTCCAGTCCTTACCTTGAATTCTTTGGCAAGATATTTGATCTGTTTATGGAGCTCCCTGATGCGCATAGCTCGGACCGGATACTCCTTGTCCTTGTAACTTGTTAAGGTCGCCAGCTCTTTCTTGGTCTCGTTCAGCAGGCTATCAGCAGCATCTACTTGTTTCTGAAGAACTGTTTAGGAATAGTCAATAAACGATGTATATTTTCAATACTTGCTACTCATTAAAAGAAAGTTATGGAGTAGAAATCATACCTGTGTATGTGAAGTCAATATGTGCCATCTACTGGTTTTAAGCAATATTTTCTTCTTTTCTTTCAGTCTTTTAATTTCAAAACATGTGCTGTGTGTGGTACCTCCCAAAACTTTTAAATGTACTGGGTGAAACACACATAAAAGTTCCTTTAAATTACATGACATTCAAACTACCTACTTCCTTCATCTCACTCTTGGACAGAATGATAGCTCTTAAAGTTTATACAGGTAATTCTAATAAGCAAGCCCTATCCCTTTTTTTGTTCATGACTATAAAGTCTTAGTCTGAATATCAAATGTTTAACGTTTGTCCCTCTTTTGTTCCTCTTCTGATCAAAGTAGGGTAGAGGTTTCATGATCTAGTGAATACGCCACTGGACTAAGAATCACGTGGTTTGCAGTTCAAGTCCTGCTGAGGCTCTAATGTCCTTTGGCTAGATATTTTTTGTTCATGACTATAAAGTCTTGGTCTGAATATCAAATGTTTAACGTTTGTCCCTCTTTTGTTCCTCTTCTGATCAAAGTAGGGTAGAGGTTTCATGATCTAGTGAATACGTCACTGGACTAAGAATCACGTGGTTTGCAGTTCAAGTCCTGCTGAGGCTCTAATGTCCTTTGGCTAGATATTTTTTGTTCATGACTATAAAGTCTTGGTCTGAATTTCAAATGTTTAACGTTTGTCCCTTTTTTGTTCCTCTTCTGATTAAAGTAGGGTAGAGGTTTCATGGTCTAGTGAATACGCCACTGGACTAAGAATCACGTGGTTTGCGGTTCAAGTCCCGCTGAGGCACTGATGTCCTTTGGTTAGATATTAATCTACATTTGCTACTCTCTATCCAGGTGGAGTAAACAGGTACCTAGTAGGAAGAAATTCCTTGAATACTTATCATGGTAGTTTGGCTAAAGCCGGAATAATAACATGATTGCAGGGCCCTCAGGAAGAACAGTACTCATAGAGTGGTGAAGTGTGACGTCATCAAAAATCTATTTTTAGAATTTCTCAATTTTTTCTTCAAAAAAAAAACAAACAAAAAAATGTCCTATGGGAACTCAGTGTTATAGTGCTCTGGTTCATAACATTAGGAACCAGAGCACTAATTAACATTGAGTTCCCATATGACATATATTTATTCAGATGGTCATATCTCAGCAAATACTTAACATGTTCAATTGGTTTTTTTAACATTCGGACATTATTTTTGATGCCCTTTGGGAAAATGAAGAAAAAATTGAGAAATTCTAAAAATAGATTCTTATGATGTCACAGCTTCGGTACTCTATACAGATGAGGCTACCCTGGGTAAAAAATATGTTATTATTATCAGGTCTCCAGGGCCCCACATTTTACCGCTATACTCAAAAGACAGGACTATCTGCTTGTATTTTCAAACATGTATTATCTCAAAGATATTTCTCTCCTACCTAGGACATCTTTTGCTATCTTGTCCTGAGCCTGATTAAGTTCAGCGTTCGCTGACTCCTTCTGAGATTCAAACTTGGTTGACAGAGTTGATACAGCTCCCTGAAAAGATAAAAAGTAATGATAATACTGTACCTAGTGATATCTCTTTTTAAATACCTTATCTTCTGCCATGATCAAAATGTCACCCAGGGCTTTAACAAGGTCCGTGGTTCAAGTCCCGCCGCAGCACTAATGTCCTTTGGCAAGACATTGATCTACATTTGCCACTCTCCACCCAGGTGTTAAATGGGTACCCGGTAGGATGCGAAAGCTAATGTGGATAGATTAGCAAGTGTGCGCTTGTAAAAATGACGCCTGGCTGGAATGCTCCCCAGGGAGTGGAGAATGTGCATTCATTGTGTGCGGGTAAGCCTGAATCCAATGACCGGGGTAATAATATACTTATCTGTAAAGCGCTTTGAGAGGGCTTCCGGTCCTGAAAAGCGCTATATAAGAACGAGCTATTATTATTATTATTAACTATCATAGAGGAAAAATAATTCTGGTTTCCAGGTAAACGATTCATTTCTTTTTTGAAAGCAGATTCTTTTTTTTTGTACATTAGCCAAATTCTGTCTAAGGATATAAATGGCGTATTGTATGTTTGGACTACAAGTACCTAGCTTTTTTTTTCCTCCAACAGAAACAAGTACATGTACATCAATTCATATGTGCAAACTGCTCTCAAGGAAATTGTTTGAGGTCTATATTTGCCAATTGAACGACGAATTAAACTCAACATTTGACTCTAGACAGCTCATTCGTGGGAAATGTGAAAAAACCTCAGCAGCACAATGTGGGCAAATATCATTTGGCTCTATGCAGTGTACATAAAACATAATCTGACATAATATTTGCAGATATAGATTTGACAGAAATGAAATCACCCTTGTCACAAGTAATTACAGTAGTTCCTCTCCTCTTCAAATTGCATAACCTGCATTGTACATACAAGTCGTCTTAGCCATCTCCTTACTCCCTCTTCCAAAGCTAAAATGCTTTGAGGCAGAAATAATATTGACGGCTCATGACTATAAAAAAAGAGACCATTTATACTGGTTGCAGTTACAAATATGACAATGATTTTACAATGGTGCAGAAACTCACCCGATATCTCTCATATTTTTGAAGCAGCGTCTTGACTTCTTTATGCTGCATGAAAACAGAAAGACATTATTATCATCATAGCTTAGTCATCATCAGTACAGGTATATTCATGAGGCATATAAAGATTCAAGCTGTTGTGTAGATAAAACATGAGCATGATCTTGATCTTGACTAATGGTATTTCTCAATATCATTTTTAACCTAAATTTCTTGATCTCGGATCAAACAATTACTTTAAATACTACTTTTAAAGTTTTTACAGATCAAAAGAGGATAAGGGTTATAGTCACCCTTACTTCCAATATTGTCAATACTGATTTGTAACATGTATGCATGTTCTGTATGGATGTTTTAAAATTTCAAGGACAGGATATTCCATCGCGTCATTGTTTCACAGAATAAGCATTTAAACAAAGTTGAGAACAGATTTTTTTAAAAACATGTTTGCTATACATGTAGATACAGTCCTGTACTGAACATCAACAGGAATGAAATTAGTCAGCTTTCAATAATTCAGGCTTTTGAATAATAAAACATGCATTGGCCTGTGTGAAAAACAACAAAAAAGTATTTAAACACTTACCACATCCTTCTCACTGCTTTCTATTTCTAATCTCATCTTTGAATTTTCAATTAATCTGAATGTATGTCATTAAGGGAAAGAACTTAAAACAGAAAAATCACATGTATGCAGTTCACTTCAAAGACAGAACCAATGACTAACCGAGAAATTTTATTTTCAACTCGTCTTTTGTTCACCTGAACAACCCATTTGGGAAATTATCTAATTGTGTATAATTCTTTTCCTGTATTTTTGACAAATATCTACTGAGTTTATAACAGACTGATCATGTATGTCTATATACATGTATATATATTTTCAAATTGAACACTCACAAGCAATGTTACCACAGACTATAAAATCACTAACATTACAGCTTTGGGAAATGGGAAGCATAATATCACCCTTTTTTATATACAGGCATCAAGAATCTAATCTAACAGTCTAACACCATTTCTTATACTATAGTAAATAGTAAATATTTACAGGTGATTATACCCAATTACAATCTGATACTGTAGACTGACAGAAAAAAATTCTGTATTCTATTTTTGCTCCATACATGTACCTCGATATCGATATGAAACCAAATCATCAGCTTTAACTGTATATTATTTGAGAACTTCTATGAAAGGATACAGTGTTTCTTCTCGTAATTTGTAGCTCTCTAAAGCTTTCCGCCTTGCCATTATCAGGAGTGATAAAACATTGATTTCCTTTTGTCTTTCTCTTGCTAGCCTCTCCTCTTCAGCATCATGCGTTGCACTTTTAGCTCTGCCGTGTTTATGGTTGCAAGCTAGACCAACGTTGAACTTTGAAGTTGACTTGATTTGGACAGGAAGCTTAGAAAAGTCCAGTACTATAATAAATAGGAAAACAAAGTGATAAAGAAAGAGAGACAGTGGGGGAGGGGGGGGGTGGGGGAGACAAGTTAGACAACATTAGTAAAAAAATAAAAAAAAAAAAATGGATGACATTTGACAGATATGGGAAAAAGCAAATAAAAATATCATAGAACGAAGCAATGTACAGTAAAATCTGTATTTAAATACCACTCAAGGGAAACATGAAAAGTGGTCTTTAGAGGCAGGTGGTCTTTATATGCAGGTTCCTTTAGTACAGGTTTCAATGAGAAACCATATTCAAGAGAAACATTACATGAGGTCTTTATCTAAACAGGTGGTCTTTCTATACAGGTTTGACTGTACTATTGTATAAACACTGGAGTATTGCTTTTAAGAGAATATATTATAAACTTAAAGGCAAGCATTGAAGTTCAGATTTAGTATTTTAAACTAGTAAACAACAATTTAAAATATCTTGGTTTTAAAAAATATTATGACATTGAAATTTATTAATTGCTTCAACTCACTGGATTCTTGTCGGCTAGTAGAGCTTCCTCCCTTTGACTCTTCCTCTCCCCTAGTGCCGACTCTACTCTTTCCTTTCCTCTGCCATTGGTCATAGAAAGAGTGTTTCATCTCTAAATCCTCCCCATCAGCCACATGCACAGGTTTCAGCGCATCCCCTCCCGGCCTCTGGCTTGCTAGGTCGGCCGCCATCTGTGCAATGCCAAATGATTAAAAACAGTAATTACAGATCCAAGTTTTGCAATGACAATGTTAGTCTCACACAGCAAAGCCTGATTAGAAGTGGAACGAATGAACAAACGAGCGAGCCGGCACTCGCTGCTAATCTGCGCATAAGAGATAGACAGCTACCTGTACCCGTCGGGCATTGCGCAACAAATACACAAAGTTGGTGTACATTACTGTGACCAAATGACAATGCCCAAGTCTACCAGTAGTAGCAGTACCACCAAGCCTTAATTAAGCCCAAGGCTCAATAATAAACTTAAAGACTCAACAAAAACAGTCTGTTTCTTTCCTCACACACGATTATAAGGCCGTGGGACCGATCATCATTTTTATCAACATTTTGCAAGACTTTTAGCATCCATCAACGGACAAAATATGCAAATGTGGTATGAAAATGTTGATAGCTTCCTTTTTTTCTCAAGATAAACCCCAAATCATACACACATTTATTATAATTACGTCTTAAATCGGCCGGATATGTTGCTCTTTCCTTCTGCGAAGAGTTGAGTTCGAAGTAAATATTGCCCGATGACGCTTTGCGCTAGTACCGTACCGTTACGTTGCTATGGCCAGCGCCAGCTACAGCTAGCTAGCTATCTAGCATGCAGCGCAGGCAGGGCATGCAATGCTCGAACAAGTGCCCCAGCGCCGTTCCGATCGTTCTTGATGCGATGTCGAACGAGCGCGAGCTAGCTAGCTAGCTGCACGTGCACCGTACCTTCACACTTGCACTCCTCCTCCCTTAGCTGCCCGCATGGCCTGGTAGGTTCGCCTCGTTGAAGTAGTCAAGTCTTGTCTACGTGCATTACGACACGCACGTAGCAATTGCATAATTTATATTGGTGACTGACAAGGGCAGGCAAGTTGATATTGTATTTGTAAGAATGAAAGCAGTTTAGGATACCGTTGGTTCATAAACTCTTGATAAATGAAAGTGAATATCAACTGTAAAATCAATAGAATAACTACATTTCGGATGTTTCAAAGCATGGTAAAAATTATAGGTAAAGTTTTTAAGAATAACTTAGAGACAAGTCAAGTCAAGTCAATTAGTTATCAATATCAGTTAAATTGTTTGTTGTGACTATAAAACGTTGAGTTTTGGGTGTGTTTGCAGAGGTTGTGTTTATTGGGGAAAACATGTGCATGATCATGTACTATGTAGACCTTTACTGTGATACTTGTAGAGTAAAATCTAGCCTGGGCCTATCAATTGAAGCCAACATTGAAGACGGGTATTTTTTTTTTAAGCCAGAAAAAAGGGGGCTGCACTTTACCAACTAGTTTAGCCTACTTTTGTCTAGGTCAAAAATTCTGTCTCTTTTGTTCGTTAGCCTTTAAATTTTATTTGGGTAGGATTGGCTCCTCACTTTCCGACTCTACCCAAATAAGAGGCTAACAAACGAAAGAGACAGAATTTTCGGTCTAACTTTTGTCAGGCTCGCAAAGTTGTGAATTGCATGTCTAAAAATGTATGCATGCACGTTGGATTGTTGAGTATTTCGTCAAGAAAGCCAGGTGATTTGGTATTATAACTAGCTCAAGTCGTGTAAGATCTATGTCATTTTGCATGTACACCTCTTCAAACTAGTACTGTTTGAAATAAAATGTTGACGTTGTCGAGGTAAACGACCTGTCCGGACAAACAACATTTGACGTATCCGGGCACCTACCCCCTGGACATCCACCCCCAGGATAACCACCCCCAGTCAACTACCCCGTATGACAACCACTCTTGGACGACTACCCCCAGACAACTACCCCCCCCCCCCTGGACAACTACCCCCTAGGACAGTTGTCCGGGGGGAGTTGTCCTAGAGGATGGTTGTTGTAGGGGGTAGTTGTCCAGGTGATAGTTGTCTCCGGGGGGTAGTTGTCCTAGGGGGTAGCTAGTTTACTTGGGGGAGGGGGGGGGGGGTATTTGTCCAAGGGGGTAGTCGTCCTAGAGGGTGGTTGCCCTAGGGGGTAGTTGACTGGGGGTGGTTATCCGGGAAGGGGGGGGTGGTGGATGTCCAGGGGGTAGGTGTCCTAGAACCAACATTTGGGTATATAATAATGGATCCCCCTAATGTCAATGAGAAATAACCCAGGGCCTTGTGTATTATTGCCCTAACACAAGACTGGCAAACAAACAGCTTAGATTCATGTCTTTTCTTCTTTGGGTAAAACTGCTATTGCCATAGCCTGGTCAGACTCGCGGAGATGCACAGGCGATGTAATTTACTCTTGCCACAGCATTCAGGAGCTAACAGAGCTAACTTGTCTTGATCATTGATGTGTTTTGAGAGACCCAGTTAATCACTGGTAGCCAAAGAGCTTGAATGAATTGGAATTCCATTCCAATAAATATAAAAAAATGCAAAAGTCTTCAAACTTTTAAATGAAAATATAAAATGTATTTAATTGAATGTTACGTGCAATAAATCACCAGGCTCTTTACCCTCTCCCCCCCCCCCCCCCTGTTTTCCCCCATTTTTTTCTTCCATGCTTCCAAGAGTACAAAATTTAATTTGCCTTTTATTAATATTATATATGAGATGTGGGCTCTAGCATAAGGACCATACTCCTTTTTAGCTCATCCCTTCACTCCCATTAAGATTTTTTTTTTTTTTTTTTTTTTTTTTTTGATGTATGATATTTTATGTATGATTATTCCGTATTTAATTGTATATATTTCGTATTTTTAATGATGAGTGTAAATAAACGAACTTGAACTTGAACTTGAAAACATTCACTGTAAAGTTTATTTTCTAGGATTCCGTAATGTGTAAGATACATGTAGTAAAGCTTCTTTACACCCTTTTTTTATCATCTTAACTATCCAGTTTTCCAGACCAGTTATCACCATGGCTACGAGTTTGACTGTGCGTAGAGTCTGCTGCAGTGCTGCCAGACTACTTCCCAGAGTGGAATCGAGACTACCACTCCACACCCAGACCAGACATCTTCCATCTTACCCCCATCACCTTCATCCTCCTCATCCCTCTGCCTCTCTCGGTGGTGTCACATGCGTGCTTAGAGCGGGAAACAGGTCCTCCACAAGCTTTCACATTTGCCAAAGAAGTTTTTTCAACAAGTGGTTCCCCACGTCCAGTTCTTCATCCGGCTCTTCACCGTCAAACCCAAGAGACAATGAACCTGCATCCCAAGATGAGGAGGAGGACTCCATCATCCCCAAGACGGATGAGATGGGGCAGCCCCTGAGTAACTGGAAGAGGATGAAGATCATGATGAAGGCCTACGGTTATGTCATCATCCCTGTACACTGGGTCATTGCACCAGTTTGGTTTGGAGCTTTCTACTACACTATAAAGTTGTGAGTGCTGTAGAATGTTACCTATGATTAATGAGGAGAGGGAGAGGAGGGGGGGGGGGTAGTCATCATTTTGATCTGGAAATGTCCCCATGGGACTACAAGTCCATATTATTGTGGAAGATTAGAATTTATTAAAATGATATGAGTCAATGAGTCATCCATGTTGGTGATATGAATGATTTAACAAACATAAAAACTTGTCCTCACATCAGATGAAGAAGTCAAGTTCATTGCTTAATTTTCATCATTAATTTGATATTCTTGTCATTGTCCAGTAATTTACAGTCTGCATCCTTCTAGGATGTTGGTAACATTACAGCTATAGGCCTTTTTTTTTTTTTTATCTAATCATATTTAATTTGTATAGTGCCTCATTATGAATGATTTCATTCCCCTTTTACAAATAATTGTATTCAAATTTTGAATAGTCTGAATGCAAATTGCACATATTGTAGTGAGTGTTTGGTAGTGCAAATCACAATGTTTGTCCTACATGTACCTAGCAACAACTAATCTATGGAGGTGTTGTTCTGACTGTTATAATACAATAATAAGTAATGTAATAGCTCGTTGCTTGGTAAATATGTATAAATTGGAATACATTACAAAACTAGCCTATTGAATTCATAACTTACAAACAGAGGCACAAGGAAAATAATTTACAAAACAGAGGCACAAGGAAAAAATTTGTTGTATTCTTTTACTTCTGATTTTGTATTATTTGTTTATAGAAAGCTTTTTTCTTTGAATGATCTTTCCTTCAGGGGTGTCGACATTGGTCCCTTCCTCTCCACAATAGGAGTCAGTGACCATCACGTTGAATCTATGCGCAATTCCAAAGCGAGTACCGCCCTCATGGCCTACGCCCTGTACAAGATCTTCACCCCTCTACGTTACACAGTCACCCTGGGCGCCACCGAGGTAACAATCCGCAAGCTTAGGAGGATGGGGTTCATGAAGCCGTCGCCGCCCAAGGAGAAGACGTATCGGGAGTCGCTCAAGGAGACGGTTGGAGAGATGAAAGAGAAGATAACGGACATGAGGGATTCAAAGAATTCATGAGCTTGGTGCCCAGTAGGTCCCTTTCTCCGCCGCTCTTTCTGACCTGCGAGCATAATTTGTGTGATTACGTAAGAAGCTTTGTGAACAATGTAATCAGAAGACGTATCAGGAGTCTTTCAAGGAGACGGTTGGAAAAATGAAAGAGAAGATAACGGACATGAGGGATGCAAAGGATTCATGAGCTTGATGCGCAGTAGGTTCCTTTCTCTGTCGCTCTCTCTGACCTGCGAGCATAATTTGTGTGATTACGTAATAAGCTTTGTGAACAATGTAATCAGAAGACATAACGGGAGTCGTTCAAGGAGATGGTTGGAGAGATGAAAGAGATGATAACAGACATGAGGGAATCTAAGAATTCATGAGCTTGGTGCCCAGTAGATCTCTTTCTCTGTCGCTCTTTCTGACCTCCTTGCTTGATTCGTGTGATTACGTAATAAACTTTGTGAACAATGTAATCAGGAGACTTATCGGGAGTCGTTCAAGGAGACGGTTGGAGAGATGAAAGAGAAGATAACGGACATGAGGGAATCTAAGAATTCATGAGCTTGGTGCTCAGTAGGTCCCTTTCTCTGTCGCTCTTTCTGACCTGCCTGCTTGAATTATGTGAATATTTGAAAAACTTTGTGAACAATGCGATCAGAAGCAATGCTGTGTCTTTCTGTGCTTCCATCAAAGATTCTGCAAGAAATTTTTTCAACACCCAATCCAAATCAGTGATTTAGTTTCAGTATATGTGGATAATTGTATGTTATGTTGCCTTCTCTGGCTATAAATTGCCACCTTGAAAATTCAACAACCATTAAAGATTCTTTGAGAGTAATTTAACGTCAAAATTGTTATTATAAAGGATTGTATGTTATGCCTTCTTGGTTGTTTAACTCTTCCATAACAAGCACTCCCCATCTAAGATTTGTGGCGTTTGTGCTTTTGCCCTTTAATTGAATCTTATTTCTTAGATCTTCTAGCTCTCATTTTTGTTGCAGAATTGGTTTCGTGAAACGACCCCTAGACCTAGAGTACTATAGTATATGCATTGTCTCAGCACTAAAATGCACATATAATCAGCAGTTTAAAAATGACAACCAGAATTAGTGGATAAAAGTGCCAGTGTATAACATGTCTATAATCTATATGAGTTTGATATCTTTGATTCCGAAATAGCTTTAGCTATTCTAACAAAATATTGTTGAATCTTCCAGTATTATGCACATCCGAAAGATCCGATAAAGGGCTTTGGTGCGACCTTCTATTTTGCATGCTTTCTGCTGCTGTGATATAAAGATGCACTATTTTGTTACCCGGTAATTGAAAATTATGGAATGATTCTGAATCGATTTGTATCAAGCAGTTTCAACCAGCCTGCAACCATTCCTAGTGTAATCCTCTTAAATGTCATTATGACAATCATGGAGAAAAATATTAATCTGTTGTTAAATTGATATGATGGCTTTAATAAGCATTGATCCATCGCTATGTACATTTTATGAGTTTGTGTTGTTAGTGCTGCCTCTAGGTACTGTAACTAGTCAGAATATGATGAACTATTCTTCTATGGAAGAGGGCGCCAGAGTTATTAAAAATGATGCATCATCGAGATGTGTAAGTGCAGGAAAGATCATATTTACAGCAATTACCTTATTACCCTTACTACCAGATCTACTGGAAAAGTGCACTCAATTGTGCAGCCAAGTTTCTAGATCCTTCTTCAATCTTCTTTCTATCTCTCTCTAGCTGGTTGTTTAAAGGCCCTATTTGATGAAAATACAACCTTATATCAATAGAAAGCTGAAGAAACGTATAATACAAATATAATAGAGTACAAATATTTACTGCACCCCTCCAAATAACAGGTAAAAATGGGTCTAATTTGCCGTAGATAAGGTGAGGATATAACTTGTGGACTTGATCGACTCATCTTTTAAAGCTTTGGCGATGAGGCAAAGTCATTGTGAATATTCTTCATATTATTTAAGGAAAGTGAGGTTTCATGAGATTTTCATGAAAAATTACCCTTTCAAAACAATACTGAATGAGAGTTATCACAACTAAATATTTGTTTTGTACTTGAATGTATTCTACTGATTTATCATGCATACCAGTAGATGCTCATATTTCTTTGCCATTCATATTCAACGTAATACTGACGACATAACTTGCATTTAATAGGTACCGGTCTTTGTTTGCAAAATTACATAGAATGTCATTTTTAATATGTGCCACTTTTCATCCCCAAATATATCTCTCTCTCTCTCTCTCTCTCTCTCTCTCTCTGTCTGTCTGTCTCTCTAGTCTCTACCTCCCCTCTCTATTCCTTTCATCTATCTTTCTATCTCCCCTATATCCCTCATATTCACACTTTTGCTCATATTCCTTTTGTCAGTATCTCTACATTTCTTGCGCTTCCTTGATTCACTCTCTCGTTATCCCTCCTCTTTGTGCAAGAATTTACTTGAATTTGATTTTTAAAATATGTTTCTAAATTTTGTTTGAATTTGCATACCATCTTGACCTAAAGCATGTAAGCAATATGTGATGCAGTGTTAACAAATGTATAAATTTGGAAATGATACATTGGTACCAATGTGAATTTTTTTTTTAATATAAAAAAAAGGATTTTTATAATGGTATTGTTCATATTTGTATGAATTTTCATATTCAATGGGAACTCAAAATGGTGGCAAATGAGTAAATGGTGTGTCTCTTGATGTTTTTGGAGTACACTATTTTTCTTGATATTTCCAAAAATTGTATTTGGAAAGTTTGGATTTAAAAACAAGACAAGTTCAAAAGTACTTGTGCATTACATTGTGAATCAACATTTCTAAGGCTACTGGTATATCACTTGCAAGTATTCTGCAGTATAAGTAAGAAAGATATACATACTGTTATTATATTTATATTCAAACAGTGACTCTAAGATATGTATTGCAATATGACTAATTTATAAGAGTATTACTAACTGATTATCTTTTATTGCGGATGTGATTGGAAGGAATCATTTGAATATTAAATCACACCAAGTGTGCAAGAATATAGCTATTGATTTCTTTGTTATGTTTCATGCTTGTTTAATGTATTGCCTCTTTATGAGTGTAAATCATCAAAGAACTTTAGGGAGAAAACAAAAGAAAGAGAGAGAGAGAGAGAGAGAGAGAGAGAGAGAGAGAGAAGGAAAGGAGAGGAGAAACAAAAGAAGGAAGGAGATAATAGAGAAAAGGAAGAATGAAAGTAATTACAGAACATACATATATGTCCGTATGAAGTAAGAATGAATGAATAGATTTACCGGGTACGTTCAAGTTCCCTTTATTCAGTTCTTTCATTAAAAGTATACAAGGGTAAACAAACATAAAAGTTAGAAAAATAATATCAATATATATAACATGAGAATAACACAAGCAGATCAAACAAGAAAAACAGGGGGGATATAATAAACATGATAATTACACAAGCGTAGAATACAAGAAGAACAAGAGGGGGGGGGGCATAATGAATGTATTTGGAGAAGACGGGAAGGAAGGGCCTTATGTAAAAGTCTGTCTCCAGTGATTGTATAAAAAAAACTACATTATTTTGAAAAGAAAGGGAACAACAGGGGAAAAACAGTCTCTCCTATGAAGATGAATGAATGAATAAATTAATAAATATATGAATGAATGAATGAAAAGATAGATGGATGAATGGATTATCGCAAATTTTTATTTCTCAAAGGGTTTTTCTATAAAAAGGTTGAAAAACGCTACAGTATGTCAGTGTTCCCCTCTTACTAGTTTTATTCATTGTTTACATTTAAATATGTCAGTTTTCAATAATATGTCGTTCTTATTCTTGTTCATTGTTTATATGTATGTTTTATAGACCTCTGCTCTTGCAGCTGAGCCTGGAATAAAGTCTTGAATTGAATTGAATATAAGGACATATAATGCATAAAAGTACCACCGCACGGACTTTCCCATGGTTAAGTTAGATTTATTGCAATGGCTGACAAAGGAGACCAAGCTAAGGTTGCCACTCCCATGGATACGGACGCTGCCAAAGATCCTAATCAAGTTGGAGGATCCGGAGAAGCAGAACCAACACGAGACATGACAGAGCTCATCAAAGATGGGAAAAATGCAAAATCCATTGTGTGTGAGCGATGCAACAGCAAAATTTTATTACCAGGAGTGGCAGAATTCGTGACAAAAGAGGTTTGTTGTAGTCCCGTACGCACCATTTTGTGTTTGCATTAATTGCACAGTGAATAATATGGTCTGTCGCGATGTCATTGAAAAGTTCAGATGAATGAAGTGGGGGTGGAAAATACATCTGATGTTGCAACATATATTTACTGACTGTATTCTGTAATCATGCTAGATCTATAAGTATTTTTTTAACAAAATGAATGATGGCTGATGATCAATTTGAAGATGATTGGAGTCGTGATTGAATGACAAGGGGAAAGGAAGATGCCCACACACACCCCCCCCCCCCCCCCTACCCTTTGTCTTAATCATCTGGAAGAACAGGTTGAGATGTTTATTTTGGCTGTGGCCTTCGCCTTTTAGTTCGTCTGATTAAAACGAAAAACCATTGGCATTGTCTCAAAACACATAAATGCAATGAGAAATCCATATCATGATATGGAACCAGCTCAGTAAAGGAAGGATTATTTTTGCGAACCTACTAGCGCATGAGATCTACGAGGACTTTAATTATATTTATAACCATAGAGTTCAACTGTTCATATCTTTATTCTTCATATTTGTCAATTTCTTTTACAGATTTTCCTTCCACACATGAAGAAAAAGTCTGAGCAACAGAAGGCAACAGATGGGGAGAACCTGAGTGAGCATTGGGTTGTATCGGACATGATGACCTTTGAGAATGTAGGTTTCACAAACACTGTTGGTACTGCCAAGTATCTTATATGCGCAGACTGTGAGGTTGGCCCTGTGGGATGGCACGACGTAACCGACAAGACCAAGTACTTTATAGCCCTGGACCGGGTGCAGCACAAATGAGACTTGACCAAAGCATCCATCTAGACCAGGGGTTCTCACTCCAGATATGATTGCCCTGAATGCTAAAAGCTACATTACTTACTCATTTAGTTCCATATATATGTAGGTTTGTGACATTATGCATACTGTACGTGTCTTTATACACATATCTGAATTTCAAGAGTTATGACAGTCAAAAGTGAAAGTTCTGGTATATGCGCATGGGTATGGTTTATCAGTGGGTAAAGTGGCATCGTTTCCCAACAATAAGCTGTTTTTACACAAATTGAGTGATTGCAAGACAAGTGCATTGATGCAAATGTTCAGACAATGAATCTACTTTTAAAACATTGATTTACAGTATTACTTGTATACTGAAGAACACAAGTCTTTAAAAAAACTTGAGGTCTAATCTGATCGAAGTTGAAATGTTTAAGTTTAGCCCTAAAGGGGCCAGGTTATTTGGTCAAGCACAAAGACTGGATATGTAGATATCTGGATGTCACATTGTATTGTCATTTTATTTGGGAAGCAGCATATTGTAGAATTGCAATTCACAAGGCAAAGTAATTCCTCTCACATCAATATTAACTGTTTTCTTTATCAATCATGCCAATCTTGCAAAACTTATATGTACCATCACTCCTCTGTCTTTTTACATTATGCTTATACTCTGGCATATAAAAGATGTTGTGATTAAAACTTTCAATCAACCACAACTCAGAAAAAAAGCCAATCATGTTATTGTAAGTCTTAGTAAATCTATGATCTTGATTTGCTAATTTTATTAACTCGTATTCGATTGAAACTTGCTCTTGGTCACTATACTCACAAGGCAACCAAACCCAAGAATTATTGTACTCTTTTTGACTCGTGATTTCAGATTGCAGTTAATCGCTCATCTTTAGAAAGATACCCATGACTCTGCATAAAGTCCAACGTGTCTAAGGCTCACATACATGTACATGTATATAGCAAATGTTACTATGTGCTGTTTTCAAAATGTCCTAAATAACACTTGTAACACTGAAGTACACAATAAAGTAACAGCCCAAACATTGTGATTATGGTATTTTACCTTTACAGTTTGTTACTTTCAACACAAAAGAAAAATGTTGAAAGTTGTAATGCAACCCATCTGGCCTGTATCTACATCTACAGGTACATTTATATTGATTAATGTTAAAGCACAATAACAGAAAATTGAAGAAAACAAATCAAGTACATGTATGCATCATGTATTAATTTGTTACAAATTTTTTTGTAGCATTGTTATATGGACAAGGCATCACTGCTGAGAAAAAATATTGAAAGGCTATGTGCAATCTTTTTTTATTTCTGTGTCATATGAATATTTATAAGCGATTGATTGCAAACAAAAGTTTTAAAATATTTGCACAAAAACCTTGTTTTTAAGAAATGCTCTTAGCGTCTAGTACAGTCAAACCTGTCTACAGCGACTGCCCAAGGGAAACACAAAAGTGGTCTTTGTAGACAGGTTCTTTTAGTACATGTTTCAGTGAGAAACCATTTACAAGGAAAACAAAAAATGTGCTTGTTGTAGACAGGTGGTCACTGAAGCAGGTTTGACTGTATCTTAATTTCTGTCATGGAGCAGCTTCTTAGATCAATGAGAATTATTTTTTTAAAACATTTTTTCCATTCTGAACATTCCTGAGTAAGACATTTTATGCTGGTCTCCACACTAACTTTTTTTGTAGGTGTTCTTTTAAAGCTTGTCTGCATGAAGTCTATCTGTACATTTTGAAATTTGGGGGTTTGTTCCCATTTGTCTCGGGTTCCTGTTCATGTCGAGCCTTGTTAAAAGTTAGCAATGTGTTCTATCTATCTATCTGTGTCCCATAGCTTGAAGGCCGTTGGGGCAACAATGAAATGGATCTTGATTCTTGAGACACATGTTCTCCGTAACAGCTCTGTTCTAGTTAGCTGCTAAATAACATTCTCATCCACCGCTTGATGTTATCAGTCCATGTCCTAATGTTTCTTGCCAAGTTCTTTCTTCTCCCATTAGGTGTTTGTCCAGCTATTCTTCCATCTAGTTACATGCCCAAACCACTTTAGTTATCTTCTTTTCACAATTGTGATGAAGTGATTGTGTTCCCCTATAATATATATAACTCTCCATTCATCTCTCTCACTTTCTTGTCTGGCATACTGTATGGGGAGTGAAGAGAATATGCAGGAACTTGTGTACTATAGATTATGAAGTACACAAGTTTTGCCTGAAGGTTATCAATATGAATTTCTGTTTTCAGTTCACTTTTTGATGTTTGTATTCTTAAAAAGCAGATGTCTAATTGTTTTGAATGGGAAGGGAAGAACAAGATAAATTGAAATTATAGTTTACATTAATATCAGTACATCTATCTTCAACATGTATGCAGAAATTTAGTGAAACTTTTCCAAAAGTCAAACCAATTGTAATGCCGTGTAGTGTAAATAATAGAAGTAAATTATTTATTTGTAAGAATAGAGGTTTGTAATAGATTGATATCCTTTGTTCCCATAATCTCATTTATAGTCATTCATTTTCTAGCAGCAGTCTACACTAGTTAGACATGCCCTAGTCAATCAATTTTTACAAAAGGTTGTTCCTACACAAAATTTATTAGGTTGTACATCCTTTCAAACAAATAATAAAGTTGAGAAAATAAGGTGACTTTCTCATGATTTCATATTATCACACTATGCATTATGTATAAATATTGTTGTGATTGCCTGTGCCTATTAAAATTATTGCTGATGTATGTTCAGAAATGTTCAAATTATGGCTTTGATTTTATAATTGTAACATTTGCAGACAAATCTGACAAGCCTGGATCTCCATGCCCTAGTATGTTTGAAATTAAGAGAATACTTTTAAGTAAGACTACATCAAATGTACATTACTTGTTGACTGGGAGAAGCAGTATTCCATAATGTTTTCAACACAAGATGGCAGCATTTATAAATGGGCTGGTAGCTGGCAGAGCAGAGACAACTAGTTGTGGGATAATATACTGCAGGTCAGAAAGAAAAAAAAATGTAAGTTTAAACCTCTTTGGGAGAGATCAAATTAACAATTGACACATTTTGGAATAATACTTTATCATCATTGATTTTTAATAATGATTTCTCATGGCTTTACTTTAGTCTTGTAAAAATGATGGTCACTCTATTATCAGTAGGAAGCTGTCTATTTCAAAGTCATATTGATTTACAATAACAAAGAACATGCACTTGATTTGTGAACCATATCCAGCTGTGCCTGTACAATTGTGTTATATGTGTTTTTATTTTGATGTTTAGATGATGTTAGATACTTTCTTATCATGTTTTTTTTTTCTTCATGAAAACTGAAAAGCCTTGTGATTTTTTTCAAAGTTGTATAATCCAAGAAATGCGCTTCTGTTAATTATTAGTTCATGGCTGAGATGTGAAAATGTAACAATGTTGTCAAAAATCAAAATTATATAGTAAATGAACAATGCCACTTTCAGTTTACTAGTCATGTTTTCTCCAAAATAATTTTAGTGGGGAGAGATAAATTTCATGGGGGAAAAAAGGAGAAAGAGAGAGAGAGCTATGATGGTGTTTGCATAGTTCTTTTTTTCTTCAGATTTGACTTCCAGCAATTTTTTTTATCACAAGCCAAAAATGTGTTTGACACTGGCACTTAGGAAAAAGAGTTCATACGTGTATATAATATATATACCGCATTTTAGTGGAATACTGTATTCTTTTGTAGAAGAGAAGGTAAAGAGAGGATTATAGATTAAGTTTCTATGTAGTTATTTTTCAGCTCTCAAAATATTCTGTTGCCCCCCCCCCTCTCTCTCTCTCTCTCTCTCTCTCTCTTTCTTCCTAGATATGCCTGTGTTTCCTCTTTCATTCTCTAAATTAAGTTATCATAATCTCGCACTGGATATCTTGTACACAATCATCCACTAAGAATTGTTTTATATAGCTCAAAAATATAGTTTTAGTGGTGGTGGTAGACCCACAGAGCGAGGGGAAGGGATTGAGAACTCAGAAAGGGAAACTATCATGCAGCCTCATGGCGAAATAGGAAGCGTTGAGGATTTTGGAAATGTAAAGAAAATAAAGTGCCCATTAATAGCAACGTTATCTTCATAATTTCATAATAACCTGAATATAATGGGCTTCTAAAGTTATCGCTCGATTCACCATAGATGGTTACATTATTAACGCATTATACATCGACCTTCTTCCTTAACAATAGAAGCTCGTTAACACAAAAGAACTAGTTTCATGTTTTAAAAAATCAATATGTGCATACCACGTCAATATAATTGACATGAGAAGTGGATCAAAGAGTTACCTAAGTGAATATTGATATTCTGAAAAGTTTTGACATTCTTTTTAAAACTTTGCAGCGACTTACAATTTTTAATATACTAGGGTAATTTATTGTATAATTTAGCTCCTGAAACCGCTAGGGTTTTTGTTTTAAAATTTGTTTTACATTTTGGAATGAATAATGGACTGTTTAAAGGTACTATGTCCCATTTGCAGGCCCAAAAAATGAAAAAAGTTAAATTCCAACTGCATTTAAAAGACAATACTAATTTAGAACTTCCCTAAAAAAGGTGGGGCTTGAAAATGTCTTCAAGTGGGAAAATAACGACTATTAGTTGTCAAATCGACTTTAGGGCTATAGAGCCCAAAAGTAATAGTCTTGATTTTCAGACAATTGTACCGAATGGTCATACGTTTTATGCTGCGTAAAGATTCAATCAGTTTAATCTTGGCCATCACAAGAAGTGGGTTATTGATGTAGACAAATGCTCATGTACCCTTTACAACTCTTTTCATGTATGTTATTACCAAAGAAGAAAAAAGCCAGTCAGTCACTCAATAGTGTCTGACAGTGAAGTCTAGCAAGTAAACGGGTTTCCTTGCATAATTTGAATATGAGGACACTGCTAACGTTTAAATTTCACAGATAGGACATACATGACATATTCATAATTCCTGCAAAGTTCTACAGAATCTGAGGTTGGCTGCAAAAGGGACATAGTACCTTTAAAGCATAACGAGTAGAATATAATACCGGTCTTTTACTTATAAATGGATTTAGATATGATGGTGATAGGTCGTTTATGATTTTAAAAATAAAGATGCATTTCTGATATTTAATTCTTTCCTCTAATGACCGCCATTTCAATTTACTCATTAAAACATTTTGGGGTGTAAAATATTCGGCACGAAGAACTAATCGTGCATATCTATTTTGTAATTTTTGCAACTTTGTTAGATTTTGTTTCGAAGTATTTTCCCATACTGAATTACAATAGTTTAAATGGGGTAGGATAAGAGAATAGTATAATGTAATCAGATTCTTACGGGAAATATAATTGCGTATACGTCTAATGCAGGCAATCGTACCCGATACTTTCTTAACAACTTCTTTTACATGTAACGACCATGTATAACGAATGAGGTAACTAAATAAGTGTGGATGGATGAGGAAAGTTGTTGAGGTTAGTTAAAGTCGACTTAAGCCTTCAAATTTGATTTTAAAAAATAGAAGCACATATCAGAGAAGGGTGAATTCTCAATGGGCCTACATCCGGCTTTTGTTAATGATTTATCACCTGTCGAATTTTCTTATCGTCATATCGCGCTAATCTGTTTCTTTAATTTTCTCTCTAAAATCAATTTCATTGAAGGAGAGCTCTTTAATGTGTGAGAAAATATAGACTATATTATAATTAATATGTGGATATGAATAAAATACAAAACAGTGAGAAAGTATCGGGATTTTTAACGGATCGAGATATCAATCAAAATGAAATCAATCGACAATGAAAGAAAACAGTTATCTATGAAATTCCCTTTTTAAACCACATGCTAATCAATTGCACATCGACAAACGAGGTTGTGATTACAGCGTAGAAAAGACTGAGGAGTTTAAAATAACCTGGAATTGGGTTTAACTAATTTGGCGTAAACTTTGTTTTAAATTCGAACTTTAAAAATTATAAGAATTATTTAATTCATCTCTTAATTTCATTAATTTATTTTCATTTCTAACAAATACAAATATCACAATAATTCATAATATGCAAACTTTATGCAGAACATTATTACATTTGAAATAGAGTAAAATTAAATACCAAAATTAATGCTTTTGAAAAGAAGAAAAAGTAGAATAAAACCTAAGGTATGTTCTGTGGAAATGGAGAGGTCCACTAAAATGAAGAGTTTGTAAATCGTGGACCCCTGATATAATAACTGAGGAAAGATGCAGTACATAAACAAAAAAACAAAAACAAGATGGATAGTGGCCAACAGAAACAACATTCACAGAAAAATACATATATAACTGGAAACAACGTACGAAGAAAGAACGGATTGAGTGTGGTGAAAACAAGAAGGAAATATGAGCTGCATAATTATGGATAGGAGAGAGAGGATAGAGAAAGAGAGTGCGTTAAGCACGAATTAGAGAGCATGCTTAAAATCATTGGGGAAATTAAGAAAACAACAACAAAATCATCACCATGCCTATTTAGGGATGTGGTTCCTTCGCCAATAGGCAACAAAAATGAGACGCCTTCCTAATAAAAGATTGGTCTGAGTTAAATTAAAAGAATTTAGCTAAAGATAAACTTTTTTCTTTCTTCTTTGGAGGTAACTCGGATACAGCCTACGAGATCGACAATGTCTCGAATGCCTTATTGCAACTTTTTCTGAGGATTCACTAGACCGATGGCGATGGCTCACGAGACCAATGTTTCTCTGATGTGTTTATTGTCTTCTTTCCTGTACTCTTATGTTCAGATCGGTTTAATTTTCTTTCCATCTCGTGGGCTGTCCGTCAACTCATGTGACCCCCTCCCCCTCCTACCACACCTCCAATGAATCCACACACAAGGTTTTTAACTAGGGGGGGGGGGGTCATGCTTTGTTAGAAACGGGGGCTTTTTTTTTCTCTATCCATAGGTTTTCGACATGATTATTCGACTGAAACATGTCTAATTCATTTGACTGATTATTTGAGGAGAGAAACTTCCCAAGGACGCTTTGTTGGTATGGTGCTCCTTGATCTGCAAAAAGCTTTTGATACAGTTAATCATTGCGTCTTATTGAAGAAGTTACAACTAATGGGTTTTGATAAGGCAAGTTTAGATTGGTTCAGATCCTACTTATCTAATCGGCACCAAGTAGTGGCCATTCATGATATTCGTTCCAAACTAATGCCTATAACATGCGGTGTTCCTCAGGGAAGTATTTTAGGCCCAATTCTATTTTCAAGTTATATAAATGATATGTGTATTTGTATAAAAGACTTCAAACTATTATTGTACGCAGATGACAGCGTACTACTCTATTCAAATCCTGATCCTAAATATATTGAGGAAAAGCTCAGTGAACAGCTGTCTACGTGTGTCGATTGGATGACTGATAATAAGCTTTCTTTACACTTGGGAAAAACAGAAAGCATTTTATTTTGTTCTAAAAGTAGTTCTAAAAAGTCATTTGAATTCAAAGTGACACACAATAATCAAGCAATCAAGAGAAAAGAGTCTGTGAAGTATTTAGGCATTGAGTTGGCTAGCGCAATTTCATTTTCATCTTTAGTAGAATCAGTTGTAAAAAAAGCAAATTCTCGTCTGAAATTTTTGTACAGATATCAAAGTTGTATGGATTTAAAAGCAAGACGTACACTCTGTTTTGCTCTTATTCAATGTTTATTTGACTATGCTAACCCTGCATGGTACAGTAACATAAACAAGTCAGATCAAAAGAAGTTGAAGATTATACAGAACAAAATGGTGAGATTTATCAACTGTTCTGGTCCAAGAACTCATGTTGGCTATAGCGAACTTTCTAAAGCTGGTTTTCTTGAAGTCGACCAAAGATCAAAACAACTCGCATTGCATCACGTGCATAAAATATATCATACTAGGGCGAATCATTATATTCGATCCAACTTCGATCTTGTTACTGACGTACATGATTATAATACAAGAAATAGACGATTCAACTTTAACTTACCAGAAAGAGTAGGTAGTATTGGAAATTCGTTTTATTACAATGCCATAAAACATTGGAATTCCCTTCCCAATGGTGTAAAAGAAATAGGAAACTATGATCATTTTAAGAGGAAATTAAAGGAATACCTAATACTTGACAGTCAGAGAAGAGAAGTGAATGACATGTTATATGATTGAAATTGTTATTCTTCTGTCGGTTCATACTTTTTCATGTTGTATATACTTATGTTTTCGTACGTTATAGAAATTCTACAAATTCATCATTATTTTCCTCTTCTTCCTTCTCCTCTTTTTCTTCTTCTCCTTCTTCTTTTTCTTCTTGTACTTAATATCATTTCTATCATCAGTTTAATGTTGTTATTATTATCTTTAATAAGTAGTTCTTTTAATTTTCTTATCTGTCTGTAAATATTACTATTTTAATTTATTAATTGTATACATGTCTGTAAGGGACCCCACTGGAAATAAGCTCTCGAGCTTTCGTGGGTTATCCTGTTCAAGCTGACTTATTTTTGATCTGTTATTATTGTATATTGTTGTATATTGGAAGCTTGTCGAATAAAAATCAATCAATCAATCATAATCTATCTTCAATTGGATGCATGAAGAACAGAATTGTTAACAAAAATCATGACTCGACTGCTTTGAAGAGTGGTGAATAAAGGTTCCCTTCTCTTTATATTCAAGCTCTAGCGGTCTCCTGCATTTTTACAATTTTGAAATGATTTGCCAACTTCATTATGTGTTTGTGTGTATACTATTTTGTACTATGTTGACAAATACAGAAATCAAATCAAATCAAAATCGAAATATAAGAAGAAGAAAAAAAAATGCTTCTCGGTTTACAGTGATCCTTAATATTGCTGTAAAGAAAAAAGTCCTACCATGATGCTCTCCTAATAAGGATCTTGGGCCTTTTTTGTTGTAACTTGAACCCCGGCCCCCACTTCAGGAATTATCTGTTTAGGCCTACATCACTGTCACTGATAATGGTCAAAATAATTTCCCCTAGATTTGTGTCTAATTTGAAACCACAACATTGGCAGGCATAAGAGCTAGAGGTACGTGACCTCAGACCCCCCCCCCCCAACTCAGTCATACTACACAAAAGACAAATAAGATAAAGAACTAATTAAGGAGCCATGGTGATGAAAACTAAAACGAAGTGTTCCCTTGTAAGTTGTAGAAGAATCTGTTGAACTTGGAAACTGAAACGGTCATTTTTATTAAACTCACTGGATTCATTTAAAAAACGCTGCACGCTCCTTTCTCTCACATAGTTTAAAATAGTACTACCCCCCAGGCGCGGATCCAGGATTTCTTAGGGGAGGGGGCCCAACTTTTTTTTTTTTTTGCTCCCGAAAATTTGAAAATCGCGTCGGCCGAAAAGTCGCTCAGTGGGGGGGGGGGGGGGGTACAGAGCACAATTTTTTTCACCCCCCCCCCTTGAGCGCCAGGGGGGGGGGGGGGGCCCAACCCCAAAAAAAGGTTAAAATCACGTGATTTTACATGATTTTTTTCTCAAGGGGGGGGGGGGGGTGTTCATTATAACTTATGTATGTTTATATGTTTTATAAATATGTTTTTGATTATGTTGATACGGGGCCCCCTTGGTCGAGCAGTTTTTATAAATGAAAGGGCTACCCTGTCAAAATAAAACGAAAAATAAATAAACAAATAATTCCTTCGCATTCAGCATCAGATTTTCTCAACAACAACAACAACAACAAAGATAGAAAAATAATTGTATTCTATATACCAGTGCTATATATACATGTAAACCTATCTAAATCAATCACTTCTTGTTTATACACCTTCTGCATGTCTGGAAAGAGAGACCTTGAGCATACAAGCAGCTTTTTGCTGTCGCCGCCCCGATCTTAAAAACTTTGGTCAGTCGATCAATAAGCCGCTTCTACTTCGCAAGATAACGTCGGATCGAGTGTGAGATTAGACGCGTCCACTTTTAATAGGGTAATATCTGTAAACTTGAACGTCTTTACTTTGCATAAGTGCAACATATCTATAAATCCAGCTAACGGATATATATGAAAAATATTTTATTGTACATTTTACAATAAATAAATCCATTTGAAATATTTTACTACTTTTAAATTTTTTTGAATTTAATTGTCAACCCGTTTATATAATCGACGAGTCTATTTACTTTTATAATGCAAATTTTGGTCTCGTTGGAGATTGTACACAATCGATTTCAACATGGCGGAGTAGTTACGCGATAAACTCTTTTAACGTCTTCCTAAAATTGTTTTTTGTAAACTTTGTTATGCGTGTAAAGGTGAAGAATTGAATATTTTGGATAGAGTGTGATTCTTGAAAGGATAACACTCTTGTGTTGGCAGTCATGGCGGACACAGAACAGAGTAAAACGACGACGAATCGGATAAAAGCAGGATCGAAAAGACATGGAACGGGCAGTGCCGACCCGAAGAGCAAGACGCGTCTCGCCGCCTTGGCCCCCGGAGAGAATCTGAAAGAGAAGCAGGTAAGAAAATGATGCTCTTGCAGCTGCAGCAGCCCGGCTTGTCTCGATCACAAACCCACTTAATTGGGGTCAATAAAATAGATCACGTTTCACTCCATGATAACAGAGACAAAATGAGTTGTATATGCTTTTAAATCAAACACAAAGAATGTTACTGTTATTTAGATCTATACGTAGAGTCTAGATATAACAAAACTTTAATTATGAATTTAAACAGAAAGTGTTTAAAAAGTTTGTCGAGAATACTGAATAATACATGTAGGTCTAGATCCCAATTTGAATAGGCGATATTCATTTGAATTATATTTTAGAGTCTTTCTAGTCCACAATTTGTTTACATTTAGATCTACTGATGAACTAGAGTGATAGAAAACGAAATTGGTTGATAATTATTTGTTTTTTCTGCTAATCATCTTGAAATTATCAATTGAAAAAAGTGTGTTTGGAACATTTTATATTTTTAAAAACAAAAATTATAATGTGTTCAAGAAAAAAAAGATTGATAATTTTCCAAAACAGAGTTACATTATCTAGATCTACATGTGTTTCTTGACAGGTTGGTTATTCGGACAGTTGATTTCAAACAATAATTTGAAGAAGTTTGCATACAATAGTTTACGTATATTTATATACAATACTATCAAGGAAATATGTTGGCGCTATATGTACTTTCGCTCCGCAACGGAGCGTGCTTCATTTCATTACACATCGCATGGTTTTCCTCATTACCGCTCGATGCATGAACTCTACAAAAAACTTGAATGTGACGGAATGAGGCACACTTAATTGGTGAGAAAGTACATAAATTAGGGTCAAAAGCCCTCAAGATATTTATAATGGTTGGTCCTATTTGATGCAACTTTTTCACAAATCCAAAGTCAAAAGTGACAGTTAGACAGTGTCTTGAACCCCCCCCCCCCCTGATCATACATGTGGCTCTTGGCCCTCTACCTGTACAAAATCGACTGTCATGGCTGTTGAATATTATCTTTAAAATGTCATTATATGGGGGACATTAAGGTTTATGTTTATGTTAGGTCTAACAATTAAAGTTACTAGTATTTTTCTGGTGTATATTTTTTAGTATTGATGTGTCACAGATCTTTAGTTTGTTGGCCAGTTCAACTTACATTGTAAGCAGCAGATCCAATTTTTTTAGAGGGATCAGGAGGGGGGTTCCAAAATCTAAATCCAAGTCATTGTTTAGGAATTTAAAAAGTCTAGTTGATTAAAAGATGGACTTGGCTAAGAAAAAGAAGAATGCAGGGTTGCAGTATAAATCTACCCCTGGCTCTATACAGGCCTTTTTGTTTTATCTGTGTTTTTAAAGAAACTTATTTGTACTGCCTTGGTCCGATAAGGTCGGGTCACTAGATATACAATGTACAGCCCTGCTTGAATAAACCATGATATGATTTCTGCTTTTAAAAAAACGATAAATTTGCTGTTGCCATTTGTTTTTTAATCTTAATTTAAGGCAATTGATGGTGTGATTATGATATCTGTATGAGAAATTCTAAAATTGGAGTGTATTTTATTATGGTTTACAAGATTGCGATAACATTAAAAAAAGTTACAAGTGTAACTGAAACTCTGAATAATTACTGGTAGTAGAAGGCACTTTACACTTTCATGTATTAACAATGTGAAACGGGGGGGGGGGGGGGGGGGGGTACTCACAGATGAAGATATACATGTACAGGGGTGTGCCGCTCTAATGGGTCACTTTTTCACAAAAATCCCTAAACATGGTTCCGTTTTTTCTAAATTGTGGAAAATGGGCCTTCAACAAAAATCCCCCCAAATGACCCTTAAAAAGGTAGGGGTTTCAAGGCTTGAGCGGGGAACCCCTTGTCAAAATTGTGGAAAATGGGCCTTCAAGAAAAATCCCCCCAAATGACCCTTAAAAAGGTAGGGGTTTCAAGGCTTGAGCGGCGACCCCTTGTCCAAACCAAATCTGAGATAATGAAAAACTGAGTGTCAAATTGTAAAGAACATATAATTTAAATGACAAAATCATCTTTGTTTGATCAAAATCGGTTCCGAGACAGCTGAATTATCCATAAATATAACGATTTCTAATACTTGTGTACCACCACAAATATTAGATAATTTGAAATATCGCCTTTTACGTCGTATTTCAGCCAATTGCAATGTTGGCTTTTTCGTGTTGGTTATACTACGCACAACCAGCCGGCCCATGTTTTGTTATTTTTAATTAAATAATTAATTAACGGTCACCATATTTTTTTGAAAGTGGAGCTGAATTGGTATGATCGTATTGGCTAAATTTCACACATTTTGGGGTCTAAAATTACCTTCATAGCAATATTAGGTTCTAAAAGGGCACTAGAAATGTCATAAAAAAGAATAAGAGCAATAACCATGCACTTTGAAGGCATTTGTGGTCTGAAAACAAAACTCAGCTATCCCTTTAAGCTGATTGTGATTTGAAAATTACCTGTAGAAATACAAATTTACAAGATATTCAGTAACAACATTCTGTGGAGTGCTTATGGTCATACTTTATTATTTAAGTTGGTCAAAATAATTTTATTTATACAACACCCACGTGGATCCTTGTCATTTGATTGGAGGATTGTTGGTCACATGATATTCAATAGATGTTCTATTGCACAGGCGTGCATTTTTGGTTATATTCGCCATGCATTTTTGGTTATATGTAGACTGCGTACCTCTCTGCCGTGCGCGTATCCCTGCGTGTATCTGACGCGAAAGGCAATCTGAATGTACAGTAATCGAGAAGCCTTGACTCCAACTTTAATTTATCTTTAATATAAGGAGTAAAGCATAATTTGTTGATTAACGTTCTATTAGATCTTCTTCGATGTTGTATAAAACAAATAATGAATGTTTTTCATTCGTTCAATAGTGCGAATATTTTCATTCGTTGAAAGATTAATGTTAATTCTATTCAACTCGGCTGACGCCTCGTTGAATAGAATGTTAATCATTCAACTCATGAGAATAATCGCACTATTGAACTCATAACCATTTATTATTTGTATAATATAACACACACTACCAATCAATATCTATAATGTCCTTTGATTTGCCTCAGGCATTACTTCTCTTACTGCTTGTGTGGATCCCATGAATATTGGTAGTTTTAAAGATCTATCATTCAGATTAGGATTTTTTACAATACGTACACCAATCCCTACAAATATGTCATCATTTACTTATTTTTTGCATGTAGTGAATCAGCTGTAAACAAATATTCCAGGAGAGACAGAGAGAGAGAAAAGGGGGCAGTGAGGGAGGGGGCGGATAGAGAAGGGAGAGCGAGAGAGAAGGGATGAAGAGAGAGAGAGCGGGAGGGAGAGTCACCCCTCTTCTTTTATATTCTTACACGAATATTTATCATGAAGATACAAATGTACATGTATTTTATGACTCTGGAAAAGTCTTAATGAGAAAATCGTGTGGTATTTTAAAGATATACATTTTAGCTTTTATACATAATCATATGTAAATATAATGTTTTTATTTCCAATGTACAAATCAAACTGTATGCCTTTATTGCCTAGGTAAGGTTGCACCATCTCCATTGAGTATTTTAAGCAGTCCTCAATATACTTGCTTAAGAGCTGGATTTCAACTTTTCAAGTGTCTTCTAAGCTTTCTTTCACCCAGCAAACAGTAAAAGAGGGAACAATACATTCTCAGACACAATGGCGTTTTCATCCAGAACAGAATTAAAATCGCAGCACAGACAATCCCGTACTGACAATTGACAGTACTTACGAATTACTATACATTTGCATTCTGAGAAGCTTGTATTTGGCATAGCTCTCATAGAGTCCTTGGGCGTTCTATTCTTTTATCAACAAGATTTGTAGAGAGCTCGCTGATGAGGTAGTCAAACATTTTTCAATTTGTACATTGAGCGTCAATAGCAACAAACAGGGGTCTGTTTTGCCCTGGGTCTCTAATGAGAAAAAGAAATATGCATACACGTACAAGATTAGGAGCTACATGATATCAGCTGTATACTTTGTAAGTTTGTATACACATGTACTTACAAATGGAGGCGTGATATCCAAACCTACTGTACTGTAGTGTGTAGGTATAATAGAGGATATATGGACATGTACCACTAATGCAGTTTGTGTGGAACAGTGGATGCAAAAGTTTTATTTTATATCCTCTTTTAAGAAACCTTGTGAAGCAAACACAATGAATGAATGAATGACATGGCATCACATTTTTAAAGCTCAATGTTAACCATGACAAAAGATTTTTCATACATGAAACTGTGACAAAGTTATCACATTTTTTATATGATTTTTGTAAATATACATTTCGGATCAGATACTAGGACTTTTTTTAACTTAGGACTCAAACCTTTGTCTTCCATTCTCAAGCTAATGAAAAGAAATTGAAGCACATGTCTAGGTGTCATACTGCACGATTATTAGAAATGAAGTGTGTTCAATTGAATTTGGACCCTGTAAATTATTTCTATTTAGAAAGTCAATTATTTATTGTAAAAAATAAAGTCAATGTGATTAGCCTGCTTTTGAATTGATTATTTCTGAATGAATGGAATATTAATTGTTCCATTCTTAAAACAGAAACATGGCTGGCTTATATCCAGGTTAGTTCATTGTTTACATTCGTTACCACGTCAACCGCATGAGCAGTGGTTTATTGTACATGTACTACCAGAAAGCTTGTAGGTGCTAGGCAACGCACCCAATCACTAAAGCATGCCAGAGCAAATACAATAGGTCCATTATTGGTATTAACCGTGCTGCGGCAGTGGTATAATGCAGGAGAAGGTCATCCATGCATAGAGTGCCTCTGGAATATTGACTAAATTGAAGGCTGGGAGAAAATGCAATTTGCGATATTAATTTCCACTCGTCTGGCTCATGAATTGCTGATGATGGATCGGTGGATTTTTAAAATGGGTGACTTTATGAAAAATAAAAGGAAAATGGTTAATATTCAGCACTATTATGACCAATAAAAAAAGGAATTTTCATCTGCCTTGCTTGATACTTTATTTGAAATTCATATATGTGAAGTTTGGCTTGAAATTAGGAAGATTATTCAATTCAATTTCAAATGATGATGATTAGAATCACCGCTTTCCTTTTATTCTTAACTTCTCGTCCCTCTGTTGTGAAGGAAATTGGTTTTTCCCACGATAAATGGGGGTGTGTTGCTATGATGGATTCCACTCAGATCAGTTCTTATATTATATTATAGTGGTATAGGAAATATGTTATACACTGTATACCCATTCGAATCGGAGTGGATACTGATTTGGAATGTATTCATAACTTGAGAAAGCATATTTTGGAAGTATTTTGGTGCATTTTGTTGTACTTGTGGTTTCATGATGGAAAACATTGCTGGAGAGGAAGCATTTAAGCACTTTGTTGGAAAAACAAAGGTACTGTATATTCCGTTTCAATAATACATGTATTATTCTCAGAATAGTTCCTGAATTGAAAAAGTACAACAACAAGAAGTTCTGCAGATTAGTATGATCAGTAATAATTAAGCATTTTGTAACAACTGCTTACAGTGTACTGAATTAAAAAGACCAAAGAGATACGAGCTATATCCTCCTTGAAAAGACGACAGATGTACGAAGTACAAGCAATTGATTTGTTTTTTGGTTTACATTGTTTTATAGAAAGTTCACAAACGATTCTTTATATGCTTATGGTGATGGGTAAGCTACCATGTGTATTTGCATTTGAAAGCTTTAATCACTTTTATGTCTTATATATGATTGTAATAGAAAGTTGACTCATAAGTGATTAATTGGGTGTACTACATGTACCAGGTTTGATAAGTACTGACAAGTTATCTGTGAGAATGACCCTTCTAGCCTGAAAAGTTAAACTCTAATTTTTTATTTTTTTAAAATTATTTTATTATCATTTTTTTTATTTCAATCGCCAATTCAGCAAAAATTGAAATTTAAGCGTGAAGCCAAGAGGGGGCAGCGCGACATGAGAATGTCCCTTCTGGCCTGAAATGTTAAACTTTGATATATTTGAATTAGATCAAACAAGTCATCCTTTCTTTTATATTGAAATTATATTAAACAAGTCATCCTTTTTTTTTACTTTGAAGTTATATTAAACAAGTCATTTTTTTCTCTCTTTCTTTTCAATCAACATTGCAGCCAAAATTAACAGAGGAATGTAAAAGAAATCAGGCGCGGCTTAATATGGGAATGTCCCTTCTGGCCTGAAAATTAAAGTTAAACTTTGAAATTTCATGTATGTCATACAAGTCATTCTCTTTTCTTTTTCTTTTCTATCACCATTACAGCAAAAGCTGAAAGAGGAGCGTGAAGCGAAGCGGGCCCGAATCGAAGTGCGTCATGAATTTGTCATGGATGCCGTGGCAGACTCTCTCCATCTGGAGAAGAGTGATGTCGAGGATGCCATCTTGGAAGGCAATAATGTAAGTTGCTATGGTTACTGGTATACAGAAGTAGTTTGAATGCGTGTGAATCCTTGTCAGTTGCTATGTGTAACAGTGTCTGCACTATGAGACTTGGAAGGCAATAATGTAAGTTGCTATGGTTACCAATAATTATATACACTGTAGATGTACAGTAGTTTGAAGGCAAGTGAATCATTGTCAGTTGCTAGGAGTAACAGTGTCTGCACTATGAGACTAGGGTGACAGCGTACTGCATGGACTCTGTACTTTAGCTACTATTTGACATATTGGCCATAGACTGACAGAGCTACATGTATGCTCTTCTCAAGGCTTTAGGAATAGTGATAAAGCATCAAATTAGAGTCATCACTTGCAGACTAAGACAGATGTTGGTGTACATGTATATGTAGAAACATTACACAAATTCCACATTTGCTGCAATGTTGACTACATGTACATGCATGAATGGGTTCATAAGCCTAGAGAATGTGGAATTTGTGTAATGTTTCTACATATAAATGTTATCTATGACAAAAGTTTATTCTTGTCTACCTTAAAGGTAAAGACCAGTTATGGTCATGCGATTGCATTGTGAAAGAAACGTTGTGGAATCGATCAGAAAAGGTTGATCATCTAGCATCTAGCATCTGCAAGGTTCTGGAATCATCAAAATGATAAGAAATTTGGCCCATTCTTCGTAAAGTTACAAGCACTATACACAGAAAGGTGTATATTGGACTACCCTATATCTCTCACAGACCATGAGAGAAACAAATTTACCAAATATATGAATTAGTAGGCGGTTTCCCGGCAAATTTTTTATCATCATGTATTAGTCAAAACATATTCTTTCACATGATTGGTAATGAGAGCTTCCATTTCATTTTTTGAAACTGGGGTGTTTCCAATACTGGTCTTTAACTTTAAATGCTTGGAAGTCAGTTTGAGTCTCGTCTGACGTAACAACAACTATGCAAGTCAAATATTGTGTAATTGCAATTTAAGTTCAATAACTTGAACAGTTTATAGTCTTTGCCCTTAATCATCTGTCACTAATTCATTAGTTCATGCAAATATGTATTCTATTAGATTCTGCTACTTCATGTTGCTAATTAAGTTTTGAATGCATTTGTGTTTATTCCATCATGATTTTTCCAGGTTTCTTTGTTATCTTTACATGAAGGACTAATCTATTTAAAAATAGTTTAGTTAGGTAATCCTTTAGACAGATCATATCTAAAATTCATTGCAACATGTTCAAACAATGTTTAAGTACTTGGAAATAGGTATGTTTTTTTTTTAAAGTACATGCTTGTAAGTTGTAGAGTCTTGATTTTCCTGTACACTTATTGCCATAGTCTTGCTTTCATTAATCTCTCACTTTATCTCTAAAACACAGATTGAGAAGATGAACAAATTCTTTGACTCTGAGACTGGTGTCAGTACACATCTCATGTTCTTCTATCAAGAGCCTGATACTGGGGAAAGTGAGTAAAATACTATAACATGTGAAATGAAAGTTTCTTAACTCTTCTGAATATGAATCTGGCATTTGAATATATAGTATATACTTTTTCATACCCAATTCACACTGGCTTTTTGTTTTGCGTTGAGACATGAAATGAAAAGAAGATGACAGTCTGAACTGGATATCAAAAAGATGAAATTCTAACTCCTTTGTGTTCTACTTTGTGACCATGGAATAAGACTTTCTTTTAATACAACATAATATATTTACCAATTAATAGAAGTCAGAAAAACATCTGCATGAGTAGAATGTGATTAAGTTAAATGATCTATGAAATGATGAATGGACTGACTTGCAATTGTACAGGATGTATTATTGTGGGAAACAAAATGATAAATGTGCCATATAAAAAGGCAGATGTTGCAATTCATTAAATGTATGTAGGTTGTCAACAATTGGTAGAAGCATACATGTTAGAGGCAGAATGGGAAAATAGGTCTATTGCTTGAATAGAACAGGATTGTTCAACAAGATTGAGAGAAACAAAATGATAAATGTGACAGAAACAAGCAGATAGAGGCAGAATTGGTAAATAAGTCTATATTGCTTGAATAGAACAGGTGGAAACACAAACATTGCTATGTAATGAACATAATACATGTGGGAGGAATTCTATTAAAGTCCAAAATGTGAACTCATGAGTTTTCAATCAACACTATTCTGAATTCATGCTTACAGCAGCTGTTGTCATTGATGCAAATGCTTTGAAGACATGAATAAGTGAAAAGATTGTGAAAGAGAAATTGAAAAATCCACCTGTGTTATGGATTTTAATTACCTTCAATTCATTATCTTCAGGGAGAAAGTCTGAACGGTGGAGAGATTTCATTGATATGTGTTTCATCTCAAGTTGTTTGTCTGTCCTTGATTTCAAAAGAGGAAGCTTCACTCTTGCATCTAGGAGGATAAAAAGCATAGCGTTGAGTGAAACAGATCAGTGAAATTTAGGAAAATAGTGATTTGTGATTAGAAAAATCAATTAAACACAAATTGACAACTTTGTGATTTACCATTAGGGACCTCTCCCATTTGTTCTATACTCAAAATTTCATGAATTTCAATTTTCTCGAAAGAATATATTTTACTCCTCCTTGTCCTAAATATATGACTCAAGATTTTACACACTTTAGTGCAATCTATTCCTGCATCAAAACCAAACAAATTATCAATACAGTATAAAAACAAAACAAATGTGGGGATTGCTAGCTAAGAAATGTACATGTAGATCACTATAGTTGACAATTTATATTTTAACAATTAATATTTTAGTTGAAATTTGTCAGATTTCCCTCAAAGTTATACAGATTTGTTTCCCTCATTTATGATTTAATATAATGCATCTTTATGTTAGGATCATATTTCTCTTCATAATATCTTGTTTTAATATGCTGTTTTAATTAAAAAAAACTTTTATATTAGCGAAGAATTCTTAAAAATACAAATCAATTTTTAATTTGCAGATGGCACTAGGCATGCTTGGATGCAAGATAGTGCTGGTAAGTGAAAATAGTTCCGATCATGGATTCCGGTAATGCGATCAATATTTCATAAATGCCCTGTGAATTCAATATTGCCTGCAGGTGTTGACATACACAGCTTCAGTTATTGATAGTGTTTTTCAATCAATAAAGTGCTCACGTCCTTGAGAATCTGACAAAATTGCTTTGATAATAGCCATTAGAAATCAATATGTATATGTCTGCAGGTGTTAGTATTAACTTCTGATTATTGATATTTTCATTTGCTTTGTATTTTTCACCACATGAAGAATAGTAGGTGGGGGTGTAGATTGATTTCACTCATCTTAATATTAGTAATTTTTTATGAACATTTGATGAAAAAGGAGTCTAGTTGTATTATTCTTATGAAGCAATATTTTTTTTCTTCCAAATTGGCTTAAAGGGATCGTTTAACAATGTTAAATCTGAGATACACGGCCCTACATGTTATCAGTGTCTGTGATGTGGTGTAATATTGAAGCCCTAAAAAAATTGCGCTTCAAAATGATCAAGAAGTGCCTCAAAAAAGTAAAAAATCTTTGAGTGACCGGTTTTACCATACTCGTTTTCCCCAATAGACTGTAGTGTTATGAAAACCGTCAGGCGAACGGTTTTCAAAATTTGTAATTCCAGTTATAAATATCTTGATAACCAGGCAGGTGATCGGCTTGTAAAAGTCATGGGGTTCCTGACTGACCTAAAGGTTTATAATTATCATTGCAGCATGAGCTAAATCCAGAATTTTGTTTCAGAATCCGAGACAAAGTTACCGGATCCCTTTAATCGGTAATGTCACTATGATTGTTTCAGCACACAAAATGATAAAAATAGAATGTCAATTTCACAAAATGTATAACTCTTTTCTTTTTAGAGGACATATAATAATGTGCTATCCTTCATATATGTTGAGTAGTGTCCCTAGGGAGGAGGCACTTGGGAGAAAAAGAAATTAATCATGATAAATGGGAGAGTTTTCTGAGACCATGACCAAATTGCCAATCTGAGATTTGCATAGATTTAGTGTTCTCATATTTCAAACATTCACAACTCTCTTATTATTGATATATTTTATTTTAAACTTTTGTCATTCTGTTTCTCTAATTTTCCTGCTTTTATGCAAATGAACTTTTAACAAAAGTTGGATTGCCCTTTAAGTTTCAGTCTTTAAAAAAAAAAAATTCAAACAAATAATTTTCTTACTTTTTTTCTAGGTGAGCCCATGAGACTTGGCCCCCAGGGAACCAAGGCCAAGAGTAACAAACCTCGGGTCTATGTAACCGATGGCAACGACATGCCACTCAATGGAGTCTGTGTTTTCTTCCTGAGGGCCAATACCAACAAACCTGTAAATGAAGAGACCATTCACAAGGTACGTATTAGTATTTCATTGTTTATGCCTCTGAAGATGTACGTGCCAGAGGTATTTTGTTTCCAGGTTGTCTGCCTGTCTGTTCGTCCATCCTTGCTGCTTTCACATTATCACAATTTCTTGAGGGACGTTTAAGATATGAACTTTAAAACTTGATGATAGTGTTTATCACTATAGGAAGACAATGTGACAATCTGATTAGATTTTGGGGAAAGTAGGGTAAAGGTCAATTTATGAGATAACAGGATTTAGATTTGAGTTATAAACCTCAAACTTCGTGATATCACCAAAGCAAGGTGATCTGATACGACTTGGGGGTAAGTAGGTCAAAGGTCATACAGGTAAATTCCATGAAATTCTGTCAATACCTGAATTTTCAACACACAACAGAGGAAGGAACCAAACTAATAACTCAAACATTTCATGTTAAAAAATGCAAAGAGAATAGAGTTGTATTATTTTTTGAGTTAAGAATGCTACCAGTATTACATGTACAGTATCATAAGGGGAGATTTCATGCCAGCAGAAAACGGTTGGCATAAATAACTAATGATAAACGAGGCCAATATGCAGCTACATAAAAGCAAACATAATCTTTTCAATAAAAGCAGTACCATTTCTTCTCTAGACATAGTTGATGAAAGTGAAAGTAAGCATTTACAAAATGTCTTTATTCTTTCCTTTTCTTCAGGAGCTGATTTTTACATCACTGGATACTTCCGGCATTGGCTTACTGAATGCCGTAGAGAAGTACTTAGCAGACATTATCATCCCCTTTCTCCGTACCAACACCAATGGATGGGGGCAGCTAGGTACCCCAGCTAACCAACAGGTGAGTCGTCAGCAAGATGTCTTGGTTCATTTATGTAACTTATTAAATGCTGTCAAGTAGTTTTACAAATCATAATGGATTGTATTATATAAGGCTGAAAGGGGGGGGGGGGATTTTTTATTTTCTTGATTATATAATTGTTTTATATAATGTATTGTGAAACAAAATAATCATGTATATGAATGAAGTTTACTACAAAAATTCAAAATTCAAATATAGTTTTTATTACTATGTTATCATGGGAGCTGTTTGCTTTCTAATTGGTTCATAGCCAGTTTCCTTTGTAATAACTATAATTATGATTAAAATGGCTTTTTGTAATGACTGTCACACATTGATGCTCCTGAGGCTCCAACATTATCACCTTGTTCATAGCCAAGCAGCCAAATATAGCAAGCCAGAATCTGATGATCGGGGTAATCCGTAGAGCGCTTAGCAACTCTGACATTGCTGATGCGTTACGTGCTATATAAGCAGAAATATTGTTATACCATGACACCTGAACCTTTTCCCCCTTCTGATTTTCAGGCACGTCATGATTTCCTGCTGAGCCTGGAGGCCTTTGTCTCCATCCTAGGTGGAGCCAAGGACTCCCTGGGAGAGCGCATGGATCTCAAGAAGTGTGAGACGTACGACGTCTCCAAGCTCACCAAGGCGTCGGACCAGATCGCTGTGGCTAACAGCACACATGACCTAGAGAAGGTGGAGGAGATCATGGCCGTCTGGATCAAACAAATTGAACAGGTTAGTGCTGGTCTGTCGATTAAGAAAAATTCATTTATATTTAATGAGAATTAGTTTACTATTGACTATTGAGTAAGATTTCATTTATATATTATTAACAGTGATCTGCACACCAAACTTACCGTGGCATTATATTCAGGGATGCCAGTTTTCAGGCAATAGCCGGAATTCAGGCCCTGGCGAGTTATTTTCATACCATAGTTTAGGCTTTTTTGTGTACAAACTAGCTCATTCTAGGTGATTTTCAGGCCCTCTGATCAATTCTAACTGGCATCCCCGTATATTATAGTAATACATTTTTATGTACATTAAGATACCTAACATACATTTACGGGTGAACCGATATTTGCTCCTGGCTTTATTTCTTCAAAGGTATAGGGTTCAGGTTAGAGTTTTAATTGTCCGAAAAAAAATTATTATGGTGAAGGATCCAGGGTTGAAGTTCAGAAGTTGGTTAGTGTAGGAAGTTTTTTACATGGAGAAATTGCAGTAGGAGGAATTAGTGTCATACAACCACATTTGCAAACACAAATACTGGTAAACCTTCATAAGGTTGGTGTGCATTTGTTGGGTGCAAGTTCGAGCAATCATCTTGTTAAGAAAACTTTACAAATCATTAGGCTAATGCTGTTGAAATCCTATACTTTATTTTCTCAAACAGGTGCTGGCAGAAAGCGAACAAATGAGGAAGGAGGCAGACAACATTGGACCGCGAGCCGAGTTAGATCATTGGAAGAAACGCATGTCCCGATTCAACTACCTTCTAGAGCAGATCAAGGGACCGGAGGTCAAGGCTGTGCTGGGTGTCCTGCAGGCCGCCAAGTCTCGCACTCTCAAGGTATGTGGATTTCCTTTGTTTTCTCTGCAAAATTAACAGTTTAACTCCATCATAAATACATTAGCAGCATAAAATGTCTATGTAGTTCATCTTTAATTCTGTAGTTATGTCTTCGTTTGTGATTGACAATTTTATATTTAGTCACTCAAAATTGTTTTGTATTAATTGCCTTTCAAGATTTATTTTATTTAACCAGGCCTCTGTTGCTATTGCACTGCTTTTGTACCTAACATTTGAATGTAAACTAGGCCCTTAATAAGTGCTTCATAGAATACATATTATCAGCTTGCAATTTATTTTGACTGTTTTTCCTATGATGCAAGGTACCTTAAGAGAATGCCCAATCCATTGGTCGAAAGCTGTTCTCACATACACTTTTCCATCTGATACATTGTGATATCTTGTATGACCATAATATGTATTAGTGCAACATTCTGATCTTAAAGAGAAGGTTGAGTTCTGGGAAGAGGTGAAAAATAATTTGTGAGCGTTATCATTCTTATTATGCAAGTGTGGAAGAACATCAGATAAGACATGTTCCCTGAAAAGCATGGCTCTTCAAATGCCTTTATATTCTAAATATGTCATGTAACTCGTAAAACTCGGGGGGTAGGTTTTTTTTACTCCACGTGTTCGTGTAGTCCCATATATATCTTTCTGTGTACAGTGTTTGTAACTTTACCTAGACTTGGCCAAATTTCTTGTCATTTTGATGATTCCAGAACCTTGCAATACACACACATTCTTATATGCTAGATGATCAACCTTTTCTGGTCGATTTCACACCGTTTCTTTCACAATGCAATCGCATGACCAGAACTCAACTTCATCTTTAACGTTCAAGTCGCTGACTTTCTTTATGGTTTTGTGGTAAGTTCTAACCCTCTACCTCGATGCCATTTATTTCGCAGCAAAAATGGATGGAGCTTGATCGCCGCATCACCGATGCAGCCAACGAGGCCAAGGATAATGTCAAGTTCCTCTACACTCTAGAGAAGTTCTGTGACCCTCTCTATAACAGCGACCCTGTAAGTGCATGGAAAATAGTCTTTAGACTCAACATATATTAAGAATGTTGGTGTATTTTAATAAGCTATTTAGGGCTAGGTGGTATGAGTGCTGTTATGAACAGGCCTTTTGTCCACATGAACATCAACATGAAAAATTTGGAATCAGATCAACATTCACTGTACATGTAGAGTTCATTGTTAATTTCGTTTATTTTGTAATTAGTTTAGTTATTTATGAGCTCACACTGATAAGAATGTTTGAGAAGATAACAATATTTGAGACAAAAGTCCTCAAAAATGCTATCAAAATTAAAGCGGCATCTTGGAGATTCTTAACGACAGCAAATTAAGGGCTGTGATATTCAAGCCAAGGTACTAAACACAGTATGATATGACCTACACAAACAATCTATTACAATCGAAACCTGTTTATGATGGCCACTCAAGGGAAACAGAAAAAGTGACCACTTTAGACAGGTGACCTTTCTAGGCAGGTTCTATAACACACATTTCTCTCTCTCTCTCGAGGGAGACAAAATGCATGACCAGGTGGACACGTGGCCTTTATAGAAAGGTGGCTTCTAACATAGGTTTGACTGTATTATTTATTGTATCATTTACTTTCTATTTTACAGGTTGGTATGGTAGAGACGATTCCTGGCCTGATCAACGCCATTCGTATGATTCACAGCATCTCCAGATACTACAACACATCAGAGAGAATGACCTCACTCTTTGTCAAGGTCAGATCCCATAATTATTATTTCAATATTATGTTTTGAATGGTTGCAATTACAAAGAATCAAATCATATTGCAGTTTTATTGTTTATTAGTGTGTGCAATATTTGAAATATATCAGATTTCAATCAAGCGTGTTTTGTATCCTATCCTTTTCCATAATTTCAACAAAAATTTAATTTCAAACAAGAATATCTGCCAACAAATGTTTGTGATATTTTTGTAAAACCTTGAAAGTGTTAGGCACTTGACTCTGGAAATGTGCCAAGACTTGTCTATTCCTTTGCGACAATTGAAATTAATTCTAACTTTTTTCTCTTCAAACCTACTAAATGCTAAACAATTTACTTGAAGCAAAGTTGATTCAGTCTCTGCACTATACTTCAACAGCAGTTTATAATAAGGACATTCAATTGACTTAGCTTGTTGAGTCATTCGTATCCAATAAATCTTGAATATTTGACAAACTCCCATGATCGTTTCCTACTATCCATGATCGTATCCTACTATCTTTCATGTTTTGAATTGCGCAGATCTTTGAAACACGTTGATCTCTTTGCCAATCCCCCGGGATTGAGAGGTCCATCCTTCCCAGGGGCCCCACTCGCAAGCATAGCTTTTTGGGGTCTCAATTTGGATCATGTTTGTTCATCATGATTGCTATGTCTGGTGTTTTTTAATAAACTGAACTGAAAAAAAAAAAACACTTTCCTCTTCCCAACCCCACAGGTGACCAACCAGATGATCACATCCTGCAAGTCCTACATCACCGACGCGGGCATATCCACCATCTGGGAGCAACCGCGAGAAGAGCTAATCCCCAAGCTCAAGAACTGCATCACCCTGAACCACGAGTACCAGGCCTGCTTCCAGAAGACCAAGCTGAAGCTGGAGAGCATGCCCAAGGAACGCCAGTTCGAGTTCTCCGAGATGTACATCTTTGGCAAGTTTGACACCTTCGAGCGTCGCCTGGTCAAGATTATCGATATGTTTGATATCATCGAACGCTACTCCCATCTGGCTGATTCCCGTATCGAAGGTAAATGTCGGTTTGTTTACTTCTCATTCTATCTGTAACATTTCAGGGATGTCTAGTCCATGCATGGTAGGTGTATAGTAGATGTCTTCTGTTTAACCTCACTTTTAGAACTTCGTATCTGTTTGCCTCTTGTTTAGAACATTTTTTTTCCCCGTCCTGCCTGCCACCTCTTTTTAGCATTTTATCTCATCCCATATTCTAGATTTATATGCAACTGAATTTCGGCCTGGAATCCTTGTTCTTCACTGTTACATTTTATTTGTCCCTTGAGTGAGCAAGTGTGCGAGTCCGATTGTACATATTAAATTCACACCTGTGGAAAGTAAAGCATACTTGTCTAAAGCTCCACTGCACTACATATAGCTACTTGCGCCATCTATATGATTCCCTTTTTCTTATGTTAATTGAGAGCTGATTTGATGAGATAACCACCTGCCAGTGACCTTGCAGGGAGGTCTAATCCCTCCTGGTCAAACTAGTGCAGAGGGGCTTTAACAAACCAAGGATAGGACCTGTGAAAGATGAACATGGAAATATCTTATATGTAGTTTGACATGTCATTTGATTCAGTTACCATGACAGCAAATGATATCTTAAAAACCAAAATGAAAATACAATTTCATTATGTTTGTGTAATGAAACATTTTAAATATATTGATGTCTCAATTTTCAAAGAATTGCTACTTGCATCATTATGCCCACCAACTCACAAAGTTTTTCTCTTTTGGTTATTTCAGGTATGGACTCCCTGGCAAACCGTTTCACAGTGGTATACACCTCCATGAAGAAGAAGCCTTATGATCCTCTGGACCAGAGGAAAGCTGACTTTGATTCAGACTATGCAGACTTCAAGAGATCCGTCAATGACTTACTGGTAAGGCAAAGCTTTTGATAATAAATTGAGCCACAAAACATGTTGAATAGGGACACCAGGGTGACAAGGAATAATTATACATTTGTATTCCCCCCTCCCCAGTAACGATAAATTTTGTATTCTTTCCTCAATATTCAATTTCACACATTTGCTTTGAAAATCCTTGCAGAAATGTGTCTTAAATGTCATCCGCTTTCACCTTATGATACAATTTAAGTGAAATGTTGCCATCAAATTTTTAGGGCTCCCAACACTTTAGAGGGTCTTCAATTAATATTTATCTAGAGATAAATTTGACAAAACCTCTTTTTTTTCTTCATATTTGTCAAAATTTTAAAGCTCATTTGTGTTGTTTGTTTCAATAGATTGCCGTCAAGAACTTCATGAATAACATGCTGGACAAGATCTACAATGTACCGAGGGCACTCATGACTCTACGAAAGTTTGAGAGGTAATGTGAGGTATTATTGATTTGATTAACACTGCAGTATTTCAAAGTGGCATAGACCATGTATGTGAAAGGAATATGTGACAATCAACGATGTTATGTATTCTTCCAATGTTCTAAGATTCTAAGTGAGATAACGATGAAGCTTGAGATCGTTTCTTACACCTTTCGGTAGACTTCTGTATTTCAATTCAATTTAATGTCAATCTAGTTTTCCATTAAAAACAAAGCAATTGCATAATGAATACATACAAAGATTACATTGAAAGGACTCCTAAGAAAGCAAAGCTTATGAGGAGGGGCCCTGTACAAATATAAAGAAATAAACGAAATTCATATTTATTTTTGCAACACCTTCCCATAAGATATATGCTAATATTGGAATTTGACGACCAAAGAAGATTTCCAAGGTAAGACCAAGTTTGTCACTGTATGTTTTCTTGAAATGGACAAATTGGGGTTTTCCCCTCTCTCAGGCTCGTTCAGATATGTTGCAATGAAACCGCAGCAGTATTGTTACATGTAAATGAATGTGTTATAAGATACAGAAACGTGAAGCATAGTACACTTTACGTCATCATGAAAAAAAAACTGCTGCGGTTTTGTCTTGTCATATCTAAACGGGGCCTAAAGCTGGTTTTATGTGTTTACAGTGCAGTAATAAGGAAATGGTGAAAAGAAGCACATTGTTGTAATGTAAATTGCTGGACTGTGAGTAGTACGTGCTGTGTTGGGGGCGGGATTGAACACCACCATTGGGCGATATGGGACACCAAATACATCTGATTTTTACTTCCTTTTCAGTCTTCAGATTTTCCTCAAATCTCTACTGTCTTTCTATGTGCACACAAATTTCAAACCAAATTCAATTTGATTTGAAGTTTGATATTTTTACGTAAACGTGTTACTTCCATTTTTTTCAGTTTTTCAATCTATTGGTGTTTTGGGTTGTTTGTGTTTTCATGATATTCAAATGCTGCTCTTTTCATTAGAGGGTTGATGATTATAAAAGTTCTTAGTTATTTTTGTCAGAATCCAAACTGCATACATTAGTTGTTGCCAAGCCGGTATGACAAACATTATGGCTTGACCTACCTAGCTACTCTTAATATATGCAGTTTGCATTCTGACTATTGAAATACTAATATTCTTATCAGTTGACCTTCACAAAGACTGATGTATTAAATTTGGTTACATTACGAAAATAGCCTATTAAATGCATACATCTTGAACAAAGTTTCTCTTGACAACTCAAAGGCTTGCTAGACTTGGCAATAGATAATGTATGCAAGGTAGATTATCCATAGAGCTGCCATTTGTTTTGTTTTTGTTTTTTGTTTTTTTAGTTTCGATTTATGGCGCTATGCCTGGCAATGTCGCATATGTTTTCTATGTTTTCTATAACAAATGGTGTACCACAAGGTTCTATCCTAGGTACTCCATTATTAGAAAGATAGAGGATGCTATTCATATCATGCATGACTATTGATGTTTGGCATAGAACACAGAGCTTCTGCTAGGTGATGTGAAGAGGCTGGTGTGGGACACTTGGTATCATGAAGCCTTAGACTGTTGTTACTATTATTTGTGACAAGTTCACAACTTCTACTGCACCTCGATGTAAAATGAAGGTCCTTCCCCGCGTGGGTTTTTGGCAACAAAACAACAACAACAACAAAACAAAAAAACGATATTTTTTTTTTTTTTTTTTTTTTTTTTTTTTTTTTTTTTTTTTTTTTTTTTTTTTTTTTTTTTTTTTTTTTTTTTTGCCCCCCAAATAGGGGTGCGCCTTATACACAGGTGCGCCTTATACACGGAGATTTACGGTACATGTATGACTTGAAGTTGAAATACATATTTAGGAAGCAGGTCTATTGGATAAATATGTGTAACTTAACCAAAAAGCCTTGACACCTGCGTGGATGGACATTGCAAGAAAAGTAGACAGCAAAATGTAATCACATAAAATTAGTAAAATATTAGATGCTGCTTATAAGTATTGGCTCGCATGGGGATGTAGATATACAACTTAGGCTTGAGTCACTGAGTTGCAGATGTGGGTGAGCTACGTGTCCATCTGGGCTGGAGTCTCCAGGTTGCGGACGAGGGGGTGCTCCGTATCCGTAGGTAGGATGTGGTTTTGGTGATACGCTGTGTGTGTCCTGACATAGGCAGTGTTGTAGTCTGCTGTCATCTGCTGTGCATTGTAGATGTGAGGCTGGCGACTGCTTTGTGAGTTCGGCGGGTGGCAGTGGTTGATGTACAGGTGACTGAGGCACACGGACATATATAGCACCCCCATGTCCGCAACCCGGTGACTTAAGCCCACGCACGCCAGCTGTTCCCCACTCCTGACTACAGATAGTCAACCTGTTTGAAACGTCGAGCCACTCCTACTCCACATTCTCTCTAACCGGCGCTATAGTTCCTTTTAAAACTATTAGCTCAAGATAAATCACAAACAGTCCTTTTCAGGACTACACACTCATGAAACAAAGATTACCGACATTTTATTTCAGGACTCCCCAATCCTCCCCCTCTCTCACCCTCTCTCACATGGTGCAACCGTAATCCTACTGTATAACAAAATATTGTTAATTTAGTGCTGAAAATCCTTTACAAATTTCATACATCATGGGAGGACAGAATTCTCTATAAAAACAATATATCTTTGTTTCCCCAACAGAGTCGATGTGCCAAATCTTGGTATCCATGAGAAGTACGCCCAGATCCTGCAGCGCTTTGGCCGGGAGATCGAGAACACCTCCAAAAACTATCAGCGCAACAAGAACGACCCTCCCATCGGCCGCGACCTGCCTCCCATCTCCGGCAAGATCACGTGGGCGCGGCAGATGTTCCGTCGCATCCAGGAGCCGATGGATGCGTTCCAACAGCGCCCTCAGCTGCTAAATGGCAACGAGGCTCGGCGCATCATCAAGAACTACAACAAGCTGGCCAAGGTCCTGATGGAATTTGAAGTGCTCTACCAGCGTGCCTGGTATAGACAGGTAAGCACTTAGTTTGGGTTCCATTTCGTCCTTCATCATTCAACTCAACAAAAATGCACTTACAAGAAAAGAATGCTCTAAATTCCAACACACTTCTAACCGCAAGTGTGATGTTACGAGAGAAATTTTCAACTCAGTTTTTCTTGATATTTTGACGTCTATAAAAAAAGGATTAAAGAATGTTCTTTTTATCATAGCTTCCAAGTGAATGTAATTTTTTGTTTGAAAAGTGAAGAGACAACTATAGAATGAAAAAAAATTGATTGCCAATTTGTGGAAGAATTTCCTTCCAAAGATCGGTTATAGAAATAAACTTGTACAGTCAAACCTGTCTACAGCGACTGCCCAAGGGATAGACCAAAAGTGGTCTTTGTAGACAGGTTCCTTTAGTACATGTTTCAATGAGAAACCATTTTCAAGGGAAACAAAACATGTGCTTCTTGTAGACAGGTGGTCACTAAAGCAGGTTTGACCGTATCATCCTTTTCTTTCCACGCAGGTTGAAGCCGTCAAGACTGGCCTCCACGCCTCCCTCCTGGTGCGCCACCCAGACACCCAGGAGCTCTATGTGAACTTTGACCCTCAGATCCTCACCCTCATCAAGGAGACCGAATGCATGTATCGTCTGGGGTTGGAGGTGCCCATCGCAGCGAGGGCGATCTTCCAGAAACAGAGCCTCTTCAAAGAGAACTATAACAAACTCAAGGTACTATTAGAGGTGTCTCTTTGGCACCTTGTGTGGTGGATATGAGTGCTATTAGAATATCCATTCTTTTGATTTTAGCTGTTATTGTTATTATTTAATTAATATTATCACTGTTGTTATTATATTTTCTCTGTTGTTATTATATTTCCTAGGATTGCCTAAGAATATATTAAGCTAGTTATCTTCAAAATGTACGTACCAAAATTGTATTGTTTTTTGTCACATGATTTCACATAAACTGTGGACAAAGATTTCTTATTGTACGGGTAAAAAAGCAAAGACCATATAGAATATCTTTAAATATTTGGAAAAATTTCTCCCTAATTCATTTAGAACACAAAATGTTGCTATAAAAATCCCTTAGTCTGGATGATCAAAGCTTATGGCATCATGAAGTATGTCAACATTAACGTAGCCTTGGGTTCAATGCAAGCATGATTCCTTTAGTCAAGACAGTGAGGTGCTGAAATCGCCCTTATTTTTAGCGATTGGGAATTTTAAATTGGAGGTTAAGTGGTTCATTCACTTGACTCTCAATTCAAGGGTTAAGGGTTCAAATCCCGACCCAGCACTACCGTTTTTTGGCAGGATATGAATCCACACACACTTTGCTACTCTTCACCCAGGTGTAAACAGGTGCCTGGCAATTTTACTAGGGTAGTGATAATAGCAGAGCCTACTTGAAGAGCAGTTTTATGACTAATATGGCTCCCTTGAGTAAATAAGACCCAATTATTTTTAGTTATTGTTTTCCATTTTATCTCACATTATAGCTTCTGTTGGAGGAGAACAAGCGAGTCTGCAGCAAGATCCAACCAGCCTTTGAGCCCTTGATGGAGACCCATCTAGATAAACTGAACAGGGTCCTTGACCCTGGTCTAACTGCCCTGACCTGGACCAGTATGAACATAGACCCGTTTGTAGAGGATGTCTATGCGGCTCTGGGTAAGTTGTGCTTCAGAAGAGTCTGAAAACTTTATTCTACAGTACATGCTTCAGTGACAATCGCTTCATGGTCAATTTCCTACAACAACTGATTACCTATCTTCAACCCTGGGCCCTGTCTTACAAACAGTTGAACTTGATGTAAAATAATTGCAAATCTGTTCTCAAGAGCTCAGAATTTTGGATAGATTGTAGGACTCGCCATTAATCAAGATCAATCACAACTCTATGTAAGATGGGCGCAGGACTATGCATATCCTCACCCCTAATCTAAACCCCCTCACTTCACCTGTAAACCTGACCTAAAACCTAATTGCAACCTTGACTCTTTATTATGGACAAAATAAAATCCAAAGCAAATGTCGCCGAAACATGTGTCAGGTCACAGAAAAATCTGTATTTTCTTGATATTAGTTGATTTGAAGTTTGTATATGGTAATGTCCTTAGAGAGAGTGAGCAAGTTTGGGATAACCGAGGGTTAGTACATTGAAACCTGTCTATAAAGACCACGCAAGGGAGACAAGAAAAGTGGTCTATATAGGCAGGTGGTCTTTTTGTACAGGTTCCTTTAGCACATGTTTCAAAGAGAAACCACTTTCAAGGGAAACAAAGAATGTGGCCTCTGTAGACAGGTGGTCTTTCTATACAGGTTTGACTGTAGTAGAAGCCTTTATTGAATATCTCCTACAATTTCCTTCATTTTTGCCTTCTCTACCTCTCGGTCATAAAAAACTTCTTCATTTTCCATTATCCTTTAGGTGAACTGGAGCTTTTGATGGTTCGGGCCTCGGATCTGTGTCAGTTCCGCATCAATGTAGTCCTGAAAGAGATGAGCGAGATCCAGCTCTGTGAGCTACCTGAAGACGAGGCCTGGACCACGGACCAGTTCCTAAAGAGGACCCAGGTAGGAACACAATCTTGGGTTATTTCTACCTAGACCATAAAACTTTGTCAACTGTACTATAAAAAATAACCAGTTCACGGTTAGCACATGTCCCAAATGACCCCAAATATCCACAGATCTTCAAAACATGAAGAGGTCCCACTTTGTACATTTTGAAATAATCCCGCCTACAGCAATGGAGGTGCTAAATAAATAGCCTTTATTTCCCCTTATCAAAGAATACTTCCACCTGTGTATCATGGAGTGCACTGCTTGTGCATAAATGAATAATGATTACATAACTTTCATGAGCACGTATCCAGTATTTTGTCTCCGTGTATTTCACAACTTGGTCTGCAATGACCTTTATCTGCTCATGCTCAGACTGCAACTACATGTATGAACTGGCTTATGTGTTTGACCTCTTTGTTTCCATCTCCTGCAGGAGCTGTCTAACAAGGGAGCAGTCATGCTCCAGGTGAAGAGTATCCAGGTGGAGGAGGCCGCCAATGAGCTCATCAACATGCTCCTGGCCGAGCCCGACGTGGAGGAGGAGGAGGAGGAGGATGAGGAGAACGAAGATGAAGGTAAGTTCCATCAGTCTTTACCAGTGGCGGTATCACCATAAAATAGTTATAACGACGTTAATACTTGATAAAATCTTACATAACAGGCATTTTTTTAAGGCACTTTCTTTTAAAATGAAAGCATCTATACTGTAACACATAAATTATTTAATACAAGCTCTGAATGGAATGAAATAAGTCTAAATAATTTTAGAAACCATTATTTATGATCAGTATGTACAAGGTTGCATTTTGATGACAGGAATAACTTTCTTTCTACTTGTGTTTTGTTGTTGTCAATAACCAAAAATGAATGCTAAATGATTAATAATTATGATGTACAGTGTATATTGATTTTCTCTGTCATTGCTAGTGTGCAATAGTTACGCCATTTCCTGTCTTGAGGTTACTTGCAACTTGTAATATCAATCAAAATTACCCTGATACAGATGGTGAGAAGAAGCGTTCCAGCCCTACCCCGTCCCGCATGAGTGCCCGTAGCCGGCCCGGTAGCATGACATCCCGCTCCCAGTCTGCGGCAGCCACGTCGGCAGCCAAGAAGCGCCGCGAGAAGCGGGAGCACCTTGAGGAATCGGCCCAGGAGCTCCTAGCTCATTTTAACCATCGTAACCTTGACGCTCTTCTCAAGGTCACTCGCTCAACCATGGATGCCATCAGGAAGAGGATCACATCGAGCTCTGCACTCAGCTACATCTCTGGTAAGTGCTTTATAGTCGGTGTTTGTGTTACTGTTCTGGAAAGAGTTACAGTAAGTGCTTAGTGGGTGTTTGGTGTCAGTGTTACTGTTTTGGAAGGAGTTACAGCTCTATATTACTGGGAGGTGCTAATTGGATATTTAGTGTAGGTGGGTTAGAGCTGTATCTCTGGTAAGTGCTTAGTGGGTGTTTGGTGTCATTGTTACTGTTTTGGAAGGAGTTACAGCTCTATATTACTGGGAAGTGCTAATTGGATATTTAGTGAAGGTGGGTTAGAGCTGTAACTATGGTAAATGCTCAAATGGTGTTTGATGGTAGTGTTATTATTTGTGAGATGGGTTATAGATCTCATTACTGGGAAGTGCTCATTGTGTATTTGGTGTTAATATGGTTAGTACTATACTTAATTGGTGATTGGTGTTTTTATCACTAATGTAGTTAGTGTTACATGTTCATTACTGGGAAGCATGCAACGGATGTTGGTGTTATGGCATGTACTGTTACAGCTAATTTGAAGTCTAGAGTAGGTGTTTGGTGTTAATATAATGGATAAGGTTAAGCTGTTTATTTAATAATCACTCTTTGCATGTTTTGTGTCAGTGTTACTCTTTTGGGAAGGTTTAGGGTACAGGACTGAGAAGTGCTTTATCAATTTACCATTTGGTGTTATTGCAGGATTTTACAGATGCATTACTAAGAAGAGTTCATGAGATTTTTGCATTACCAATACTAAATACAACTAATTACTACTGGTGTGATTAATATGATAGTGTCTTGAGTGTTATGCAAGAACTAGACAATATTTTCAAATTGTATCACTATTACAGTTGACCAGGGAGAAAACAAACGGAAGGAGAATCCTTTCTTCCGCTGTGCGGTGGCACTGGCCATTCCAAACATCATCATGCAGCCCGCCCTCGACGAGGTCCAACAGACAGTCAACAAAGCCGCACAGATGGTGCTGGGCGTGGCAAGGGGTGTGGCCCAGTGGAACAAGGAGCGAAAATCCAAGGTGGGTGGTTGATTATCGTCATTGAATTGTTAATACGAAGCTGTATTTTCCAGATTTAGAACTTGTTTACATTTTATGTGGTGTGGATACATATAGAACAAAATATACCTGTTAACAAGGTCAAAAGACAAAAACAAAAGTTTTTAAAAAAGTATAAAAAATACACTCAAATACTACCAAACAAAACGTAATTATGTAAGATACGTCTATAAGAAGCTTGTACAACAAGACGCATGAAGTTTAACCAACATTAATCATAACGCACAATTGATTAAGCACCCGAAGAGAATTAAGGTTTAAAGCTGGGCGTAGAAAAGATAATTATAGGCCAGGAATTGCTCTGCAAGTCTTCATTGAATACAATCACATGCTCCCAATATAACCTTGAGGCAGTGAGAGACAATTATTTAAAATATAGTCCTGAAGGATAAAGTGGATTGCCAACAAAATGTAATTGTATTGGAATAAGCTGGTACCAACAATGATTTAACAATATATATAAACGGAAAGTCATACTAAAGAAAGAGTCTAAGCATGATGGCTTAACTTTAAACAAAGTGTAGAGAAAAAAAACCAACGCAACCCGATGCATGGCCAGTCCAGTGCTTCCAACATAAAGAAGTTTCAGCGAAGTGTTCAGCGTTCCATGTACAGTAAGACGCTTAACGAGATGGATTAGTTGCTACTTCCACTTTCTATGCAAATAAAATTCCAGGTACAATACACGCGATAATAATGTCTCCCCAACTAACCATCGACTGAACATGTTCAAAAAGACGCTTAACGAGATGGATTAGTTGCTACTTTCAGTTTCTATGCAAATAAAATTCCAGGTACAATACACGCGATAATAACTAACCATCGACTGATCATGCTTATGAAGACGACGTTAGTTTGCTGATATCGGTCATCTGTGTAAGAATCACACGGCGTCCATCAGTGGTCAAACTTTGATTCGGCCATCTTGAGTCCAAATGGCTTTCAATTTTTCCTTATGTTTTGACTTTATCTCCCGAAGGAGACTTCCTCGCTCTTTCGTCAAATTCTCTTGTATGAAAATGGGCATCCCTTCCAAACCTCTGAGTTTCCTTCTTGCCTGGTAGACCTTGTTACAAGCTGTGTAGTTGGTAAATTGAGCAATGATCCCTCTGGTTGATCCTCCATTTTTCGATCCTAATCCGTACGATCTATCGATGTCTCCCCTTGTTAGCTTTATGTCCAATTTCTCCTCACACACTTTGTTAATCAATTCATCTGTCTCCTCACTTTCTCTCTCATCCAGACCATGAACAATCAGGCAATTTCTTCTTGAGTATTGCTCAGCCTCTTCGTGCTCCTCCTTCAGTCTGGCAAATTTTCTTTCCAATTCACTTATTTTGCTATCTCTCTCAGAAAGCTCAAATTCAAAACTTTCACGAATGCTTTCAGCAACCTTTTCAGTAATGACAGATGTTAGTTCTTCAATAAATGTCAGCTTTACCTTTGATACAAGAGAGTCTAGAATATCGTTGTTGTCCTCCAGTACTTTCTTGACTTCTCCGCGTATATCTCTTGCAATATCCTCGGTTTGAAGTTTCGCGCCTCTCAGCATCTTGACACGTTTCTGGGCAATAACTTCCTTATATTTCACAAAAAGAGTTCACATAGTATAAGTAAAACCAACACAGGTAGTTCAACGACCTCCCAAAGTACTCAAAAGTAGGCAAAATTCCTATAGGTGCTATAGTTTCATTGCTGTTGTATATACTTCAGCGAATCGTTAGGCACATCCGTTCATGACAACAATAGAAATTGATCTCATATATAATGTATAATGGACATCTATTGTACAAAGTTATGTCTGCTTGTTTCACAAGAGATGCACATTGTGCCATAGTGGTTGTTTTTGGTAATTTCCCTTCATACAGGAGGTGTAGCTGATATCATCAAGTAATTTCTTGTATTTCAATCTATTTTTCAATCAAACGACAAATGCAAAGCTGTTTGAGAACTTGTTTACATTTTATGATATTTCATTCTATTTTTCAATCAAATGACAGGCCAAGCAAGAAGCTGACATGCGTGCTGCAGCGTTACCTGACTCGGGTCGTCGTAGCAGTATCTCAAGCATGGCTGCTTCAGAGAGCTCTAGGAGTGATATCACCTCAACCAGGAAAGGTAAAAACATCTCCCATCTTTAAAGATAAAGACCAGTTCTGGTCATGCAATTGTATTGTGAAAGAAACGTCATGAAATCGATCAGAAAAGGTTGATCATCTAGTAGAAATTTGGCCCAGTCTTCGTAAAGTTACAAGCACTGTACACAGAAAGATGTATATGGTACTACGCACACGTGCGCGACACATGTGTTTATCTCTCACAGTCCAATAGATAAACTAATTCTATGGTATTTACCATTATATGACAGAAATAACGTATTATTGAATGTTTGTACATTTCTTTTGCTTGTTTTTTTAATTCCCGGCAAAATTATTATCATCATGTATTAGTCAAAACATATTCTTTCACGTGATTGCATGGTAATAAAGAGCTTCCATTTCATTTTTGGAAATTGGGGCATTTCCAATACTGGTCTTTACCTTTAAAGGAATATAATTCATGATTGAGAGTTAAAGATTGTACTACTCAAAAAAGACCATTGGTTAAATATTGTTCTAGTTCTTGAAGAAATAACCACTTATGATTATGATATGCACCACTTATATCGCACAATTCCTGTCCTAAGACATATCAGTACGCTTTACATAAACAACTTAATTATTACCCTAGCTTTAGCTCTGGCAGCCGTTATCAGCACACAGTGCATTCAAGGAATAATCCTACCAGGTACCCATTTACCTCACCTGGGTCGAGTGTGGCAAATGTAGACAAATGTCTTGCCAAATGTCATTATTGCCGCGGCACGACTCGAACCTCGGACCTTGCGATCCACAGTCCCATGACATATCCACTCGACCATGACACCTCTACAGGAGTACCGGTAGAGAAATAGACACTATTCAAACATGAAGCCAAGAATTACGATGCTATTACAAAAATAAAAATATTCTTCCAGCGTGCATTACATAGAAAATGCATTTGTATTAAAAGGTACGTTTGATTATTGATTCCCGATAAGGAGTCCTACATGTATGACATTCAAGAGTGCAATAGCACCTTGATGTACATGTAGGGTTGAACCTGGAACCTTGTTCAAAGACGACTACCCTAACCATTGACCTGAAGTGTACCTTCTCATATTTCAGGTCGTTCAGATGAGCTAGCTTCAGTCAACCTGGTGCCTCAAGTACAGGTCAAGAACTACTTCAAGAATGTGAGCGAGAACAAGGAGATCGCTAAGCTGGTCTCACTCCTCTCCACCTGCGTCATGTCGACTAAGAAGGTGAGAAAACCCTCTAACGGATTAGTGTTTGTCCAGAATTAACTTTAATCTGTAGTTTGAGATCTTGTGTCATGTCGACTAAAAAGGTGAGAAAACCCTTTAACAGATTAGTGTTTGTCCAGAATTAACTTTAATCTGTAGTTTGAGATCTTGTGTCATGTCGACTAAGAAGGTGAGAATACCCTCTTACGGATTAGAGTTTGTCCAGAATTAACTTTAATCTGTAGTTTGAGATCTTGTGTCATGTCGACTAAGAAGGTGAGAATACCCTCTTATGGATTAGAGTTTGTCCAGAATTAACTTTAATCTGTAGTTTGAGATCTTGTGTCATGTCGACAAAGAAGGTGAGAATACCCCTGTTACGGATTAGTGTTTGTCCAGAATTAACTTTAATCTGTAGTTTGAGCTCTTGTGTCATTTCCACCAATTTCAGGGCTGTGCTTTACTCAGATTCAGATTCATGTATTCACTATTGTTAAATAATAGTACATAACATAAATAACATAACAACAACAAATATGATGTTTTACATGAAAATAATTGAACATCAATAACTTCAGATCATTTCCTGGATAAGAGATCATAAGAATGGCCCATCCAGATCTATTTGTTCTAGATTGACTGTCATATACTTGGCCTTAGCTTCACCAGTATGTCCCCAAAAAGAGTAGAGGAGAAAGAATTGTCAGTTTGGTTTCATATTTAAAATATGTGATTTGAATCCTGCTTATAATTTCAGTATGCCTACATTGAGGTTCAATTCTATCACTGGTGTGAGCTCTCATTATATTTTCACCATAATGAAGCAACAATGCATTTTTTAAAGACCTAGTCATAATGATCCAATCTATTGCTGTATTTCTGCCATGTTTCTGCATTAAACGTGTATACATTGTTTATATTACATTGTATATGTTCATCTCCATGATATTGGCAAGTTATTCACAAGTGATCATGACTAAACTTCACCCCATTCACAGGAGGTGAGTACTGCCCTGGAGCGGTTTGGACGCTACCATCCCATCTGGCAGAAGGAACGGTCCGAGACTGTCCAGGAGTTCCTTGCTCAGCAACCCAAGCAGAGTGACTTCCAGTCTACCATTGTCCACTACAGGGAGCTGGAGGAGGCCATCTTGGCTGAGCCTGACTTCTACAATGTCGGTGCCATTGCGCTCTACACAGGTAAACACATTATAAGCTGAATTTTAAGTTGTTTCCCCTGTCCCTGAAGTGGCCGTTGCAGTGCTTTTTTTCTGGAAAAAGTCAAGATAATAATAATTATATTTTTTCTGGCAAAAGTCAAGATAATAATAATTATATTCCGCTTGTATAGCGCTTAATACAATGTCTGTAAGCCCTTTACAGATATACTATTACCCCGGTCATTGGATTCAGTGCCCTGGGGAGCATTCCAGCCAGGCGTTACCAGCCAAGCGTTAGATGAGTTACTACTTGTGTTTCTGAGAACTGATGTCATGTTTGTAACAGATAAAGTGATCTTTAACTTACATTTTTTATACATTATAATTATTTGCAATAAATATACAAGTGTGACTTGTTGAATTGTTTACATTACTATAAACATTTGAATGTGGAGATGTTTTATTGCTTCTACGGGCCTCAGTTGAGAAAGATAAGTTCAAACTCCATCTATATGTAAAAAAAGAGGTTACTGAGCTGTACAACCCATGTTATATTTGTGTCGAATGCGTTCTCATGCTACAGAGAAGCTGAAGATCTCACTGACAACCGAGACCAAGGCCTGGTGCGTGGCCTTCGGTAAGGCCTGCAACGAGAAGTACCGCACCATGATGGAAGGCATCATTGATTTCATTGATGACTCTACCAAGAAACTCAACCGCCCTATCAAGGACCTGGATGACATCCGTTTGGCCATGAAGGCGCTAAAGGATGTGAGAGAGAATGAGATCCGTATCGAGATGGCCATTGGACCAATTGAGGTATGGTAGACTGGCTGCGTCCTTGACCATTAAGAGTAAGGTTGTTCTGTGATTGAAACTTTCCTAAAATAAATATTAATATACACGTAAAGGAGGCAACTTTTTCTTGATCTCATACTGTGGGTAAACCCTTTAATTTTTATCAAAGGCTTTAAAGATGGCAATGATTAATCCTTTCATTTTATTGCAATTTCTTATATATTTGTGTGTACCAGGAGGTACCCAACCAATTTAAGTTGAGGAAGTTTCTTCTTCTTCTTCTTCTGTTGAAGTACAGGCAACCATGTTGTTGGTGTATCTTCATACTTGAGGTTGTGCAGATATATATGTACAGTGCTGTGGAAGATCTAATCTATGTGCCAAGCATATTTTTTATGTCATACTTCCATTTGTCTATATACATGTATAAGGTGTAAAGTGACTTTTGTAATCTAGAGATTTGCTATAATAGTAATAATAATAATAGCTAGTTCTTATATAGTGCTATTCAGGACCGAAGGCCCTCTCAAAGCGCTTTACAGATATATATATATATATATTCTTACCCCGGTCATTGGATTCAGGCTTACCCGCACACAATGTACGCACATTCTCCACTCCCTGGGGAGCATTCCAGCCAGGCGTCATTTTTACAAGCGCACACTTGCTAATCTAAGCACATTAGCTTTTGCATCCTACTGGGTACCCATTTAACACCTGGGTGGAGAGTGGCAAATGTAGATCAATGTCTTGCCAAAGGACATTAGTGCCGCGGTGGGACTTGAACCGCGGACCTTGTGATCCACAAGCTACATTAATGATTGTTCTCCTGTTTGTGTAGGAATCATATGCCTTGCTGAACAAGTATGAGCTGCTGGTGGCCAAGGAGGACGTGGAGCGTGTGGACACCCTGCGTTACAGCTGGGCCAAGCTGAGCTCCCAGGCCACAGAGGTGTCACATCATTTGCTCTCTATCCAGCCAAACTTCAGGGCAGGCTTGATCGAAAGTGTCAAGACCTTCACCGTGGATTGCAACAACTTCTACGAGTCTTACCATGATGTGAGTGCCACTCCAGGGGGTGTTTCACAAAGATCCTATGTTGAACTTATCTCTAAGTTGGACTTAACAATTATTAAAAAGTTATGTTAAAAGGCATAAAATGTTGATTCAAATCATTCATATATTCTATTATCAAGGAGATTTCATGTTCTTGATGTAGAATTTATGAAAAGTCTAAAATACTTGAATTTCTGCTTTTGAATATATTTCATTTTGAGGCTTCAAATGGCTCTCTATAATTTTTCAAGTCCAACTTAGAGTTAAGTTCTACTTAGGATCTTTGTGAAACACCCCCCAGAACCCCGTTATCATTGTTTCACTTTCAGGTTTTCATTCATTTCTCCATAGCTGCTGGTGGAGAGGGATAATTACATCACCTGGGGAGTGTTTCACAAAGAATAAGATCAACTTTAAGTTGGATTTAACTATGGCAGGCCGTTCATGTCAATACTAGCATTGGTCTCTCAAGGGACGTACAAATCATGATTACAAATCTACAGAATTTACATTTTTTTGATAGTTCATTATCTCATATTATCATCTTGTAAACTATATTTACTTTATTGAGGTGCAAGTCCTACAAATTGTCTTTTGCAGAATTAAGTAGATAAATTTATAAATGATACATCATGATGAACCCTTTCCATCATTGTCCTCACCATATTGAGTACATGGACCCCTTTGAAGACCAGCTTTTAGCTGAAAAGGGTGATCCTTCCCATATGTGGAAAATAAATAAATACAAAAATTAAAAATCCATCATTCCTTGCTGTCTTCCTTAGAATGGTCCCATGGTAACCGGACTACCTCCCAAGGAGGCTAGCGACCGCCTCCTCATCTACCAGAACCACTTTGACAACCTCAACCGCAAGTTCATCACCTACACCGGTGGCGAGGAGCTCTTCGGTCTCTCCGTGACGGAGTACCCGGAGCTCCTGGTGATCCGCAAGGAGCTCAACCTCCTGCAGAAGCTTTACGGCCTCTACAATGATGTCATCGACCGCGTCAACGGCTACTACGACATCCTGTGGCTCGATGTGGACATTGAGAGCATCAATAATCAGCTCATTGAGTTCCAGAACAGGTTAGTAGGTTTGTGGTGCGATGGGTAAAGCATGTTTTTAAAGATGGTTTAATATTAACATTTTTGCACTTTGAATGGTTTGTTTTTGTTGAAGGTGTTGTGGTTTTTGAAGATGCATGGCATAGTCATTGGAGGTAAATGATCATGTTCATTAAAGGTATTACAAAGTTTTGGGAAATTTTGAAAAATGGGTGGATAGTGATTCTTTACAATTTTGATATATTTGGACGCCTCTGGGGATGAATTAAAAGGACTAGAAATTTTAGCCCCTAAAACACTTCTGCTTTCGAGAAAAATTGAATATAAAGATTTACCGGTGCTCCCGGTAAATTTTGAAAAATTTCAAATAGCTCCTACGGCCGTACAATGGTAGCTGCGACCATGAAAATCTCAGAATATGTAGTTGTGGTATATAATTTCCGAACGGGAATAGCTAATCGGTCGATTTTAGTCAAGAAACATTGTTTTACAGCTTGATGAATATTTGACCTTTAGAGGGAGCTATACAACATAAAGTATTTATTATTTACAATTTCATAACTTTAGGGTCGTTTTCGACCGCGACAACGATCAGTGAATATTGTAGGAACGCATATGCTTCCAATATGTTCATTTGAACCAAACTCACGACCCCATACCAAAACTTTGTATTACCTTTAACATTTGTTTGCACATATCATGAATAATTTTTATCTTCTCCAGAAATATAGTTTAAACATTTGAAAATATATAAAACGGTGAAATAATGCCCTTGCACCAGTTTCTATTAGCCAGATTATTATGTTGCATTTTGAAAAAGAAATTATTTTGTGGTTATTAAGCATGGTTGTATGACACATGCTTCATGTTTGATTTCCAAAACAACATAGATTAATTCCATTCTTCAATCCTAATTGAACTGTACACCAAACCTTAACCGTTAGCCTGAACCTCTAAAACCCTAATGCAACCCTTACCTGATTCTGTTATTATTGATGAAATAAAACCCAAAACAATTATAGCTGGAGCTTATGTTTAACCACCAAAAGCATGCATTTTACTTTTTGTGTTTTGAGGTTTTGACTTACTAATCTAACCATTCTTTTCTGCAGGTTTGATCTCATTTTTTACCCTTCATTTTATGAAGTTTTCAAGTTTTGCTTGTTTGCATGTGTGCATGGACTATCAAAGTGATTCTGTTTGTCTGCATATATTCAGGGAGGAGATATTTTCATGTTGTAGAATCATGCTAGAGCTCATGCTTTGTTACTGCATATCAGTGATAATACAGCATGAATTCTAGATTTTACTACATTTTCCTGAAAATTCTTCTACCTGAATTCCTTAGAACAGACAAACCTTAGGAATCGCTTTGTTGTCTTTGCACCAAATCTCCTCTAACATCCACTTCCCTCATGCACGTTGGTTGTCCTGTTGCACTAATTGGTGGTGGTTTTTTGCTCACGGGAGAAATCCTCTTCTAATTTCCTTGCTGATCACTGCTAAGACATATTTGACTCCATGTCTCATCATCATTCACAAACACATGAACACAAACCACTTTGATGTATTAAACACAGGATAGAAGAAAATATATTTTAAGACTCATCACGCCCTGCCTCACCCCAATCACTGCTGTTCACCGTAAGGTATCACAGGATAAGAGAGAACATGTTATACCTGGTCGTGCCCTTCCCCACCCTCTTCACTCCTATTCACTTTAACAGATCACAAGATAAGCATGGATAATATTACAACTCATTACACCCCAGCCCCACCCCTTCACTTTAAGGTACCACAGAATAAGAGAAAACAAGTATTACACCCACCCTGTCACTCCTATTCACACTATCAGGCACTTATTGCAACATTTCAACCCAGTTCAGAACATGTACATGCATGACACATACAGTTACACCTACACCTTGTGTATATATAGTCATATTCACATCTAAAGTCTGTATCCTCAGAGAGGGCTCAGAATATTGATTTTGATATCTACAATAATTTGCATCAAACATCGTCTTGCTTTGAAATACATATTTTCAAATTACGATATTAATGGTAATTAGATCAATTTACATAGCACAGCTGCTAAACTCTACTGCACTGTGAAAAAAAATAAACACAAACAAAAAAATGCCAGTTATTCTCGCATGTTTGTTTTAAAAATATAGTTGCATGCCATTATCTGAAATTGAATACCAAAGAAATATCAATTCTTCTCAGAAAAGATAAACAAAATTAAAGTTGGGAATTTTGCAGGATTAGATGGAGGGCTACAAGTTGAACTTGTCTCAGGGAAATGTAGGTGATGAATTTTCATCCGTTAACATCTGAACATTAACATCTGAACATTAACATCTTCACATGTACAAATACATTGTATGTCTTTGATGGTCCAATAGTTTTATAATTTGATACAAATACCATATTTTCTTTCAAACCCCATTGAATGTATGCTTCGATTTTCAGCCCGATATAATCATCCAATCATGACTCATTTGGTGTTTGGGATTTTATATGAAAACAATTTATCAGTTTGGCAAAGTCAACATTCCGTCACTTTCAGCATTTCTCATTCAACATACCACACTTCAATTTTAACAGATCTAGAATTTGTTTGCAAAAGACTAAATCAACTGAATGTTTTTAACATTCAGTTAGTGCTGTTGTGCTAACTCTAATGATTTTGATTCTTCAGTAAATTTGGAAAAAAAATTGCATGTGTATAGAGAACATTAGAAGATTTGGAATAGCTAGGGCCTAATCTTTATAATAACTAAATCAGTTGGTATTTGGATGTACATATGTTGATATCTGACACGGAGAGAATCATGTGGTTACTTTCAGGATAAAAATTGGGACAGGATAGTTTAAACAGTATGTCTGTGGTTTGATTTAGAAATATCTCCTGCATCTAATGTATGTTAATTATGCATTCAATATATTTGTTTAATTTCGTTTATTATCTGTGTAAAATTATATGCGCTTAAAATATTGCATCAAACCATATTATGTTCATGAAAATGTATGATGAAAAAAAGAAAAAGATGAAGAAACCAATAAATCAAAATCAAATCAAATGAAATCAAAATACATTTCCTGGAGAAATGTTCGTCTCCAAATTTAGAAAGTGGGCTTCTCTTTTTTTTAATGAAATTAATGGGCATGTGCTCTCATATAAAGCAAATTTTCTGAGAATAACCTAAACAAAACAACTTTGATAAAAATATAAATTAAACAAAAAAACCCTCCCCCAAAAGATGCCGCAAGCTGCCACGTGCACTGAAGGAGTGGCCCGCCTTTAACATGCTTAAGAAGACCATTGAAGATTTCAACGAGACCTGCCCCCTCCTTGAGCTGATGACGAACAGGGCGATGAAGCCGCGTCACTGGCAGCGCATGGCCGATACCACCGGCCACGTCTTCGAGGTGGAGAGCGAGTCGTTCTGTCTCAGGAACATCATGGAGGCACCGCTGCTACAGAGCAAGGAAGATATTGAGGTCAGAATTCTTGTGTTGTTGTTGTAATGTTTATTCTTTTTTTTAATAGTAGGATTATGGTTCACATTTTAAGCTCATGTATGTATGCGATGGTAAAGTGGATTGTAAAGAGAAGTAAGCTGAGAGTAGAAATAGCAAATGCCCTTGGATCACAAAAAGAAAAAAGGTCCTTTGGATAGGATGTTAAATGGAGGCACGGTGTAGGGGAGAGTCACCACCTTTGCACGTTAAGAACCCACTGCACTATTCGTATAAGAGTCGAGGGAACCCTGGTGCAGTGGTCCACCTGCACAATCCCAATCAGTTATTCTGGGAGGAGAGACCCGAGGGTTACAGTGATTCAGTTCACTTTTGCCTCCCAGGCACAGGTGACACCAAATACATTATGATAATAATAATAATAATAATAAATGCTTGCATAACTTTCACTTCATGTACATTTTATAAACTGTAAGACATGAAAACATGATTCCAACAAAGGCATCTGTTGTGTTGTTTGTAAATAAAATAGTTTATTTTTGGTTTTGGGATTTGTGTTCAGGACACATAAAAAGACGAGCTTCTTTTGAACTTGTTTTATGTATAAACTAATATGCTGCACGATGAGATACTAAGAACCTTGGGTTAAGACCAATACAGCAACACTTTTGTACTACACGTACCTACCTTTGGATGGACAGTGTGCAGAAATTGTTAGAAGAGAGAGGAGTGAAAGAACTGGAAGTGGTGCTAATAGAGAAGGCTAGGAGCCGAGGGATGTGGAACAGCGTGATCGCCAAAGTCAATCGATATGGAACTTAGAGAGAGAGAGAGAGACTACCTACCTAGTTGTATCCTACTAAATCTTTTTCTCTTGAACATCTCTGCAGGATATCTGTATCTCAGCCGTGAAGGAGAAGGACATTGAAGCCAAGCTGAAGGCTACGGTAGCGGAATGGAGTGCCAGGGACCTGACCTTTGGTAACTTCAAGAACCGCGGAGAGCTGCTCCTCCGTGGGGACAACACGACAGAGATCATCGGTCTGATGGAAGATAGCTTGATGGTGCTGGGATCTCTGATGAGTAACAGGTATGGTAGAAGTCCAACCTGTATAGAAAGACCATCCAAGGGATAATAAAGTACTATCTTGTCATTAAGGTTGTTGTTAATTCTTAGGTTTGGCTGTAGTAAGCAACTTTGGGGTGGTTTTTTTTTTTTTTTTTTGTTCTTGTTTTTTATACTTGGAAAAAAAAAAAATTTTTTTTTTTTTAGTAAAGATGTCTTATAAACTTCAGTTTGAGAAGAAAGGAAAAAAATGGCTGCATACATGACATGCATTCATCTTGACATTGCTGGCAGTGTTACTGAATGCTGAAACTGTGTGATCCTTTCTTCGTTTCTTTGCGCCTAAACTTGGAAAGCTTTGATACTTATAATCTTATCCTGTTTCTCAGGTACAATGCTCCATTCAAGAAGAACATCCAGCTGTGGGTTCAAAACCTTTCTAATACCAGTGAGATCATTGAACAATGGATGCAGGTCCAGAACCCCTTGATTAAATTAGTCCTGTTCTAACTGTGATCTTTTCCTGTTTCTCAGGTACAATGCTCCATTCAAGAAGAACATCCAGCTGTGGGTTCAGAATCTCTCAAACACCAGTGAGATCATTGAACAATGGATGCAGGTCCAGAACCTCTGGGTCTACCTGGAAGCAGTGTTCGTGGGTGGTGACATCGCCAAACAGCTGCCCAAGGTTTGTTTTAGTGCACCTATCCTTCGTTTATTTCTGTAAATCTAATCTAATCTAATCTAATCCAATTTTATTTGTTACTCAACAAAGTCCACTTCTGGGTATGACGCTGAAAGACTTTTGAGATGTATTCAAATGCAGGTTATGAACAAAATGTTGCAGTTGTTAAAGGAGTTACTTAAGTTTTTTGTCATGAACATGATAATTTGCTGTGTGCTTTGTACTTTCAACTTAAATCTATTTAATATTGATATATTATCAAAACCATAACTTTAAAAATACAACATAGCTAATGTTGTATCAGAATTCTGAATGAAAGTTTCTTGTAATTATAAAGAATAAAATGAGCACTTGTGACTAAGACCAGATTGAGTTGCTTTCTATTTATTCAAGGATTCCTGAATTAAAAAATACTAGATACTAGTCCTCATTTGTTTAGGTATCGAATATTTAAGTATTAACGTGGGGATATACCACATACTTTGCTCTTTTTGTTTATTTGTTTATTCTTTATTTTTCTTAATTTGTTAATCAATGTTCTTTTTCTGTCTTGCAGGAAGCAAAGCGTTTCAGCAACATTGACAAGTCTTGGGTGAAGATCATGACTAGAGCTCATGAGAACACCAATGTAGTCCAGTGCTGCGTCGGTGATGAGACTATGGGACAGCTTCTCCCTCATCTCCTGGAACAGCTGGAACTCTGTCAGAAATCACTCACAGGGTAAGGATATTTCCTTTCATTTATTTATTTCACTCTCTTTAAAAATAAATCAAAAGTATATACATGTTTGTTCATTATCAACATAAGATAAAAGGAAGTGGGGAATTATGAAAGCCAAAATTGACTTGATGAGAATGATCCCCAAATAAATACTTAGCATAAACAAGATACAAAATCATTTTATATTTAAGAAAACATAGTACATACATTCACAACAAAAGAGGACAGAGGAAAGATAAAGATAACATAAGGTAAAGACAGTTACATGAAGATAAGAAGAGAGAGAAGATAAGAAGAAGGAAGTTACAACTTGAATTTGATATGATTGAGGATACATGTATGTCTGAACCATTGTAAGATGAGTTTGAAGATTGTGGTTGTTGAGTGTCTCATTTAGGCATGCTGTGTGAAATGAATACTCAGATATATTTAGATTAGTACCAGAAGCATATGAAATTTATATCAAGTAGGGACTGAAGATTTACAGGTTGGTTGCTTAGATAGTGCACTTAAATGTAGCTCCTCTGCGATCTAGAGACTATACTTATGGCCTTAGCTTCATATCAGAACAGAACAAGAACTGAGTTTATATCTAGCAATAGTTTCAACCATAACTCTCAAAGTAGTCAAGATTTGTATTGTAGTCAACTTAATTTAATCAAGATTCCCTTGTACTATGTTGACTTAAATCAGAATTGTTCAATTAAAGTATATTTAATCTGTGAAAATTACAGGTCTTGCTTTATTTTGTTCAATACTATTTTGCATGTTTTATATGTTTACACAGATACTTGGAGAAGAAGCGTCTGCTGTTCCCAAGATTCTTCTTCGTGTCTGACCCTGCCCTGCTGGAGATCCTTGGACAGGCATCAGACTCCCACACCATCCAGGCCCATCTCTTGAGTATCTTTGACAACACCAAAACAGTCAGGTTCCATGAGAAGGATTATGATAGGATCCTGGCTATACAGTCTACAGAGGGAGAATCTATCGACGTAAGTTGTTCTGTGAAGACGGTGGATAGTGGGTGGGTGGCATCAGTAGTTTGTGATATTTGATGAAAGGGATGGGGGTGTGTCCTGTCAGGAGGAAGGGAGTGTCTCCTCTGTATCTTTGACAACACCAAGACAGTCAGGTTCCATGAGAAGGACTATGGTAGGATAGTGGATATACATTTATCAATTGGAGAATCTGTTGATGTAAGTTGTCCTGTGTGGAAGAGGGATTAGTGGTGGCTGGGAGTTTATGGCATTGGGGAAAGGGGAGGGGATTTATCTAGTTAAAGTGGGCTGAATTATCTTCTGAGTATCTTGGACAACACCAGTACTGTTAGGTTCCACAAGAAAGATTACTTTAGGATCCTAGCTATACAGTCTTTGGAGGGAGAATCTATTGATGTAAGTTGTACTTCAGGGAAAATAGTCGGAGGAGGAATGGGAAAGAGAGAGGGGGTAGGAATGTAGAGAGGATGGAATAGACAGACTGATGAGAGAAAGAGAGAGGAGAGGACTGTGAGACGATCCTGGCTTTATGATTATTGGAAGGAGACTCGGACGCCGTAAGTTATTCTGTGGGGAACATGGATAGGGAGAGAGGAAGAGATAATTAGAGGAAGGAGGAGAGGGGATAGATACATAAATAGTAGTAGTAGTAGCTGTCTGTCGCAAAGCGACAATGACCGCCTTTACTTTCACTTTACAGCTGTTCTCCATACAGCTCGCTGGCCTGCAGCAGTTGTCCATAAACAGAGGGTAAAAAGAGAGAGATGGAGTGATAGAGAAAGAGAAACAGGTTGAGAGAAGGGAGATGGGAGAAGAGAGAGAGAGAGAGAGAGAGAGAGAGAGAGGGGTGAAGTGGAGATCGAGAGATCAAGAAAGAGAGACGGAGACAGTGAGAGAGAGACACAGAGAGAAGAACATCGAAGGGATACATGTATAACTGGACGCCAATAACTTTGCTGAACACTCATTTTGACTTTCATCTTCTAACCCTGGTTGTACTTGACAGCTTGACAAGGCCGTGATGGCATCAGGTAACGTTGAGCTGTGGCTGATGCAGTTGATGACGATTGCCCAGAGATCCTTACACGGTGTCATCAAGACGGCTGCATCGGCTGTACAGGATTCCAGTCTGGAGATCATTGAGTTCCTCAACACATACCAGGCTCAGGTAAGACACATCATCTTCATCTTCTTACCAAGTCTTCAAATATATTAAAGAGAAGGTTGAGTTCTGGGAAAAGGTGAAAAATAATTGTGAGCATTATCATTGTATTATGCAAGTGTGGAAGAACATCAGATAAAAACTGTTCCCTGAAAAGCATGCCTCTTCAAATGCCTTAATATTCTAAATATGGCATGTAACATCAAAAAAATTGGGACAGATTTTTATGCCACATGTTCGTGTAGTCCTGTATACATCATTTTGTGTATAGTGCTTGAAACTTTACCAAGACTGGGCCAAATTTCTTACCATTTTGATGATTCCAGAACCTTGCAGTACACACCTTTACTTATATGCTAGATGATCAAACTTTTCTGATCGATTCCACAACGTTTCTTCACAATGCAATCGCATGACCAGAAATCAACTTTATCTTTAACTCTGAAATAGAGGTTATATATTTCTTCATAATCTTCAGTATTTTGCATGTAGATAAATTTTTATACATAATGAAATATGATTTATAGTGCATGATTTGAATAGAGAGTACTTTCTTACTTTTATGTTGAAAAAAAAAAGTGTTCTGTTTAATGTTTACATCTTTGTGTGTATTACAATATTATAGAATAATTCTATTTGTAATGATTACATTCCAAAGACAAGCGAACCGAAGACCAATGTAATACAGGACTGAAAGAAAAAAAAACTTTTAATATAAATTCTGACCAATGTTGATCTTTTTATGTGTCTTCAGAATAGCCTGGTAGTCAGATAATCTTTAACATTTCTCTGCATTTTAAGATACTTCCATACTCAATATCCAATTAATTTTTTTAAGACAATCCTCTCCTATGTAACTGTGATAGCAAACACTGTGGATGACGATTCTCATGAATGCCCTTTTTTTTTAGTGGATATCACCGGCCTGTCGATCACAAGGTCCGCAGTTCGAGTCCCGCCGCGACACTTATGTCCTTTGGCAAGACATTGATCGACATTTGCCACTCAACCCTGGCGATATAAATGGGTACCTGGCAGGAATTAATTCTTTGAAATGCTAGAGCGCCGTAATGGCAGCACAGCTAAAGCAGGGGTGATAATCTCCACGTTTGGAAGCGGTTAGTGATTGTCATAAACGCTATATAAAAACTAATTATTATTATTATTATTATTTTTTATAAATCCTGTCTTCAGATCGGCCTCCTGGGTATCCAGATGATCTGGACGCGGGATGCCACAGAGGCCCTGAACAATGCTAAGTACGATCGCAAGGTGATGCAGCAGACCAACAACGGTTTCCTGGAACTCCTCAACCTCCTCATCGCTCAGACGACACGGAACCTCACCAAGGTGGAGAGGCGCAAGTTTGAGACCCTCATCACCATCCACGTGCATCAGAGGGATATCTTTGATGATCTAGTAAGTCTGTGTCCCTCCTTCCTGGGGGGTGTTTCACAAAGACTAAGTTTAACTTTAAGTTGGACTTAACTATGACAGGCCGTTAATTCCTCTGTTTGCTCTCACCATAATGATATTTAGATAATATTCTTTCCTTCAATAATGAATTATCAAACAAATGTAAAGTCTGTAGATTTGTGACCTTGATTTGTAAGTTCCTTGAGAGACCAATGCAAGTAAATGGTGAGAGAAAACAGTGGCATGAATGGCCTGCCATAGTTAAGTCCAGCTTAAAGTATATCTTATTCTTTGTAAAACACTCCCCTGGTAAGGTATGTTGTTTGAGGGGAGACAAGATTTGCAGGGTTATATCTTTATCCCCCACAATCTGACTTACAAATAAACACACTTTAATAAGCAGACTGCACAGGCAACTCCACCCCTTTCAAAGAAAACAAAAATCTGGAAATGGTTTAGTTGATTGACCAGACTATTGGAGACATTGCAAAGATCTCTTTGACATATCCTCAAAATAGGAATTTTCATTGATAATGCATATTTGTAACCCCCAAAAAGCACAATTTTTTGAGTGATGCAGCATAATGTGTTCCTCTTTTACAACACAGTAGCTTTAGATCATTTATATTTCTTTTTAGGCTACCGATCCCATCATTCCTGAAACCTTACGTGAAGATAATTAAAACCTTTAGTTTCACACACGTTATTTATTTCCAATTAATATTCAATCAATTGGAAGTGTTTCCTGCTCGATGAAAAAGAGAGATACCAATATTATTGAGCTGTATCTCATACTGTATGAACTTGTTAACAATGATTCTTTTATCTGCTTGGTGTAGGTTCGCATGCACATCAAGTCCACAACAGACTTTGAATGGCTGAAGCAGTGTCGCTTCTACTTTAACGAGGACAATGACAAGATGCTCGTCTCCATCACCGATGTGGACTTCATCTACCAGAATGAGTTCTTGGGATGTACAGAACGTCTTGTCATCACCCCACTCACTGACAGGTATTGCTATAGAGATATTATTCATGAGGTAGAGGATTTCTGTGATGATGATGATGATGATGATGATGATGATGAGGATGTAGATGAGGGTGTTTGTGATGCTAAATAAATGATAATAATAAAAACGGTGCTTATAAAGCGCTTACCACCAAAGTTTCTAAGCGCTGTTGATAATGATTATTAAGATGTTGGTGATGGGGTGGTGTCGGGGGTGATGATTGTGGTGGTGGTGGAAGTGATGAAGACATGAGGATGGTAAAGGATTACCAGTATGTTTATGTTGATGCTGCTTCTGTTGATAAGGATGTGTAATACACAAATAAAGCTAGATATAAGTTCAACAGGGTTGGGACTAAAAAAAATGACAAAGAGTATGTTTCAGACTTCAATCCACAATCCACAAGCTCTATTAATTAATTTTCACTCCTTCCTCTCTCTCCCTTAGATGTTACATCACCCTATCTCAAGCCCTTGGTATGAGCATGGGCGGGGCACCTGCCGGCCCCGCTGGTACCGGTAAGACCGAGACCACCAAGGACATGGGACGATCCCTCGGCAAGTACGTGGTGGTCTTCAACTGCTCCGATCAGATGGACTACAGAGGTCTGGGACGTATCTACAAAGGTCAGTTGATTACATGGGGGTGGGGGGGCGGTGTTTCACAAAGATCCCAAGTTGGACTTAACAATTATGGAAAGCCGTTAGCATCTATGAAAATATTTTGTAAAAGTTATTTTGAGAGGCATAAAATGTTAATTCAAATGATTCATACTTTCTATTATCAAGTAGATTTCATGTTCTCGATGTTGAATTTATGAAAAGTCTAAAATACTTGAATTTTTGCTTTTGAATATATTTTATTTTATTTTAAGGCTACAAATGGCTCTCCATAATATTGTAAATCTATCTTAGGATCTTCATGAAACACCCCCATGGTCTTATAAACTGATCTATCTGTGATTCAAAGAAATTTCTCTTGATAATTATACTGCGATACAATTTTAGAATCTCCTTTCAGTGACTATAGTATTGCTTCATTGCATGTGTATTTTACTGTTATCAAGACTGATGTCTTACTTATTGTACACTCTGGAAAGTGTTTTAATCACTCAATTCTATCTACACATACTTGATGGACTGTTAATCCTGACATTTAAAAAAAAAAAAGGTATGACCAAGATATGACCATGGTATGGCCAACTGACACATAAACTAATACGAAATAAGATCTGAATAGAGGAGTAAAATCATCCTGAAATATAACTTAGCAAGCTTACTCCTAGATCATACCTTCTTGTTTGTATAAATCTAGTGTTTGTCTGGAAGACAAACTTTAATACCTTTAAATGTAATACTTTATCTTTGCATGTGAACAGGTCTTGCTCAGTCAGGCAGCTGGGGTTGTTTTGATGAGTTCAATCGTATCGACCTTCCTGTACTGTCTGTGGCTGCTCAGCAGATTGCCATCGTTCTCACGGCCAAGAAGGAACGGAAGAAGCAGTTCATCTTTACAGATGGTGACATGGTGGACATGAATCCAGAGTTTGGTCTTTTCCTGACTATGGTAGGTATCCCCCTTGGCGATTGAAGGAATACTGAAAATGGTGTTTGAATATTGTTAGATACCAGGGCCCGTCTTACAAAGAGTTGATATCAATCGCAACTTATTTGCGATTGATATAAATCACAACTATGTACATAAGAGATAGGAGACTGCAAACTTGCGATTGATTTGGATCAGTGGCAACTCTTTGTGAGACATGGCCCAAGCATTTATAAAGGAAGTTTGTTAGAAATGTTTGGTGGTAAATTTGTTGTACCTGACTGCTAAGAAAGCATGTGAAAGCTTGTAAGTTAGCAACCAGGGGACCGACGGCTTTAAGTCCTCTCTGAGGGACGGAGTAATGAGGATTAATGCCTTACCAAAGGGCACTACAAAAGATCAGTAGATAGTGACTATGGTCCTGAATAAATACATATACATCAGATTCTAAGACTTGATAATAATAATAATAATAATAATAATGAGCATTTATAATGCGCCATGTCTGTCAAAAATGACACTCCTGGCGCATGATGACTTCATATTTGATTGATTCCAGTGTTATTATGAAGCCTCACTTATTTGGTACAGTCTTAAAATGTGAAATAGGCAAATGCTTTTGTTTATTACATGTATTTTGAAATGCAGCAACATCATTGTCAATTATTGAGAGTACAATAATGTATGTCAGGGGGGTGTTTCACAAAGACTCTAAGTTGAACTTATAAGTTGGACTTAACAATTATGGAAACCTGTTAGTATCTATAAAAATATTTTGTAAAGGCTATTTTTAAAAGGCAATAAATGTTGATTCAAATCATTCATACTTTCTATTTTCAAGGAGATTTAATGTTCTTGATGTGGAATTTATAAAAAGTCTAAAATACTTGAAATACTTGATATTTTATTTTAAGGCTACAAATGGCTCTCCGTAATTTTTAAGTCCAATTTAGAGTTAAATTTGACTAAGGATCTTTGTGAAACACCCCCCAGGTGTTTTGTTGTTGTGTGGATGAAGTCCTCTTATTCTCCTCCTCTCTATCATTGTATCATTATCCAATAACAGAATCCTGGATACGCCGGTCGTCAGGAGCTGCCTGAGAACCTGAAAATCAACTTCAGGACGGTAGCTATGATGGTTCCTGATCGACAGATCATCATCCGTGTCAAGCTGGCTAGCTGTGGTTTCATGGATAATATCATCCTGGCTCGCAAGTTCTATACCCTATACAAGCTCTGCGAGGAACAGCTTACAAAGCAGGTACGATCATGGTCTTCTTGCACCTCCCAGTAATAACTCAATTATAAATGTAACTTTTGTGTAGCACTCATCGTCATCAATAGTGATCTGTCAGTTTATGCAGGTTCAGTGACCCATTCAGAATTCTACATCTAGTGTCTCTCCAAGTACCTCGGTATTGAGGCATCCGTTTCGGCATTTCATATCCCGTTGCTCCACATTCTGCAGTTAAATCATCTAGAAAGCCCTATGAGGTCTTCCCCTCATCTTCTTGCCATGTAGGCGACCTTCTATATGTAATATGGGTTCAATAATAAAAAGTTATCTATAATGCTTTTGTTATTGGTAGAGAGAGAGGCATTTATTTTGTCATGCTTTCCTCATTTTCTGCATGTCATTCGTAGATAAAGGCTATCAGTAATGAAATTGAGGTAATGACAAATTATAGATTTTTTAACTCAGAGTCGAGGTTTTCTTTGTGAAAAGATAATTAAACAAGGAAAATTTGATTGTTCTCTTTTAGCAACATTAAATGATTTTGTGGAATTACGAGTAACATATTATTATGATGCTGTAAGCTGCATATAAACATCAATAATACCTTGCATTTTTGCAGACTTCTGCTCATTGTACGATTTGATAATTTTGTATAATTTATTAATATTTTCATTGATATCTCACTTCACCAGGTTCACTATGACTTTGGTCTGCGTAACATCCTGTCTGTCCTTCGTACCCTTGGAGCTTCTAAGAGAGCTAACCCAGATGACAGTGAGAATACCATCGTGATGAGAGTCTTGAGAGATATGAACCTCTCCAAACTGGTCAGTATGATTTGTGTGATTGATTGATTTTTTTTCTGTCGCAAAACGGTTGACTTTTCATGGTAGCTCGGCTAAAGCCAGGGTAATAATATGAATGCAGGTTCCTAAGGGAGAACAGTATTAAAACTGATAAGGTTACCCTGGGTCAATATGATTATTATATAACATTATTGTTATTTTATTATTATTTTCTGCACGAGTGGACTTTCCGTATAAAAAGCCAGGGCATGGTTTTACGAAACCGTCATAAGCACAAGTGCACCGACATTCCGTTGAAATACGTAGTAATTTTTTGTTTTTAACAACACATGCGTTCCAATGAGAGGTTGGTGAAATTGTGGGTCCAATCGTTTCGTGAAATTCTGCCCAGTATGACAAGTTTGATCGGCGCATTTATATGGATATAAATTCATTCATGAATTAACAATCATTGATCCCCTGTCATGCTTGTATGTTACTATAAATTGATTGTGTCTGTTTATGAGAAAACATAAAACTAGTACATTTTAGAAAGACAGTCCTAAGAATTAAAATGACTGGGTCTCTTTGACCTATAGATATAGATTTGAATCTAAAGCATTCCATCTCTTTTTTCATTTAAAGTAGAATGGAAGAAAATCAAATTTATATCTGCATAAAGTAAAATAAATGTTGCGACCATAATTTAATTAATTTCTAAAGATAGTATCCCATTTCAGAATACTCTAGTGCAAAGTAAGATATCAAATATCCTCTACTACAACTCTTACTACTAGAGCATATTTCTCATTTATTTTATCAAGATAAATGTTACAGGGATGCCAGTTTTCAGGCAATACATGTAGCTTGAATTCAGGCCCTGTCGAGTTATTTTCATACCATAGTTTAGGCTTTTTTGTGTACAAACTAGCTCATTCTAGGTGATTTTCAGGCCCTCTGATCAGTTCTAACTGTCTTTGTACTGCCACAGGTGGATGAGGATGAGCCATTGTTCTTGTCCCTGATCAACGATCTCTTCCCCGGCATCGTCCTGGACAAGGCCGGCTACCCTGAGCTTGAGACAGCCATTGGGATGAGGGTAGAGGAGATTGGCTTGGTCAACCATCCGCCTTGGACGCTGAAGCTGATCCAGCTCTTTGAGACCCAGCGAGTGCGTCACGGCATGATGGCCCTGGGACCCAGCGGGGCAGGCAAGACCTGCTGCATCCACAACCTGATGAAAGCGATGTCAGACACCGGGGCGCCACACAAGGAGATGAGGATGAACCCTAAGGCTATCACAGCCCCGCAGATGTTCGGCAGGCTGGACGTCGCAACCAATGACTGGACCGACGGCATCTTCTCGACCCTCTGGAGGCGTACGCTTCGGTCCAAGAAAGGTACAATGTTCAATATGCCTGTTCAGTGCTCTAAGTATGAGATCTGACAGAAGTGACTGAGATATGAATGTAGAATAGCAGCCCATCCATGCCTAGTACTCTCCACATGTATACTTGCTTTTTTCCAGCAATTTACTCATGTGCAATTCAGTTACTTTTTACTGTGATATCACTTGAAATGTATAATTGTCTTCACCATCAATGTTTTATTCATGCACAATTCAGTTACTTGTAACTGCGATACATGGAAATGAATCAATGAATACCATTTATCTATCTATCTATCTATCTATGAGTGTATGGACTGTCATAATCATGATTATTGGATTTATTTCAACTAAATTCACATCTACAGTAGGTTCTATAAAGCATGAATCTGTTAATTGATTGAAGTTTATTTTACCTGGGATGGTAACAAGAAACAGTAAAGCGGTAGATATGCAAACAAGCTCCTATCAAATTGACTAAGTGATTGAGAATTGATGCCTTTGTACAAGAAAACATCACTTTCACTGTAGCTTTCTAACTTGGATATAAACCCATGCAGAGCCTCATGATTCTATGACCAAAACTCTTTGAAGCCATTGACTTACCTGACTAACAGAACCCCTGGTGATTCCAAACCTTGTACAGCCAAACCTGTCTGTAGTGACCGCCCAAGGGAAACACAAAAAGTGGTCTTTGAAGACAGGTGGTCTTTGTAGACTTGTAGACAAGTTCCTTTAGTACATGTTTCAATGAGAAACCATTTTCAAGGGAAACAAAAAATGTGGTCTTTGTAGACAGGTGGTCTTTGTAGACAAGGGGTCACTAAAGCAAGTTTGACTCTATAACTCATCATCATTTGCTCTATTTGTACTCTTCAGGTGAGCATGTCTGGATCGTACTGGATGGTCCGGTAGATGCCATCTGGATCGAGAACCTGAACAGTGTGTTGGACGACAACAAGACCCTCACCCTGGCCAATGGTGATCGTATCCCAATGGCACCCAACTGCAAGATTGTCTTTGAGCCTCACAACATTGACAACGCCTCCCCTGCCACCGTGTCCCGTAATGGTATGGTCTACATGAGCAGCTCTGCTCTGGACTGGAGACCCATTGTTGGGGTGAGAAATAAGAATTATCTGCGGAAATTTTCCCACGTTTTCTTTTAAAAATCGAAGATACAGTGAAACCTGTCTATAAAGACCACCCAAGGGAGACAAGAATAGTCGTCTTTATAGGCAGGTGGTCTTTATGTACAGGTTCCTTTAGTACATGTTTCAATGAGAAACCATTTACAAGGGAAACAAAAAATGTGGTCTTTGTAGACAGGTGGACTTTCTATACATCTGGTCACTAAAGCAGGTTTGACTATACCAAGAGGAAATTGAGCAAGTTAAGATAAGAGTTTAAGTAACCATTGCTGTGATGTTAATACTCATTCACGTGTTTATAAAAGTAATACTGTTAATATTAACCATTGGAATAGCGAGATAATACTTCTAGAATTATTTTCAAGAATATTTTATTTACTTTATATATTAAAATAATGGTGCTAATGAAAGTATCATTGCTATTGATTATTATAAGAGATATTAATCAATGATACCATCTGGCAATGAATGGTAATCATAATGCAGACAAAGTTACATTAATTGATAGCTCTAAAATGTAGGTTAAAAAATATGACATAGATGATGGCAATGGATTCGTTTTGGTGTAATGGCAATATCCACTACATTCAAATATTCAAACCCATATTGACATTAATAAAATTCAATTCATATTTATTTCATTTCCAACAGAAAGATGTACAAAGGTATTACATGTTTTTCATACATAGTTCATTTTTTCTTGGTAATTATACAAATGCACATTGCACATAATAAAATTATTACAAGAAATTCTTAATTTCTGAGGAAAATTATGAATAAAATTAATAAAATTAATAAAATGATGAATGATTATGATTATTGCACACCAGGGTTGGCTGATGGGCAGGAACCTAGCTGAAGCGGAAACACTTCGTAATCTCTTTGACCGATCGTTTGCGGCCATCTTGCAGTACTCGGTCAATAATCTTATCTTCAAGATGAACGTCCTGGAATGCATGATCATTACACAGGTCAGTTAGTCAACAATTTTTGATATTCTAAATATTGTTTGTTTGTTTGTTTTGTTTTACCTGACTGCTAAGAAAGCATGTGTATGCTTGTTAGTAAGCTACCAGGGAACCGACGGCTTTAGGTCCTCTCAGAGGGACCTGGTAATGAGGATTAATGCCTTACCAAAGGGCACTAGCGCATCGATTTGGTTTTGAACCTGGGACCTCCCGGTTACAAGACCACTGCTCTACCACTGAGCCATCCCGCCATTTGTTTGGAGCCGGAAGGGCATTAACTCTGTATTACATGATATGAGTGAATGCCCTCCTGGCTCCAACCAGATGATACGTTGCCTCATTTGAGCAATAGCAAACAATTACAGTTTGAACCTTGATGACTTTACAAATGCAGGCACTATTCCTCTTCTCAAAACTTTAATTGTGTGTCAGAGAACTTTTTCACAAAACTTTCCAATTATCTATATCATCTGTCTTGTTCAAGTCATCAACTTCCATGGAGGTTCTTTTTACTAAGATGAATACTTAGGGGATGTGTTTAACCTGCCGAAGGGATGTGTCCCTGCCAAAGAAGAAATGCAATTCTTTCCATGAACTCCTCAGTCATACAATGATTAAACCTGAGGAAGAAAAACATTCTGTAACATTGTTCTCTGTGCTATATAGGTCATCAATCTCCTGTTAAGGTCTCGTCCAATTCAAGGAAGACATTTTTTTCTCTGAACACTTCTTTTATGCAAAGAAACATTGTGTGAAACTTTTTTTTAAAGGTTGTCCTTTGTCATGAAGATTCCCTCATCCTGAAAGGGAGTGTTCCTTATTAGGAGGATATTACATCACAGGGATTGTCCAGAAATGAATGATATCACTGAAGAAGAAAAAAAAATTCATGTGAATATGATTTACGCCCTTTTCCCAAATCCCCCCCCCCCAAAAAAAAATAAATAAATAAATAAAAAATCAAGCAATCAATCAATGAATAAATAAATTAATTGATTAATTAATACAAATAAATAAAAAATAAATAAATAATAAATAAACTCATTTTTAAAAAAAAATAATCAATCAATCAAAACTTGATGTCCCATGTAGGCGATCAACCTCCTGAAAGGCCTGATCCCCACCAAGGAGGACAAGGACCAGGGGCTTTCCCCTGACCACCTGGAGAAGATCTACATCTTCTGTGTCATGTGGAGCGTGGGAGCCCTGATGGAGCTGGACGATCGCTCCAAGATGGAGCAGTTCATCCGAGGCAACGAGGACATCAAGCTCAACCTTCCGGCCATCCCGCCTGGCTCGGACCACACCATGTTTGACTACTTTGTGGACAATGAAGGTGGGTCAAGGAATCATGTTCTGCAGATTGTGTGGAGTTGTGTGGGTAGTGAATGAGGTTGTGTACTGTATGAACCAGGCTTGGTTCATGTGGTGCACAACTTCTTGAATAACTTCACACAGCTTTACCCAACAAATTTACAGTGTATGCACTTGGAGAGCAAAATAATTATTCTGTTTTATTTACTAATGTAAAGCGTTTTGAGCATGTTTATGTAAAGGCACTTTATAAATATCAATATTTATGTATGTATAATGAAATCATGCATGGCTGTCAGTGGCTGAAATGCGATTTTCCTTTTACGAAGAATAAACGTTCATGAGATACAGAATATATTCAACCTACAATCATAACTATACAAATAACCATATAAGAGCAAAAAGAACAAGTATGATAGAAATTCATTGGAAAGTTTAGAATGCCATGGTGTGTTGTACTTTTGACTTAAGTTGACTGTAACAGTACACCATTTGACCTGTTAGTTTGAAGTGGAAGCTGATTTATGGAGCTAACTTTGGTCATGAAAAGTTATTAAAAAAGTAATCTAATGAGTACAAGACACAAAGTCTTTGTTAAAATTCATAATTTTTTTGCTACATATTTTATAATTTACTGATTTTCTAAGTATACGTTGTTAAAGATATATTGTAAAACAGCATCTGAGGAAGTAACACTTCAACAAGCTCTGCTTTAGTTAGTTACTCTTTTCTTGTGCTATTTCTATTATATTTTTCGTTTCATTGTATATTTTTGTTGTAATATACTCATTCATTGTATTGTGTTTTGCATGGGAAATAAAATCATTTAAAGTTGAAAAGCTAGTCTTACTGCATTGTTCTGCACTATATTTGAATCCTTCATTCTGTTTCTCGTAGGTAACTGGGCTCATTGGGATAAGAGAGTAGAAGACTGGGTCTATCCTTCCGACTCCACTCCAGAGTATGGCTCCATCTTGGTGCCCAACGTTGATAATGTTAGAACAGACTTCTTGATTCAGACCATCAGCAAACAGTCCAAGGTAATTCATGTAATCTGAATCTTCCAACCTGCTTGAGTGATGATCCGGACTCACTTGGCACTAGGGTCAACTTGGACTTGGCGGAAAATTGTGGCAGAGTTATCCAAGAGAGTTTAATCGATCACAAATACTTTGTAGAATTTGCTTTAATTGTGTTTTTCAAACACCCAAATTCAAGATTTCTGGATAGGAATGTGTAAATTTATTACCAAGAATATGCTGTTGAAAATTTCAAGTTGTAGAGATTCTACAAAACAGAACATTTATTGCTTTTTAGAGGCCCAGTGTGTAGCTTGCAATTCAACTCCTGAAACAGCATCATCAAGTGATTCCAAGTTCGCCTGACCCCTTTAGTAACTACTTATTTGTAAAGTCAGTTTGCCCTTAGAGTGCTAAATAAAATATCTCTGTCTAGATCAAAACTATTCTTTAATTTGTTAGTATAGTGATCCGTGACATGTGCTTTTATCTACCTAGAACTGTCCTTTCTGCTTGTTTATCTCGAGACACATGTATTCAAGGATTTATTTTTTTAGTCAAAAATATCTCTCTACCAGCTCTTATGCTTCTAATTCATAACTATGCTTGCTTAAGCATGTATATGTACTGTGGCATTCCTAATTTGCTGCTTCCCTTCTCTCTTACCTAGGCTGTGCTGTTGATTGGTGAGCAGGGTACAGCTAAGACTGTCATGATCAAGGGTAACATGGATAAGTACAACCCAGAGGAACACGTGGCTAAGAGTTTCAACTTCTCATCAGCCACTACGCCTATGATGTTCCAGGTTGGTATTGTATTGTATTTTATTTTATACAACTCACTCTTAGATCCTTAGAAAATGATTGGTTGATTGCAGTCACACGTGATTCATTTATTGAGAATATCCGACAACTTTTCATTGAGGTTTCTGGTATTAATCAACGATTTTTAATTATGCAATGTGAAGCGATGTGCAGCAATGTGCGTGCAGATACGACCACTTATACTCTGCACGTACAGGCATGTAAAAGTTAACTTTCCGGTACATTAGTGTTAACCTCAGTAAGCCTATAAACTTGGGATGCATGTATATGTATATTTGCGGTCGATAACGACATGGACCGAGCTTTAAAATGAGTCCTTATCTTACCGAACAACAAGGTTTTATAAAACAAATGATTCATGTTTTCATTCAATCATTAAACATCTATCTGCTCTCATTGAGGCTCTTTGCACCTATCGTACAGGCTTCCTATGATAGATGCGCCCAGTCTCAACTTGAGATCGTGTAATGAACTCAAGTGCATGCGTAATTTGCACACTGCAGCATTCAGGAGAGTTTGAAAGCCAGATTTGTGTATTTTGTTTTGTATAGCACCTTGAGTAAGTTATTAGGTAAGCTCACTTTATAAGTACTTATCATTATTATTATTATTATGTGATATAAATTAATCTGTTTTAAAACCTTCTGCATCTACAGAGAACCATTGAGAGCTACGTTGACAAGCGTGTAGGTAACACCTACGGACCTCCAGCTGGGAAGAGAATGACTGTCTTTGTTGACGACATCAACATGCCCGTCATCAATGAATGGGGTGACCAGGTGAGATTCTCCTCTCTCCATTACTAGGAAGCCAGTTTTCAGGTCCTGGCGATTTATTTTCAGGCCATAGTTTAGGTTTTTTGTGTACAAAATAAATAGCTCATTCTAGGTGATTTTCAGGCCCTCTGATCAATTCTAACTGGCATCCCTGCATTACTCTTTATTATTTTATTTGGATGACCGGTAGAGTGCTTTATAAGGAACAAAATCATAGGTCATCATAGGTCATAGAGCTATCTGCTTTCCGAATGAAAATATACATTTACATGTTTAGACAAATGTCACTTGATGTTTTCACTTTCAAGTTTTACTTTCAAGTAAATAAATTTTTAATTATGATTTGTATAAATATCTGGTTATATTAATGAAAAATTTGTATGAAGCTCTTCAAGATTTTACATTTCTCTTTGCTTATACAGTCAAACCTGGTTTAGCGACCACCTATCTACAAAGACCAAATTATTGTTTCCCTTTAAAATGGTATCTTATTGAAACATGTACTAAAGGAACCTGTCTACAAAGACCACTTTTTTGTCTCTCTTGGGTGGTCTTTACAGACAGGTTTCACTATAGTTATGTCCATCATCCATATTCAATTACAATTGGCATATGAGTCTTAACATCTTTATCTAGTACAGTAGGGTCCATGTTTCATGTCTTAACTATAAATCTCATCTCCTTCCGACCCTTCCTATTCCTGATAGATCACTAACGAGATCGTGCGTCAGATGATGGAGTTCAGTGGGTTCTACAATCTTGAGAAGCCCGGAGACTTCACCATCATTGCAGACATCCAGATGATGGCTGCTATGATCCAGCCTGGAGGAGGGCGCAACGACATCCCACAGCGCCTCAAGAGACAGTTCTCCATCTTCAACTGCACGCTGCCCTCTAATTCCTCCATCGACAAGATCTTTGGTAAGATGCCGCCTATCATGCTCAGAGATTTAGTCTGGGGGGTGTTTCTCAAAGACTAAGATCAACTTTAAGTTGGACTTGAATATGGCAGGCCGTTCATGCCACTGTTCGCTCTCACCATTTACTGGCATTGGTCTCCCAAGGGATGTACAAATCATGGTCACAAATCTACAGGATTTACATTTTGTGTGATAATTCAGTATTGAAGGAAAGGTACTATCTAAAGATCATAATGGTAAGAGCAAACAGTGGCATGAACAGCCTGCCATAGTTATGTCCAACTTAAAGTCGATCTTAGTTTTTGTGAAACACTCCCCAGGTATGTCAACAAGTGCACCAATCTTGTTAACTATGAACATTTCTGTAGGAAAACTTGAGCTTCTGTCAAAGTTTAGTATTTCTAACAGATTAATCTAGTTTAAGCTGAAGAGTCAGCTAACAGAGAGTATGTACATCGGTTGCATCTCATTTGGGATTTCACTAATAAGCATTCCCATCACTGAAGAGGCTGATCTGATTGGGGACGTATAATTGAAAATTATTCTTTCTACAAAACTGGTAATCTTTCTGCTGATTATGAAGAAAAAAAATTTGTTTCCCATCATAACACCTTGCTCTGGATTACAACTATCAAAGTGGCTTCCACTCGGTTTGACAACCATATTCTTTTCCTCTCCTCGATCGTAGGTGTGATTGGAACTGGTCACTACTGTGAGGATAGACGCTTCCCTGCTGATGTCCGAGACCTGGCCAAGGCTCTTGTTCCTATCACTAGACGTCTCTGGCAGTTGACAAAGGTAGGCAATCTGTCGCAGTAAATATTATTCCTCATTTAATGTGTTTTAATTGTGAAAACAAAACTTTGGGTGGATCTGGTGCAGAAGCTGAAGCAGTATAAGCTAAATATGCCTCAGATCCTGGGAAGAGGTCTATCTGATTTGTATAGTAAATTAGAAGAAAAAAACTGCTTATGAAGCAAATGAATTTGATTGTGTAATCAGAAAATTTTGTACAATACAAATGCCTCTCTTGACAAATATGGATGTTTTGCTGCATAAAAACCACCAAGATGCGACACATTTGTCATTTTGTTCACATATGTCGGTAGAATATGCCTCTATACATTTAAAATTGTGAGGACGTTTACTTTGTATCTTTGTCAGAAAGATTTTTTTTTTGGTCCTTTTTAAAGATTATAGCAAGTAATGGAAATGATCTGTAAACGTTGCTAGTTGTACTCGGATCATTATTAAAACTTAAAATATACTTATAAATTCCTTTGAAAATCAATCTTCAGATTAAGATGTTGCCTACGCCTGCCAAGTTCCACTACATCTTCAACCTGCGTGATCTGTCTCGTATCTGGCAAGGCATGATCAACACCCTCAGTGAGGTGGTGACTAAACCTGACGTCCTGCTGTCTCTCTGGAAGCATGAGTGCCTTCGAGTGATCTCAGACCGCTTCACCAACCCTCAGGACTGCGAGTGGTTCAGCAAGACCATCACGCGTGTCGTCCAGGAGGAGCTGGGAGACGTCATGGCCACTGTGTGCCACGAGAATCGCTACTTTGTGGACTTCCTCAGGTAGGTGTAAGGGGAGACCACTGATCTTTTAATATGTTTGATCATTTGTGATGGATACAGGAGGCACAATGATTGAGTCGATAGAGTACTGCTTTTGGAACTTGAAGATCCTGCTCCTGACACAAAGTCAGTTGATTTTGAGCAATTAGCCCATAACAGGAATAGGACAAAAGCCACTTATTGCCTACCTGTCTGCACAAGCATGCATTGTGTCAAGGAAGAATAACTGCACTAATCTGTCAAACTGGTGCAAGGCAAATCCATTCTCTGTTGTTTAGTGAAAGTGAAGTCTGGTCCTTATTCCCTACTGACCGCTGATGCTCTCTTCCTCTCAATCCACAGGGACGCTCCCGAAGCAACCGGAGACGAGCCAGAAGACGCTGACTTTGACATGCCCAAGATCTACGAGCCCATCTCATCCTTCCCGGATCTGGAGGAGAGGCTGCAGATGTTCATGTCTCTGTACAATGAGCAGGTCCGTGGAGCCGGGATGGACCTGGTCTTCTTCAAGGATGCAATGGTACATCTTGTCAAGGTACGTGGTCCTGCCTTCTCATAGCAAGCATCTCACCACTAAAGCGGTTTTCTGAATGTCCAAAATTTCTGCCTCAGAAATGTTTGACTTCAGTAGGTAATGATGAGTAATGGTGAGGTTTTTAACAGTATATTTAGAGCTACATGACTACCTCACTTTTCTCAACAGATGTGTTTGTGCTGGCTTAATTGGCAGACCCTGTGCCTTTGAATATTTAAAAGAAGTATAACTCTATATGAATTCTGATAATCATCATCATTATCGTCATTATCCTCTTTGCTTTTTCCATGTGGAAGAATGTCAAAGGAGCAATGTAACATAGGTGTGATTGCTCTTCTGGTATTCTCATATTTAAAAAATAATTACTTTTAGTTACGTGAGTCGAGTTCAACTTCTATATTTGACTATACCTTCAAAGTGTTTCCACTGCTTTTCACTTTGTTTTGTGTTCATTTTGTTCGATCACAGATCTCTCGTATTATTAGCACCCCACGTGGCAACGCCTTGCTGGTTGGTGTTGGAGGCTCAGGTAAACAGAGTTTGACTCGCTTGGCATCTTTCATCGCTGGCTACAAGACTTTCCAGATCACACTGACAAGGTGAGAACTGTCCTTCCAGTATGTTATCCTGGCTTTTCTTCAACTGTTCTCAAACACTCTAAACATTGGAGTACAGTTATATATGTAGTTGGGTTATGGGCCTGTTTTTGAGGACTCATGTATCTGGTCTCATTTTTTTCTTCAATAGGCTTGTATGCACATGAAATCAACAGGCTATTTGCTTTTCAAATAAGTAACTGCTTTGATAGCAACAAAACGTGACACAAAAACAAGTTCCCCCTTTATAATTCTTCATTATTTCTTAGCTTAACACATTTTCACAGATCGCACTTAGCAAAGAACTATACCTACGTTTATTCAGTGAGCTATTGTATAAAGATTGGGACATCCATTATATTATGGCTGACTTACCAGCACAATGCATTGCTATCAAAATCACTAAGTTCATTCCATGAAGAGAACCTACGAGAACCTGGTTCTTTATTTTTGTGTATTGTATTTTGTCAAATCTTTTGTAGATCTGTTGGCAAACCAAAAGAAGGGTTTAAAGTAAAATGACATTGCATTACACTTAGAAGATTGGACTCTTCTTACAATTTTGTTGTCTTGTTCTGTTAGATCTTACAACACGTCAAACTTGATGGAAGATCTGAAGACACTGTACCGTGTGGCCGGACAGCAAGGCAAGGGTATCACATTCATCTTCACAGACAATGAGATCAAAGATGAAAGCTTCTTGGAGTACCTCAACAATGTCCTTTCATCAGGAGAGGTGAGACTTATTGTCTTATTTTGACCTGGCTTACATCGTTGTTCTATCCTACCTTATTTTGTAATTCCTACCTTTTGTTATTGATAAAATCAATCAAAGATTAGAGCTGCTGGGACTAGTCCAACAAAGGTTTATGTTGTAATGTCTGTTTAATAGAGAGGTGAATAATATGTCCCATTTTGTTCTGATGTGTCCTTAAGCTTTCCTGTTCTACCCACCGTGAAACGTAGCGCTACAAAAACATTGGTCTGAGATAACTTGATCATGATTTGCTTTATGAACGTTGAAATGAATAGTACATTGATTTATCGATTCTGTGGGTATTCAAGAATGAACAAAAAAGTATTTTTCCAATGATTACTGGTAGATTTTTTGTGTATAATATTTTAGCGTAGTTTATTAGAAACCTAGACCCGTGGTTCTTTTGTTAAAGGTTTGAATAAACTTATGGACAAATATATATTGCTTTTTCGCCTCATGAACATGTGCTAATGATTTTTGTTTTCGTTTTGTGCTTTGTTTGTACTTTGTATTTGCTGTTTTTATTAATATGATTCTTAGGGAAATCGCTGTGTTTTATTGCAAGCCTCTGGCTTTGTAATGCGACTTCCCAGGCACAATTTTATTACTTATTATATCTTTGTAATTAAACTATATTTTCTATCATTATTGTCTATGATTGTAGGTGTCTAACCTGTTTGCTCGTGATGAGATTGATGAGATCCAGCAGGAGTTGATTCCAATCATGAAGAGAGAGTACCCCAGGAGACCTCCTACAGGAGAGAACCTCTATGATTACTTCATCACCAGGTCCAGGCAGAACCTCCACACTGTCCTCTGCTTCTCACCTGTAAGTATTTTTCTGTCAAACAGATTTATTAATTAATTGAAAGGGTTGCCTTGTGTTTCAGTCAGGAAATAGTATAAGAAATGACTGTTGCAAAGTTATTCATAATTGTTTATCGTGCTTTAAAGTGGCTTTTTGAATGTCAAAATATAAATGAATTACAAGAACTTGCTAAACATCATGTAGATTGAAAAGCAGCATCATATATATACTAACATGGGACTTCATATTCTGTTGAGAGCCTGATCAGCTTAGTTTCCTGTGAAAGTATGTCTATCATATAACTCTTTTATCAGTGATGCTAGGTGTAGTGCATTTAAGTATGCGTTTCAATAGGATGTCGGCAAACTTGCACTTTTGACAGTTTTGTGAAACTACGTCCCGTTGGTTAAAGATGTTAATGCGTGGGTATATAGTCGTTTGTGAAGTAGGCAACTTGGCGAACACTGAACCAATGGATATTATGCTCCTGTACGGACGTTCGCATAAAGGGACACTATGAACACGCACAGAAGCATAATACCTGTTGGCTCAGTGTGCTACCCTCTATATACCCACATATTGGCAACTTTAAAGATCTATCCACAGACATCACTTCAATGAAGTTACACTGAATATTTTTGTCACTGTTTCAGGTTGGGGAGAAGTTCAGGAACAGAGCCCTCAAGTTCCCTGGTCTCATCTCTGGTTGTACAATGGATTGGTTCAGCCGCTGGCCGAAGGACGCTCTCATCGCCGTGTCCCATCACTTCCTGAAAGTCTTCGATATCGTCTGTACCGATGACGTCAAGAGACAGGTGGAGCAGGCCATGGGTACCTTCCAAGACGGTGTGGCCGAGTCCTGCGTGGATTACTTTGAAAGGTGAGTTCAATATGGTGTATCAGTGAGTTTGAGATTGAGTGCTTGTATGAGGTCTGTAGGGTTAGATCTTTGTCAGTCATAACCCATATTCCAGCTCATAGCTATTCATTCTGCAGACTTGCCCTATTATAGAACCTGTAATTTAGCCAATTCTAATATCAAATTTAGCAATATGATATTGGTAATGGCTTTATACCTCAAATGGAGCTGTATTTTACCCTGTCAATATATGATATATGAGTATTGCAGCTGTCATAGCTTTTTGGGGAAAATCTGGGTATGTTAGTCTGCTTTCAGATGAATGATCCAAACAAAATATTTAGTTTGATTAGTACATCAACAGGAAACAACAAATAATGAGTAGATACCATGTATACCGTTCCAGTATTTTACCCTCTGACAATAATCAACAAAATAACATCACCCATTGACTGATAGAAAATGAGTAATTACAGATCTTCTAATTCAATGAAAGCACTGATTGCAGTGAGAAAGAAGCATCTTCTTTTTTCTTCAAGATGTTCATCATTCTCCTTGCTCCATCGTTATTCCCTCTATTCAGATTCCGACGCGCCACTCACGTGACGCCCAAGTCCTACCTGTCCTTCATCGAAGGCTACAAGAACATCTACTCCGGCAAGTACCAGGAGATCAACGAGCTCTCGAGGCGTATGACCACAGGCTTGGACAAGCTGGTCGAAGCTTCGGCGTCGGTGGCTGAGCTCAGCATAGAGCTAGCTGTCAAAGAAAAGGATCTGGCAGTGGCATCCAAGAAGGCAGAAGAAGTAAGTGTTTTTGCAGGCCAAGATGAAGACCAGTATTAATGTGGATGATAAGAAACTCATGTCACAAGTCTCAGTGACTAGATATTTAAGTTTATCCAAGCTGTAGTAGGGACATCAATTTACCTTATTCATCAGGTGAACGCTAATCTTTGATTTGATTTGTTATGTATGAGACATTAAATTGAATTTGCCCTCTTGAAACTGTCTAGAAAAGAAAAAAAAAATTTGTTTAGCCCTCAAATATTTTTGTGGTGAAAGGAATTTGTAAGATTGGTAATATTCCCTGTTCATGGTTGCTATGGTAACTGATGTTTCTGATATCTTTGAACAGCATTTCCTTTTTTTAAATCTTGGTCCTGTGTGGTAAAGAGTTGGGATTGATTCAAATCAATCCCACCTGTTTATAATCCAGTATTAACAGAAATTTATAGTTTTGATCACTGCCTGACTGGCATATAAAGACAGTCTCTGCACCCATCTTTATTGTATTTCCCTTGAGTCATTTCTGTTTTTATCTTTGCCAACTACATGTACTACTCTCTGTCTTTCAGGTGTTGGCCGCTGTGGCAGTCAAAGCTACGGCAGCCGAGAAGGTCAAGTCTCAGGTCCAGAAGGTCAAGGACAAAGCTCAAGCCATTGTAGATGAAATCAATGTGAGTAGACATCTTCTGTTCAATCTCTTTAAAAACTGCTTACCTGCTTCAGTACTCCGCAGGTTGATGCAGAAAGACGTCTGTTGTCAGTTTGAAGTTTTGAATATACATATACATGTCCTTCTTGATATCAATGATAAAATAATTGTTTCCTGAAGATACAAAGGTCAATTGGTATAAATACTCTGAAAATAGGCTGAGCTTCATGATAAGGCATTCAAGCACTCAAGGGATTAATTCCATCTTGGTACCCATTTACTTCCCCTGGGTAGAAAGTGGCATTTGCAGATTTTTTTTTTTGCAGAAGGACATCATTTTTGTAGGATTTTGAACCAAGTATCATGTGGTCCAAAGTGTAGTGACTTATCCACAAGATCATGAGACCATATCTTGTTTAAATTGAGTATATATACTGCCTTGAAGGCTTCCATGAGGAAGATATTCATTGGTGCCTGTAGTCCATAATGAGAAAACGTTTTAATCAGTGCTGCATAACAAAAGAATGAATATTAATGCCATTTCTCGTATCATTTCTCGAGACTCTCGTAATGAAGGATGCGAGAGTAGGGGATCTTGAAGTGTAGCATTTTGATTGTCAATTTTTTTCATTCCTGGACAGATTGACAAGGCATCAGCAATGGGCAAGCTGGAGGCAGCCAAACCAGCCCTGGAGGAGGCAGAGAAAGCGCTCAATACCATCAAACCTGCTCACATCTCCACCGTGCGTAAGCTTGGCAAGCCTCCCCATCTCATCATGCGCATCATGGACTGTGTATTGCTGCTCTTCCAGAGGAGGATCAGTCCAACTAGTCTCGACCCTGAGAGGGATAGCCCTACTCCATCCTGGTCAGACTCCCTCAAGGTTAGTTACTGGGACCATATCTATTTCAAGTGCTAGTCACCTGGAATTGTTTACGATGCAGATTGAGGAACATTTTCATTTTGTGGGTATTATGAAATTTTAGGGTATTTCATAAAAGATTTAAAAGATTGAACGATCAGCTACAATGTATGTCATTGACTTTGATAGTAGTTGTAAAATCTCTTTTAGTTATAAGAATGTGTGACAGTATTCCATGAACTTCCTCTCTGTATCAGAATAAGGGAATTTAGAGAGTTGGAGGGGTTTCGGGTTTCCTCAAGGTCTGCCAACCTTAACAAAGAACAATATCAGCTGAAAAGGTGAAGTCTTGGAGCCACGATTCCTGATTACATATACACATGTTCACGTTGGTCAATACCAAAGCAGTGTTGACTTGAAGGTTTGATCTCTAATAATTCAGAATTTGATCTCTTTCAATCTTTCAGTTGATGGGTGGTTCAGGGTTTCTTCAGGGTCTGTTGAACTTCCAGAAGGACAGCATCAATGAGGAGACAGTGGAGCTGCTAGAACCTTACCTCAGAATGGAAGACTTCACCTTAGAGACGGCCAAGAAGGTAAAGACTATCAAAGCTCTTTGTTCTTAAAGGCATCGTTTAACAATGTTAAATCTGAGATGCATTGCCCTACATGTTATCAGTGTCTGTGATATGGTGTAATATTGAAGCCCTAAAAAAAATTCAAAATGATCATGAAGTTCCTCAAAAAAGTAAAAGTCTTTGAGTGACCGGTTTTACCATACTCATATCCCCCAATAGACTGTAGTGTTATAAAAACCGTTAGGAAAACAGAAAATTTGATTTCGATTTCCAATCATAAGTATCCTGATAATCAGACAGGCGATCGGCTTGTAAAAGTCATGGGATTCCTGACTGACCCAAAGATTTATAATTATCATTGCAGAATGTGCTAAGTCCAGGATTTTGTTTCTGAATCTGAGACATTGTTACCAAGTCACTTTAATAAACCCCTTTCTGTGCCACTGAGTTAACAGAGAAGTCCACTGGGTGATGTTGGCTTAAATGAAAACAGAAAAGTGAGAGAAATAGAGCGGTGAAACTTTAGGTTGTGATAAAGGACAAGAAAGGATGCCATCTGCTCACAGCCAGAAGGATCTGCAAAACGATATAAGTTAATGCCCTTCTTGCTCTAAGCAGACGATATGAAGTATTGAAATCCATGTAATTTAATGTAGCAGTAAAAACTACATAGTTTGGGGTGATTTGGAGAAGAAAACTCAGATAATTTGATTAAATGTGGTATGACTACACTTTGGTTACTATGTATTGCCAAGGGGGCGTTTCACAAAGCCTTTTTTCAATGACAAATGACAAAAATCAGTGAAAAATCTGCTGATAACCAATCAGAAGCAAGGATTTCAGTAGCTTTATAACAAAAACTGTTATTTGTCACTGATGACAACATTTGTGAAACGCCCTCCAGATATATACCTGTGTCAAGTCTATGGTTTTCTCCTATTTAATCTGTTACTATTTTTGTGTCCTTTGTTGCTGTAGGTGTGTGGTGACGTAGCTGGTCTGTGCTCCTGGGCCAAGGCTATGTCCTTCTTCTTTGGTATCAACAAGGAGGTACTCCCCCTCAAGGTAAATCCATCTACCAGTTACCAGTGTTTTCAATAAGAATGTCATTCATACCGCAGTACAAATATATCTAAGGTAATAGATAAAGTGTATCATATTAAATAAAGAAACTTTATCAGTGCACATCTACTGCTTTACTATCTGATCAAAGGAAACCCTTTCTCTCCTTGTATTTGATATTTTGGGGTCGATTTTTAATTCCATAAGGGGGCTTATGTGATATACATTGGATTTTGATAAAAATAATGATTTTTCATCTCTCTGTTGTGCTTCTTGTGATCAGGCTAATTTAGCCGTGCAGGAACAGAGACTTGGCAGAGCCAACAGTGACCTTGCTCAAGCTCAGGGCCAGCTGGACGCCAAGCAGGCTGAACTGGACGAGGCCCAGGCTGAGTATGACGCTGCTATGAAACTGAAACAGGTGAGACAAAGCCCCATGGATAGGATGGTAACAAACAACTGGGGGTGTTTCACAAAGTTCCTAAGTTGAACTTATCTGTAAGCTGGACATAACAATTATGGAAAGCCGTTAGCATCTTTGAAAATATTTTGTAAAAGTTATTTTAAAAGGCATAAAATGTTGATTCAAATCATTCATATTTTCTTTTATCAAGGAGATTTCATGTTCTTGATGTGGAATTTATGAAAAGTCTAAAACACTCCAATTTTTGCTTTTCAATATATTTTATTTTAAGGCTACAGATAGCTCTCCATAATTTTTAAGTCCAACTTAGAGTTAAGTTCGACTTGGATTTCTGTGAAACACCCCCAAGAGATTGAAAAGGGTTCAGCAGGGAGAGCTTGACTAGGCTCAAGCTGAATTTGATGCTGTTATGAAAAAGAAAAGATGTTGAACCATGATAGTCATATGCATAATGAGAATGACTAGAATGGCCACAACCTGTGTTTGTTATCACAGTAAAGACCAAGCACTAGAGAACTTAAAATTTTGGATATGGATACAAACTTGCTATTGATGAATATTGTAATCATTCTCAGGGTGGTTATGGGGAAGAAGTTCTATAGACCATGATAATTTGATAATTTATAAACCCAAGCTGCTCACCCCTGATTAAAGCTTATTTATTTACACAAATATACATTTGTAGTGTGAAGGAAGCACCATATGCATGTTGTGTTTGGTCAAATGAATCTTTATTAGCAATAAATAATGTAACAAAACTCAAAAGACTGATACATTGACATTTGCTATAAAATATTGAATAACCCCGTGGCTCAGTGGTAGAGCAGTGGTCTCGTAACTGGAAGGTCCCGGGTTCGAACCCAAGTTGATGCGCTAGAGTCCTTTGGTAAGACATAAATCCTCATTACCCAAGTCCTTTGGAGAGGACTTAAAACCGTCAGTCCCCTGGTTTGCTTACAAGCATACACATGCTTTCTTTGCAGTCAGGTAAAACAAACAATCAAACATAGGTTTGGTATGATATGATGAATGGAACCGATATCTGAGAATCGCATTGAAAAGAGCCATACTTAAGCTTTTCGTCTTGCACTCATCAGAGTAAAACACAAAAATGAAACAGAAAGCCGAAATTGAACAATATAAACAGAAACTAAAAGGAAACTAAAAAGAACAAGGTGCGAATATAATAAGCTCTGATTGGCTGTCTAAGGTAACGGTAAATTAGGCTTATTGCCAGCCGGTTATACTGGGATAATCGCTAAAAAAAATGATACAAATTTTGCACTCCTAACAGGATCTTCTGGATGATGCGGACAACTGCCGAAGGAAGATGGACGCAGCCTCCACCCTGATCAGTGGTCTGGGAGGAGAGAAAGAAAGATGGACACAAGCCAACAAGGAATTCAAGGCACAGATTGGCAGGTAAGATCATACATCCTCTTCATGGGGTATATACGAGTTGCATCTCACCTTTGATGACTACAGGTTTCATGTCCTACTTGGGTCCCTTTAACAGGGAGTTCCATAGCAAGGAATGCCAGAAAAGATTTAATTTAAACCAACAACGGTACTTCACAAACCAATCATTCATCGGGTATTACACCTTAAAGGCATCGTTTAACAATGTTAAGTCTGAGATGCACTGCCCTACATGTTATCAGTGTCTATGATATGGTGTAATATTGAAGCCCTACAAAAATTGCATTTCAAAATGATCATGAAGTGCCTCGAAAAAGTAAAAATCTTTGAGTGACCGTTTTCACCATACTCATCTTCCCCAATATTCTGTAGTGTTATAAAAACTGTTAGGAAAACGCAAAATGAAATTTCGATTTTCAATCACAAATATCTTAATGATCAGATAGACGATCGGCTTGTAAAAGTCATGGGATTCCTGACTGACTTAAAGAATTATTATTGATTGCAGCATGAGCTAAATCCAGGATTTTGTTTCAGAATCGGAGGCAATGTTACTGAGTTACTTTAATTCTTTTCAGGTTGGTTGGTGATGTCCTGATGGCTACCGGTTTCTTGTCCTACTCTGGACCCTTCAACCAGGAGTTCCGTAGCAAGCTCCTCAAGGACTGGCAGAAGGAGATGAAGACCAGGAAGATCCCCTTCACGTTAAACCTCAATCTGATTGAGATGCTCGTGGAGAACACAACAGTAAGTAATATTAACTTACTCTGTTCACATTGATGTATATTTCATATGTATTGGAATTTGTAGGTTTATTTGCATTTTTTTGTTTTCATATGTAATTGTTTATCAATGTATTTTGTTTGTTATAGCACTTTTTATTATTAAGTTTTCAGTTATTGTTTGTAGAGGGTGCTACAACATTTGCCAACAATTGTTTGAAGCGTTATTGAGTGAAATATGTATGGCTGGGGTCAGGGTTGCAATTAGGTTTGAGATTCTATTAAAAGTTTTCGTTGGGGTGAAGTATATTGTTGTATCGTTCTCCAGATAAAGTTGAAGAATCTGATTAGTGAAGGAATTCAACCATTGAGTTATTGCTGTCAGAGCATGTGGTGTGCATGTACAACCCTGTAAAGTTGTCAATAGTCAAGTGGTTTAAATTCTTGACTGGAGATGCGAAGGTTGTGGATTCAATACCCTGCATGGCACTTATTTCCTGAACCTAGGCATTTTACTTTAGTTGCTCCTCTCCACCCAGGTGTTCAATGGGTACCAGAGGGAATGAAACAGTCATCAAGGTTTTTCCGCATTGTGATCGTCTGTAATCTGTACTCGAACCACACGTCATATTGTATATTGAAGCCTATCTGCACTAGTTTGGCCAGGAGGGGTTAGACCCCATTTGGGTCACTGGCAGATGGATATCTCATCAAATCAGTTTTCAATTAACATAAGAAAAAGGGGACCATGGGGGATCGACAGGTACCGCTTAGGCAGTGTTGGCTGTATAGAGGGTCAAGTAGCTACAAGTTGTGCAGTCCTGCTTTCAATGATACCTTTACACTCTGGGAAATAAAAATGATAGCTGTCCACTGGATTAATTAACTTGCCTCAAACCAAATATAATCACATCGTTATAAATACATGTTTCCTTCATAATTTTCTAGTGTCAAGCTGAATATTATCATGAGCTTTGAAAGGCCATTTGTACTAGTGTAAAGGAGGGATTAGACTACCCTGCAAGTTCACTGGACAGGTGGTTATCTCATCAACTCAGCTCTCAGTTAACATAAGAAAAAGAGGATCATGGGGGACCAATGGTCACCAATTAGGCATTGTTTGCTATATAGAGGGTGCAAGTAGCCATAAGTAGTGCAGTGTTGTTTTAATACATGTATCTGTTTCTGTTGTAATATCTTATCAGATTGCAGAGTGGAACCTACAAGGTTTGCCCAACGATGAGTTGTCTATCCAGAACGGTATCATCGTCACCAAGGCGTCTCGTTTCCCTCTGCTTATCGACCCTCAAGGGCAGGGTAAGATCTGGATCAAGAATAGAGAGGCTGCTAATGAGATGCAGGTAAGGAACACGAGTTTGTTAATCTGGTTCTTGAATCTTGATTAATTGGTCTTAGGTTTATGAATCTAGACATATTGGTCTTACATGTAGGTCTATGAAGCTATTAAATGCTGGTTTAAGGTTTATGAATCTAGAAATACTGTTCTTAGGTTTACAAATCAAGAAATAAAGAAATATCTGTCGTGAAAAGTAGTAGGAAGAATCTTGATTAATTGGTCTTAGGTTTATGAATCTAGACATATTGGTCTTACATGTAGGTCTATGAAGCTATTAAATGCTGGTTTTAGGTTTATAAATCTAGAAATACTGTTCTTAGGTTTACAAATCAAGAAATAAAGAAATATCTGTCATGAAAAGTAGTAGGAAGACTACCACCTTTTAATAATGACTGAACCTTGTAAATACCGAGCCCAAGCTAAATTGAAAGTGCATGATATGGATCTTATGTACAACTTTCATTTCTGAATAATCCATGTAAATACCAAGCCCGACATAACTTGGGCTTTGTTTTATGGAAAATGGGCATTAGGCAAAAATCAAATCATATGATTGGGATATAAAATATATGGAAGACCAGAATTTTTTATTCCTAAATGATATTGTAAGCATGAGGATTATACAATGCCTTATACTCTTCCGATCAAGAGCTGTTGCAAAGATGTGTCCATTGCTGGATAAGAGTTTTGAAAAAATAATTTCCTTTTGATTACAATGTCAATATTATTAGCAGATTTTTTCTTTGAAACCTGATGCAATTTTTTGATGTGTCAGTACATTGTAAATCCTGGGAGGCTGTCGATGACGATAGGTGATTGAAGCACCCACGATGCTTCACAACATTAGTAGGTTTTACGATGTTTCCATAAACTATTCAATTGCATTGCCTTTCCATAGGTCACGTCCTTGAACCACAAGTACTTCAGGACCCATCTTGAGGATTGCCTGTCCCTAGGGCGCCCTCTGTTGATAGAAGACGTGGGTGAAGAGCTGGACCCAGCTCTGGACAATGTCCTGGAGAAGAACTACATCAAGAGTGGTAGCACGTTCAAGGTTAGTATCGATGTCTGCTCCAAGACTGTTCACTAGGATTGGAAAAAGTGTTCAATCCTGACACAGCACTAATGTCTTTGGCAAGGCATTAATTTAAATTTTCTACTCCATACCCAGGAGAGAAACAGGGACCTGGTAGGATGACAAAAGCCTTTGTTATAGTATATGTCATATGCCCTCATAATGACCACATGGTAGGAATACTCCCCAGGGAGTGGAGATGATGCACACACATCGGGAATGAATCAGATGACTGGTGTAATGATATCTGTAAATCATTTAGAAACAGTATTTTGTATATTAAGCATTATTGTTTGCATTAAATTCAAGACCCTCTGTGTCAAAAGTACATAACATCACACATACCTACATTCTACACATGTAGAAGAAATGGTTTAATACCTGACTTATCCTTGAACGATCTGGTATTCTTTCTTTCCTCCAGGTGAAAGTGGGAGACAAGGAAGTGGACGTGATGGAGGGCTTCCGTCTCTACGTCACCACCAAGCTTCCCAACCCAGCCTACACACCTGAGATCAGTGCCAAGACATCCATCATTGACTTCACCGTCACCATGAAGGGTCTGGAGGATCAGCTCCTGGGCAGGGTTATCCTCACAGAAAAGAGTGTAAGTGGCCCTAGAGGGCGCTCTTTCAATTCTGTATTGATGCCTACAGATTTAGTGGTGGTGCAATTTTCTGTTATCGAGGATTAGAGGTAAATAAAGAGGGAGAGGGAATTGAGACATTTATTCTCTTGATGGTATGAAAATATTCCAGATATATGTAGCACAAATCTCATATCCGTATTTGATTCCCCTTGTATGCACCTCAAGAACTTCAAGGTTCAGTAATAGTCATGAATTATGCTCTTGAGTGAAAGGTCAGGGACTCCATAACATTTAAAGTGTGTTTGATTGACAAGTGGTCAGTCACCAATGATTAATCTATTCGTAATCCAATGATTTGAGCATGTGATCAGTTCATGTGCAACTGCTCATGAGATCAGGTTCTCTGGTCATGACATCCTAGCTTACCCAAATGTAATTCCTGCTCTGATCCTTCCACACCTTCAGGAGCTTGAAGCAGAGCGTACCAAACTTGTGGAGGATGTCACTGCCAACAAACGGAAGATGAAAGAGCTTGAGGACAACCTCCTCTACCGTCTGACAAGCACGCAGGGCTCCCTCGTTGATGATGAATCGCTCATCACCGTGCTTCAGGTCACCAAGACGACGGCCGAAGAGGTCAGTCAGAAGCTTCAAATCGCTGCTGATACAGAGGTCAAGATCAACCTCGCAAGAGAGGAATTCAGACCAGGTATTTAAAAATTATCCATTTTGTCTTCATTTATTCTTTTCTATTATGTAAATGTAGTGTCTTATTAAAAAAGAAATCTCATGCATTTATGTATGTCTATGATTCTAGCTTGATGTGAACAATGTTATTGCATATACGATATTGCTGTTTTGGGAAATCATGGTTTTCTTGTAACTATTTTCGACAAATTATGGTTAAAATATTGAAAGTGAAGGCAATTCTAACAATACAATGATAGACATATAGACGAAATGAAGTATCCATATGGTGACAATGAAAGAGCATTGCGATAAAGAGTTATTGTGCACTTCTAAGTAGCTTGATCTAAATGAGATAGGTAGAAGATGTGACGCTATGTTGTATAATTTACATCTGTTAGTGCTTGTAAATACTGCTTAGTCACCTGTAACTCCAGATTAAACATTGTTGATTTACCGATTGGATCAAAACTTTTATACCCTGATCTTTCCCTTCTTTAGTGGCCACTCGAGGTAGCATCCTGTACTTCTTGATCACTGAGATGAGTATGGTGAATGTCATGTACCAGACATCTCTCAAGCAGTTCTTGGGCATCTTTGATCTCTCCATGGCTAAGTAAGTACACTTTCACCTTGAAGATACTGTTCTCAGCTTGAAGTGGACATGAAGACTTGTTTTTGGGAATGATATGATTTAAAAGAAGGATGCTGCAAACTCTAAAATGTATCGTGAGGGTACTTTTTTTTTGGGGGGGGGCAATGATATGGCTTGATGGGTTCAAGTCCCGCTGCGACACTAATGTCCTTTGGCAAGACATTAATCTACATTTGCCACTCTCCACCCAAGTGTTGAATGGCTAAGGGCAGGAAGGAATTCCTTGAATGCTGTGAAAACTGAAATCAATAGGGTAGCAGAACTCTAGTCTCTTGAGTAGGGCTTGAGATTTAAGGGTGACTAGAGCTTATGTAGAAGACAAACTTTGCTTTCTTTGGAAAATGGGTTAAGATGAGCACAATCAGTCAATCAGAACAATATTGGACATTGGAGGCAACAGAGGTTTTCACTATTAATCAGTCTGGCCTTTTAGTTTGCTTGCAGCACCTGCTGTGGCTGTTGAGGCCACCTCTGTAGAGGCACCTCTTGGTAGCTATTAAGTGGAGTATACATGTATGTCATCAAAATATTTATAATCATAACTTTGATTTTTCCTTTTTTTCTTCTTCTCCTCAGTTCTACCAAGAGTCCAATCACAACTAAACGTATTAATAACATCATTGACTACATGACGTTTGCTGTCTTTAAGTACGCTGCCAGAGGTCTCTATGAGGATGATAAGTTCATGTTCACCCTTCTTCTCACACTCAAGATTGACCTCCAGGGTGGAAAGGTCAAACATGAAGAGTTCATGACCCTGATCAAAGGTCAGTGGTAGTGTTGATTATAAAATACGATTGTGTGTGATTAAATTATCATGCTTAGTGAGATGTGGAATCAATACCTTGATATGCTCAAAGCGATGTTATATTAAATGTGATGGTCCATTTGGAATTAATTATTCTGGAAAGATTGTTACCATAGAATTAAGACCTAGAAAATGAGTCTTACAGATGAGTAACTTCTATTACCAAGAAGCAGAGAGAGAGTTAATTAGAAAAAAGTAACAAGAACAGTCTTCAAATAATTGCATATCAACTGTAACCCTCCATTCCTGTACTCACTGTATTTTCTCACTTTCTGAAGTTTATAGGTATTATTGAATGTTAATGGATGTGACCAACCAGTAGTTGCCTTTGTTTTGTTTTATAATGAAGGGCTTGTTTCTAGCTGTGTATATCCAAATGCTGCACCAACAAAGTGCCTTTTCACTTATTCTGAACCATGATATCCTTGTGGCTTTTCCTGTACTAGGTGGTGCCACCTTGGACCTTAACGTCTGTCCTAAATAACATCCAAATGCTGCACTTTCAAGGTGCCTTTTGACTTATTCTAAACTATTATATCCTTGTGGCTCTTCCTGTACTAGGTGGTGCCACCTTGGACCTTAACGCCTGCCCTACCAAGCCGTCCAAGTGGATCCTGGACATCACCTGGCTCAACCTGGTGGAGCTCAGCAAACTCAAACACTTCTCTGAGGTCATCAACCAGGTCAGCCGCAACGAGAAGCAGTGGAAGCACTGGTTCGACAAGGAGGCGCCCGAGGAGGAGGCGATACCGGACGGGTATCATCAGTCCTTGGATGTCTTCAGGAAACTGCTGCTGATCAGGTCATGGTGTCCAGACAGGACGTTGGCTCAGGCTAGGAAGTATATTGGTAAGTAAATGAAGAACCTTGTGGTGTGTGCTTTTGGTGTGATTGAAACTATAGTGTTTTTAGTCTTTTTTATGCCTCCGTTACGAAGTAGCCGGAGGCATTATGTTTTCGGGTTGTCCGTCCGTCCGTCCGTCCGTCCGTCCGTACGTCTGTACGTACGTCTGTACGTACGTCCCGTTCTCGTGATCACGTTATCTGAAGAACGGATCAATGGATTCCTACCAAACTTTGGTCATATATGTATCTAGCAAAGTCGATGAACTGATTAGATTTTGGGGTCACGAGGTCAAAGGTCAAAGGTCACAGGGCTCACTATGTATGCAAAAACAGCTCGTGATCGCGTTATCTGAAGAACCGATTGATGGATTCCTGCCAAACTTTGGTCATGTATGTATCTTGTAGAGTCGATGAACTGATTAGATTTTGGGGTCACGAGGTCAAAGGTCAAAGGTCACAGGGCTCATTATGTATGCAAAACGGCTCGTGATCGCGTTATCTGAAGAACCGATAGATGGATTCCTGCCAAACTTTGGTCATGTATGTATCTTGCAGAGCCAATGAACTGATTAGATTTTGGGGTCACGAGGTCAAAGGTCAAAGGTCACAGGGCTCATTATGTATGCAAAAACAGCTTGTGATCGCGTTATCTCAAGAACCGATTGATGGATTCCTGCCAAACTTAGGTCATGTATGTTACTTGCAGAGCCGATGAACTTATTAGATTTTGGGTAACGAGGTCAAAGGTCAAAGGTCACAGCGCCCATTATGTATGCAAAAACAGCTTGTGATCGCGTTATCATTAGAACAGATTGATGGATTCCTGCCAAACTTAGATCATTTATGTATCTTGCAGAGCCAATGAACTGTGTAGATTCTTGGTTCATAAGGTCCAAGGTCATGGGCTCATTATGTATGCAAAAATAGCTTGTGAACGCATTCTCATTAGAACTGACAGATGGATTACTATTTAACTCTGGATATCTTGCAGAGCCAATGAGCTGAGTAGATATTAGGATCATGAGGTCAAAGTTCAAAGGGTCATATATGTATATGAGAAATTGTTTGTAATCACGATATTCTGAGAACCTGTTAATGGATTACAATTGAACTTGAATTTGAAAAATTTCTTCTGTTTTGGTTTGTAAAATTGCTCTATGACGGAGGCATCATTTTCGACTGCGCGCAGTCGAATTCCATCTAGTTATATTAACACTAATTCTTTACGTTCCAGAAGAGTGGCAGTGAATTATGTAATCAAAAGAGTACTATGTGTTCAATAATTTGTAGGTTTAATGAACTTTAATTCCCAGTATGTCTTATATGTGGCTAAATTTGCTCTTTTTTTTGGAAGAGTTATCAGGGATTGTGAGATGGTTTATGTATTGGAGGGTGGCTGCAACAAATCTATGCTGCCGAAGGTATTTAGAATCTCATTTTAAAGACATGAAAAGACACAGTCAAAGATTTGAAAACACTCGGTATGTTATGTATTAAATAATTCAGAGTCACAACTCATATGATGTGTATACCAGACTAGACAAATACCCAAGCCTACAAGAAAGAATGTGTTCTTTCCAACTCTGAGCATATATTTTCATCATCAATCTCTGTTAAAGGGATTGGGTAACTATGTCTCAGATCACGAAACAAAATCCTGGATTTAGCTCATGCTGCAATGATAATTATAAACCTTTAGGTCAGTCAGGTACCCCATGACTTTTACAAGCCGATCGCCCGTCTGATTATCAAGATATTTATGATTGGAAATCAAAACCATATTTTGCATTTTCCTAACAGTTTTCAAAACACTACATTCTATTGGGGAAAATGAGTATGGTAAAACCGGTCATTCAAAGGTTTCTACTTTTTTGAGGCACTTTATGATCGTTTTGAAGAGCAATTTTTGTAGGGCTTCAATATTACACCATATCACAGACGCTGATAACATGTAGGGCCGTGCATCTCAGATTTAACATTGTGAAACGATCCCTTTAAAACCCTTCAGCCGACTCCATGGGAGAGCGTTACTCGGAGGGTGTGATCCTGGACCTGGAAGCCACCTTTGATGAGTCTGACCCAAGGAACCCTCTGATCTGCTTCCTATCCATGGGATCCGATCCAACCAACATGATCGAAGGTCTGGCCAAGAAGAGGAAGTTTGACTGCCGCTCCATCTCTATGGGACAGGGTCAGGAGGTCCATGCCAGGAGACTCCTGCAGCAGTTCATGGCCAATGTGAGTACAACCATCAACAAATCATACATTGTCAGAGATGCTTTTTTTTTTCTTTTCTTTTTTTAAACTCATAAAAACAGCGGAATCGCATAGAAACATGTACAAGTAAACCCTGCAACCCCAACAAAAACTTTGCTTTACAATTTTTTCATTAAATTTTAATGAAAGAGCAAACATTTTCCTGCAATTTTACTGGCCCGGGGCAGTGTAGAGTTTAGATACTCTGTCTGTTTTTTTGTGTCAAGAGGTTGACATCTCTGCATTGTGTGTAATTGGGTTTTTACAGACGCGTATCAATCAGATATGATTATTTACATCTGGGGACCGACCTTTAACGTCACCATCCGCAAGATGTGACTCAGTTTCGAACCGGGGTTGCCTGAGCTAGTTTGTTGGCAATGACAGAGAGCTGACCAAGTCACAAGCTTGACCAACTCACATCTCCCCATTGACAACAGCAGTATTTGAAGTAGTAGTTGTTTCTGTACCTCTGTTGGCCCCACAGCCCCATTTGATATTCCTTGACATATTCCCTCATTATCCACCAAAATATAATTTCTTGATCAGTATCGTTACCCCCTGTAATTTAAGCAAGAAAGGTATTGAATGATATTTTTTATTTTGTTCATTTATGGCCCATGCATTACTCCCCCCCCCCCCCCACACATGTTAGTTTTGGTTATCTCCATGACGTTCTCAAGGTTAAGAAGCATTGATTCAAATGAATATAAAGATAACCTTTCTGTACAGTTGGGTCACGTTACACGTAAAGAAGGCCTAGAGAATCTTGCTTTGACAGGGAAAATTGTGTGGAGTAGGAGTAGAAGGAGGATACTTTAGGATGGACATTCCGCAGAAATTGTTAGAAGAGAGAGGACTGAAAGAACTGGAAGTGGTGCTAATAGAGAAGGCTAGGAGCCGAAGGTTGCGTAACAGCCTGATCGCCAAAGTCAATCGGTATGACAATTAGAGAGACAGAGAGATACAGTTGTACTACATACTCTGATTAGGCTCTGGCATCAATTACTCTGTGGTTTATTTCCAACAACATTTTAGCCCTGAACCTAACTCTGTTTTACATCAATTTGTAAACCTAAACCTGACTTACAGCCACATTGCAATTCTGACATATTGTGATCGGTAAAAATGTGCAAACTGTTATGTTTTATTTTGTTCAGGGTGGATGGGTGTTGCTTCAGAACTGCCATCTGTCTCTGGACTTCTTGAATGAACTGATGGACTGCATTATAGAGACTGAGGTTGTACATGAAGACTTCAGGCTGTGGATGACTACAGAGGTTCACAAGAGCTTCCCTATCAGTCTGCTACAGGTCAGTTAACCAAGAACTTATTGACACTTACGATATTCAACAGTTGCATAACTCGAGTAGCAAGGATAATTCAACCGTCATAGCAAGTCTTTTTAAAGGAGAACAGAAAAGTCAGAGAAACAGATAACAATTAGAAAATGTTATCTGTCAGATTTTGTTTAAAGGCATCATTTAACAATGTTTCCAGTTTTACAAATCTGAGATGCATGGCCCTACGTATTATCAGTGTATGTGCATGTTGTAATATTGAAGCCCTAAAAAATTGTGCTTCAAAATGATTATGAAGTGCCTCAAAAAAATATTAATCTTTGAGTGACCGGTTTTACCATACTCATTTCCCTCAAAAGACTGTAGTGTTATAAAAACCGTTTTTTGAAATTTCTAATTCCAATCATAAAATATTTTGATAATCAGACAGGCGATCGGTTTGTAAAAGTCATGGGATCACTGACTGACCTAAAGGTTTATGATTATGATTGAAGCATGAGCTAAATTCAGGATTGCAAAGATACCCAATCCCTTTAAATTTAGAGAGCAAAAAAGTCAGAGAAACAGATAAAAATTAAAAAGTGTTATCTGTCTGATTTTGTTTAACCTTTCAGCAACCCGTCTCTCTGATGTTTCTGTTTTCACCCAATGAAGCTTTTTAGTATGGCTTTATTTCCCTTAAATAAGAGCAAACTTAATTCAAAATGTGGACAGGGTCGAAATCTAACTTGTGTGCAATTGTTAAGTACTTGTAAAGCACATTTGTTGGGAGTTCATACCTTTCACTATCAGTCACTGGGCTGTTCAATAAAATCCTGTTGACATCTTTTAATTTCCCTTTAGACAAGGTATAGTATCTGTTTTGGTCATTTTTGACATAGGACCACATATAGTACATGGATTTCTTGAGGTGTCATAGACTGCTCTCATCCTTTCCTTTTCATAGTCCATTTTCCTTTTCTCCTTTTTCCATAATTTCCATTATTTCCATTTTGCTAATCTCTTGATTTCCCTATCACCCCACAGATGTGCATCAAGTTCACCAACGAGCCTCCCCAGGGGATCAAGGCGGGGCTGAAGCGTACCTATGCGGGGATCACCCAGGACCAGTTGGACGTCTCCAACATGCCCCAATGGAAGCCTATGCTGTACGGTACAGCCTTCCTCCACACCACGGTGCAGGAGAGGCGCAAGTTTGGCCCCCTGGGGTGGAACATCCCCTATGAGTTCAATGCAGCCGACTTCAGCTCCACTGTGCAGTTTGAGCAGGTAAGAATCTTTCAAAGTCTTGAGCTGTTTGATGCTCTGGAAGTAATATATTGTATAGGTGCTGTGGTACAGTGAAACCTGTCTATAAAGACCACCCTAGGGATACAAGAAAAGTTTTTGTTATAGGCAGGTGGTCTTTATGTACAGGTGCCTATAGTGCATGTTTCAATGAGAAACCATTTTCAAGGTAAACAAACACTGTGGTCTTTGTAGACAGGTGGTCACTAAAGCAGGTTTGACTGTATCATACATACCATATATGAAGATTTTAGGCCTCTATATTTTAGATTATTGACCGGGCATAGTTCTGCTTGCGAGTACCTCCTGTTCACGTGATCGCGTTATCTCAAGAACCAATTGATGAATTCCCGCCGAACTTTGGTCAGGAATGCTGTATATTAAACAATTATTGAATGCTTACTTTTTTGGGTCACGGTTAAAACTATAGCTCCTCTTGAGTGATCTTGTGACTGCACTATTCCCTTCTTCTTTATCTCGGGTCAGAGTACAGTTTAAAGATCCCGCAAAGCAGTCAATATCTGTATACTATAAAACCAGAAACTTTCATGACATGAAGCTTTCACAAATCGTAAATGACGGCCATTTTCACATCAAGAAACTTTTACAAATTACAATTACAATAAAGAATGTAAATTTCTTGAAAGATATAGGATTTATTGACTTAGCATGCCAGCTATGTTAGACAACTAATTCAAACCGTTTATTCTTGTTTTCTCGTGATCAGAATCATCTGGATGACATGGACATCAAGAAGGGCGTGTCCTGGTCGACGGTGCGCTACATGATCGGCGAGATCCAGTACGGTGGCCGTGTGACTGATGACTACGACAAACGGCTTCTCAACACCTTTGCCAAAGTATGGTTCAGCGAGGCCATGTTCAGTCCGACCTTTTCATTCTACAAGGGTTATGCCATCCCCAAGTGCAGCAACTGTAATCAGTATATCGAGTACATCAATAGCTTACCTCTTGCTGATACTCCAGAAGCCTTCGGACTTCACCCCAATGCGGATATCACGTAAGTTTAACCCCGTCTGTTGCAGTTGAAGACATGATCTGAAACACTTGTATGCATGTAAAATGTAAAACCATTTGACTGTATGATGGCAAGTGTATGCAACATGCCAAATTCTGTTCTTTAGCATCTGTAACAGGAACGTGAACAAGTCAAAGTCTCAAATTATTACTGTCAATCCACTAGGAACAACTAAAGAATCACAAAACAATCAGCCTGGTAAATCTCACACGCACACATAAGAACAGTCAAACCTGTTTTACTGAAGGCCATCTGTCCACTGTCCAACTTTTTACAATTTTCCCAAGAGAAATGTGTGTTTTATGACATGTATAGAATGACCATGTATCAGTAATGACCTCTTTTGATTTTCCTTTGTAACTGTATATGATACACAGTCAAACCTGTCTACAGTGACCGCCCAAGGGAAACACAAAAAGTGGTCTTTGTAGACAGGTTCCTTTAGTACATGTTTCAATGAGAAACCATTTTCAAGGGAAACAAAATATGTGCTTGTTGTAGAGCAGGTTTGACTTTACATTCATGTGCTACCATCGTTTATTCAGATATCAGAGCAACACTGCCAGGACCGTGCTAGGAACCATCCTCAGTATCCAGCCAAAGGACAGCGGTAGTGGAGGTGGAGAGACCCGTGAGGTCACTGTCACCCGGATGGCTGATGACATGCTTGACAAGCTCCCTGTGGACTACATCTCCTTCGAGGTGCGGGACCGTCTCCAGAAGATGGGGGCTCTCATGCCCATGAACATCTTCCTCAAACAGGAGATCGATCGGATGCAGAGGGTCATCTCTCTCGTCCGAAACACCCTGACCGACCTCAAGCTCGCTATCGACGGCACCATCATCATGAACGAGAACCTGCGTGATGCCCTGGATAGTATGTTCGATGGGCGTATCCCGGTTACCTGGAGCAGGATTTCCTGGGCGTCGTCCACCCTAGGTTTCTGGTTTACAGAGCTTCTTGACAGGAACAAGCAGTTCCATGCGTGGTGCTTCGATGGAAGGCCAAACACTTTCTGGATGACTGGATTCTTCAACCCTCAGGGATTCCTGACTGCTATGAGACAGGTAAGGTCCAGGGACCTCTGGAAAAAATGGATCTAAATGTGGCTATTGCCTTATCAACTCTTGGAGGAATATTATTGGCAGCAGATAGACGAGCCATAATCAGTCTTCTCCATACTTGTTGGTCTTGTAAAAAAAAAATTAAAAATTGAAAACATTTTTCCTATTTATTATTGGATGTTTCAAGTTCACGATTTCTTCTGTCAACCTCTGGTTCTAAGCCTCAAAGATAGCAGAGAATAGCTCGGCAGATCACTCTGTAGGACACGTATGAACTTACATGCATGTTTGAATTTATGATGTTGAATTATTCTCAATGTTATTGCAATAGAAATATTTTGAAAGGTTAATTTGAAGCAATTTGTGCTATTTGTAAATGTTTAATAAAATCTTTAGAATCAGGGGATTATATTTTAATTCATTTTTAGATGTCTGTAGAGTGATTTTTCACGCTGAGATTCTCTATCATTTGATTCTTTGTCATTGTAGGAAGTGACACGAGCTCACAAGGGCTGGGCTTTAGACAGTGTGGTCCTCCACAACGACGTCACCCGCTTCCTCAAAGACGACATCAGCCAGCCACCGCAGGAGGGCGTCTACGTCTACGGCCTGTTCCTAGAGGGCGCTAGCTGGGACCGACGCGGTTGCCGCCTCATAGAGCCCAAACCCAAGGTCCTCTTTGAGCCTCTCCCGGTCATCCATATCTACGCTATCAACAGCACGCAGGGTCGCGACCCACGCATGTATGAGTGTCCGATCTACAAGAAGCCCGTCAGGACGGACCTGACGTACATCGCTCCCGTAGAGCTGAAGACAACCCAGAACCCTGATCACTGGATCCTCAGGGGGGTAGCTTTGCTCTGTGACATCAAGTAGATCCCTTCAACATACCTCCTCATCTCCTTCTATATTGTCATCTTCATTGCATGCTCTGACCCAGTGGTTCATGACCTTTGACCTTAGTGTCCTTGTGACCCCATTTAGCATACCTTTTCAGGGCCGTTACTTCCAAATCGCACTTCTTGGCCAGTGCTGTTGTTCTTATTCATGTAATCGACTCGACATACACATGAAGATTAAATGGAATTCAGTTTTTAATGACCCATTTTCCGCCCTCCCTCCCCCCCCCCCCCCCCGAAAAAAAGCACAGTAACCCCTATAGAGGTCACGATCCCCAAGGTTAAGAACCACTGGTATATTCTCAGAGATCCTTTGCATTTACATGTATCTGCAGCTTTTTTTATCATATATCATGCAAGAATAGAACTCCAATGCTCATATCTGTTTTTGTTCATATTACTTTCATCTTGCATATAGATCATCGACGTAGATGTATATGATTATCTGCATACCGGTATCATTGTATATCCTCCGTTGAGCGCCAGAAGGGCGTTAGCTCTGTCTGTGTCAAAGTGAATAAACCAATGCCCTTCTCGCTTCCAGCGGATGATATATACGTGAGACATGTCTATTTTGTATATATTCAATCATGATTCGCATTCCAGTAGCTTGCATTTACTTTCATGTTTATATATAGCTGTAGAATATTCATGAACATGCTTATCTGCATTTGATGTGCTTCAGTTCAATTATGCTTGTGTCTTCCCCCAAATAAGAACAAATCAATATGTTACCAAAACCTTTTGCTTTTTCTTTTAATCAGTGGATATTATGAAGAATTGAATCATTTCATAACAAAACATACCTCCCAGTGACATGAAATCTGCCAAAAATGCTGCCCAATACATTAGCATCTAGCTCAACATTTTTTTAATAGCCTGTGTTACCTCCTTTTTGCTTCAATGAATTATTTAGATCACATATATTGTACAAATCCTAATCCGGATTAATTGCATGAAGTTCATATATATATTGTCTATTCAAGTTGTGAAAATCTTATGATAAAACAGGTAAAGCATAACGATTCAATCATGTCACCGTAATTGTAAATACACTATCTTTTTAATCATCATATTAATTATATATTTATATCACCATTTGATAATTCACCATGTAATATTTCTATCCATGCACTTTTTTCCTGATCAGAATATATATGTATTTTTGTAAATTCCATTCAAGCGCCCTATTTTTGTACGTTTTAAAAATCATGTAATACCCTATTATATATACTGTAGCATTTATTCCATTATTCCATCCCTTTCTCCTGCTAAATTTCACAATCTAGGACATTCACCGTTGTAAGAGATTGTACTTCTTGTATGTTTATAATGATTTTTTGTGTGTGCATCTTTTCTATGAAAACCTATGCAAACCAATTAAAGTCCATTTTTCAGGCATTCAATAAAAAACTCACCTTGAAAAATTTGTGTGATTATTATCATTCCGGCCTTTTCCACAGTTTAGCATGATGTAAGAAAATGTATGTTTTCTCAGCTTAATACATTTTTAAAAAATCTCTATTTTGAGTCAACAAACATATGTACTTGTCTTATCAATTGTATTGCCTTTCAGTATGTATTGTCTCATATATTTTCATATTCATACCATTTCATAGTTGTAATATATATATATATATATATATATATATTATGTTATTGATTGTCTTGAAGTTGTTTTGTTTTTAAATTGTAGCAGAGTGTGTGCTTATATTTACTTCCAGAAACGTTTTGTAAAAGCCTGTATTCCATCCTCTTTCATGAACTATATTCTCATTAGGCAGCTTATATATATATATATATATATATATATGTATGTGTATTCAAAGGCCTCTGTCAAGAAAGCTATGCATATACCTGATACATGTCATTTTCCATGCAGTATATTGCATCATGTATTCATATCCTTATACACTTGAGCACTGTATCTATTTGATTACCTGATCTATTCCATGATATATATTATTCTCATATATGTGCATCTTTCATAGTTACTGCCCAGAAAATATATGCATACCTGGGCCCCATCTTATAAAAAGTTGCCATATTGACTCAAACCTATCGCAACCTGAAATGAATCGCAAATCCTATCTCTTAAGTACATAGTTGCGATTAATTTCAAGTTGCGATGGATTTGAGTCAATCCTAACTCTTTATAAGAAAAGACCCTGATATTTCTTTTTTTCATGCAATATACTACACCTTGTAAGTGTGTTTGTATATGTTACACTTCGACCTGTATCTATCTCATTTTCTTCAGATATATATTATACATACATGCATCTTATTTACTCTTGTGTTACATTCCGTACATCTTGAAGCCCTGTTCTGTCATCTTTGCATCTTATTGCATCATATTCCCGGGGTAAGGGTGATACTTGACGTCACTTTGTAATCTAACCCTCCTTTGTATCACAGCACACGGAGGTCATCCTGGGTTTACTTCAAAACTATGGTTTAAATGTAATGTTAACACATTTTCTAATTATCTATACGTGAAGCATTTCAAAAATCAGCTCAACACGAAAGAAAATGGCTGCCATTTTTTAAACTATTATTTTTTGTACAAGAATTGAGACATCGGGTAATTTTGTTTCATGGATATAAATGAGTTCAATGGATTATTTTCTTTATTTTACAGCTTGTACTTGATAAGAAACAGAATGAACAAAGTGAAAGGTAGAAAAATGTTGATCAAGGTTTGCAGTGGGCAGTATTCATACGATTCAAAAATTGTGTCTAGATTCATTTGATCGATGTATGATTCTATTTTGTGAAATAAAATTAAAACAAAAAAGAATGCATCAAAAACAGAAGAACAAATGAATGTATTTGAACAAGTGGTTTGAAATTATAAACAAAAGTGATTTGAGGATATAGTACATGAAAGTATATATGAAATCGAACATTCCATTGAAATTGGATTGCTGTATTTGTGTGTGTTTAGTATCATTGTATGTTGTGCATGTAAACTGTGTATCAAGTTCATTAATCAAAAAGACACAATTAGTTATAATGAATTGTAATCTCCTATGTATCAAATATTAAAGAAGTAAAAATGTAGATGTGTGCAGTTACAGTGTAGTACCGTAGTTGAAACGCCTTTAATTTAATATATAAAATATATAAATATAAACTAAAACTATGTTTGATTGAAGCATATGTAGTTTTGTTTGCTGAGTATTGTTACTAACACTGTAATCTAATCTATGTACCTTGACAAATTGTGAAAATTGATTCAATCATTGATATGATGTGAATATCTATGTAGCTTCTGAAGATGTAACAATTACAGCAAGAATTTTTGCTTGCCACAATATCAGGATGTACTAATATTTTAATAAAATATTTGTGATTGCTAGTATTTTTTGTTTTGTATTCATTCAAGAATGAGATTGAAGGAGGGATGAGGTAGACAGAGAGAGAGAGAGAGAGAGAGAGAGAGAGAGAGAGAGAGACAGACAGACCAGAGAGGGGACCCAGATCTGCTTTAATATAATCTGGGATCACAGGCTAAAAAGCTTACCATGCAGTGCCGTTAAAATCGCTTGGCTAAATACTGGAGGATTGAAAACAAAATACGCCATTATTTAGACAAATTGATTAGGTGAATGGAAATTATTAAGATTTGGCTTTGGAAGGCCAAGGAGTTGCCACAGTAAGCACCTCTCGGTAAGACATGCCTATGGCTAAAATACAATGTTTCATCCCTTTATCATGATTAAATCTGTTATGTGCAATAAAATATTAAACGTAATTAAATTAATGATAATTAAATTAATGATAATGAAAAGTACATGAAAAATGATAGCAGAACAGCGGGAAAATGAAGATTTGCAAAATTGGTTCAAGGAATCGAACTTGGGCCACGGCGCTCAGAAACTTAGCATTAGGGCAAGTAACCAGCTGGGCGCTCCTGTAGGCACTGAGGCTAGACAGTTCTTAACCTTTAACTTCCATCGTCAATAAAAAGGTAGATCGAGGTTCAATACCAGGAGCGGCTCCAGGAGATAACAAAAAGTGAGTGTTAAATTCCCCCAAAATATAAAAAGAAAGGGGGAAAGCGGACCCCCGTGACACCCTTATCTGCCCCTAGATGATGAAAAAAAATACTAAGATTTGAACCTGGACCATCGCGGTCAGAAACTTAACATTAACGCCAGTTACTATCTGGGCCCTCCTGGTGACAGCAGGCCCAGATAGCCCTTAACTCTAGCTTGCATCGGTGACGAAAAGCGACAAAATTTCAGGCATTAAGCATGTTTGGATCAGCGGTAGAGCATTTGCCTCGTGTACCCGAGGTCCTAGGTTCGATATCAACTCTTTCTTTCATTCTTATCCAATTTTGCAAAATTGCAAAACCTTTCAAAAGTATTGAACCTCGGCTCCCGCGGTCAGAAACTTAACATTAGTGCCAGTTACTATCTGGGCCTTCCAGGTGACAGCAGGCCCAGATAGCCCTTAACCCTAACTTGCATCGGTGACGAAAAGCGACAAAATGTCAAGCGTTAAGTCTATTTGGATCAGAGGTAGAGCATTTGCCTAGTGTACCCGAGGTCCAAGGTTCGATATCCATTCTTTATTTCATTCTAATCCACTTCTGCAAAATGTCAAAAACTTCTTCTTCTTTTTTCTTCTTCTTTTCCTTCTCCCTTGACCCACTTTTCTCTTTGGTTGTTTGTTTGAATGTTTGAATGGAGAAGGGAAGAAGTAAATGGAGAAGTAGGAGAATGTGGGGAAGAAGAAGAAGAAGAAGGAGGAGGAGGAGGAGGAGGAGGAGGAGAAGAAGGGGAAAGTAGGAGAATGAGGGGAAGGAGAAGAAGAAGAAGAAGGGGAAGAAGAAGGATGAGAAGAAGAGAGAAGGAAAAGAAGGGGAAGAAGGAGAATGAGGGGAAGGAGATGAAGAAGAAGGAGGAGAATGAGGGATAGGAGAAGAAAGGGGAAGGAGAAGGAGAATGAGGAGAAGGAGAATGAGGGGAAGGAAAAAAGGAAGAAGGGAAGGGGAAGAAGAAGAAGAAGAATGAGGGATAGAAGGAGAAGAAGGGGAAAGAGAAGGAGAAGACGTGGAAGAAGGAGAATGAGGGGAAAGAGAAGAATAAGAAAGGAGGAGAAGGAGAAGGGTAAGAAGGAAAAGAAGACAATGAAGGAGATGAATGAGAAGTAGAAGAAGGGGAGAAGAAGGAGAATGACGGGGAAGAAGGAGAATGACGGGGAAGGAGAATGAGGGGAAAGAGAAGAAGAAAAAAGGAGGAGGGGAAGGAGAAGAAGGAGAAGGGGAAGAAGGAAAAGAAGACAATGAAGGAGATGAATGAGGAGAAGGGGAGAAGGAGAATGATGGGCAGGAAAAGAAGAAGAAGGGGAGGAGAAGGGGAAGTAGAAAAAGAAGAAGGAGAATGCAGGAAGGAGGGGAAGGAGAAGAAGAAGAAGAGAATAATAACTATAACAATAATGATAAGAAGAAAAGAAGAAGAATAACTAAGATAATGATGAGAAGAAGATGATACAAAGAGGACAAGAAGAAAAAGAGAGAAAGAAAAGAAATCAAAAAATAGACATTAGAGGAAGGACTTAACTCCATCAAAACCATTCTAGTAGTAAGTAAAACGAGATTAATATTAAATAACTTTACGAGACAGAACACGTTCATAAACATTAATTTTACACTTGAATATGAAGATATTCTGGCTTGTAAACATATCAATATACATGTATTACTTTTTATCTTCTTTTAATATTTCATACTAGGTTTTCTTTTTCTGGGATGCACTGTGTATAAAGTATTATCATTACTATGATTGATTGAAGTTTATGTAGTTTTGTTTGCAGTATCATCAATTTTTCTAACACTGCAATCTGATCCATGTACCTTGGAAAATTGTGATTATCGATTTAATCATTGGTATGGTGCGTATGTAGCTTCTGAAGATGTAAAGATTACAGCAAGAATTTTTGGTTGCCACAATATCAGGATGTACTAATATCTCAATGAAAGTATTTGTGATTGCTAGTAATTTGTTGGTATTCATTCAAGAGAGAGACATCAAGGGAGTGGGAGGGGTGGGGGGGGGGGATGGGGGGAGAGAGGGAGGGGTGGGGGGAGAGGGGGATGGGGGGGAGAGAGAGACAGACAGACAGAGAGAGACAGAGATCAAGGGAGGGGCGGGTAGAGAGGGAGGCGTGTGGGGGAGAGAGAGAGGGGGAGGGGGGGGGGAGGGGGAGGGGTGGGGAGAGTTAGAAAGAAGGGGGAGCAGGCAAAGACAGACTGTGATTAGAATTAAAGGATGACAATATTACTAAGTAATGCTGTACTAAACAGAATAAATTACAGATTTTATTTTCAACACAGGTTTTCACATCATTTATAAACACTTCAAAATTAATTAGAATTTGGGCTTTAAATAAGACAATCTGTATAATATCCCTGAATGCTAACGTGTTAATTTGCTTAATATTAAAGTCTACTATAGAATTTTCTTTTTAATTGAGCAAAGAATTTCCCACTAAATGATGTTCGGGACATTTCATATCGGTGCTAATGATAAAAACAACTAGATGGCTTAAACAACCTTTCAAAATAAGTCCAAGATGTCACAGCATACCGCAAAGAAGTAGTAAAATAAAAGATTCTGTGCGTTGAGTTGGATAGAAGAAAAAAATTCCAACTAGGCCTTAAAGAGAAGAAACATGTCCAAGTTTCAAATAATCAGTGAAATACACTGCATTAGAATTCATATTTGAAGATAAAATTGGTTGTCTAATGGTCAATAAAACTGTAAATGACAATGATAGGGTCACATCTGATTTCAACACTTAAAACATATAACATTTAAGATCAAACCTTATCACATATATTGACTGACAAACATGGTGCAAATTATTTTCTGAAACAGGAGAGAATTATACAGTTTTTTTGTACTTCTCATACAGATACACTGTAGACAGCAACACACATACAGGCACTGCAAACCTTAACCACCCTATGCACCAACATTCAGCTAAAAACAATGGCTTTGTATCCAAAAATAGAATGCAACGCTTTAGAAAATACAAGTCCTTAAAAATGTCAATAGCTTTTACGAATAAATCTTAATGTCACAGAGAAGCAATACAAAGTATATACAAACTAGTTATAGTTCGATTCAAATCTCAAATTCATTCTAAAATTGTTCAGCCTTTCCTGGAATCTGTTTCATAACATTTATGGTCAATTGAAAAGTTGCAAAAGTTGATTCAATCTACTATAACCCTTGCATTTGATTTTGGCTGTCAAAACAAATATTTTGACAGACTTGGGAACTTTTTATCAATCAATTTTAATGAAACAGGGCCTTGGTTGGTAAGATGAAGTACAAAGCAAGCAATTACAGTTAAAACACCACCTCAAATATGAACATATTACTGAATTTTTCACAGTAACTAGTTTTTCAAGTCAACAATATTTACTTTTACCATAGACAAATTATCTCCCTCATCTTACTTTCAAAGGCCTTCATTTTGTGCATTTTAATAGGCAAGTCCAAGGTATTTGTTCATTATAATACCCAAAGATATAAAGGACCATGGAAAAATGAATATAATAAATAATATAAATATCATTATCCTTGATGATTGGTCTGATCCACACTACAGTGGAGCTATCAACCCAAGTACAATGACAGAGTGCAGTTAATTCTGCATAACTCAAAGTCGCACAAGTTGGACTTTGCATAACTCGTATCAGGTGCTATTTTTTTGTAAACCAGACTACCGGTATGCAATATGTGTTATTTAGACTTCCAAAGATGAAATTTTGCATAGGTTGAATTTTTTTTTCTTCTTGTGGTTCCAAAATATATGACTTATGTAGAGTTAACTTTATTATAAAATTTTTGATGCAGTCAGAAACAAACATATGGTATGATTGAGACCTTGGGCATGCCTTTGTGTGTTCCATATCCTCGACACGTACAGCACATTAAATCATCTAATCAAAGCCAGAAGGACTTAAACTCTCTGTTAAAGAATATGAATTAATGCCTTCTGGCTCCAAACAGAGGATATTCAGTGTATTACATATAGTTTACAATAAAAAAGCACATATACATGAATTAATAAGAGGCAAAGAGTGAGTTGTAACATCACACAAAAGGGGAACGGAAGATCACATTTGCATATTGCAGAAAAGAGCAAAAGGTAGGCATCACGGGGGCAAAAGCTGCCTGCATTTTAAATAAATATGAAGACGAGTTGAAAAAATGAACAAAATCTTAACTGAAAGTAACAACAAATTATCTCAATTTCTAATTGTTTTAGAATGAATAATAATCATCTCGTTAAATTACAACTGACATTCTATCTGATAGTTATAATTGTGCAACATTCTAGTACCATTTAATTTTTGCTTGTAAAAAATGGAAATGTAAGTATGTCGATATATAAATTGCATATTTTATTTCCAAAAGGAAGAACCTCGTTGGTCGATATGGTTAGTAAGAATAAATATAATACATGTAATGTAGTTCTCTTTTTCTACCTTTGTTGCAATATTCTATATAGCGTTTATATATCACTCATTTCTTTCTCTTTCAGACTAATCATCAAATAATACAAAAGAAAACTATACTATGAAAATAAATTACTCCATGAAAAATTCCTAAGATTTCTGAACACAATAACTTAATATTAATACACAACAGAATCAAAAATATATAACACAATATTTAATTAAATTAGAATCTCATCAAAGAGTCGCTGAATAACAAAGTTATTTACATGCCTGTCTTTGGTAGCTAAACACAAACTTCTCCAATACTGACCTTTATAATGTTGCTACATTTTGGTAGGGAATAAGACTCAATTAAATGAAACAACCGCTATGTTTTGTAGATTGATATCGAGTACGCATCGCAGCATATAAAAGGCAGCCATGCATCACAACATTTAAGTAGAGCATTCTTAATGTAGTAGAGTATGAATGTACAGGTCTGATCTACAATGCAAAGTGTGTTTTAATAATCACGACCATTTATTGTGCTGCCTATGAGCCTGTCTTTCGATGAAGCCTTGAATTGTCATATTACACTGGCAGTTTAGGAGACGACATTTTAATATTTAGTTGAACATAAAATCTACCTTGTAAAGGGAATTTGTTTCGGGCACTGCACTTCAAACTCACAGTTGTATTTGACAGGGTTAAATACAGTAAGTAAAAATAGTTATTTCTACCATTTAGAGCTTTTATCGTTGGATTTTGATTTTTGAGTATTAGTATAATAATTACATCAATTGAAACATAGAGGCAACAATTTATAAAAATCTACACCACACTATCCCTTGCATGAAAACACTAGAACATTTCATAAAAGACAATTCTAAAACAGCAGACTGGACTATATCAACAGGCCAAAATATATCTCTCAGCTACCCTTTTTTTTTCTCTCAATAGAAATGACTGAATTATTTACAGATCTCTATACAGCAATCAAAAAACAGCATTGCATATCAAAGAATCAATTTCAGTTGGTGTGAATGTAAACTACGAGAAAATCACGGACGTAAATACACACTTCAATTTCAAAATTTAAATCATATCAATCGCGAGATGACAAGCAAAAGGACATTGATTCGTGAGATCATTATGTGCCTGGCAAAAGGGCAGGAAATTTCAATTAATAATACAGTAAAACCTGCTATAGTGACTGACCACCAAAGTGTTTATGAGGACCCTATCAGCATCTTGCAAACTGACATAGGTAAAAGTTCCCCGACATCATATCGAGACGTGTGTATTGAAATTAACACGTTTCAATGGGATGTGGGTGAACTTGTACAAAGAAATGGTTTGATTGAGTAATGCCTACTCGTCTATAAAGACCTCATTATTTTGTATCTCCTAGACCATATTTCTCATTGAAACCTGCACATTAAGTAATATCTCCATGGACTTACTGCAAAGATCACTTTTCTTGTCTCCCTTGAGCGGTCTTTATGTACAGGTTTGACTGTATATGATATGAAATTCTACAATTCACACCGTTCAGCCGAGCACAAGATGAGATTTAACAAGAATCAAGGCCATTTTGATTATCAACTGATGATAAGAGAAAGCACCACAAAAAGGGACAGATTCAATCCACAAACTCCATTGAACATGGCTTTAAAGAAGTCGACTGCATCACACACTTTAAGTACCATAAAAAGATATTCCTTGTCCTTTATGAAATGTACTCCTACATCCTCGTTACTATGCATTTCTCTTCTTTGGACATCCCTTCTCATTTCAGTTAATTCAATTAGAAATATATTTTTATTCCTTTTATTTAACATAGTTATTCAAGTAAATTCAATCACAAATATAGTTCTTATATTAAAACACAAAATTGGTCTTAAGAAAGTGGTCAACCATAGTTCTGCTAATAATAACATACAGTATAGAGACAAAATGTTAAGTTATGCACATGTATTAACCATTATTTATTGAAATATAATAATCAATGTTTATAAAAAATATATATATTAAGTTGTTCCGTACATTTAAAAACCACCAAAAAGGACCTAATTCGTCAGTACACAAAAACTTTTCCATTTATATCCATTGTTCTAGTTAAGAATAATCCCCCCTTGTTACTCACATCAGCAAGGTGATTTCCCAAACACGAGGTTAAACATTGAACTCACATGGAAAGTTATTCCCACTCTAAAAAGAAGGCATGCATATCAGTAGATCAGCCGATGTTTGCGGTATTAGATAGAATAGTAGCCTATTAACTTTGAATAATTCATCTACAATAAACCAACTATCTAGCCGATGATGCAAGCACAATTAAGACACACAATGTAGGTATCTTTGGCATATATGAAGGGTTCTGATGCATCGCGACCTTTGGTTTGTGCGACCTCCGACCTTGGATGTGACCTTTAGGTGATCAAGAGTAGATGGTGATGACCTCTCGTCCGCCACCTCTGACCATGAGGACTCGGTCCAATCCTTCTGTTAGAACCTCCAGGTATTCCATGTCTGGTGGCGAATGAATACAGTCAAGGAAACCAGTGGGGCTACAACCACAGACTTTTATAAATGTAATGCTTCCTGGGAGAAACCACAGACTTATTAACAATTATTCTTTTGTGGCAAAATCAAGGAAACATATTATACAAATATTGCATGCTCCTACATTAACTATAACAAAATACAATGTAAATGAACCAACAAATTTGGAATTTCACGAGTAATGCTATATTTCACTAAGGCCCTAGGCAGAAGTTAAAATAAATAATGGCACAAAGAAAATTGTGAATTTGGAGATGAATATATATGTAACATTGAAAGACAAAATGCAATATTTGTTATATAAAATTGAGTTTTATCATTGCCTCTCTCTTATGAATCTCTTTTGCATTTTCATATCAAATTCACATTATTCATTTATACATGCATATCACAGGCTAAGTAAAAGCGCAATGGAAGCTCAAGATTTTTCATTATCTCTGCTTTGTCACTTTGAATTAAAAAAGGTTTCTGGACCTTTATTTTTGATAAATAATTAATTTGTGATATTCACATACCTGCCCACATTTGAAAATAAGAATTAGGAATTTTTAGCACAGTATGCCTTCGAAAATAAGAAATCGCACTTGCAGCGGCAGTGTAACTGGTAGTACGTGGTAAATCTGTACCAAAAAACAAATACAAATTCACTGCTTGACCATGCAGCCATTCAACGCAAACAATACTTGAATTCTCAAATCATGGCACATGATAAAACAAGCTCAATTTAGCACACACACACAAAAATAATAATAAATAAATAAATAAAGAATTAAAAAAAAAAAAAAAAAAAAAAATGAAATTTAGAAAAATCTGAATATTCCGGAGTATTTGTAAGTGTTGGCAGGTATGTATTCACTGCAGTTTATAAGTATTTGTAATCAAAAGATACAGTTCTCTTCTGCATAGGCATGCTTTGGAGGACCTGGAAGGTTGAGGATGACTAGATGGGCATCGTGGGATTTCTGAACAATCTTCTCGTTCAGACGAACGGCTGTGTGCATGCGCCTCACATTCCCTAATTGCCTGTAATGAGAAATGGATTGATTACACATGAGCATGTTCACATTTCATAAAATGACATTATCTTGAAATCCACATTATATCAGATTTGCACGATTATGCACCAAGGTTATATTTTTTGATGGTTTTAACCAGAGGAAATTTATGACTAGATTGGCATCATATGATTTCTTCAGTTTCTCATACAGATGAACTGCTGTGTGAATGCGCCTCGTATTGCCTTTTGACCTGTAAAGATAGATATGTTGATTTGACATGAGCATGTTCAGACTTTTAAAAAATGAGAGATTATCCTGCATTCCACATTCTCTTTAATCTGCTAATTTTTTATTTTGAAATGATCCCTTTTTCAAACCTTGTTTTGACCACAACGATGTGTCTCATGAGCTTGAGGCAGTGTCATAGCAAATTTGAAAGATTTCCATCTCAGAAGACTGGCATGAAATGCATCAAACACATAAAATGAATAAATAACCCCTAATATTTACGGTTGTAGGTGCATGTTCGTGAATTCATTTGACTTCTTCTTGTTGGGCGATGTGGCTGACCCAGCCGACCCGTTGGCCCCATTTGATTTGGGAGAGGGGGGCGTCTCGGAGGTGGGCGTGTCATCGAGTTTGACCAGAGGGGTGTCGACTGCATCCTGGTCCTCTTCACCTTCCTTGCCCTCTGCTAGCTCTTCCTCGTCTTCTTCCGGTACCACGGCGATGTCAAAGGGGGATTCCCTGGTGTTGAGGTCAAAGGACACTGATTTCTCGCTGGATCTCTTGCGTGTGGGAGAGCTGTACTCGGTGCCCGTTGTGGAGTGGTGGTGGTCAAAGATGGCTTGGGCCTGGTCAAAAAAATGAAATTTGCAAGTGTATGGATTCCACTAATAAAAGCTCTTTGGAAGTGCATAGAGACATTGATACTTGTGCATGTATTCAGAACTCGAGAAAAGGTGATCTATATATATAGTGAAACCTGTCTATAAAGACCACCCAAGGGAGGCGAGAAAAGCGGTCTTTATAGGCAGGTGGTCTTTATGTACTGGTGGTTGCTAAAGCAGGTTGACTGTATCTAAATGTTAATGTTTTGTAATCTTCACAGGCAAAGCTTGAGAAATCTTTAATTTAGAGAAAGAGCAGTTCATGGGTCTTGTTGATAACTTACCTCCATCCTACTCTCCTTCTTAGAGAGTTTCATCTGTTTGAGCATCTCATTCCTCTGTTCCATCCTGAGTGTGCGCTCATATGTGTAAGCCGAAATATCACAGTCATGCTATGGAAGAGAAATACATAATTAAGATTAAGTAACACACCATTTTACAATGTTACCAACAGATAGAAACACAAAAAATGTTCCATGATTATATCGTACATCAATGATAAATATGTTGTTTTACATCTACTTGCACTGACAGATCTTTAAAGCTGCACTCTTGGACATGTTGATAAATGTTCCTTCTCCTCCTCTTATGGTGTACATACTCATTTAATCAATGATGCATTATATCCTGCAGATCATGTGCATTTCAGAATTTTTAATCCTAGCAAGGAAGATTAAGTTACACACCATTTCACAATGTTGCCAACAGATACAAGCACAAAAATGTTTCACAATAAGAGCTTATCAATTTCTACATGCTTATTTCCTTTACTTTTCGTTTATATTGTCTGATTTCTGTTTATTCTTGCTGTTTACTCTGATGAGCGCAAGATGAGAAGCTACAGTGTGTGTCTCTTTTATATGATTACATACAATAATACTGTTGGTAAGTATATGCACGGTTTGTAAGTTTGGGAGCTCCAAGTATAAAACATGGGGATAAAAACATCTGAGGGGGGGGGGGGGGGCAAAGACAAGGTTCTCACCAATTCCACCACTTCAATCTCAGCCTCTATTCTTAGATGATACAGGAAAGTTGTGAGATCTTTCTTGATTTGTACACTGTTATCTTCCAATTCTGTGACAAGGAAAGAAACATTACTTATTGGGTTTTAAAAAATGCTACTTTGCAAAATGAGATTAAAGATATATGCCTTGGTCTAGTAGGAATTTTAAAGATATGAAGAAAAAAAATCAAGAAATTAAGATGCATATTCAATGACAGAATTCGACGGCATAAATACTACTAACCTTTGAATTTTTTCCACAAAAAAAACAAACAGCTATTAGTTCTTGACATTGTGTTTTGATGGGTTATAACAGAGGTTACCTCTGTATGATTTGCAATAACAACATGTTGCTTTGATATTAAATGATTACCCAAAATAACTACAGAAATGAATAAACTAAGGGATATTTTATGAGTAAACAACAATGGACAAATCATAACCCAGCAGGACTTTTTGATAAGAAATGGTTCTTGTTCCAATTTTTTATTGGCGACTGGCCGGAATGCTCCCAAGGGAGAGGAGAATGTGCATACATTGTATAGGTAAAGCACTTAGACACATTGTTGTATCAATGTATTGGGCGCTATATAAAAGCGGAATATTATTATTATTATTAAGATCTATATGATACTACAATGTCCACAAGCTGTGCCTCACGTTAGGGCAGAAAGTGACCATTAAAGGTTCTCAATTTGAGTGTAGTACTTACGTGCGACAGTGAATACCCTCATGCGGCAATTCTTCCATACTTTGTGCTGACGGAGCAGGAAAGGAAGCAACATAAGCATACCGCCATCGTCTGGTAGGCGGGAGGTAGTCAAGGTAGTATACATGTATATAAAGGTTGGATGCGTGAAATGCTAATGTTACAAAGGGAATAATGTAGAGGTGTCGTTGTCGAGTGGATACGTCGCCGGACTGTCGATCACAAGGTCTGCGGTTCGAGTCTCGCCGCAACATTGATCTACATTTGCCGCACTCCACCCAGGTGAAGCAAATGGGGACCTGGTAGGAATTTATTCCTTGAAATGCAGAGCGCGCGACAGCTGCACTGCTAAAGCCGGGGTAATAATCTCCAAGTTTGAAAGCGCTTTGAGATTTAATTGTAATTCGGGCTATATAAAAGCTAAGTATTATCATTATTACTGAGACAGGGTCAAAGCTTGGGTATGTAGAATAAAAGGTTTACCAGAAAGTTTGTTAGTCTGTTTGTTTGTTTGTTAGTTTGCTTTACCTGACTGCTAAGAAAGCATGTGTATGCTTGTGGGTAAGCAACCAGGGGACCAACAGTTGTAAATCCTCTTTGAGGGACTTGGTAACGAGGATAAATGCCTTACCAAAAGGCACAACTTAGTTTTGAACCTGGGACCTCCCAGTTTCGAGACCACTGCTCTAAGCCTTTGCGCCTCCTCGAATGAGGAGTTTGGTAAGACTATATTAACCTGTATTGGATCATTCATCCTATCTTATTACATCCAGGAGAGACGGAAAACATGTTCTTGAAGTGTCTATATTTTCCAACAGCAGATGTTTTAAAAGTATTTCGTCATCACAACCCTCAACAACCATTTTATGGCTCTTTGTCAATTTTCAACTTTATGATCTGTCCTTAATATCTGTTCTTAAAAGGGAAAATTTAGGGGCAACTAGGAAGGTTGAAAGAGCCATTTCAGTTAAACCAGAGGGATACTGCTCCATGCCCAAGTGTGTTTTGAGCATCGATCAGCAAGCAATCAGTGGCCTATGTAGATCATTCATCATACATTTCCACAGTGACATAATCTTCATTAAAATCAAAAGACCAAGGTAAGGATACGGACAATCCACCAGACATCTATGCATCCTACGTCCAGCTTCTCATTGTTAGCTGGGAACATCTGACAGTTCTTCACCACCAGTAGAGCATTGTGACTGGCCGACACCACACGTACAGTATCTACATGAACAGAGAAGAAGAGACATAATCATTATTATTAGACACTATTTTGTACACTAGAGATATGCATTATGCTACTGCAGTTGCAAAGTACAATGATCTGGGCCCATTGCATAAAACTTACCATTGATGGTAACTTTGCCATCAATGGCAACTACCATGGTAACAGGGCTCAACAGCCAATCAAAATCAAGGTTTCCATGGTAGATACCATTGATGGCAAAGTTACCATCAATGGTAAGTTTTGTGCAAGGGGTCCCAGATGAAAATTGGAAACAGTAATAGCATGGAAAGAAATAACTAATGTATTATTTCATTATCAATACAAAGAATCTCTCCATATGAAGAAAAGAAAACAGTAGACAGACGAATTAAAAATATGTAATGAATCATATGTTATTAGAGGACTCAATTTTTATTTCAGAATCCTACGAATGAGCAAACCCTTTTAAACTGTACCACATTCAGTGGGAAAAGCATAAACGATTAACAATGAACACATTTGTCATATTTTTCTTGGCCTGTCCTTTAAGAAGATACTTTACTAGTGTATAGGAACTCACCTAGGAAGACCTTCCATGACCTTACATCGGTGTTATGCCTCCAACCATACGGCCATCCCATCACGACTGTGTTGTGCTTTAGACCACCTAAACCACACATCTGCACACTGGTATCATAGGAAAACAGAAGATCAGTATCATAATCACATGGTTCATGTGTGAACTGTCTAATAACTTCTTTTGATTAGTAAATGAAGAATTGCAGATTAGAATAGAAGCCATATGGCCATCCCATCACGACTGTGTTGTGCTTGAGACACTCCTAAACCACACATCTGAACACTGGTATCATAGGAAAAAAGAAGATCAGTATTATAATCGCATGGTTCATGACAGTGAATGGTCAAATAACTTCTTTGATTAGTAAAAAAGAATTGCATTCTTATCAAGAATATGATTTTGAGAACAGATGAATGTGAAGATTTGATGAAATGAGATATTTTCTTTAGAGAAATGAGGGAATACCGCAGAGAAACAAGATTACAGACTTACTGACATGATAGACATTCATAGATGAAGAGAGAAAGAGTGAGAGCGGGAGAGAGAGAGAGAGAGAGAGAGAGAGAGAGAGACCGAGACAGACACAGGGAGACAGACACAGAGAGAGGGCAAGCAGTAAGACTTAGAAAGGCAGCCCAACAGGTAGACTTACCAAGCAGCGAGTCCTTGAGTGGCATCGGGAGTAACCAGAACTTGAGAAAATCCTTTCATCTTCTCTTCCTCCATCATCTTCTTCAATTCCTGTGATGAATCAAGAAAAAGTTGTCATCATTTTTCTTCAGAGAAAGATAGGCAGTGTACTTCAAGACAACTACAATATGCTTCTCAGGCTTCACTCTATGTCTCTTCATCATTAATGTAAAGTTTTACTTTCCTATCTTCTTATTCTTACAACAAATTTTGGAGAATTTTTTTTTTTGATCACCTTTTCAGGCCTGAAGTTTAGGCAATCCATTCATATACACTATACACTCTTAATTTTATGACTTTTTACATGTTATTTGAGCTTCATTACTCTCTGGGATACATTCTGCATTGAACTTTCATGAGGTATATGTGTCCACAAGATCAAGACCACAACAACTAACATTGGGCATTTCTTGTCAAATTTCTTTTTGACTACAAAGCATGTAGTACATGTACACATGTAGAATTTAGACAACACGAGGGTCACTTGTCATACACGCCACTCAAGGACCAACTTCTTTCTGTTGATGAACACTTAAAAACTGGGTTTAATTCTTACATTCATATAATTACCATACAAATATAATGTTGAACTTGAAAGAGGTATTAAACAGTATAATAATAATACCCAAGAATATGTGCATCATGCATATGTTGTTTTCATGTGCACCAGTGAATCAGTGCTTGTAAAATGTCACAATGATGAAGGCTTGTGCAACAGTAAATGATATATCTTTCAGATTGATTTACAAAAACTATTCTTCATGTCCATGGAAAATTAAAATTATAAAAAATAGTCAAATAAGCGATAATATATCATGAGAAAATTTGAAATCAAAGGATGATTCGGAATCAGCAATGCCTTTTTTAATATAAACAAAAAGTTTTGCATTTTATTTTCTGGCATGTAGCATGTAGACAAGCTAAAATTCCATGTGATGTCAAATAAGTTGGTATACAGCTGTTTTCGAGCAATAAAATCAATAATCTTTATCAGGATCTGTTCATGTTGTTCATATTCATATAATCATATTTATAATCATATTTATATTCATATCAATACCTTAGTCACACCTTAGTCACACAGACAATACCTACACCAGACCACTTGAATGTACATACTGAACAAAGACTCTCATTACCATGAATAGTCGGTCAATTTCATAGTCAGTCAACTTCATAGTCGGTCAACTTCATAGTCGGTCAACTTCATAGTCGGTCAACTTCATAGTCGGTCAACTTCATAGTCGGTAAACTTCATAGTCGGTCAACTTCATAGTTGGTCAATTTCATAGTCGGTCAATTTGGGGGTATGGGTCTGGTGGTTTTACTGAGGTATGAAGTATAATGAGTCAAACATGGTTAAATTAAGGATAGGAACACATCAAATGTAAACACTCAATCATGGGTAAAGCCCATCCCATAGCCATGTTAGAATAGATGTATATAAGATTATAGAAACCACACAAAACCCTTTTAGTAGAATGCATGAAATGAGGGTACATGTATCTTAATGTTCTATACAAACAATGTACTGCAATGTAATATCATGAGGAATATTATGTGAACATAGTTTTAAAAATATGGTTTTACATAAAGGACTTTTTGGAGGGAGGGGCTATCTTAAAGTATTAATTAACACATTTTGATAGATTCTCAGATTACAAGAAAAATAAAAATGTATTATGAACCTGCACATTATTTCAAAATTAAGAGTGTAAATGGATAGTTTCAAAAAAGAAATTATACTTGCTAGCATAGTACAGCATTTTTTTTTCTTATTGATAACTAATGTCATGCTGTATATTCTTGATATTTTTGGATTAAAAGTACACTTATGCACATGCATGAATTCCTACTCAAACTTTGAGATACATGTATGTGTATGAACATGAATTAGCCAGTCAATAAAACAATGTTGGAGTTTCCTATAATAAAAGGTTACAAGTATTACAAGACTTATCAATTTAAAGTTGAACTTTACATTTTATTATTTAGTCATTTAGTCACTTAATATCTTTTAAATTTATTCATATTTGTAATTATTCATATAAAAAGTAGATGACATTGCAAAGCCTTACAAGAGTTAACACTACATTAGTTCTGTATTAATCAAAACAGGCCCAGAAACAAAAAGGCCTCCTAACAGTTTCAGGTTAAATCAGTAACACAGATGAAATGACCATAAACAACAATATAAAGGTTATAAAGAACAATCACATGGCATTTCCAGAGAATTATTTCAGTAGGAAAGGTTATTTTGGGTTAATATAGGCAAGGGAGTAGGGAGTCTGGCTTTGCAAGAGGGAGAATTGTTTAGGGAAAATGACAGAAAAGGGGAGATTTTGTTTTTCGCCATGCACTCTTTAAAACAGATGGATGAGAATAAATATGGATACATAGGGAAAACGATAATGGTTCATTTCTTAAACATATATGATAATGAAATATGGCATGAAAAATTGAGGCAAATATGTTAGTTAAGTGAATTTTTGTGAGCAAATGGGCAGATTCTGCATCAAGTGAAAATGGATGACAACACATCCGGGCCCTGTTGCATAAAACTTAACATTAGTGGTAACTTCCATGGAAACCTTGATTTGATTGGCAGCTGAGTGATGTTGCCATGGCAATTAATATTGAAGACACCATCAGTGATAAACTGTATGCAACGGGCCAAGAATGAACATCAAAATGCACCTCATAAACTTCCCTCCAACAAAAAGCGTGTTACGTTTAATAAAACTCATCATGCACATCAAATCTTGAATGACTATTAAAATCAATGTAGAAAATGGTATTTGTTAAAAGTGACTAGTATTTGAACTTGGTTGAGCCACAATGTGAATGAATCGAATGTTAACCTCACCTCCCTGGCTGCTTGTGCTTCTCCATACCCTATCTGATTCATTTCAGATTTGGGTGTGAGGTTGTTTGGGATAGGAGACATGGCATTCATTATACACATAAACACATCTCAACTTATTACAGTCCTTTAGATACAGAGACTAAGATCGCAAGTTATCAAATAAATGTACACATAATAATACTTTGGAGCAGTTCAAATCAAAGTTAATACAATAAAATGACAGGAGTAAATTATAAACTTAGAGGGATACATATTGGGAATCTTGTTATTACTCATTAAAGTAGTAAAAATTGTTATCAAATCAAAACATGTTTGGTAATGTCACCCAGAGTTATTATCAAAAATATTCTCATTGCTTGTTTGAAAATAAATTTATTTTCAACAGAATTATTCAATTAAATGTGATTAGGGCGAAGGTTATGTTATCATTATTTCAATTTGGGGAGGGAGTGTGCATTAATTTGCAGGATTATCAGAAACATTTAACAATTTGCAAGTAAGGACAGGAGAGAGAAAGAACATGATATAAGCAGTAATATATATTACATAATAAACCAAAATAGTAGTGTGTTCAAATAGTTGATACAACCTTAAAACAGATGTACATGTACATGAATAGGGAATAAACTTAAATCATGAACAGAGGAAATGAAAACAAATGAAAGAGCTATCTATGTGTACTCTAAACTACCATACATAGTTACCATGCATGGTAATTCGTGTTAGTAATATTAAACAGATGCACAGTGCATAGACAAGAAAACAGATCTCCAAGTCATACACATGTGAGTATCCAGGTTGTTAGAAAACCAACATGGCAGCAAGCAAAATCATCTTAAGCCGCTGGCACAGGAGCAACATCCTTGGAATTCTACCATTCTTCATTTCAGAAAATAACAGTTTCTTAACATTGATTGATCATGTTCGAATCATTACTTTACAACCAATTACATTTTGTGTAGACCAAAATATTGACAAATTAATCTCCAACTCCAGGATGGCATCTATCCATGTAAGTGGTAACATTTGCATGTAAGACATTCCCGCCCGCAAACACCAATGTAGCATGATGCTATGGAATATTTACACCAATTTAAAATTACCACTTAAATTCCTTTCACTGTGGATGCACCCCAAAAAATATTTAGGTATGCGCTGTATAATTAAAAGCCTGGCGAAAAAGCCTGACATGATCCTAAGCTTTGAAGTGAAAGCTTTAATTGAGGCATTTGCAAGAAAGTATAGATCCCTGATGAGTATATGTTTTTTTTTTGTAGTATGAATAAGAAGAGCTTTGTCAGAGATGGGGATCTTACCTGTTGCGCAGCTTGAGATTCGCCATACTTGGTGCGGAAATCTCCTTCCAAGACAGAACCAACCAGTGTCAAACCCTTGCCTAGAAAAAAGGACATAGTTGGAAGCAGATTATGATGTTGTTCTTGATGAAAAATATCAAGATCAAAGAGTGTTGGCTTTACAGCAGTGATTTATATGTAGGGGAGACCTACAAGTATACAAGTGAGCAAACAAACAAAATCTTCACTTATGAATTTAAAAAAAATCTTGTATCCACATTGTGTTGTTGACAGAACTGACTGAAGGTATCTCATGCAGAACATTTTGAGGGATCTGTTTAGATTATATCATTAAACAGAAACTACCCCACTTTGCTTCAACTATGATTCTGAAGCATGAATTCTGACTTTACAAATTGGGTCACTGGTAATGGTGTATGTGTAACTTACCAATGTTACAATTGTTTTCAATGCAAAGTTAGTGCCACAAAAGCTAAAAAGACAATTTTCTCTGATGAAGCAAACATTTACTGTATTATTTCCCTTTTATCCTTAATGATTTCAAGAAATGAGTACAGCCTACATATATATATATATATATATATATATATATATATATATATATATATATATATATATAGTGTAGAAAACTAGATGGAACTTCGACTGCGCGCAGTCAAAAATGATGCCTCCGCCATAGAGCAATTTTACAAACCAAAACGGAAGCAACTTTTAAAATTCAAATTTGATTGTAATCCATCTGTTGTCTTTAATAATGCATTCACAAGCTATTTATAGGCATCCTTAATGAGCCCCATGACCCTAAAATCTAATCAGTTCATTGGCTCTGCAAGATACATATACATGTCTTGAGTTTGATAGTAATCTGTCTTTTGGTTCTCATGATAATGTGATCACAAGCTATTTGTGCATAAATAATGAGCCCTGTGACCTTTGAACTCGTGACCCCCAAATCTAATCAGTTCATTGGCTCTGCAAGATACATACATGACCCAATTTTGGCAGGAATCCATCAATCGGTTCTAGAGATAACGCGATAACAAGCTATTTTGCATACATAATGAGCCCTGTGACCGTTGACCTTCGACCTTGTGACCCCAAAATCTAATCACTTCATTGGCTTTGCAAGATACATGCATGACTTAAGTTTGGCAGGAATCCAGCAATCTGTTCTAGAGATAACGCGACCACAAGAACGGGACGGACGGACGGACGGACGGACGGACGGACGGACAGACAACCAGAAAACATAATGCCTCCGGCTTCTTTGTAGCGGAAGCATAAAAATCTGTACATGTACCAGAGCATATTTCACACATTATTCTAGCTATGACCCTCCCCCCCCCCCCCCCCCCCAAAAAAAAAAAAAAAAAAAACATTTGTTTCAGAGTAACTGGCAACACCATGAAAACAGTGTCAATTCTTTGATTAAAAAGAGTTTTTCATTGCACTATAAGCAGGTTTACCTTTACGGTAACTTAAAAGACTAACAATTGAATTTCCGAATGAAAATGTGAATGATAGCCAGGGATTACAGAAAAAGGAAACTAAACACATGGAATTTCAATCAGTCTACATCTATGACATAAATCAGTGACTATTTGATCTTCCATTCATCCTTTTCTCATCATCATTAATACCCATTAGTCCATATCTGAGTAAATGTTTATACCAGCTATGTTCATATGACACCATCATGGTTATAAACTCTGAATTAAACTTTCAAGTTCCAAACAACAACCAACTAACAACAATGCGTGCAGGCTCACACGGACCAAAAAAAAAAGTGCTACAAGTTTTAAACTACCATTTGAGCATGCAGTCATAATGTGCTGGTGAAACATTAAAGTATTTATGTCTGCATGGCAATTAACTTTGGATGAGAGGCCACCCTCTCGACCCGATGGCTCGCAGTTATCTTTCCAAGATCCCTCATGGTTTAAAACTTTATGGAAATTTGAGGTTTCCAAAACCCTGAGTGTGTCCGCACCACTCTTAAATACAAAATATCCCAAAATCTAAAACTGCAAGCTCAATTTAAGGTTCTTGGCCTCTCATGTGAACCTAAAGTCAAACTTTATTTCTGACGAGAGATCTGCTGCGAGAGATAAAAATTGGGACATGGGCTATTGCCACTGTAATGACTTCCTGCATGATATTTTCAGTCAAAACAACAGTTGGAGGTCACTCTGTGGGCCTGTCATGGCAATCAATGCATTAGGCTTGTAATAGATTTCAGGACACGTGAGTCAACCTTACGGTGACACCGAAGAACCGACAAAAAATGGAATTTTTCTAACATAGAAGAACAGTGTTAGACAAGGTTTGGTATTTGCATTTTTATGTCTGACATACTAAAATTAATAAAGTCTTTAAAGTCTTAACAATAGATTGTCTGTTTAAGAAGGGACAAACATGTGCATTCCTAGTTCTCCTGGTAGCTTATCTACATGTACATTGTGTGCAAGTATCTTAATGAACATTCAAGACAAAAGTTCTTTTTAATGAACAGTCACTTAATCAATCAAAGAATATTCTTATGAGGACCTTACCTGCTTTAAGTTGACTTGCAAAGGTAAGAAGTCTCCGGTGTTTGGGAACTAGATCGCTGTTCAGCTTGCATAGAACCAAAATCTGAGGACTACACCATACAAAATACATAGACAGCAAGAAGTGAGTGAACACATTCATGAACTATAGTAGAATGAATATGCTTTACGTATCAGGAGTGAAAATCATTATATGGTAAAAATGGGCTGAATAAAACATTGTGGTGAATAGAAACAATAATTGCAATAGCTATTTGACAGAATATCTTTACCTGGAATGCATTTTAGTTCTTTTCATTTTTCCTTCAGGATGAATCAAAGAAATGAAAGAATTCTGCATTATTCATGGGGGAATATGATGTCACAAAAAATTAAAAATCTTCCAATTTGTGTTCCTATTCACCTTATTCACAGTAATCAAGCAAAGTATTAAAATGTCTGCAATACACAGTAATCGTCAATAACCTCCTGTGTATAATTATCATATTTCACACCTTTGCTGAAAGTAAATTAAATTAAAAAGTACAGTAAATTATTACCTGTATCAGACATCTGAGTAGTGGTTTTACAAAACCATATTACACTTCTTGTAATCTCAAAAGAGCTTATCAGTGAATATAGGACCATATTCTCCTTTCATGGAAAAGCCTATGGGCTATACTTGTTAAAAAAGCAGGAAATAAAGTCTCATATTCACCGCGCCGTATTTTGTCATTTTCATTGCGCATCTATTATGCGTACGAGAACCTGCGCACTTTGCGTGCACTCTATTGTGACGTAATAATCACACCAAATTAGGTACACTGTTTGTAGTGTATCAAAAATTTTGTCAAGCAGCTGGATGCACAGTGCTGGTTTGACAAAGTTTTTTCAGTTCTATGAGATTGTCTTGTATGTATTTGCTCTAGATGTCTGATTTGGATAATAATAACAATATCGACTGGCTTAACTTTCGGGAGATACCACCTATATTGCCCTCGTCTTTGACTTGGGGCAATATGAGTCTAGTTTGGGAAATAGTATGTGGTATCCCCCTCAAGGCCAGTCCACATTATATAATTAATGTCTATTTTGGGTCCACTCTTTCAAGGAAAATACATGACTGGAGAACAATCAAGATAAGTTTAATGCAGCATGTGATAACATACATTTCAGCTACAAAGTATAGATATGCCATGTTTCCAGTTCTGAAATAGGCCCATTTTCGTAAAGCAATCAAATTTAATGCATAAATCTTTGTTAAGTGCCATGTTACAAATGATTTCATTCACCTGTTACAAATAATTGTATTTCAATATCAGTAGTCACAAGGCAAGTTGCATACATTAACTGTCGCTAGGTAGGACAAACATCATGGCTTATCCTACCTAACAACACGGAACGTATGCGATTCGCATTCTGACAATTGAAATACAATTATTTGTACCAGCTGAATGAAATACGAAAATGGCCCGTCAAAAGGAACTGTGCTATTTAGTAAGACTTGACATGTCGGGTACTCACCGCCAATTCTTGGTGTGTGGTGGACCTTCCTCTAGCTTAAGTAGACTGTAGCGAGCAGCGGTTAGGGAAAGACCTCGCAGCCCATCTCCCCATTCTTTCTCGGCTCTACAAGATAAAGAGCAGGAAAACGTGATATAAAATGACAAATATTGATTTTGATATTGTAAATAACTACATGTCTACATATGCATAACATGTGACAGATAATGCACAAAAGTTCATTGTTGCATGAAAGATTCCCCCATAAGAAACTGGGAGTTAATATTTAATTTATTCCGTTGATTTCAGCTAAGATTACCTAAGGCTAACAGTTCAACAGGTTACACCTATGATGTCCCTCTTTTAATATTCACACTTCTAAACAAACATGTGTATATCAAGTCAGCTCTGTTTCCATCTTCCAGATACTTGATGTGTGTTAATAGGAAGACACCTTAGTAGATAAAGCATAGCACATGTTTAAATGATTATCACCACAACTAAGAACAGATTCCAAAGTTTCATTGCAGTACTCAAAAACATCAAATAGGTATCCATCTTACCCCTGATACTCGATGTACTTGTAGATGAAAGCAGCCACTCCGATGGCGACGAGTGCATAGTACCAGCTGGAGATGAACATGAGAGCGATGCAGAGAGACAGACCAAAGAAAGACAGGACCCAGTGATAGAACCGGAAACGAGGTCTCCAGTTAGGAGTCTTGAGGAGGGTCTGGAGGGCACAGGCCAGGTTGACAAAGGCGTAGCACATGAGGAAGAACCTGAAGGAACAGAAGAGATGCATGAAAAGACCTTGTGAGCAGGTGACGTTCTTACATATTCATGAAGAGACAACGCATATGGCAATGGCCTTTTAAACCCCAAAATGTAATAATAATATTATTAATAATAATACATTTATAGAGTGTAGAGACTATCCAACATGAAGTATAGATTTTACTGCACTACAAGAGCTCCTGATATGCTTACATTTACAGTTAATTGAAAAGATGTGCTTTCAGTGTTGATTTAAAGATATTTACAGATGGTGATTTACTGACTTCTAATGGTAAGTTATTCCAGAGTTTTGGGGCTGCAGAAGCAAATGCTTGATCCCCTAGCGTTATTATTGTTTTGATAGATGGGATCTGCAGCATTCTAAAGTGTGGTCACCACATAAAATGTGCATCATTCTTTTGATGAAATTTCCAGAGAAATGTTTTAAACAAATAACTATAAGTGACAAGTCATAGGACTTGATAAATTCTATTAGGACTAGAAAGGGCTTTATTAGTAGAGTCCTTTAAAAAAGGACCAACAGTTTTTTACAAAAGGGTTGTGTATAAGAAGAAATGGTTTCATGGAATTTACTTAATGATTGTAGTGCCCTCAGGAGAACAGTATTAACTGATGAGGCTACCCATGGTAAGACTTATCATACATGAATGAGCATAATATCAATATGGCATACATGAATTATGTGACCATATTATCTGTTAATTGTAACATAGAATATGACACCTGTCTTTATTAACATATTATCTCTCCATCTTTCATTTAAAATCAAATCAATTAAAAACTCAACATACATGGTGATGATCGGAGCAACCAGATCCAGACTAGCAATCAAGATGCCAATCTCTGAGATCAGTGCCGTCAGCAGCAGAGCCCAGGTGGGTTCTCCGGTCGCTGACCCCCTCCCGAACGGAGACAGGAAGGGGATGATGTTGTCCTTGGAGATGGCCTGGAGGAGGCGTGGTGCACCCGTCAGGGATTGGAGCCCCGCCCCTACGGTAGAGAGAAAGGCACCGATGAGCACCACCCATACTGTTGGGAAGCACACCTCGGCGGCTATTAGACCTCCACCTATGGCTTGACCATACCTGAGATGAAACAGATGAAAAATATCATGAGTAGAATGGTTTCACTAAAGCTGTAGAGAGGGCAGGACCTCTTTCATGGCAGTGGACGTGTGGACCGTCATTGCTGCCAAATTTTGTTTGAACATCTTTAATACCCACCTGGAGCTGTTATATACTTAATAACCATCTAGTCATCAATCATTTCCATGTACAACTTTAATTAGTAATGTCTGTTGAGTGCCAAATAACAATTTGAGATGCTGCCTGTCTTTAAAGAGTATTTGTGTATTGCACCTATGACAAATCTGTTTCAATTACTGAAGCTAAGGAATCAATGCTACTATGAAATGACATTAAATAATTTTAAAATTTGGATGAAACAAGAAATAGAGGACTCACTTGTCACGCAGAACAGGACCAGCAACGGTTCCAGCAAAGAATAATACAGAAGACAGATCTAACAAACAAGTAGCTGTTAAGGAATAAACACATGTTTCATGTACATGTCTTAAAATATCTCTATCTTAAAAATTGATTTTCATAATGTAGATATTATTGTGAAAATCAAAATCAAAATCAAAACCAAAGGCAGCAATTACTCAGGATTTATCCACATCACACCTGAACCAATGAAATAAAACTATTAATCACAATCATTTACTGTCCTTGCGATCATCACTATCAGAATTGTTGTCATCAAGATCATCATCAATGTTGTCATCAAGATCATCATCAATGTCATCATCACATTCATCATTATCACCATCATCGTCATCATCACCATCATCATCATCTTCATCACCAGCATAATCATCATCATTAATCAATATCACCACTATCACCACCACCATCATTATCATCATCCTCATCATAACTATCATTACCTTCTCTATCATCATCACCTTCACGATCATAACCATCTTCATCATCATCACCTTCATCTCCTCATCCGGCCCATGACTTCTACCAAGAATGATGCACCATCAGCAGCAACAGCAGCATCAAAAGCAACCCACAGCCATAACTAACATAATTACTACCACACTAGCATCATAACCACTACCAACACTATCATCATTACAATGATTCATATTAATGTCACTGACATCATGTCTAAAAGAGTCTCATCTCCAAGGTAACAGTATTCTTGCCATAATATGTGATATTGGGGGTGTTTCACAAAGATCCTAAGTTGAACTTATCTCTAAGTTGGACTTACAAATTATGGAAAACCGTTAGCATCTATACAAATATTTTGTAAAAATTTATTTTAAAAGGCATAAAATGTTGATTCAAATCATTCATATTTTCTATTATCAAGGAGATTTCATGTTCTTGATGTGGAATTTGTCAAAAGTCCTAAATACTTGAATTTTTGATTTTGAATATATTTAATTTTAAGGCTACAAATGGCTCTCCATAATATATAAGTCCAACTTATAGTTAAGTTCGACTTGGGATCTTTGTGAAACACCCCCATGGTGTGATCTCAAAGGATACAGATAAAGCTGGTGGTAAGGATGGCCCCAATCGTTCCTCTTGGTATTGAATACGAGGCATCTTTCAAGTCTCCGGATCGGTTACTACCAGCCATAATACCTGATCAAAATGAGTGACATGATGGAATTAATACAGAGACAGAACTGTATAGCAATTTTAAAATCCATTGTTTCAGCAATATAGAAATACAATTGCCATAGGAACAAATATGCATCATAATTGTAAAATATATATTAAGAAAAAAACCTTTTACAATAAAGGACTTCATATCAATACATGCACACAAATTCTGTTCATACAATATGTGATACCATCAATATTGATATCATCATGTATCCAACTTAACTTTCTGCTGTAACTTTTGAAGCAACAAAATTGTGTCATGTGGTCATATCCTTCTCATCTTTAATGTAATAATTTTGCTACTTTGCTGGCTACAATTCTTCAAGAATTACCTTAAAAATCTATTTGTATACTTTTCACCCCAACCAAATATTTCTAGAGAAAAGAATTTGCCTGATAAATTCTCATTTTTAGTCAGTTCTACTTACCAGTAACTGAAGGGAAGAAGATGGCTAGGAGGATAGTGAAGGTAGTTGTGATGTCAGCAACAATCTGATCTGGTTTGCCTTCTTCCCCCGGTAAAACCTCACCAGCCTCACGATACAGGTTCCAGAAATTCACTGTGTCGTGGCAAAGAATCATGTGAAATATAAAGACATGGGATTAACATGATTTATAAAGGAGGCTGCATGGGACTTCCCAGCTATCCACTTCAAATATTTTATAAATAATGGTACCTCTAAAAGGGTACCTCTAATTCAAGTTGTTCTTTTTGATGTGATGAATCAATCTATTTGTCTAATCTAAAAAGAACAAGAAGGATAACAAGCTGAAATTATGAGGTGTTTATGGAAAATGACATCACCTTCTGTTTCTTCAATTTGCAAGTCTTCTAGCTTACTGATCTGACATATCATTGATCAAATGGGACACAAAACTAATCCTTTAACTGAATCATAATCCTGATGCGAAAAAGAACACATGCAATAGAGACTCTACCATCTCAAAGCTCTTACAACTAATTGCCCTGGACGAAATACATCAATATGACAACAGAATATTAATTCTTACCTCTGAAAGCATCTGATGTGAGTCCTGGTATGGCCTTTTCCCATCTCAGGTCATAGTCAGACTCTATGCTCTGACACTCTGAGCCATTGGCGTAGGAGGTGCACAGAGATGCACCCAGCGGTGATAGAATGCGAGTGTCGTTCTCATCAAGAATGTACCAACTGCAGTCGCTCTCCGTGCTGATGTCTCGCTGCAAGGCTATATTGCCATTGAGTGAACAGTACCTGATCAGTAACAAAGAGAGTCAATGGATAATCTTTTGAAACAAGTATGAGATATGTTGTGTATACGTCATGAGCCCAAGGGAGAGTTTCACAAAGACTAAGATCGACTTTAAGTTGGACTTAACTATGGCAGGCCGTTCATGCCACTGTTTGCTCTCACCACTTACTGGCATTGGTCTCTCAAGGGTTGTATAAATCGTGGTCACAAATCTTGAAGGAAAAAATATTTTCTGAAAAAATTATAAAGATCATAATGGTAAGAGCAAACATTGGCATGAACGGCCTGCCATAGTTAACTCTAACTTTAAGTCGATCTTAGTCTTTGTGAAACACTACCCAGAGCAGTTTAAGAGAAGTCACTACTATCATTACAACTACCTGGACCACAAGAAGCATCTGCAAATATAGATTTCCCATCTTTGTTTGCTTTTGTAAGATCAGCAACATGGTACGACCCCAATAGCCTTCATACTTGAGATCAAGAGGAGTGAAATATTCACTGCAGATACAGATGATGGTGAAGCATTTAAAGATTGCGTCATGAAACCTAATTGCTATATTAAAAGCCACTACTATCACCACAATCGCCTGGAACATCTTCATTTGCATTTGCAAGCTTACCAAAGAATTACACCACAACAAAAATTCTTACATGAGACTATGGGAGTGAAGAATCCAACGTAGATACAGATGATGGTGACGATGACACACCCTAAGAAGAGCAGGGCACATTTATTGACATACTTCACCCCGACGAAGACGAGGAGAGATAGAATGGCAAGGATGATGGTACCGTATACCCTCATGTTGTTGAGCAATGCGGTGCTTGCACCCCCACTGGCTGAGGATATATCACCAAACAATGACATCTGAGGTGCTATGTAGATCTGGGAGAGGTGGGACATATGAAGGCAATGCAACAGTGAATGATATTAGATAGCTTAGACAGGTACCGAGATGTGATTGGTCCAGAACTCATCACAAGATATCAATTGCGAGGATCGTAATCGTTATATTTTCTTGGCCGGTCACTTTTGATGGTTATATTCACTGTATGTCACCAATTACACAAATTACACCAATACCAAGGGTCAATTTTTGTTATCAATATTTTTTTTCTCTGATTTTTGTTTTCCCTTGAAATTATTTTGTACACATTTCTTTTCTCCCCAAAAATTGTTTTAAAAATTGTTTTAAAGATTAGTTTTTCTTGAATTATCTTGAAATATCCACTAGGGAAAATATAACTCTCTTCAGCGGTCCAAAGAATGTTACCCCCTGCCAGTCAATATCTGTATAATAGGTATTTGTAATTACTGCTACTCATACTCCTATAAGTATACAAGCATTTCCATACAGGATGACTCAAAGGTACAGGGATATTTGACGCACCAGCAACAGCCTATCGAAGTATGCAAACCTGAAATTCAGTGACTACTTTCATTCTTAATCCAAAATTTTTACAATATGATTTAGGACAGCTTTGGGCATATTGACATCTTTCATATAAATTTAAAGTTGATCTTACTCAGTCTGCATCAACAAACATGCAGGAAAACAACGAAAAGAAAAGCATTCTATTTTTGAAGCCTGACAAATCATTTTTTTCTTCTCTTTTCTTTTCATTAATGCATGTGCATTTTCTGAAATCACCTGGAAGTGATGATTTGAGTTCATGGTATAAATGTTTAGTTTGTTGAGATTCACAATAAAACAACTAAAATACTACACTCACAAAGAGAAATCAAATATTTTACAGAGCATCTCACAAATCGTCTACAGCCACATTAAAAACTTACCAGTAAAATTTCTATAGCTCCAAGGATGTACATGGATGATGCAAATGTTGTCCCTAGATAGAAAAGGACGCCTACTGCTCCACCGAACTCTGGCCCCAGGGCTCTAGAGATCATGAAGTAAGCTCCTCCAGCAGGCACTACTCCATTGGTTGCGATGGCACTCATAGAGATGGCTGTCAACATGGTCTGATGGGAAGAAAATGATGTATTACTACAAAATGTTCGGTTTAGTTTTAGTTTTTTAGTTTTAATTCCAATTCTGCTGAAGATTATCAACTGCATGATGATTAAGCTTTAGTACAAAACACTCATTAGTCATTACAGATGAAATTTCAAAAATGACTGAAATTCTTACCTTGATATGTCACAGTTATCTGCACAAAATATTTACTGAAACATTTATTCATAATATTCATAACATAAATACGAAAGAACAATTTTCTTCAATAAAATATGATCCCCCCCCCCCCCCAAAAAAAAGTATTGTGTGTGTGTGTGCCATTTTCAATGGCGAAATACCACTTCTGTCCTGTAAAGGATCCTACAAGCATCTCACATCCGCAATTTGGGATATTCATTGGTTTATCGAACACACCAGTCATGACAAAATCATGCATATTCAACCAATGATCCATTAACAAAATTCTTCCTGTAGGAACTGTATTAAATAGGCATTGATCCGTGTTTTTTTTAATACAATTTTTGTCAGTAAAATACAACTTTTGGGATTAAAGAATACAGTATTTGAACTCCAGAGGTTGACAGGTCTGGTTCTAAGGCTAAATATATCCATCCACTGATCCTAACCAACACATTCCAATTCAAACATTGTTGGTGAGTAACCATGACTGTCTTAATTGTCCAAATATGGAGTATCTCCAGAGGATAGAAATGCTGGCTTACCGTAAGACAGGAGACGAGCACTATGAAGAAGCACTCCAGACCACCGCCGTTGCCCACCTGCCAGGCTAGACGGATGAAGAGAATGACACCAAGGATGTTCTGAAGACATGGTAGGTACACGCCCATCAGGGTGCCCATCTTGGGTGCTTTCTATGGTTTGGGTAGAGTAAATGATGATTTAAAACGTGAAGAGTGGATATTGGTTTGGTTATATATTGATCACCGAGTATAAGTGAGTGAGGAAAATGTATGAAGTCAGCGCAAGTATGCTTCACTTTGTAGTCTGTAGTATACTGATTATTAATAAGACTGTATACATATATTATATGGTTACACTTCATTCTTAAACATATAATAAATTTGACACTAATGCCCCCCCCCCCTAATAAAAACACAACAACAAAAAAAAACCGGGGCAGAAAAAAAAATACCAGTAGGAAAAAAAACTCTTTAAATCTGTTTGTATACATGTAAGATATTTTTATGGGACCGGTCAACATTACAACATTCATGATTCCATTACCAACATCTTTATTAAAGGATTTCTGGCTAAATACATGGAAAGCAAATAATTCTTCTTCAGCTCAAATAGAGAATTCCTCTTTACAGCAAAAAAAAATCAACAAATGTATGAACTGCAGATACACTGGTATATTTATGGATTCAAAGCATTTCTGCCACTTATCAAGGACAATAAATCATTCCAATTTGTATTATAAGCTGGGCCTACAAACACACTTAATGTACACCTCAAACGCAATTAGGTGTCAACATTTTCCACTATACCAGAAATCAAACCATGGTAACACCAGCACGATAGTGAAAGGGAAAAGAAATGTCATTTTGTACAGTGACATAGCATGGGGGTTAAGGAGGTAGGGGTGCAACTCGCATTGCCAGTGGGATACTTTTTGAGCAGGTGAGCAGAATCGAGTACATGTTACAAAAAAGGGGGGTGGGGTCACGTCATCTTCTTCTCATATCTAATATTTTTCTTTTCTTTTATCTTTTCTTTTATCTTTTCCTCTATCTCTCTTTCTTCCTCCCTTTTAACCATAATGTGATTGCAAGGAATAGCAGGGAAGGGCTGTATCTGAGAGCTCCAATACCGATAACCCCTACATCCCCAACAAAATAGCTTACAATGTGTATACGGTATATATTAGAAAACTGTAATTGTATACATATATAACATTAACATACACCCTCCCACACAAACAAAACAGAAAATCAATCCTCTTCATTATGCAATAGAATATATGTAATGCAATTCCTATATCTCCAATTGTATTAGAAGGCCTACATGTCTGAGGCTTTTGAAAACACTCACAATAGACACTAACAAATCATGTATCATCTGCTGAAAGTGTATTACAAATATGAGAAGTTGGCAGTTGGTATAGTACATGTGGTACATTATTAAGAGTACATCATAGAAAACCACACAGCAAACTGAATTATAAAAAAGGGTGGGTAGTTTGGTCAAAATCAAGAAATTTGGTGTAGCATTTAGGTGCAGCTTGGGAAACCACACTCTTCAATCAATATACCTGTTCAGCACAATGCAGCCACTGTACAGATGAATGTAACGAGGCAATTGATTCAATAGACATTCATTGATTACATGCTGGTAAACTGACATATCATTTGTTGAAGCAAGAAGGCCATTAACTCATGTACTTAAACAGATTTAATAACTTTCTGGTTCCAAATAGACTATATTTGTTGCACGAAAGAGACCGATGACATAAGTATGTGGTATGTACTGAAATACATTATTGTACGTAAGTAAACAATGTCATGTAAATCTCCTGCTCACTACAGAAATATGCATGGGCTGAAGGCATAAACAACAATACAACACGATAAAATCATCATAATGGAAACAAAATTGCAGGTACTATAAACTAAATGTACCATACAATAGAAAATTGAGTAGCTCTCTCATTTTAATTAAAGATTAATAGACTACCCTCATAATTCCTTTAGCATATGGGGAGACCTTATTCAGATTGTATTTTGTTGATGTTGTTGTTTTTGTTTTTTGTTTGTTTGGGGGTTTGCTTCTTCTTCCTTTTTACCTAATAGATATCAAACATTAAAGGTGCTATGTCCCATTTGCAGGCCAAAAAAATGAAAAAGTTAAATTCCAACTGCATTTGAAAGATAATACTAATTTAGAACTTCCCTAAAAAAGGTGGGGCTTGAAAACGTCTTCAAGTGTGAAAAAACGACTATTAGTTGTCAAATCGACTTTAGGGCTATAGAGCCCAAAAGTAATAGTCTTGATTTTCAGACAATTGTACCGAATGGTCATACGTTTTATGCAGCGCAAAGATTCAATCAGTTTAATCTTGGCCATCACAAGAAGTGGGTTATTGATGTAGACAAATGCTCATGTACCCTTTACAACTCTTTTCATGCATGTTATTACCAAAGAAGAAAAAAGCCAGTCGGTCACTCAATAGTGTCCGACAGTGAAGTCTAGCAAGTAAACGGGTTTCCTTGCATAATTTGAATATAAGGACACTGCTAACGTTTAAATTTCACAGATAGGACATACATGACATATTCATAATTCCTGCAAAGTTCTACATCATTTGAGGTTGGCTGCAAAAGGGACATAGTACCTTTAAGATGCAATATATCATTCAAATTACAGATCTGGTATTACTCTACATACTGTACAACTGACTATGATTAATCACACAGAGTTTTAATATAAATGTCAGTGCCTTCTTCCAATATCAGCAGAGGGGAAATTAATGATGAAAAATTGGATCCTAGACATAGGCGAAGGGTACAGTACATCAAGATGATAGGATCATCATAAATGTGCTTAATGTACATCAGTAGTGGGCCCCTATCTATAAAGGCCACACATGGGGGAATGGTAAAAGTGAAGGGGTAAACACTAGACAGATGGCCTTTCTAAACAGGTTCTTCAACTTTTCTCAAGATATCGGTTATATGTAATGAGGTCTCATAGTCATGCATGCACATAATGTACAAGTAGGTGTGGCCATGAGACAGGTTTTACGGTGTCTCAAAACATAATACAGATACAATGATAAAGATAACACACATACATATACGAGATTGATCATTGGAGGAAGGAGAGGATGGATACATTTTCTTCTTTTTTAAATAATAATATTAATGAAAAGAAAAACAAAAGAGAAAGGGTTGCGAAAAAAAGATGGCAATTAACTACATATGTAGAAGAGGAGACAAAATCATGACATTAAAAATATTTAAAAAATCTTCCCCAAAACAGAAACTAGAAGATTGAGGACAAAGGTAGGAAATAAAGATACCAGTAGTAAAGATAGAACATGTATCGAATCAAAGTGACAAGAGATTAAACAAATATGAAAAGATAACTTCCAGGTAAACAAATAGGAAGTGTTGGAGGCTTCAAAGGAAAGAAAGAGAAAGAAGAAAAAAAGGTAAGATGGTATGATAAATTGAAGGAGGATAAGGAGAAGGAGAGTGATAAGAAGGAGATGAGGATGAAGAAGTCAATGGGTGCAGTGCCCTTTCTTACCTTCACAGCTGTCTTTCTCTTCTCATCGGGTTCCTCTGTGTGCTCTGGTAAAGTCTTGTAGTTGGCCAGGGAACTGATAAGGGATGATACTTTAGGTCTGTGCTCCATCTCATCCTATAGCATTTAATACAACCACATAAAAGATAGCATTACAACCAAATAAAAGAAAGCATTAAAAAGATAGCATTACAACGTAGCATTAAAACATAAAAAATAGCATTACAACCACATCAAAGCAAAGTGTAAAGTAATAATCTTATTCTAACAGCTTTCTGGCAAATACAGAAGGAATATTAGAATGATATTTTAAAGTTTTATTTGTAGTAATTAGTGTTCCAAATGTGATTTTTTTTTTAATTTTTTTTATTTACTAGTTTAAACGAAACATTTCATTCAAGCATTATATCTTTTTTGTTATTTCATCCTTTTTCTACCAATTTCTCTTTCCCCCTTTTCTTTCTTTGTTTCTTTGCAATGGCTCTTCTAAGCTTTCAAGAGTTAGACCACACCCCATTCAAATAATTTTACACTGTCATTAGAATTACATGTAATGTATCAAATGTAACAAATATCATCAAATATGCAAGTGTGCATGTAGAAAAGGAATAAAAGAAACCTATTTTATCTACATCTGGCATGACATGGAAGTATGTCTCATAGATCTCTACACATGAAGTACAGAGAGCAGCTTAATATCTTCATTGACCAAATTCAAAATATGATTATTTGGAATAGTTCTACAATATATCCAAATGGTATACATGTGACAATTACGAGGTCTACAATTCAGACACTTTTTCAGATACATGTATGTACATGTACCATACGCATGATTGACATCAAAACGTGTCATAGAACTTATTCCTAATGGTTAGAATAGAGTTCTAGATCTACATGAGACATTATCCAAGTTTTGTCCTTAATTGTTATTTCATTGTTTCTTACCTCATAGAGAGCCAAGTTCCTCTCATGTAACCCTGACTCCAAGATGGCCATGCCATCTGATTTGTCTCCTCCATCGCCTAGGTAACATTAACAATACAAACAATGGATTAATATCTTTAAAATCAACATCATTCTTCTCTGAATTGGTTAAATTGTGTCTTAAATCATGAACAGTATGTAAGACTATTGCAGGTTATGAATTTTCATTGAAATAAATAAGAATAATGTAGCTGATATTTACTGTGTATACTATGTGATTGCAGATTAATTTTTTTTTTTTTTTAAAGTTGGACATTGAAGTAGAATTGATGTAGAACTTCAATCTATGTTTACCACTTGGCTTTGCTTTGATGGACATTTATTATTATGATGCACCGGTACATCAATTAAGTTTCACCTTCCTGATAAACAGTTTAAAAGAAGCCCACAGGTAAAAAATAATTAATGTAATTTGTATATAATTACATGTAAATGCCTTCTAACGATATTTGACAGCTATTTTGACATTTTGACCTGCTATGTTGGAAGAATTCTGAGCATACTTTGTTTACGTATCTGCATTGACAAAGATAAGACAATCATCGTGTTTACACTTTGAATCAAAGTGTAAACCATCTGTACTCATTGTATTCTAATGTGTATTGTGTAACAGTCGATGACTAGTAAAATAATGCACGTGGAACATCTTTTGACAATGTAGTAGATACTTGTATGCATGTACTTGTATAATATGTGTGGACGTACAGATAATTTTAAAACAATACTAATGCAGGTATAAAATACAAAGACAACATATTCTGTACATACTTTACACAAAAATACAGGCACGTCAACAGGAGCATGTTTGAGAAAATATTTACGAAACAACATGTCAGATTTTTATAAAGTGCACAAAGTATATGTTTATCACCAACAGATAGTGATCAAGGATATTGATAAACACCGACAGAGACTACACTACATAGCAGCTGCAAATCGAGCCTTAAACTTGTAGAATTAGTCAGAGGGTTGCATAGGATTTGAGGGTATTAGAGAAGCTTGCATACAAGTAATACAAGTAATATGTGCACATAGCTCTATAGATGTTAATGTATGCTGCAGGTAGTGGGTGATATGCCACTTGATTTGAAGCATCCTCGAGGCAGGGAGATTCACACCACTACAAAGAAATGTCGGTCAATTATTCTTGCATTTCTAAAGTTTAGATATTATATACAAGTCTTACGAGAGATGCATTTTTAGGGTATAGAATTGCTGCATATTATTACTTGGTAAGGTTAATATTTATAATATATAAATCTGCATAAAGTTCTGGGTATTGAATACTATCCATGCTAACACTGGGACTATTGTCCTAATAGGGTAATGAAAAGGAAAAAAATCAATGATTATCGCACTCTGGTTTATTAATATTTAACCAAATATGAACAGAAGACACATAGCAACAGAACAATTTGCCATATTTCTTGAGGGCATATACACAGAAAGATGAAGAGAGAGGATGAACAAGAAAAGGAGAGTTGTGTTTGAGGCTTGAGTGACTAACAGATGTGGATAAATCTGTAAATGACATTACCACCTTGATGAAGTACTGACCACAACTAGGTTCACTGTACTCACTTATGGTGAATTAGTGACCAAATAGGATTTATTTGCATATCCATAATAATACATTTAACCATATTGATTTCATACAGCTAATTTGTACAAGTAATGCTCCTAAATATTTACAAATATATTGTAAAACATGTAAGAAGATACAAAAATAAACTGAGGTGCAAAAAAGAAGAAACATCTGACAAATAAACACCACACTAGTATTTAGAAAATACCACCAACATTGAAATGGCATCAACAGAAAATAAAATGGTTGAGTACAGAGAACAGACATAGTCACATACATGTACAGACAAAACAAAGTCATACAAAACATAATGTACATGAATAATGATATGTCTTGAAAATTTGAAATTATGTGATGGTTTATTAAAATACATGGACATGTAATACGTATGATGTGCATATTGGACAGAAGAAAGTGCAGGGTACACATACTGTAGGGCCTACATAATAAGGTGGTGTTAGCCTTCAACATTTATTTATTTATTTATTTAATTTTTCCTATCAGGTATTAAATATGAAATTCTAATTTTGAGTGGTTTTGATATTGAAGAAAAGTGTAACAGCACCCTTCCCCCCAAGAAAAAAAAACAACAAACAAACAAACAAACAAACAAACAAAACTTGAGATGTATAAAGGTATCACAGTCTGGTTTCAATATGAGACCCAAATGTGAAATGTATTGCAATGTAATGTGCAAAGTATGGAAGTGCAGTATGTACTCCACATACAAATATTGAATTCAGACGCTACATACAAGTTATCCTTTACAAGTAAATCTTTCATCTAATTGACCTTGAAAGAATAAAGTCAACATACCGGTAATAAAATAGAAAAACGAAATGAAAATAATAATACATGTAGAAATTAAAAAATACTACATATTATTTGTGCCAAGTGAAGAAAGATTAAAATGCAATAAAGTGAAATTACTGAAAATATGTGTGCTACTAAATGTGTAAACTACACATGTAAATCTATTAGGCAAATTATAAAAGTTGTGACATTCATAGATTCCTTCTGTGTACTGTACTGACAGTCGTAGTATGGAAATATCATTATGTTCTGACTGCAAGGCAAATTTACAAGTCCATGTCTTCGTGCACAATGCAAGCAGCTGTTTGACTAGGGGCAATGTCTTGAATTAACAGTGTTAAAACCATTATAAGTATTAAGTGATATTCAAGACTTGCCTGGAGAACAAATGTATTTCTGTTCAGTACTAGCAACTAAAAACACGGCATGAAGTCAAGATTATGTCAACACAGTACAAATGTAATGTGCATTGTACACATTCATGTACCTACTGTATTATATCTTGTGGTTGGAAGTTTTTTGCTTTTTTGTGTGTGCCTCTATTTGAGGGTCACACCCAAATCTATGTGTATTCAATCAAATTTAAATTAAAAATTAGGATAGCACTGCATTAAAATTTGAAGTGAAAAATAAAACTTCATTGTTCTGTTTTTCAAATTGCATGGTTTCATGTGTTTCATAGATTATGGTACATTTAATCTTCATGGTACTTATGAAAATAAAAAATAATATCTTCACACAGGGGGTAAAAGAAAGTATTGGAATTGGAATTGGTAAAAGAATAAATCAGTCTTACATACATTTTCTCTGATTGCAGATATTTTAGATTAAGATTCAATAAATCTTCATAAGAATGATTCCATCTCAAATAAACGAGCCAAGACTATTTAAAAGGCTTGCGGCTTTCTAACATTTCTTCAATCAATAGAAACTCATGGAATGTCGTCGAAGATAATAAAATGAATGAGGCCCATGCCATGAGTGAGAAAATCATTACTCGATCTCATGCCAAATATTACACAATGCAATTTCCCTGTGCAGTAGTTCCAGTACATATACATTTAATCTTGTCCTTTTTCTTTGTCAATATCTGTGCATTCAGAATCAGCTGTTAAAATCATAAGTCATTCAGAGATATAACATTGTAATCAAGTAAAACTTTAAAAAATCATAAGTGATCATTGCAGAGAAAATATGATATTGCTTTTAGCTTGTTTACATAAATTAAAACATGTCCCAATAGATGCAAAAATACATTTTCATAAATGATGATTTGTTTTCTTCCAATTAAGAACACATGCAAAAGATGCAGTCTAATTTTCCACAATAGAGATAGAATGAAATGCACCAGTTGACAGCATTGCTGCTATGTACATGTATGTACCATTAAGCATCCACACAATTTCAATTCCAAAATAAAATTACAACATATCACATAATCCATCTACTTGACAAGATTTCCACCGTAGGAAATAAATAATTACTCATACGAAAAAGTAAGGAGCAACTCAAATTATTTTAAGGCTAGCTGAAAAAAGATCAACAAAAAGAAGTAATGCAAAACACCATAAAGAGACAAATACTTAACACTAAATAAAGAAATAAAAAATAAAAAATAAAAATAAAAGGCAAAGAACATCTACAAAAATACATGTACATAGTCAAGAAGCTCTTTAAAATAAGGATTTGCACAGAATTACACGAAATTTAATGCTAGTTAAACTGAAGAAATCAGAGCCAAATAAAAGTACCTAGAGTCCTAGACAATAAAAGCCAAAATAATAGTTAAATAAAGATATTTAAAATAAGTGAATAAATATTTTAAAATCATATTAAATCATAATGTCCCATGTAAGCACAAACAGATATATTCATTTCAAAAGTGTTGTTTCTCCAGCGACCAGTAGAAATAGGTTAATACTCACCATGAAGCTTGAACCAATTAGCTATGCTATCCGCTACATGCTCTTTGTTGCAAAATAGATTAATGAAAGGTTTGTTAAAAATTTACTTCAGTAAAGAAAAAAGAGTGCACAGAATGGTGAGCAACTTAGCTCTGGTAAGCTCTCAAGGAGCTAGACTACTAAATTGAAAAAGAGCTCTGATAAAGAACGATGAATGTGAGTAAATCACTCTTATACACCTCCGAATCCTAAAAGAGCTTCCGCAAGCTAAAAAGTTTTTTCATACCGATTGATGCATATCACTTTACAATCTTATTACAAGAACATTGACTTTTTTATTACATAGTGTAGACCTTTAGGCATATAAGCAATTAGGTACACGTATCACTACGTACATGTACATGTAAAGAAAGGTACCTCTATCTGTATAAAAACCGAGCTTGTGTCTTGTGAGTAAACTGCAGATCCGTTCAATTAAAACAATGACAGGATAAAGTATGAAATAAGCTATCAATGTCTAGTACTAGTATGCTACCTGTGGCTGTGCATACCCTCTTTGTATTGATTTTCCAAAAGACCTGTTTACTAAATTGTTTGCATCATTTTTAACAACAGTTTCTCTTGACTGAAAATCTTGCTTAGTGGCTTGCCAGACATAGCAACACCAAATGTTGCACAATGCAAAGTGAATTCTATCCATAGAGAGCCATTGTGCATGGCAGGTTAATGAAATGGT